TGATGATGTTGATGCTGATGATGTTGATGCTGATGATGTTGATGCTGATGATGTTGATGCTGATGTATCGATATTGCAGTAAGTCCCTGCGTCGGCTCTCCCTCCACAAAGTCACTCGCTACACGCGTGCAACCGCCACACGCTCCTCTACATCTTCGATGCAGGGAGGATTGTGTGGACATGGGCGTGGATGCAGATCGTATTCCACGCCAGCCATGATTGTCCGCACCAACAGGCGCCCCTTGCACATCTTGCGGTCTTCATTGTCTCGCTTGGACTCGACGCAAATGTGTGCCGGCTCGATGCACAAGGGTCCGTGGCAGCGGTGGCTGGCGTACTGGCCGTCGTCGCTGAGGAGAAGTTGCACCTCAGCATCTGTCTTGTGGGCAACGACGGCCAGGCGATGTCCACTTTGTGGAAGGGTTTGGGACCGGTTCTCGACGAAGCCGGGAAGCCGACGGGGGTTATCTGCACATAATCGTTGTCCTGTTGCAGTCAGCTCATCGTTGTCCATGCAGTTTGGGAGAAATCCACTCACGCTGCGATTGGCAGTCTTTGCTGCCACAAGACAGCCCTTCTCATTCCTCACAGCTGGCCCAACCACTGCTCCTGACCGAGACTGATACCCGTCCCGCAGCTGTCTCCATGTCTGTGACGCCATTGCGCGCGTCACCACACGGAGTTCTTGCAGCATGCGGGAGGGTGGTCTTCCGGCCAGGGCAGCAGCTGGGCCAGCCTCCTCCTCTTCCTCGTCGTCATCATCGGCACCGGGGAGGACGGCCGGCCCAGGAGGGGGAGAGGGAGAGGGTGCGCGAGCCGGGAGGGCGGCGGCCGCAGGCGGAGGGCGAGCGGTGTGAGCGAAGGAGAGGTTGGTCTGCTCGGAAGGGCCGGGCTTCGGAAGCTTTGGCATCTGGACGCATCAATATCAGCATTGCTCTACTTCTCTATCAGACAGACGGGCACTTGTGCGTACGACTGTGGTGTGAATCTGCTCTGGTGGGAGGGAAGTATTTCGCCCTTCTCACATTTATATAAGACATCAACACTCGCCTGCGCTCTTTCTAGATGTCACAACTTCCCCCACCTGCCACTGCCCAACGTCGTCAACCTCTTCGATCTGATGCTCTGCTCCCGTGACGCAACGGCATCTGCTCCCGGTCTATCCAAAAGCTCAGCCTGATACATGACTATCTTGATACTTAGATCCACCACGAGCCCCGCTATATACAGGAATGCCCTTAGATATCCTGGGTAAATCTCAACATCTCTTTTCACTAGTTCTATGTTTCCATCTTAGCCTGTACTAATCGTTCGTGGGTCGAACGCGCGCTACACAAACAGAGTGGGCGAGTACATTACCTTAGCTGAAAGGTCTAGGTAATCTTAAAGTATTATAATTCTTACTCTTTAAGAAGGAATACCAAGTAAGCGCAAGTCATCAGCTTGCGTTGATCACGTCCCTGCCCTTTGTACACACCGCCCGTCGCTACTACCGATTGAATGGCTCAGTGAGGCCTTGGGACTGGCTCAGAGAGGTCGGCGACGGCCAGTAGAGTTAACGACAGATCAGATGTTAACTGAAAACCCGATATTGGAGCTACCATCCCTGCTCGATGCAGGCCGTTCTGGGGTACCACGCTGTACTTGTATTCGTCCTCGTTAAAGGCGTGGAACCCTTGGTTGGCGATGCAAATATTAGAACAAGAAAGAGACCCACAGCGCATATCAATAGTTCACGTCAGGACTCCTCCAGCAAAGCTATGGAAAGAGCATGGAAATAGGCCTGAGGAGCCTCATTCTCTTCCTGGTCGGGGATCAACTCGGTTATGGATACTGTTCTGTACGCTGCCTGTCTCAACCATTTCTCCTGCGTCTTCACGTCTGACCCGTCCCACTCAGCCACAGAACTGAGTCCCACATCATGCTGCGGGCATACATAACTTGGTGGCTCTATCGATGCGACTGAAACTCCAAGAACGCCGTCGAGCGTACGGTGCAGCCAATTCGTGACGATTGCAAATCTTATCCTCTCCTAATGAAGAGCGCTGCGGCCCTGATTGAGCCCCTCTATTTGTCGTCGTAAAACCCTTCTTTCTCTAGTCTTCGGCGAGCCTCTTCGAGGGCCCATGTCTGTATCCTAGAGGCGCACGTTAGCAAGGGAAGTCCCATTTTGGGCGGTCCAAACGTCGAGTGTGCAATGTAGCATCTTGTCATTGATTGGACTCGCAGGTGTAGGTAAAACAAAAGTTGTCAACGTACGAAGTATCCTCCTTCATCGTGTATGCTGCAATAGCGACCACCCAGCTGGCCACAAACACCCAGGCGAAACCTTCCCACCCTTCCTTTTCATATTTCTCTCCCGGTCGAATGCCCCAAAGCCACCCTGACGGAGGATCGAAGTGGTCGTCGTGTCCGCCTGCGTGGTGGCCGTGCGAGTCATCACCACGGTGCTCATTGTGGGCGGTCGCGGCCGTGCGGATGGAGGTGCGAGCCAAGGCTACGCGGGAGCTTGAAGGCGCGGGACGAGCGAGGGCGGAGGCAGGGCGTGCCAGGCGCGACGGTATCCGGTTGAACATCCTGGACTGTGCTGTGGTTATCTCACGTGTGGGTGCAGCAGTGTAGCCCGGGACGACACCACAGCAGATCGGAGAGGTCAATCCGAGCAACGCGGCAGCTGCAGGATGCGTTTGACCTGATGGCGAGGCCGAGGAGTCGTTCTAGGTGTGAGGAATGGCGAATGATGACCGTGTCGATGCGCGGTCTTATCGAGAGGTGAGGTTTGAGTGAGGTCGAGACGTCTCTGAAATTGCCAAGCGTTTTCGGAGCTGCAGCTCAGAGTCGGAGAAGCGGCGCTGACGCAGAAACGAGTTCGAGAGCGGCTCGAGATTCCCGCTGTCCACCACTCTCGATACTGACACATCGGCAGTCTTGCCGGGCTACAACGGGTAGTCACGATAATTACTTCAAGTCCAAGGATGGAATACAAGTCGGTCGATAATTGAGTCTCTACAATTCACCAGTCAATTCATCCTTGCATGACCCACGCAACGGTCCAATGCTACTTGTGTACTGCTTGTTGCCATGTTTTGCCTCCCCCTGCTTTCGCCAGCTTCAACGCTTTGTGTACGGAAATCTGCAGCACGACGAGCAGGAACAAGAACCCCTCCCTTATGTTTTGCACAAGAGTTCACTTCGACAGTTAAACTCCTCCATGAGAATCGTGAAGATGCCGTCCGCCCACAGTGCATACCCATCACAATGCCGACACTCACACGCGGGTGGTGCCATGCATTTGTTTGCCCGTTTATTACAAAAAGTCTTCGTGCCCTTCCCGCTTTCTGCTTTTTGGGTGTCCAATGCTCCGTCCCAATACAATGCTGAAAACGACGTGCGCCGTCCCATGCATCCAAGTCCAAACCTTGACCTCATTCGTAAACTCCGTGCCTTCGTACTGTACAATGCTGCACAAGGGAAATGAAATCCCGCTGGATCTCGCGCCTTCAATTAGCTTCAACAACCGTGGTAAAAGTCAACGGCTGGGGATGGTCGTGGTCGGAAGATGTGCTAGCCACGTCAAGATAGCTATTCGCACTCCTGCTTTTGGGTAGCCCGGGCTTTCTCAGCCCTGGACTGGGAGAGTTCGGCGGCTCGAAAATCTGCCGGAATACCGGCTCTTGAAATTTATGCACCGGCCGTTCAGGGCTTAGGGACACTCCTTCGGCCTTTCGGACAATCTCCTTCAGCGCTCGAGTGATTACTCCTGCTCTGACCACGAGATCTCTGAGATCTTGCGTGTCGAAAGGCAGTTTATGGAGATCATGAGAAGGGGTTGCCCGTTCCACAGGTGATGACTCCACCGCGGTCCGGTTGTGATGGATGGCCTGCAGAAAGCTCTTAGTCTGCAAGCTCTCCCCACGTGGTCGTCCGTAGGGAGGCGTTGCCGGGCTGGAGATGGAACGTCGGCTAATCGTTCGTCCGAGATCGTCTTCGGTGGTCCTTTTGGGCGGTGGTGTCTCGTCACCAAAAATATCAGATGATACCGGCGAAGGCGGCCGGGGGAAAGCTCCGTCATCCTCATTGACCGTAGCGAGGTCGATGATGCTTTCTGCGTCTTCCCATAACTGTCGTGAGTAGCCTCCAAGTAAGCCTAGGTCGGCCCCACGGACGCGAAGCCTTTTAAGCTCTTCAACCAAGAGCATGAAATCTCGCACCTGACCAAATTGCATGTGCACACTCTGCTGGCGGTCTATGATGGACTGGGGCACTTTGACGCTTCGGATCGACTCCCGATTCTTTGCCTTCTCTTCGTCTTTTTGCGACAAAGCTTCCTGCATCTCTTCGGCATCGTCAAACTCGAAATCATCGCTCCATTCCTCGCTGACAGGCTTGCTCCCAAGTGCCCATGTACCGAACTTGGTGGCGGATGATGGCGCATCAATCTCGGTGAAAGTGTCTCGATTGACCGGTACACTCTGGCTCCGAAGGTGCATGGCTGCATTGGTCTTCCGTCCAGAAGCTCGACTCCGCCCAGCGTGCGTGCCGTGTTTCCCGTGCACTGTTTGAGGTCGTGGACTAATGCCATTAGACTGGTCGCTGCCCAATTTGGACTGTTCTGACCAGTCAAAGATTGATGACCTCTTGATAGACCGTTGCTCATCGAAGTCGTCCTCTGAGACACGGTCGAATTGACTCTGCAGGGGACTCGACGACACGTTGGTTGGGACATCTTCTTTGACTCTATCCGACTTGGGCGACCAGTCTATATCATCTTCGACGTCCAAGTCCATCATAGTGGGAAGCTCTGGCTCCCTATGTTGCAATCCAAGAAACAGATGGGCCGTAGGCGGAGAAGAATTCAAGGTAGCCAAATCAGGATGCACCTTTCTTGGCACAGGAGTTGAAACCGAATCCTCCCCATCCGTCGTGTGGCTTTTGACTGGAGTGGAAGCCTGGTTGGGGCTGACGCCTTGCATGTGCTCGTTGTTTTCGAAACCATGAATACCCATGCCAATCGTACTCGGTCCACTTGCTCCCTCCTGTGAGATGGAATGCACATCGTCATTCAGTGTCGCTCGTTGCATCATTTGTTCGATGCTGTTTGTCTCACCGGGCTGCTGGTCCACAGACATCTCATCAAATATCGTTTCTATCTTAGGTTGACGGAAGCCGGAATGACTACTGGCTGTGGCTCGGGTGGCCAGAGAGTCATACGCTGTATCGCTGTGAAAGTCCATAGAGTCGTCGTCCGTAAATACTCTTGTGTCATTGTCGGAGCTGGCGGTTGTGGGGTCCGAAGGAGCAACAGAAATACGTTTCGGGATGGTGAAACGGTGCTGTGGAGGGCCATACGAGGGAGGAGTTGAAGTGAACACGGGAGTTCCATGAGGTAGATCGATCTCGAAGGTGGAGATGTTCGACAGTGGTGATATATTTGAGAAGGCAGTCGACGGAACAATGCTCCCGTAGGCTTCGTCTTTGTTCAGCCTTACGACAGGGTCGGTGAAATGACGAGGAGGGATGCCTTTCCGTACCGAACCCAGTGTACGCCGCATCTTGTGCCGCCGTGTTGGTGGGGAGGGTGGGATTTCAGACGGCTGCTCAGTCCGGTCGTCCATGTCGGCAACGTCCCGGGGTTCTACAGCTCCTCCCAGAAGTAAAGTCGGCGGGCGCCCTTCCGGGATAGAAACTGTCCGCGCAGTGCCGTCCCGATAGAAGCCAGACGAATGTCTTTTCCTGGAGTACCCGGTCTCAAAGAACGGTCTCCAGGTGGACTCCTGAGAAATGTATCCCGGCAGCTCTGGGAACGTAGACTCGGTAGTCAAGGGCCGGGTGTAAGGTAAGCCAGACAACGTTGCAGACCTCTGATGGCTTGTAGCCGGACGCCTTAGAAGAGCCGGAGGGCGAGTGGTACCGTCACTGGTAAGAACCCGCTTAGAAGACGAGCGCTTGACTAGCTTGTTAGGTTGGTCCAGGTCGTTTACGGAAGGCCGCGAGGGAGCTGGTGAGACGTCGAGCCTAGACGAGGACGATGCAGGGCTACCACGAGTGGGACGGGAGAGACTCGAGATCCGTCTTAACCAGGTTTGACCTTGACTGGGCCTCTGTTGTTCTTTCCCTTCTGTTGACGAGTCCCTCTCGCCGGACGTCCAAGGCCTCAGTATCCCGTACCTGCTGATCGAGCTCTCACGCGAGCCTGTGCCTGTGCTCTGGGTGGCTGCCGAGGGGGTGGTAATTTTCCGTCGTAGAATAGAGGTCGAGAGCCGCCGTTCGATTCGCTCGGATAGTGCTGAGGCTGGTCCGTCGGGGTCTGAGGTAAGAGGACGTGGTAACTGGGGAGAGATAGGAGAATATGTGGCAGCATTTGTACCAGGGGCCTTTCTCTTGCCGGGCTTGATCAGATATGTATCTCCTTCAGATGTACCCAAAGCTAAGCCGGCAGCGGCAACGCCCAAGGTACCAACCGCACAGAGCTAGACCCAAGGATCAGTAACTGCTTAGAGAGCACAAAAGAGGCTTGACGGAGTCATTTACCGTAGCAATGTGCTCCTGTCTTGATTCCATTATGCGTGACGAGCCAAAAGCCCTCGAGGCACCGCTACCCAGATCCTCTGGAGGCCGCTGGTACGGGACGTCCTCATGGCGGATTCACCATCGGTAGCAGGTGCAGGAGGGAAAAGAGATCGGTGAGCAGGAGTGTCAGTGAGCTGTTATCGTGGTCGACTGCTTGGTCGTTCTAGAAGACGTGTGGTGGGCGCAAGGGGTACAGGCTGCTGGTGGACGCGGGCCACAAATCGGGCGAGCACACGCGACGGGTTTGGAATGGGTCGGGCCAGGATGCGAACGCAGGTGGATCTGGCCGATTAAGGCTGTATACCGTGAGAGTACAAACGCAAGAGATGCAAGGAACGCACAAAAGCACAAAAAAGGCCACAAGCTGAAGAATGAAGTCTGGGAGATTGTAAAAGAAGCCCGAGGGCGAGGAATCTCAGCTGGGAGTCAGTGGTAGATGTTTAGGTGCTTGTGGATGGAAAGTTTGGGGTGTGGCTATTGGCACGCAAGCACCAGGGCGACCCCAGATACGCGATCCACCATACGGAGTGCTACCTGGGAGTTATAGGTAACCACCGTCTCTCAGCGCTGCACTGGGTAAGGCTGTCTTGGCCCGTGGTTGGATTTCAACTCTGGAGCTGCGAATCGTCTTACAGTACCTGGTCGCTCCTTCAACGCGGCTTAGAATGGGGCCTGAGAGACAGAGAAGTGTATTACTTTACAAAAGAACGAACCTGTAACGGCCGGTACTGGGCTCGTCTCTACTGCTTCTTCCTTTTGTGTCCATATCCTCTTTTTGTACAGCAAGGTGACATCCTGGCGCTGCAGGCGGGTAGAGCGTTCAAGCTACGCATATCAATCGCAGCCACATATGCACCCGCTTCTTGGTAGACCTGTCAGAGCGTTTGAGAAGCCGATGCTGCTCATCCTAGGGGATTTTCCAGTCGGTTCCGTCGAGGGAACTCGGGAGCACAGGGCAACATGTTTCCCGACCAGATATGCCCATGGCGTCCAACTCAGCTGTCAGTGCGTCAAACTCGAGACCAGAGCGCCTCCCGTCGGAGGTGGGACGATACGATTGATCGCAACTTCGCATTCACAAATCATTCCGCGGCAATCTACAGGCACTGTAACCGCAGATGCTACATTATTAGGCGGTATCGTTGCTCAACGCCTGGTCAATCAGACGCGGTGCTACTGGTCTACCCTCAAAAGTTCTGAAATGAGATTTCTTCTTGAGTCCAACTTCCTGTAGCAATTGAACGGAGCTGGAGAGGAGAGGTCCGGACATTGGGCTATCGAGAATGACCATGGCTCGATCAGCTCACTGACTTACACGGTGCTTGTCATAGCACAACGCCGACCTGCACCCACAAGATGCTACTGTTGATCACTGCTGCTTGCGTGTCGATGGGAAAAGAGTCCGTGGATGTGGCGGCACCTTCTATCAGACCGTACAAGTAACTATCATGGTGTGATACCCTTGCGTCCGCAGGCACAACGACTCCGCAAACTGTGAAATAATAGACCAGGTATCCCAGCCAAGGTATATCCGTGGTCCCTAGCAAAGAGTGCAGGGTACTCGTACACGCTCACTCTGACGCGTGTTAGAAAATCTGCTTCTTGAGCTGCCTTTTTGAGAACCAGGCGACCCGTTGAAGCCACAGGCATCACCCTGGTCACTTTCCTTCTGGTATGAGGTCTCGGGAACCTCAGTTGCAGATGGAAGGAAGCTCAGCCGTTCAGCACCGAGCCATTCGGCATGTCCAGCTGTTTTGGCGTGGGAGTGCACGCGAAAAAGTCGTCAAGCATCTGGAGGTGCCCGAAAAGCAAGCTTTGGAGCTGAACAGACCACCGGCGAACGCATGAGAAAGATGGTTCAAGCAAGTAGCGAGTTTAAAGTGCGTTAGCGAGGGCCCAGCGCGTGAAACGCGATGATAAAACCTGGAAAACAGGGTCAGCGTGTACGTAAATGGCTGCTCAATCAGATGAGAAAGTCCAGCATGGATCCTCTCGGCTTGATATCGCCATTCGACAACCAGCTAGCCACGCTCGCCGACCACATTTTGGCGGTCGAGATCTTCTAGCCCCAAAGAGTCGCAGCTTGCACGGCACATGCGGCTATGCCAACAGTTGTCTCACATATGCATGTGGAAAACAAGTTTGTAGATCCGGAAAAGCGCCCGTTTGTTGTCGGTCGCATCAGTGCGCATAAGGACAAGCGGAGATGGTGCGCGGATGGAAGCTCGTTCGAAACTCTCGCGCAGCCGAGTCGTCTCGCCTAATCAAGGGACACTGACCGTGGCCACCTAGTGGCTGATCCGGGTGGAGGCCGGCTCTTCACAACGGAGCCATGGGCGCCATGATAGGCTGGCATCATGTATGACGGAATCAGCGTGTTGATACACACAAAGTAAGATCTCGCGTCGCGTGCCAGCCGATCTAGCTTGAACGGGCATTGATGATACAAATGGTGAGGCTAACCGGCTGCTTGGCTCCTCGCACAATCTGAATCCACTGGTGAGCATCAAGCTGCTTTGAACATGTACTCGTGTCACGCATCAGCCTCGGAAGACGCGAGAGAGTTCAGCCGAACTCCAGCGGTGGGGAAGCGTGGAAGACCGTGGCCGCTGATTGACTGACCACTGGCGGTGAAAATATCCAAGGCAGTTGGAGAATACTAGCAAGGCCCGGTCAAGCAGCTGGGATGAGTGAACTATGCCGCCTCCTCACAGACGTGTCGATGGCCCGATTGCCGGGCAATCATTGACAACTGTCCATGGAGCAAGCAGGCAGCCTATGTAGCAAGGCTCGGCAAGAAATACTACCCCAAGCCAGGCTTGAGAGTGTGAGTTCCACAACCATCACTGTCAAGGCTTTGTGCCCTTATCCAGCGATATTTGTGCTGCTTCAAGTCTGCCTCGGCTGAGTCACAGTCGCTGCCAACTTTCCACAACCACCCCGTGGAAGAGACACGGGTCTATGCGGGGTTCTTGCAGGTCAATGCCTCGAAGCTGAAGCTTGACTTCAAAAGGCGGGACGGGGAGGCGGGCGTCGCAAGACCACTTCCTAGAAGGATAAGGTCGTTCTACTGCAAAAGGAAATCCGTGCGCTTAACGTGTCATTCGATACCCACAGCTCGGAAACCAATGCCAGGGCCTGTTCGACGCATACGCTCGTTGGACGCACAACGGCTTAGTCGACGTATCTTGCAAGGTTTTGCAGCACAGCTCTGTGGACGGCACAGGCGTAAAATGCCTGGTCGTGTTCTGCAGGTATTCCTGTGGCCTTTCTGTTCAGGGTGACGGAGAAGCCTTCCACCAAAGTAGTCGCTTGCAGATACCACATGTACATAATCCATGCCGGTCAGCCGTGCTGCTGACTACTGCAGGACGCTTGTTATTTTACCGAAGCACTCCCTTCGGGATATCAGCGATCGTGGATGGACGTCGTTTCCGGGTCGTGGCAAGACTACACTATTTTTGAGCTTGGTGATGTGCGTCTTGCAGTCGGGGTCCTCGCTCAGCGCTTGCTAGTTCTCCAACCACTCGCCGCATGAGCATGTCCTCGCAGACCAAGCAGAGACCGACGCGTTGCTCTTCCAAACACTTGCCTCGCCCTGTCCGGCCTGATCAGAGTGTGACTCAAGTTCAGGGGAAGATTCGCCTACCTCGTACGTACTGGAGAATGAGAGTTCGCGGGTGAAATGCCACTAGTACGTATTTGTCTTAGGCTGCCAAGAGCGGTTCGGATAGGTTCCGCTGTTCAAATTTCTGCCACACCAGACACACCTCAGACACATCCAGAGTTTACCTAGGTATGTGACTTCTCCTGGTCTCACTCGCTGTCCATCCGGCATGATTATTGGACAGAGTCGACTGTGAAGCAGGGAACAGGAGCTCAAGCGCCAGTCCCTCAAAATAATTTCAGGCACAATACAGACTCAGCCTCGTCCACACTAAAACCACATTTTCGTCTTCCGTCTATCTCCGGCCTATTGACCGAACACTTGTCCATTTCGGGAACACCGATCAAGGTATAGGTCTACTTAGCACTAAATTCAAGACCGACGGCACGTACTGTGTGGCGGCGTTGACTTGTGTCCCGATCCTTGTCAAATACTTCTGGACCCCTGCATCGCAGCCTTTGGCAACCATGGAAGCCGAGATCCAAGCTCAAATCCCAAATATCGACCATGTCCTGTCTGAATATTCCGTGGTAAGTCGACATCTTCTGCATTGTGCTAGGGCCTATCTGTTGCACATCGCCGTCGGCCCTGCCTTGTCGCTTGACTTTGTTGCAGGAAGTCATTCCGCTAAATAGGGGCTCATAGGGATACCTGAACCATGCATCCAAGCTCTACGTCTCAGAAGACGATCCATCTACTCAATCACCACTGGGAGAAGCTCTTGAGACTGTGACATCTCTGCTTGTCTCGGCTTCCGGGAACTTCTCTGACCAGAACGAAACAGCCATCCGTAATCTTGTTGAAAGATTCATTGCGCGACTAAGCGAGGCAAATGGCATCGATCCCGAGCGGCGACAGATGCCCTTCACGGCCAGGAAGCTTGAACAAACCATCCAAGTCAGCTCGCAACGGAATGTCTCTTCCACTTTGGGCTTGACTAGTGGTGCTGTTGACCTCGAGGCCACCAATGCTCGTAAAGTCGAATCCAAGGTCGACAGAAAGAAGCTCGAAAAAGCCGAGCGCAAGATCCGAGCGAAGCAAGACAAGAAGGTTATGAAGAATGTCGAGTATGAAGCATCGAAACTGCTTAATCAGCCAGACTCCACGCAATCGTACGAAGAGTTCTTCATGGCCGTCAATCCTCTTCAGCTTGGCGCTGATACTCAATCGAAAAGCAAAGATATCAAGGTGGAAGGCATCGATGTGTCGATTGGTGGAAAACGTATCCTGACAGACACGTCTCTAACATTGGCCTATGGTCGGAGGTACGGTCTGGTGGGCCAGAACGGTATTGGTAAATCTACTCTTCTCCGGGCTCTGAGCCGCCGAGAAGTCGCCATCCCCACTCATATCTCTATCCTTCATGTCGAGCAAGAGATCACCGGAGACGATACTCCTGCCCTTCAAGCAGTGCTCGATGCCGACGTCTGGCGGAAGCACTTGCTAGCGGAGCAGGAGAAGATCTCGAAGCAGCTCACAGCATTGGAGACTGAGAGGTCAAAATTAGCTGATACTTCCAAGGATGCCGGCCGTCTGGACAAAGAGAAGGACGGACTTGACATTACACTGGGCGACATTCAAGCCAAGTTAAGTGAGATGGAGTCCGATAAGGCGGAATCTAGAGCTGCCAGTATTCTTGCCGGTCTCGGTTTCTCGCCAGAACGGCAACAATTCGCAACCAAGACCTTCTCTGGCGGTTGGCGGATGAGGCTGGCCCTTGCACGAGCACTTTTCTGTGAGCCCGATCTGCTGCTGCTCGACGAACCTTCCAACATGTTGGATGTCCCCTCGATCACATTTTTGTCCAACTACCTACAAACATACCCTAGCACAGTATTGGTGGTCTCACATGACCGTGCATTCCTGAATGAAGTGGCAACTGATATCATCCATCAGCATTCGGAGAGGTTGGATTACTACAAAGGCGCCAATTTCGATGCCTTCTATGCAACCAAGGAAGAACGAAGAAAGAACGCCAAACGCGAATACGACAACCAAATGGCACAACGAGCCCACTTGCAGGCCTTTATTGACAAATTCAGATATAATGCTGCGAAGTCGTCGGAGGCGCAGTCGCGTATCAAGAAGTTGGAAAAAATGCCTGTCCTCGAACCACCTGAGGCTGAATACACGGTCCATTTCCGATTCCCCGACGTCGAAAAGCTTTCCCCTCCGATCATCCAGATGACGAATGTCTCTTTCGGTTACATAAAAGACAAGCCTTTACTTCGCAACGTCGATCTGGACGTCCAACTTGATTCAAGGATTGGCATTGTGGGCCCAAATGGAGCGGGTAAAACAACAGTGTTGAAGCTGTTGATTGGGCAGCTCCAACCTACGTCTGGCTTGATATCGCAGAACCCGCGTCTCCGCATCGGCTTCTTTGCGCAGCACCACGTGGATGCTCTGGACATGAACACTTCCGCAGTAGGCTTCATGCAAAAGACGTACCCGGGCAAGACTGACGAAGAATATCGACGGCATCTTGGAGCCTTCGGCATTACAGGGATGACGGGATTGCAAAAGCTTGAACTGTTGTCTGGCGGTCAGAAATCTAGGGTGGCTTTTGCGTGTTTGTCCCTGACGAATCCGCATATTCTAGTCCTGGACGAGCCGTCGAATCATCTCGACATCGAAGCGATGGATGCTCTCTCGACAGCATTGCGGCAATTTCAGGGCGGTGTGCTCATGGTGAGCCACGACGTGACGATGCTTCAGAATGTATGTACCAGCCTATGGGTCTGTGACCAGGGTATTGTCGAGAAGTTCCCTGGAGACGTGAATGCATACAAGAAGAGGATTTCCGCACAGGCCAACGAAGCCGGGGTGGTACAGGCGCATTGAAAAGGAAATCAACACGGCGTCCGAGACGCATGGATACAGGGGCCCGACTCGAATTGTGCAGGCTGTGCCAGGCGAGCGGCTGAAGTCCACGAATGGTTTGTCGCTGTTGTCAGTCTATATTTCCTGGTGCATCGCTGGTGTAGCCAAGAGCCTGCCGTCGGTTTGTGTCGTCGTAACACCGCCTGTGCATTCCCAGCATATTGGTTTGGATTCTCTCGTCGTGTCTTCTTTTGCTTGGATGCTTACAAAGACAATTGACAAGCGTGCACGTAGATTTCGGCTATCGGCATTCGCCTCCGCTCAGGTGCCCCTGTCGTTGACGCTAGTGGCCAACGCCGGCAGTACCCGCACGCTTCTGACTAGGGCGGTGTATGAGATCATCATATTGGACTGCGCCAACTGTGTCTTGCATGGGCAAGCACCATGACCACTGCTCCTTCCAGGGACAAGAGAGATCCTTGCGGACACCTGCCTCATGTCATGGAGCTTTGTGCAGCTTCAGAGAGGACGGGTTTGTCTATTTCTCATACCATAAAGCCCCCTTGAGTCCTGGCTGAGTGCGCAACTCATCATTCCACCCACCGACCTCAATCACTCTTTCTACACTGATCTGCCCAAGATGAGAACCTTCCCAGCGGTCATCGTAGCAGTGCTCACAGCCCGCCTGTCACCAGCAGTCGCGCAGTCTTCCTCAAGCTGCGGTCCGGCACCCTCAGGCTCGATTCAACCTTCCCTAGCATCGGGATACCGCATGCAAGTGGTTGCCACAGGCTTGTCCAAACCCCGTGGCATCCTCCTCGACAAGGCCGGCAATCTCCTGGTGGTGGAACAGGGAAGAGGCGTTGTCTCAGCACATACACTGGAAGAGAATAATGGCTGTGTGTCTGTCGGGACATCCACAGACGTTACTCCTGCGTTGAGTGTTCGTCAGTTTGCTGTCAGATGCGCTCACAACGACTGATGTAGTAATAGCTGAATCACGGTATAGAGATCTCGCAGGATGGAACGACTCTCTTTGCTTCCTCATCCGAGAGTGTCTACTCCTGGAGCTATGATCAGTCAGCGAGGACAGTCTCAAACAACGCCACTCTTGTCGGCAACATGGCAGGCAGCGACCACACAACTCGAACACTGTTGCTGTCAAACAAGGCTCCTGGCTTGCTTGTGGTTACCAGAGGCTCTACCTCCAACATCGACTTTGATGCTGCTAGTTTGGCTTCCGGACACTCTCAAATCAAAGCATTCAACATCAGCAATCTGACCAGCACTCCATACGATTTCGATAGTGACGGCCTGCGGTTAGGGTGGGGCCTGAGAAATGATGTCGGTATTGCGGAGCATCCAAACAGCGGTGGCCTCTACTCAGTGGAGAACTCTGCTGACCAGATTACCCGTATGGGTGTCGACGTCCACGAGGACAACCCCGCCGAGGAACTGAACTTCCTGGGCTATCTGAATGGCACCCAATATGCTTCTCAAGGGGGCAACTTTGGTTACCCTTGGTGCTTCTCAGCCTGGGGCATTGACGATCTTCCAGAAAACGACAATTTGACCGTGGGAAGTCAGTTTGCTATAGATGCCAGCCCCGAATCCAACAATGAGAACCGGACAGACGCCTACTGTGCTCAGCAAGTGCCTGCACGCTTGGTTTTCCAGGCTCACATGGCTCCTCTTGATATCAAATTCAACAACAGCGGTACAGAAGCTTGGGTCACGTTCCACGGCAGCTGGGACAGGACTGACCCTGTGGGTGAGTTAGCGCAAGATTTGGAAGCACATGTTATCTTTGATGGTACGTTGGCGCATGCTAATCACGGTGACCCACAGGATACAAGATGTCCGTTGTAGCGTTCAACGCGAATGGCGAGCCGGTGGATGGGCCGCAGAGCAAAACAGCAGCCCGTGATATCTTCGCCAACCAGGACAACTCGCGATGTCCCAATGATTGCTTCCGTCCAGTCGGCATGGCCATCGACAGTCAAGGTCGTATTTTTGTGTCCTCAGATGCCTCTGGCGAGATATACCTGGTATCTAGGGCCTCCGGATCTCCAACTTCGTCAGGGACCCCGTCCTCTGCCTCCAGTTCAGCCCCAGGGTCAACCGCTGCAGGCAGCCACGTCAAGCCTGCAGCTCTGTCAGTTATTGCTGGACTGTTCTGCGCCATGGCTCTAATGCAGTAAATTTTAATGGGGTCCGCAGGCACATACACGAGAAAATAATGCTATCACGGAGCAAATTCGATGGGCCGGGTGTGCCGCGTGCCGACAATGGAAAACTTCATCGATGCAATGTCGAGCACATCACTCGCGGAATGTGCTCTCACGCACCTGCTGAAGGAATTCACTGCTAACTAGCTGTTGCCTCACCCGGACCTCGATCTCCTCTCAGTGGCCCGGCACTGATGATCTGGCTTCAAATCGCTCTCTTTTGATCGTCTTGAACATATCATACCAAGACCCCATGAGATTCTACTTTCTCTTCTGTGCTTTTTCCGTCTTCTCCTTCACCGCGACTCCTGCCCTATTTTCCGATCTTGTGCTGGGTCATGGATCTTCCCTCGGTGCAGATCGCCTTGAGCCATGTTGACCCTTCCGATTCCGACCTTTCTGATCCTCCTGACACGGATGTCGACATGGAGGAGGACTTGAACAACGCAGAGCCCAGTATTCCGGCCAAAAGCAAGGCTATCTCATGCTCAATCATCTCTGACGACGAATCGATGCACAGCCTTTCGAGTTCGGAAGATAACCAGTTGCCCCCAGTCAGCCCCCGATCCGCAATGCCTTTCATAGGCAAGTTCGAAGAAGTTCCTACAGAGGCAAGAGATATCAGTCTGCCACCACATCTGGCACGCTAACTTGAACAGATCCTCAATAAGATTGTGTCTCACCTACCTAATGACAAGGACCTCTTCAGCTTGAGTTGCTCATGCAAGACATTCGCTGCTGTTTTAGTGCCTAAAGAGTCCGCCATCTGGAAGGAAAGATTCCTCTCACGATACGACTATCCATACATCGCCAGTCCAAGTCATTACATTTTCGCCTATCAACTCCGTCGAGCCGTGCTTCGCCAGTTCGTGGACTTTAGTGACCCGAAAGATGCACGGCTCGGGGTACAGCTGGATGTCCTAAGAGACATGGTCGTCGGTATCTTAGCTTCAGCATCTCCCATATGTTCCTCTTCATAACGCTGACTTACTTGTCATCTAGAGGCGTACAAGCCACGGCAACCCCATCTTCCTCCGCCATTGACGTCTAAGAATCTTGCAGTATTATCTTCCCCACATAATTCGCCTTGGATTCGCACCTTCCTATCTTGTTTCTTCTTCCCATGTCGTGGTCAAAGATTTGGCCAGCCTAATCCGCTCTTCGACGCCATTCAGCTTGTTCTCTCCGACCTCCTGTTGTCCCCGACATCGCAAATGGCGCACGTCATCAAGTCATCGCGGGGAAACTATGATCTAGCTGTGGTATACGCCTGGGACAGACCCCTAGAAACTTTATACCGCGAGTCCGCTGCAGGAGAAGAGCCTCACAAGCCTACGCCCATAACCTATCAGGAGCGACGTAATCTAAGAAAGCATTCGCTGCCACACAGCTTTCTTTTCGATACGCACGCATTGCTCCACATACGCAACTTCTGGCACCGTCATCTTATCGGAGACCGTCAGGGCTTTGGATCAGCGAGCATGGTTGAGAATACATACGGGCGCATGGCGAGAGACCTGACGCGCGCTGGTATCAATATGAAGAAGTGGGACAAGCCGTTAAATGATAAAGACTCGCAGATCGCCGCCGAATGGTATGGGCATTACAGCACGCTAGCCCAGTGGCCAAAGAAGAGACAAGAGCTTGAAGAAGTGCAAAGTCTGGCAGAAGACTGGCAGAGGGTAGATCCGTTGGTAAAGCTCAGGGATCTATTACTGTAAAGCTGCATGGCTGACATTACGCAGAAACTCGATTTCACGGTCAGCGTCGACAATGAGGAGGACGGCTTTTGGCCACCCATTTTCGCCAATATCCCAGTCTTTCAGAACACAATCCCAGGGCTCAAGACGGAGTCCGCCTCGTGCAGATTCATTCGAGGCCTAGCCCCATTTATCGTGCTATCCTCGCCTGAAAACATGAGAACACCACCAGACTCGCAAACCGCCACACAGTTACCGGAATATCACCCCTACTTGGCGTTGCGGCTTCGAGGTGTTATTCATTCTATCCCGGCGCAGCCGCGATTGAACAGCATTCCAGGTTGGAGACGCATAATCATGGTGCTGTACAAGCCTACTTCTCGTCACCTAATCCAAGTCCTCGAGCATGCGGAGCAAGAATATGGCGATAGCTTCACAACGACGATTACAACGCAGGTGACTCAGAACGGTACGAACCACCCTCAACTCGCTCACGTCCTCAATGGCGTGGGTGCAGCAGGGCAACAACCTGACCCTGCCGAGATCGACGCACACCTCGCCACTCATCTGCGCAATAAACTTCTCAACAACCACCTCTGGCGCGACGGCTCAAGATTTGACAAGGATACAGTCGAGGAAATGGAAGAGAAGTACCGACTGAGCGAGTACCTCGACTGGAACGACATCGACTACGCCTACGCTTACGAGGGCTCGATTCTCCCAGGCGGGAAAATCATGGTGGGACGTTGGTGGCGGCTTGCTATGAATGGAGAGGGACATGGGTTGGAGTGGAGTGATGCGCTTGGTGAAGTAGAGGATGGTGATGCTATGGACCTGGATGAGGAAGTGGGTACGGCTGATGGAGTGCAGAACGGCAGTGGAGCCACGCATGGGCACGGTAGTGGCATCGGCCCCGGGAGAAGTCGATGCAAGAAGTTGGAGAGAGGGCCTTTCATCTTCTGGTGCTGAGCGTTTAGATGCGAAGGTTGGCGTGTGACGAAGTCATGGACACCGAATATTTTGAGCCGTGGGGCGGATGTGGAACTCTTTCGACAAGGGTTCTTCAGCTCGTTGAGGCATGGAAATTCCCTGGCGCCTGTCACCCCTGTCGGTCCTCATCATTTGACATGACAAAGCAGAGACAATGGGGGCATCATTGGGTTGGGACGGACTGACTTTGCGTTGAGCTGAAGCAGCAGAGTTGCGGCGCCCCATTCTATGCCATCGACAAGTCGAGGCTGATATTTCACTTCGGACCCCTGGTATCACTCCAATCCATTTCGCACCGGTATTGTTGACGGCAGTCGTTGGAAACGCTCTCACTGCTGCATCAGGGGTTCATGTTCACGCGCTCATGTTCTATCACACGCGGCCGATTGACCCACAAGGGCAAGGCCAAATGCAGATTGAGGTCAGCTCGCTTCGTCGTCGTCATGATTATACTCGCTCCTATAATAGCTATATCTTGCCGCTGAGCTGTGGCATATCCAAGGACACGTTCGGTGGTCGACACTCTCTTCCCCAACCTCACCTAGTAAGAAGGGCGGCGAACTTTAGAAACTCATTTCCTGTCTCGCAAACCGCCGCGCCAACCCGGCACTTTGATCGACGTATTCGAAGTCACTGGCGGAGATGCGCTTTTCTAGCATGGCCCCATCCTCGACGATGCTGCCACCGCCGGTAACGGGGGGAACGGCGCCGCTCATCTCGACTTCGGAAGAGCCGGTCCCGGCGACGCCCGCCTTTTGTAGCTGCGGACTCTGGTCGGGATAGTACTTCCCACCCGGGTGCAGGGCCTCCATCTGCGTGTGCGGGTACTGGTCGTCGTCGAACCCGTACGACATGTATTGAGACTGCTGTGCCCTGGGGTCTAACGCAGTCGCGACATACCCATCCTGGGTTTGCGAGCCAAATGCGCCGTCGCTCTCGGTCCACATGTCGTCACTATTCGTGGGAGCATAGACGGCGTCCATGTCGGGAAATTCAAAGTGCGACGTCGTATCCGTTTCTGGACCCATCCCCGTCGATGCTGCTGCTGGTTGAACAGGAGCCTGTCGAGGGTGCTCGACGCGCAGGGTCTCTGACGTGGGCCGCCCTGTCGATGTCTCCTGCAGGTCATCATTCTGGACCTCGACCTCGCGGTCGCGGATCTTGCGCATCAGCTGCAGGAACTGACTGTTTTGGAACTTCTCGCTCGTGTCATGTGACACGCTGTTCAACAGCTCACCTGCCGTGCGGGCCAGTTCGTCGGCGTCGCGTGCGTTCGGCTCGGCGGTACGTTCGTGCCTCTCGACGTAGTGGAGCGCGTCGCTCCCGATCTTTATCGTCTCTCCCTGGGCTGGTTGGTGGGCATCTGTAGGGTCTGTATGAAATTGGGCCTCGATCTGCTGGGCCCGGTCCTGGTCCATTTCCTGCGCGTGGGCGAGCGCATCGGCAAACGCGGCCTCAAAGTCCACGTCCGACATTTGTAGCTCTTGTGCCATGCCTGGATGCTGCATCTGCGGCTCCTGCTGCTGGAAGCCGCCGCCTGTATATGATTGGTACGGAGCTTGGGCATAGTTCATGAGCGAGGGCTGGAACGAGTTGCTGCTCATCTGCGGAAGGTCCCGCACCGCTTGCTTCCCCTGGGAGACAGGTGTGCTCGCGCTCGACCGCTGGCGCATGAATTCATTTTGCCACCCACCCAGTGGGGTGGACTTGATCAACGGAGCTTCGATGCGAAATTGTTGCGCCGGCACGGGCGACTGGTTGCCAAGGGAGAGTCGTTGGAAGTCTGCGGCCCATGCTCCCGGCGCAGATGGGACGTGGTATTGAGGCTGGAAGATCTCGGGCTGGTGAAATTGGAAGGGGTTCGGGGCTGACTTCTCAAAGGCGTGGAAGTCGGCGTCGAGGGCTCCAGCTCGGGGGTCGGCGGTACGGAAACCCTTTGCGCACAGGTCAGCGACGGAGATTGAGCAAAGTGAGGCAAATTGGGAGCTCACCTGAGCAGGCGACTGTCTGTTACCGACGAGACGATCTTGCTGGAGTGTCCGATCTACCTGCGTGTGTTTTTGCAGGTTCTGAAGCGGGTTCGATGGCCCGCAGAGTGCGTCGGCCATGGCGGGGGCGCTGTGGTGGGTGTCACCAAGAGGTAGAGGCAGCGCGAGGGAGCGCGAGCGGGTGATCTCATGACATATCTCAGAAACTTGGACTTGTTAGGGGGTACCTCGTAGGACAAGACATGGAAATAGATCGGAAATCTGATGAATCTGGCTTGCGGCCGAAGGCGATGACCGCCTTGCACTCACTGCTCGCAGTTGATGACATTCGCATGCCGAGGCTCTTTGAACGTCACTCGCCACGGGACAATGTTTATCCGGCCAACCGCTGTACACGATACGCGGATCTCGAAATTCACTTCTGGGGACGAACACATCTGGTTCAATCGGCCTGTGACAGATCCACATACAAACACCAAAGCTGCGGGAAAGCCATTGAACAGACTGTTCAGTGCTCTGGATAATCGTCCAGAATGCAGCATTCCCAGTCTCTAGAGGACGAGACACCACTGCCAGAAATATTGCCGCAGCGTAAACAGCCATCAGGCTTTGCTTCAACACCCGACTCGCTTTGAGCCTGATTCTGCTGCCCTCTGTAAGTACACTCTTCGACAACTCCCGCCGACAAGAACGGAAGCGTCGAAGGTTTCACTGCCGCTGGGCCTCAAGCAGCTCGGGCGTATGCCCCAGCATTTCTCGCCCTGTGTCCAACTCCGGTTCTGAACCCGACCCTGAGGCTCCTGCACCGTCTGCGACTTTCACCTCAGCTGCCTCTTCTGAACCCTCATCTTGCCCGCCCGATATGCCCTCGACCCCGTCTTCCACCTCGTGGCCGCCCTGCTCGTTTTCCAGCCCGTGAATGTCACTCCCTCGATTTGACGGGCCAGCCGGCTTAGAGATGCCGACCACGGTCGTGAATGGGGCGATGCACGTGAAGTCGAGGAAGTGCTGATTGCACATTGCGCCCATACCGCTTTCGAGCGGATGTTAGAGGGCACCATGCTCTCGGTGAAGAAGACCTTCTCGGCGCCGCGCAACGAGACGTCATACGCGGTTCTGCCGGAGTTCCAGCTCGATTGAAGGCTGAACGCATCTCGTTCGTCCGCTCTGTCTGGCATGGAAATCACAAACTCCTTCCCGAATCCCAGCGTCGACCTCATCGTATCTGCCGGCTTGCCAACTCCGGTTTCCTCTGGTGGTTGCTGCAAGAACACGGTCCCCACTTCGGCGTCCTCGCAGGGATTGGGCGCCTCGACGCCGTCTCTGAGAGGCGCTTCGGGCTTTTCCTCTTCGTATTTGAGGACAACCGGATCGAGGTACGCGAAGGCGGTCTTGAATCGAGAACAGAACAGGGATACGATGACCAAAGTGATGTCAAAGCCTGCTAGCTCGAATAGTGGAAACATGGTTCGACAGCTGACACGACTATGGCCATCTCATCGCCGTCGATAGAGAAAAGGAGAGTAAAGCGCAGGGTGGGAGAATAACCCAGGGCGCGCGTCCTTACATCTCACGGACCGGCACGCTGGGAAGTAGAGTCTGGTGGTTCGCTGGTCTGGAAAGATCCTTGTCACATAATCGACCGTAGTAGCCATTGCGCTGCTCAAGTCTCCACCCCCTTGCGTACTGGGTCCCGGGTCGTCACAAGCGTCACTTGCGGCGCAGTAGCGATCCAGCATTAACGTTTTTTGGCATCCAAGACGAATGCGAGAAACTCCCAATCGACGCTGGGTAGTGCTGGTGCTCATCCTGCTGCGAGGGAACAGACGGTGCGATATTTTTCCTCTTCGTCGCTCGAGGAATAGGTCAACTGAGGCAGTGTGCGGGTCAAGACACGTCGACTCGTGGGAGAGAATGAACCGGCAGTTTACGGTCGTCCCAAATGTCTGAGACCTTGTATTACATACTGGTTCAAGCTCAACGCCTGACGCAAATCCTTCTATGCCAGGGTATCGACTGGTGTACAACTACAGCGCCATAGGTCGACTCTTTAGTTATTCGTCTTGGAGTTACCACCCGAGCAGTGAACGTCGGTCGAAAGCATCAGCAATAGGTGGTGCTTGAGGTGCCGTGGTGGTCCACACTGGATGAGATCGAGAAGACGCTTGCCTTGGAAGTGGAAATGTAGGCGAAAAGAAGTAAAGATGACCAGGGCCAGTGCGTACTCATACCCAGTCACCCGTCCGTACGAGGACGGGGACTGCGTATCCTAATATCATGGTGTACCCCGTACATACGGAGCAGTTCTTGGATTGCCAGATCTTGACTTCGTTCGGCCTCGCCTCGACCTCCCATCTCAGCACACGGCCCTCATCTCTTCGCCATGGCTTGCCACCATGTCCTGCCAACCCGGCACTGCTCGGCACTGCTCACGCGTACTATCCAAGACTCTAGTCATTGCTCGTGCATCGTGAACTTCCATGTCCCGTCTATTTGCTCGTAAGCCGTGTCCTGACAAGACGCCCTGTAACACTTGGCTTGAAAAGTCCCGCCCCAGACAGAGATATCTCTGCCTGCTGTCGAGTGATAGGTTAATGCGCACTCATGCTTCATGCCGCTGTCTCATAGCGTATCACCGTCACCGGCCACCGTTCAGGGGTCAGGGTCAGCCGCGCCGCCGTCTTCGAACGAGACTCCTTCCTCAGTCGCTTTTTCAGCATTGAAGTATCCCGAATGTGTCCAATCGAAGGGCAGCTGCTCCTTCGCCTCGTCCCAACGTACCCACGTGGGGTGCTGCCAATCCGGCTCACACTTGATGAGGTCCGGCGGCGTGTCCTGCCAATGGATCTTGCTGTATTTGCCCAATCCCATCTCGTCTTCCGCCCGATGGATGATCTCGGTGGCATACCCAAACTTTTTCTTTGTGCCGCGTGATTCGTCGTCGTTGTAGCCGATGTTCACGCTGGGGACTACCGCGATTCGGCCATGACCGTGTTTCCAGAAGTCTTTGCATAGGAGTGTGGGTTCACCCATGTAGCATTCGTCTTTGTACGAGGCACGGAAGGTGACGTTGTGTTCGAGGAGTGGTTTGGCAGTAAAGACGGCACCGCCGTTCCAGCATGAGTAGACCTGGTGATGTGTTAGCCGACGTCGATGCCCGAGCGTGGACGGCCTGTCCTACCTGGAAAGGAAGCTTCGTCTCGAAGCGAGTCTTCGTGTCTGGGTCGTTCCAGAACAAGTTGTGCTTAAATTCAAAGCTGCCACTTTGGGGGATCTCGATGAACATGTCGCCGCTCATGCCTCGGCAGATCCAAGAGTCGTAGAATGTCTCTCCCTGATCGACCCAATCCATGGCGCAGGTCATGTCGGCTTTTTGATATACCTGAATTCAACCGTTAGCACTGCGAAGAACATACCTACTCTTCACAACCCTGCTCCGCTCACCTTCTGGTACACAAGTTCGAGGATGTCGTCTGTGCAAATGGAGACATCGTTCAGGAAAATGACGGTCGTATCTGGGTCGTACAGCTCGGGTTGCCGCACCAAGGGATCCATCACCAGGTTTCGCAGAATGGCCAATTCGGTGATGCGGTCGTTGCCCGACTTCAGCGGATCGACGTCACTCGTGCTGAAATAGTATGTGACGTTCATGGCTTCAATCTCTTCCCGCAACTTGGCCAGAATCTCAGTGGTACCATCATTCGAGCGACCGCCCACGATGGACAGGACGCAGTCCTCTGGGCGGAGGAAACGTATCGCTTCTACCACTGAGGCCATCAGGCGCGGCAGGACGTGCGAGCACTGGTATAGGTTGAGAGCAAAAAACCAGCGCCTCGGGGGGGTGTCCCATCTCGTTGCAAAGTTTCTCCGCCGTCGAAGGATCTCGTATCGCTCTTTTATGGGTCGTGGGCATCGTAATCGGGGAAATGTCCTGTCTTTGGGGTCCATTATGGCATTGATGAACTCGCCAACAATTTTATTCCTCTGCGGATCCAGGTCTGGTATCCCCGGAGGCTCCCATTCTCCCTCGTAAAAATGGCTGACGGCTCCTTTGGGCAAGGCATCTTCTGCAATATCGCCGAGCTCGAAATCGGAGAGGTGGATGTCACCCTCAATGCCTGTGGCTCGGTAAACGAAGTCGTCTACTTCATCGGTGTTTGCTTGGAATAGCGAGGCAAATGGTCCGTTGAGGCAAGAAATAACAACGACGCAGACGAGTAGGATGGCCAGGTATAACTTGTCTGAGCCCCGTGCAAACAGCGTCGAGGCGACGGACATTTTGGCTCTCTGTATTCACCCGGTTCTGACGAGGAAGTCGAGGACGAAGTACAACCCGAGGTGTATAAGTCTAGTCACACAGGAGAACTCGATGGTGTGGACGATCGGACCCCTGAACCGCAGGCGTACTCCCGTAGTCCCGGCGTCCGAATATGAAATTGTATGTTCAATGGTGTGCTTATCGTGGCTTCAGCCTTCGATAGAGATTTAGGACTCATGACGGAATCGACAAGCCCGACATGTGCTTCCAGGCCTGGCCAGGGGCCATACGAGCATGCGAATTGATCCATGGAGCCCCTCGAGCCCCTTTTTGTGAGCAGACCGCCACCAGAGGAGATGCTGAGAGCGCAGTGGCGCGGTGGGACTCTGCTTGAGGAGCAGCTGAAGGTGAACGGGCGCCAGTCACACACTTGGCGTGTTAGTCGCAGCCCTGGTGGCAGCGCGGCTTCCGATTGATTGAGCAGGGCGGGTACCTGCGTCAAATCTTATCCAGCCGCAGCCAAACGGGTAAAGTCTCGCCTCCGGGTCTGACTAGTAGCTGTTTCGGGGATTCGCGTAGACTTTTGATTTGGCCAGCCCAGCTTATCCGATGATCGAGGTCGACGAGATCGCTATTCTCAAATCTCCCGTGTGTGGCCATGAATGTGATTTCGAGGACAGAAAGCATGGGCTGGGCGTTCCTTATCGGCATCATGCCATGGCCCTTACAGGAGACAGAACTCTTGGGTCTATGAGGGCTCGTACTGTATCGATGCTTGGTACTATAGCAACCATACTGTAAGGTAACCACTGTTCGTGGATTTTCTTGTCTTGATCACGATCAATTGAGAATGCGTATCCTAGGAATCTGATAATACTCGTACTCCGTGCTATTTCGCCGAATGCTCACCTCGGTTCGGTTGCCGAGCGGAGTCGCGATAAGATCGAGCCAGGGGTAAACCGTGACGAGCCAAGGCAAATCCACCCATGCACCCTTGCGGCCCTGCTCAGCAGCATCGCATGATACCCAGGCACTTACTCCGTAGTGGCCAGGCTCTACACAGTATGGTCGGCTCCCAGAAGGAGGCCAGCCAAAGGACGGGAATCGGGCATTCCTTAATACTGTACCCCTCCATGACGCGTCCTGGCACCCGAGACACCACACGCGTTGTCAAGTCATATCTCGTATTTCAATTTTCACTCAAGCAGATGGGTGGCTGAGCTTAAGTCCGATTGGGAAAAGTCAGGGGTATTCCGGCAGATGAGATGGTGATATGGCCGGCCCTGCCCCTATGAGGTACCGGGGTAGAGGTCTCTTGTGCGCTATGTATGTAACTTGGCACTTTGCAACAGAATCAGAATCCTGATATTGCGCACGCCGGTGCCGCAAAGCACGCCCTTCCACTGGCTTCACAACACACGGAATTGCGACCCGCATTCTGACTCTGACAGCGAGTCCAAGACAAGACTGAGTGCAGTATGTCCGTACCCGGGCGATGGTCCAGAGGCCAGCTCATAGCTGCCTCGGTCTGCGCATTCCTCATCCTTTCCCTGATCGGCAGCGCCTATCGTTCTCGAGAACCGATCCGAAATTTTATATCCGACAAGTCAGTCACTGCGAGCACGAGTGCGAATATCGCCCCGTCCGGACGCGTGCTCGTCAAGGTTGGCGGCGTGCCACAGGAAGGATTTGGGTCTTCTCTGCACTTTATCAAGGATGGAATTCGCATGGCGCAGGTTCTGGGCGTCGACTTCTACCCCGTGCGGACGTTTGATTTCGACGTGTTTCAGTACAATGCCATGGATGAGCTGAATCTGGGTATTGACTCGTCCAAGAGAAACTGGAACAACATGTGCAATTTACACACGTCCATAACCAAGGTTGGAGGGCATGAGCCGTTTCCTGAGCGTGTGGTGAGACTGCGCAAGGGAGTAGAGCGGTTTATTGACGAATCAAAATACATGGCGCGAGGCGAGGAGTATGACGAGGCATTCATCCAAGAAGTGCGGCAAAATGTCGAGGGATGTGACGTGATCATCTACGCCGATCAAGACGTGCACCAGGACTGGGAATGGGACGACTGGACCCGGGCGTGGGTAGCCACCGCCATACGGCGCAATGCTGCCATCAAGCTCGCCGAGGGCAAAGCAAAACCCATTCCTCCTCGAGATGTGCACGTCCACTATCGCTGGGGCGATGTTGTCGACCTGATCCAGAAGCACCACGATGGCGGCAAGTGGAACTTCGACAACGCGAAGCTGGAACGATCGATAGCATCAGTGGAGGCGTGTCTCCGGCGCAAATTAACGTCCAATGTCTTCATCAAGCACTCGGCTGCACAAGAGTCTGACGATGAGTTGCGCCAGATCATTGCACCCATCAGACAGGATGCAAATATCATCGAGGGAGAAGACGACATTGTGGATCTCTATCATCTTTCCCAGGCCAAGATACTTGCTGTATCGGGAGGCACATATTCGAGTGCAGCGGCTGCCACTGGAAACTTTTCCTTAGTGATTCATAATGGCTGGCATGTCGCAGATTATGAGCATCTGTACATAGACGGGGTACCGCTGCTTGAACAGGGCGAGAAACTGAGCGCAGAGCAGTGTGCCCATGTACGGAGGACATTTCCGTCTTGAGCAGGTTATTGTTGGGAGGCATGTTTTCTGCAGCTTCGCGAATGGTAGTCTTGGAATCTGGTGCAAGGCGGCGAGGTCGGGGCTTCCGTTACGATAGCAGCCTTCGAAGGCTGGCTGTGCCCCTGCTTACCACAAGTGAAGGAGTCCGGTAAGCAGCTGCATGGAAGTCAACAATCGTGGCTACACCTTTTTCGCAACCAGATCATCGTGGTTCCATCACGGTCACATTCTCATCACTCGCCCAACATGAAGGCCCCGCCGTGCGGCTCAGGTGCATGGGCGACGAACCCGACCCTCGAGCCACCAGTCAGCTTGTGACACCCTCTTGCGCATTGTCAGCCGTTCTTGCGTTACTATCTCCTCCGAAGCAAGCTTCCCCGGCTTAGTGGCTGCGGGGACTTTGGTACACGAGTGCACAGGCCTCAAGAGCATGTCGAAGGGCAAGGGATATCCAAGCCTCAATTGCGGGCTGAACGATAGAGGGCAAGCAAGGGGTCGTGAGTCGGCCGTCTCTTCTACCTAATAAGTAGTCTCACAGTTCGCGGCGTGCCTTTAATGCCCTAATCTGACCTCCTGCGAGCATTAGTAAGATGCTCTTGATCCTTGCGTGTTTGATTTTGGGCGCGTCGGCGGAGTCTGGATGCGACTACAACGGCGGCGTTGTCCTGCGGTACCCCAGTACGTCCTGTCCAGAGGGCAGGTGGCCGTCCCGACTGCTTGGAGGGCGTTTCAAGGCCCGGGCCAGACATTTACGGTCGTCTAGATACCTCAATAACCGCGACATGTAGCAGCTCGATCCCATCGCAACCAGCGTCGAGTCAGAATGCCGCCCCTTGTGAGATGAGTGGCTCGGACAAGATATCGCTGGGGACATGGCTGGGAGTAGGCTTGCCCGGGACTCTGGCGGGCATGTGGGCGGCATGGGTGATGTACATTCGAAGACGCTGTTGACGAGATCCAGAAAATGTACGGAGTACTGCGGGGCAATAGTAGAACAAATGGGCGATGCTGGACCAGGCTGAGCAGTCAGGCAGAGGCATTTGTCGCTCGCCCTTCGGACAGTCTTCTCCTCTCCAGCGACAGCAACGTTCCAGCGTTAATGATGCTATCGTCGTCCGTCGCGGGATTGAAACGCCTCGGTTCAAGTCGCTCAATGCCTGTGATGGCAGTCTGACACGCTTGCTTGGAAGGTCCATCTCTTAGCTCGACAAGAGCGAAGCCTCGGTTGATGGATTTCCATTGCCGACCCCCACACTCTTTGTTTACTGTGTGACTGAGCCATCTTGAGCGTCGAACAATAAGAGACCTGGTCCTATCTTTTGTTCGCGCTCCGGCCATTACCTTGCCGGTCACACAAGTATCTTTCGCTTCTGTGCTGAATTGTTGTGCCCCCGTCCATTCCGAAGATGTCGTCGCCGCCGCCCCTCAACACCCCGCTGACCAAGCTGCTGGGGATCAAATACCCCATCATGCTGGCCGGCATGGCGCGCACGTCCGGCGGCCCACTGGCGGCAGCGGTGTCGAATGCAGGGGGGATTGGCACGATCGGCGGACTAGGATACACACCGAAGCAACTACAAGAGGTACAGTGCATAGGGCGTCTCGTATCTCTGGCAATCGGACATCCACGCTGACATGGCTGCGGCGCGGCACTTAGATCATCGACGAATTGAAGTCTCACCTGACAGACCCGTCGCTTCCCTTCGGCGTGGACCTCGCTCTCCCCCAGGTCGGCGGCTCCGCCCGCAAGACCAACCACGACTACACACACGGGCAACTCGACGAGCTGATCGAGGTGACCATCCGGAATGGGGCCAAGATCTTCGTCTCCGCCGTCGGTGTCCCCCCTGGGCGGACGATCAAGAGACTGCACGAGGCGGGCGTGTTGGTGATGAACATGGTGGGCGCGCCCAAACACGCCGAGAAGGCCTTGAAGGCCGGCGTGGATATCGTGTGCGCGCAGGGCACCGAGGGCGGCGGCCATACTGGAGACATCGCGAACAGTATCCTCATCCCCGCGGTGTGTGACGTCGCGAAGAAGTACAAGTCTCCCTTGACGGGGGAGCCCGCGCTGGTGGTCGCCGCGGGCGGCATCTATGACGGCCGCAGCCTGGCGAGTTCATTGATGCAAGGCGCCGCGGGCGTATGGGTGGGCACGAGATTCGTCGCGGCTGAGGAGTCCGGCGCGAGTAGGCTGCACAAGGAAGCCGTGGTGACTGCCGATTTCACCGACACGCTCCGCACGCTCGTCGTGTCGGGCCGGCCGCTGAGAGTCCGGGTCAACGAGTATATTGCCAAGTGGGAGGCTCAGCCGGAGAAGATCAAGGAGCTGACCGACAAGGGCGTCGTGCCTATGGCGCACGATTTGGAACACCAGGAGTCAGAGGTGGATATGCCGTTCCTGATGGGTCAGGTCAGCGGGATTATCAAGGATATCAAGCCTGCACGGGATATTGTGCATGAGATGGTCACCCAGGCGGTGGATATGCTACGCCTAGGAGCGACGTATATCGACGCAGCCGCGCCGCGGAGTAAACTATGATTGCGATGGTGACCATCCCCTGTTGGAGGCACATAGCACATCGGTATACTGTAATCTCTCCTCACGGCTTACGTTTTGGCGATTCTGTATAGAACAAGACGGATATCCAAGGTTTGTCTGGTCACTTTGTACAGCATCGCTCGCAGACGCTGCCATAGAGCCCCTGAACGGACGTGCAGAAAGACAGGCATACAATTTCCCGAGGATACAGGCAACTGCTTGATTTGCTGCTTTGCCGCCTCTAATGCTTGATACCATTGACAATAGCATTGGCCGCCGCTTTCTGCCCGTTGGCCTTTGTGGCGACCATGTCCGGCGGAGGCACCGGTCCGAAGACGGGCTTTGCGATTTCCGCCGCCAGCTCTTCTTCAGCCTCGTAGCTGGCCTCGTCGTCATCGTCATCATCCTCGTATTCTTCGTCATATTCGCTTTCGGTGCCCTCCTCGTCCACCAGGTCATGCTGCACCGGACCCCCTCGGCCTTGTTCTTGCATGGTCTTGATGATGTTGCGCATCTGCTGCTCCTGCTTCCTCAGCCGCTCCAGGTCCTCTTTGTCCCTCGTGCGCTCTTCGGCCATTTCCAGGATGTTCCTACTCGTCTGGTCGTGCTTGCGCGTGAGGGTGAGGTTGTCCTTCTCCAGCCGCTTCGTCTTCTTGGACATCTCCTCCATTTCCTTGCGGAATGTGAGGAAGAGCTCGTTGCTGTTATTGAGGGTGTCTTCCACCTGCTGCATGGTGAGTTCAAGAATTTCAGCTTGTGATATCGACAAATGAGGGTTGCGGAAAAATGGACTCACCTGCTTGAATTTCTCCACGTATATATTCAATTGACTCCTCAGTTCGGCCTCCGTGTGCGAGAAGGTCGACACCTGATTCGTGAGTGTTCGACAACGTGCCGCTTCCGTGTCTGCCCTCCGTCGCTCGATTTCATGCTTCGCTTGTAGATGTGCGATTTCTGCATCCTTGTGACGAAGTATGGCCTTGAAGTGCATTTCTCGGATCTCAGCCTGATCCGCTAATACTTTGCACCGAGTCTTGAACCTGCGAGGGAGTTAGTCCGGTCGGATGAGGAGGAACTGCGCTGCACCTACAACTCGTCTAGCTCCAGGTGCAGATTTTCCGAATGTGTTGTGTTCTTCTGGTCCATGGCCTCTTGCACGTCATAAAGCATTTGGTCCAGCCTTTCGTTGATGGTCTCGCGAGCCTGCTTCTCCGTCTCTTCCAGCTTCTTGTTGTCGTCCTTGAGCTTCTTGTTCTCCTTGGTCAGCTCCCGGCACAGCTTTTCCAGCTTGTCCTTCATGGTCGCGGTCTTGTTGTTCTCCGACTTGGACTTCTCGGCCTCTTTCTGGTACTGATCCCGACTCTTTTTGGCTTTGACGTGTTCGCGCTCCGTCTTTTTCATTTCCGCCAGGAGCTCCTCATACTTCTGTTTGATCATGTCGATCCCCTTCAGAGGCTCGACGCCACCAATCAACTCGTTGATGTCCCGAATGGCCTTTTTCACTTCCCGATCGATCTCGGCTTGCTGCGTCTTCTCGCCAGCCTTCTCCTGTTCCAATTGCGACAATCGCTGCTGGACTAGCTTTGCGTTTTCCTCCGCGCTGAGTTGCTTATCCTTTTTAGCCTTGCCTTTCTTCGCAGCCGGCGCAGGCGGGGGTAAATCGTGGGTGTCGCCATTGGTGGTTTGGGAACTAGGGCTAAGTGCAGTGGTGGCCATGTGGATGGAGTCCAGACTCGTAGGCCTTCGGATCTCGCACAAGTTTCAAATCCAGGCGGTAGTCTGCGAAACTATATCCCGAGGTCGTGGATAGAGGCGTGACCATCTGCGCAAGGACCTTCGCCGCGGTGTTAGATGGCAAAAGGCCGCAGTCGCACGTGAGTATCAGAGACAAGGAGCTGCTGACTCTACAATTTTCTCATTCCCTTGTGCGCTGTGTATTACCGACGGGACGTGGAGGGACTGGCGAGTCGAGAACGCCTGAAAGAGTCGATCGAGGTAGTTAGGTCTGGGGCGGACGATGTGCCGCGCAGATCTGGGATTTCCCTCTTTTCACGACGGCCAAGCAAATGCGCAGAGCAGCAAAAGGGACGATGAACACTGGAAGTCAACCACAGTCCTGGCCGGTGCGTTTGTTGAACGAGGATTTGATCATGAATATCTGACCATACAGTGAACCACAGACGAGACGTCTATTGCCGCTTGACGAACGCGATCGTGCAAGACAGGACTGAGCTCGGCACGTGACCCATGGATTTCTCGCCTGCGACTCATCATGACTGAGAACATTGCCCATCTTCATTGCGTATCGTCAAAGTAGACTACTGACAAACAGATTGACCTCTCCTCAGCATCTCTCCTCGGATCTCAGAATCACCTCGCACACTCGAGACGCTGTGTGTATCAGTCTAAGTCTGCGACCACAGCCAACCTGAGATGCTCAGGCATGGCGTCCGACGCTGCGCCGGACCACATCTACCTAGAAGGGGATATGCATCGGTGACGGATCTGGAGGCGTACCCTAAGTCTGGAGAAAGCATCCACGGCTTCACACTGAAACAGATCAAACATGTTCCGGAGCTACACTTGACAGCGTTGCGGTTGGAGCATGACAAGACTGGGGCAGAGTATCTGCATGTGGCGCGAGACGACAAGAACAATGTCTTTGCCATCAATTTCAAGACGAATCCTACCGATCGCACAGGCTTGCCACACATTCTTGAGCATGTCACGCTATGTGGGAGCCAGAAATACCCTGTCCGGGATCCGTTCTTCAAGATGATGCCCCGATCTCTGGCAAACTTTATGAACGCATTTACGTCCTCCGACTATACTTCATACCCCTTCGCGACGACGAACCTCCAGGATTTCCGCAACCTTTCCTCAGTCTACCTCGATGCGACCCTGCACCCGCTCCTGAAGCGCTCGGATTTCTTGCAGGAAGGATGGCGGCTTGGTCCTGAGGATCCTCGAGAGCCGGCGACAGAAGATAATGTGAAGTTCAAAGGGGTTGTTTACAACGAAATGAAGGGTCAGATGTCGGATGCGAGCTACCTCTTCTATATCAGATTCAGAGAACATCTCTTTCCCTCGCTTCATAATTCAGGTGGGGATCCCGAAGTCATGACCCAACTCACCCATGAACAACTGGTCGATTTCTCCCGGACGCACTATCATCCCAGCAATGCCAAGATATTCTCCTACGGCAGCCTCAGTCTGCCCGAGCACCTTCAGCATGTCGATGAAGCCATATCCCAATTCGAGAAGGCAGCCCCGGACTCTGATATCAAGACGCCCATCAGCTTTTCCGATGGGCCACTGTCTTTCGAGGTTTCGGGCCCTGTCGATACAATGCAGCCTCCTGATCGGCAACTCAAGTCTTCAATCACCTGGATGGGCTGTTCTTCAGCAGACATTGTAGAGACGTTCTCTGTCAGCATAATGTTGTCCTTGCTCATGAATGGCTACGGCTCGCCTCTATACCAAGGGTTGATTGAGTCAGGGTTGGGGACAACTTTCAGTCCAAATTCTGGCTATGATAGCTCTGCAGCAGTGGGAGTCTTCTCAGTCGGCCTGGATGGCATGCAGGCTGAAGATGTTGCTGGCCTGAAAGAGACTATCCAGACGATATTGCGAGAGAAGGCTCACGAAGCTTTTCAACAACACAAAATCGACGGCTACATGCATCAACTAGAACTTACCCTGAAGCACAAGACTGCCAATTTCGGCATGGGTCTCCTGGAAAAGAGTCTCGCAGGGTGGTTCAATGGCGTCAATCCCATGGACAGTCTGGCATGGAATCAGATCATCGACACCTTCAAGCAACGAATGACCGAGGAGAAGTATCTTGAACGACTGGTCGAGAAGTACCTATTGAACGACAACTGCATGCAGTTTACCATGAAACCAGACGACACGTATGGCGCCGCTCTCGAAAGCCGGGAAGAAGAGCGAAGAAAGAACATTCTTGCGGACATCAAGAGGTCCGCCAGCTCGCCGGAAGCGTCTCTTTCCGAACTTGGCCAGCAAGAACTTGAGCTTCTTGAAGAGCAAGAATCAGCTCAACATAAGAACTTGGATACCCTTCCAACCCTCCGAGTCAGTGACATCGTCCGGGAGAAAGAGAGGAAGCCGAGGTACCACTCTAAAATCGGCGATGTGGACGTCTTGTGGCGAGAGACAGAGACGAACGGCATTACATACTTCCAAGCCAAACATTTGCTTACGGACTTGCCGGAGGAGCTGAGACTTTTGATGCCTTTGTTCACTGACTCGCTCATGCGACTGGGCACTAAAACAAAGTCAGTGGGAGACCTCGAGGCTGAGATACTGCTGAGGACAGGTGGTATATCTGTCTCATCATTTGTTGCGCCGGAGCCTTGGAGCTTGGATAATTATCACGAAGGCGTCCTTCTTGATGGCTATGCCCTAGACAGGAATGTCCCTGCTATGTTCGACCTTATGTGGACCCTCCTCACAGAGATTGATTTCTCCAGCCCCAAGGCTGTCGCTGCAATCCGTGAGCTGCTGGAAGCCAGAGCCTCGGGCGCTCTTGATACTGTTGCAGAGAGTGGGCATCACTTTGCTATCACAAGTGCTTCGGCCGCCTTGACACAAAGAGGAAGACTACAAGATCAGCTCTCCGGTCTATCTCAGATTGAGTCCACAGCGAAGATACTGGATGCAGCTCGGCGTGACCCTCAGAGCCTTGAGCAGGTCATCCAGAAGCTCAAGACTATCCAGTCAATAGCAGTCGCCAATTCTTCGAAACTGTCGATGCGCATCGTCTGCGAGCCCAGTTCGGTCAAGACGAACCAGGGCCTCATTGAGGGCTTTCTAGCGCAATTGCCGCAGAACAATTCCTCGGCCGCAAACTCTACATCTTCCAATGCGGTCGCAGGTTCTTCACTTTCGAGGCGAGCATTCTTCAGCCTGCCTTTCCAGGTCTCTTACACCGGAACCTGTTTGCAAACCGCACCATACAGCTCACCGGACAAAGCACCGCTCACCGTGCTTGGTCAGCTCCTGGTTCACAATTTCATGCATCCCGAAATCAGAGAGAAGGGTGGTGCTTATGGTGCGTCAGCTAGCGCTAGTCCCATTAGTGGCCTGTTCACCATGTCTTCATACCGAGATCCCAACCCTCGGAACTCCCTGAGTGTCTTCAATCGAGCCGGGCTATATGCTCGGGACAAGGACTGGAGCGCTCGAGAACTAGAAGAAAGCAAGCTCAGCATCTTCCAGGGCATTGATGCTCCTCGGAGCGTCAGCAGTGAAGCGAGCAAAGAGTTCATGTATGGCATCACCGAAGAGATGGACCAGCAAATGAGGGAGCGCTTACTCGGAGTGACGAAAGACGATGTCCAGAGAGTTGCCCAGCAGTACCTCGTCGACCTTCCATCTGATCAGAAATCTGTGTGCGTGCTTGGAGAAAAGAAGGACTGGGTCGAGCAGGACCAGGAGCAGTGGCAAGTGAAGAGTCTCAACATGTCAGCAGAGAGCTAGACACCATCATCGGTAAGTGCCATTGACGTTGTATATTTATTCCACTCTTCAAAGGATACCCAAATATATTTGTTTAGAACTCCCTGCCTGGATTCATCCCGTGGGCACTTTTCCAAACCGCGCGACTCAGAACAGAGCAAAGACGTCTACGGCCGCAATCACTGTCCATGGCCGCAGATCACAAGTCAGGGATGCCATGGAGCAATCCGACGCGCGAGAGCAACGGATCAGGTTGTAGTCATCTGCTGCAAGCTCGGCTTCGGTTGATGCTCGCCTCAAGATGGCTACGATCTGTCCACGACATACCTATTTCAGACCTGTCTATCTTTGAGATCGAGGAATGGCAGACTAGAGGTGTGCGTACATGGTTCAGATGTCTTACTTTCAGTTCTTGATTCTGTCGCTATACTATCGACTTGTACATCGGGCTGCATGTGTTGGGGTCCCGAGGACGGTATATCTGCGAGTACCGTACCAGTGATTGACTATCCATTTATTCAATATCCCGACCCGTGCCTGGATGTTTTGCCTGCGCAGTCTTCCATGCCCACCACGCAAGTCGGAACCAATTCGGTCACACTCACGTCGTCGACTTCATAGCATTTTCGATCGGTTTCAACATGACTGAGCGATTTGCGTGTGAGTTCTCATGCGAACTCTTGCTGTGTTATCACTTCTGGCGGCCCTGAAACTTCACTTCAGCACCTCCTTATCACACTGATCACGTAACCGTATCCATATACCTTCATCATCTATCCTCGTCTCGCGACTCCCTTTCCACATTCGACTTCTCCTTTTAGCCAGTTCTTTCATCTATTATACCAGCAAGCCATCACGCGACTCGCACCTTCGCTGACCAATCTCTCAAGCCGAGGACTGATCTGATCTTTCCGGGCAGGTCTGTAACTTCGACCCCCTCTATTCAGCTCATCAATCATCGATCTTTGAACACATCTGGACTCTCACGCCAACGGCGGTGCAGTCCTAGTTCCTCACCTCAAAATTGTCAATCACAATGACACCGTCAGCGACCACAAGTGAGATTGAAACGTCAGTCTCCTGAATGCAATGCTCCTTGCCCTTTTATTTGCTCTCTTTTCAAAAAGATTCACTGACCTGACACCTTGCAGCTTCAAAATAACGCTTAAGAAGCAGCAAATGCCCGACTTTACCATCCTCTGCGGCGACTACAGCTGGAAAGTCCACAGTCATCTCTTTGACAGGCATTCTAAGGCCTTCAAGGCTATATTCCAGGTTCGTGTGGTCCCTTGGCTCAGCCCGGGAAGGAAGATAGGTCTGATCCCTGAAGACCCAGCTCGGACCCCAATCATAGCACTGTTCTGTGCTGTGCTGTTCTGTATTTGTGACCTTCAGCCTCTGATCATGTGTTTGTAGGAAGGAGCAACCAAAGAATGGACCGCGGCCGAATCACCCGTCGTCGTCGCTCACCTCATCCTCTGGGTCTACACGTCAGGGTACGGCGACCTCGCTGGGGAGGCGGACCAGACAGGCGATTTCATGCCAGCCATGACGATCGACGAGCTGATGAAGCACGGTCTTGTCCGACCGTCGTGCGCAGATGGATCGCCTGGGGTGCTGAGTCCGGTGGACGAGCTCTTCATGCCGGCGGAGAAGGAGTGGGTCCCTGACACGCTGCATGCGGCTATATACCTCCTTGCGAGCAGATACGGGATCGTCGAGTTGAAGGAGAAGGCGGCTGACGAGATCGACATCATTCTCACGGAACTCGACTGGGAGAGGACGTGTTTCATGCCCTTGCTGGGCGAGTTGTTTGGCGTCAAGAATGGTTGTGGAGTCGAGAAGAGTACGAAGACTGAGGCTGGCGATCATGATGGCAATCCTGCAGACTGCAATGGTGTCGAAGATAACCAGTGCGTCACCGATACCAAGCCGTCCGCTGTGGCTCCGGCCGTGAGAGCGGACTCGGCAGCGCCAGTCTCGCTCTGCCCGAAAAACGATGCGAAGGTGTGGAATACCCTCGCCGAGGAAGCGGCTAGTGGATTTGACGCCTACCAGCTTGACCCTGTCTTCCGGCGCGTGATGGTGAACCATCCGCACTTCAACTGGGAGGTGTCGACGAGGTTGCAGAAGAAGTTCGCCGAGACGCAGACGCAGTTGGCTAAGAAGGAAGAGCTCATCCACGGACTGGCGGTCAAGGACGCAGCGAAAGGGAAGAAGGGTCGCAAGACGAAGAAGGAGAAGGAGAAGGAGAAAACTACAGGCTAGGGATGCTGATGTAAGGGAGAGGCACACGCAAGGCGAAACAACTGAGTAGTTGTGCTGTCTCTGCGAAGCTGAATGTCACCAGACAGATGGACGTTCTTATGAGCTTGCGGTGTGCACCTGCCTTTCGTCCTTGGGCCTGAGCTGCGCGAAAGCAGAAGCAGGAGCAGAAGGGAGACATGACTTCGGAGCACGCCAAATAGCCGTCCGTTTGGAAAGGCCCACAAGGTTGGCGTTGGTTGCTTCATCGCTCGCTTACAGTTGATGCATCAAACTCGAGCTTCTGGTCCGTATGAGACCTGGGTGTACCATGTAGACCTGCGTTCTCAGCTATGCCTCGGAACGCCATGAAACGCATAATCGAGCGACAGCGACTCTATATCTTCTCATGCTGCAGGGTGTCTGCAAAACTGGAGGCCTGAAAAAGCCAGTAGGGAGCACGAGCATAGCAGCTTCGAAGAGAAGTGCTTTACACGATTGGCGAAGAGTGTATCTCGAGTCGTAAATCAGAGAGGGTCGTGGCATGATGTCGTTGGCCGGCTGGTTCTCATTTCAGCTGGAAATCGTCAAAGCCTCGTTCATGGCTTGGTCAAAAGCCTGGCCTTCCGCCCATGACATCGAGTATCGGTAAAAGGGTACTCCGTAGTTGCTAGTGCTACGCGCATTGCCAGCTCGAGGACTTTGAGTTGGCCTCGCTTTGCTCCAAAAGTGGCTTTGGATGGCCGAATTGACGAGAGCTTCCCACAAAAGCAGACGAACGCTCAAGACTGGAGCTGCGTAGAATGCGATAGGTGTTGGTGGATGTCATGGCAGTGGCATAAAGTTTTCGCCTATGCAGCTGGAGTCACGCTTGGTAGGTGCTTGGGGATGCTTCCGTGTGTATTCCTTCGATACAGTAAAGACAGGCGAAGCTCAGCGCATATAACTCAAGCCACATTTTACATTCCATCCTATATCCTGCATCGCATGGCGGACAAAGCAAGATTCAGCTCCCGCGGCTCAAGCCACTTCTCAATCCGCCTCTCGTCACGCGACGGGTCGATAGGCTTCGAGTACCGGCCCTACTGAAGCTTCGCTCAGCGGTACGTTCAGCTCACGAGCGGCACGCCTGCTATGCGGCGTCGAGGTCGAGCACCGAGTCGAAGTATATGAGTCTAGCCAGCCGGCAAAGGGATAGGCATGTTCAGAAGTTGTACGGTCCCCTTGCTCTGACTTAGGCCACAATTTCCGCTCCAACACTTCGTGGGTCTTCTCTTGTCCTTTCCTGTCTGTCCGCGTTGAAAGATGTATATCCTCAAATGCCTCCTCTCTTTGACCCTTTCGATCACGCTCGTGCTCGGGGCTTCAGTCCCGGTGAACAGAGACAAAGGTGAGGTCACCCATTTCTGACCCTTGAGGCCAACGGCTGAATGCTTTACACAGGCGCCCACAGAGCCTTCGGAGATAAAAGCCAACACACACCCAGTAATGTGACCGACGACTGTAACGCCCACGATTGCATGTTGTCGTGCCCAGTTTACGGCTATTGCAACGACGACGGCGTATGTGAATGCACATGCGATGCTGAGGGATGCGAAACCTTCTGCTACCCATGTGATGCCTACTGCATCCTTGGCGGATGTACGTGCGGTAGCAATTGTGACGGGCTGGCCAACCCAGATCCAAGCCACAGCATCTCCGTCCCAGCAGCTGCGGAAGCAGGCAACGAGCTTCTTTTCTCCAGCGCTCTGGGCTGCGACGCGGAAGACTGCAGCGAGAATTGTGCGCCAGGGTGTGATCACTGCTATTGTTTCTTGGGAGAATGCGTGTGCGACCATGCTGGCCACGAGGCCTGCGAACAAGACGCCTGCATTGCCGACTGTCCGGCAAAGTGCGATAGATGCTATTGTCAGGGCGAGGCATGTGTCCGTGACATGAGTGGCCGCGAGGAGTGTAACCCGACTGACTGCGAGGATAATTGTCCTCCTGGATGTGATGGGTGCTTCTGCGAGTTTGACACATGCACTTGCAACAGGCCGCACGAAGGCCACACTCTCGAGTTGTAATGGAAGATCCTGACGCGGAAGGTCATGATTCTCAACGAGAAATGCTAGACGAGCGAAGTTCGTAGGTAGATCCTAGCAAAGGACTTGAGAACTTGAGGACCAGGTCAGCATTCCTCATTATGAGATGTAAAAGCACGGTCCTACCAGGACTCGTATGGCATCAGCCGTCAGTAGTGTCAGCTTTTTGCCGCTGCAGCAAGTAAAGTGCGCCGCCCACCAGGTGCAAGCTCCCAGTCACCAACACTTGTAAGTTCCCATGCTTATGGCTGGCTTCGTCCGCGTACTCCAACGCCTCTTCAATTGACGGTACGTATATGGAGCTCGCAGCCGGCTGGATCGACTCCCATAAGGCAGGGTATTGTTTCGGGAGGTCTGCCAGTGAGGGATCTGGGGCTTTCAGTGTTTTATCTATCCCTTGTCAGTATATAACTAGGCCTAAAGGCAAGGCCGATGAGTTGCCTACCAAATCGAACTTCTCCGTCACGGCATTCTTGGTACGTTGTAAACACCATTTCAGCACTTCGTATGGCATTTCGCTCGAGTGCTGTCCCCAGCGCTCTCAACAACGAAAGTCCGTCTCGCTCTTCCGAAATATGTGAGAAAATAACCAAACGTCGAGGTTCTTTGGGGCCACCATCGCGGTCAAGAGAGCTCGAAGTCATCTCAGCGAACCACTCAACCGCCTGTCCTATGCTCAATTCGTTATGAGCCCCGTCGAGAAACCAGGTACATCGCGGGGTTTTGATGATCTCGAATCTGCCAGGCCATGAGAAGTTCTCGATGCCTGTTTCGATATCCTGCTCGCTTAGCCGGCTTTTGTCAATGGGGCTCTTTGCGGAGAGAAATGTGTTGACGAGCGCAATAGCCAAGGAACAGTTGATCCGCTGCACGTGCGGACGCAACGCATTTGCATGGCGAGGCAGGGAAGGGTCGACTGAAACGATCGCAAACTCGACGTTCTTTTGACTCGCCCGAGCTCGCAACACGGCTTCCACGGCCGGCGTTTGTGGCGAGGAGAAAGCAGGAGTTCCAGTCTTGAAGATACCCGCCTTGTGCCACGCCACATCCTCGATCTCGGGTCCCAGTTGTGCGAGATGGTCCAGGCCGATGGAGGTGATTCCCGTCACTACTGGTGCAGCAATAACGTTCGTGGCGTCGTATTCGCCGCCATGATGAGTCTCGAAGATTGTTGCTCGCGTCCCCTCCCGCGTAAATGTGTGGATGGCTAGCAATGCCATGAACTGCAGAAACCGGGGCTGTTTTGCGTCATCGGTGGTGACTCTATCTGGCTGTAAGAACAACCGGTCCCAGATTTCAAAGAAGTACTTGGTGAACAAATCCTCCGAGATAGGCTGCCCGTCGATCTGGATCCGCTCTCGAATGCATGTAAGATCAGGTGAGGTGTAGAGACCAATTTTGTTCGGGAACCCTGTGCGTTGACCCCGTGCTTGTAAGAGGGATCGAGCAAAGGCACAGGTGCTGCCTTTGCCTTTTGTCCCAGCGACGTGTATGATGTTCAAGGCGGCTACGTCGACGTCCTTCGAGGTTAACATGTTAGTATCATCCGCGTCGGGCAGGAATTTTAACGAAGTACCGTATAGCCTATCTTTCCGAGCCAGTCCCGCATGCCTGTTATGCTTGGTGCGCCTCTGTAAGAAGAACGAGCTCCGGTGAATATGTTTGTTGTGGAGGGAAGAGTGGGAGTGGCATCGGTGACATGTGTGGGCCTTCCATTCCTCCTTCTGGTCTTGAGGAGCGTCAATGCGTTCTGCTCTTCGTGAGCAAAAATTTGTGAAATGACCAGGCGGCAGTGGCTCACCTCATATGTTCTTTTGGAGCACATCTTGGTGAGCGCTTGAAATATGCGAAAAGATTGGTTTGTGGTCTATGGGCAGGAACTGAGGGTGGCGTAGTGGGCTCACATCTGAGCGTCGGACGCCAGAAAAGAATTGCGAAAGCAAGGGAGCCGACGAGCGGAGCAATCAGCGTATCGGACGTGAATATGAAGAACGAAACCCCAGAATCCCGATCCAATATGAAGCTTTCAACACACAGCTCAGACACTAAACTCAGCAAAGAACATAACGGGAGGGCAGCGGCCCTGCTTCGCGCATTCTCATCTTGAAACCGTCATTCATCCTTGCATACGTATTGCTTTCTTGTCAACTATCCTATGCGACAGGACGGTTTCTGTATGCCAGCCGGAGCCGGAGCACCAGGAAGCTGCTGAATGTCGGAAGAGGACTGCCAGGAGCAAGGAGTGGAGGTTGCTGGAGCAGAGACGATACCAGACCATCACCTTTGCTGGCACGTGATACTCACGCGACTAGAACATCGGACACGTGACGGACATTCTACAGTATTGCCAGCTTTCCCTCTACTGTACGGAGTAGCAATCTTGATCTCAAGCATCTAATACCTCTCGTTGTGGTAGAGCTAAGACAACGTAAGGCCGCGAAGCCAAGAGCCACACGACCTTTGACATATACATGATTCCGGCGAGGCAGTCCACATGACAGGGTCGTGATTGACATTGAGGCGGCCGCCGTGACTGAACAAAGTCCAGCGTGCCACCAAGGAGATCCGATTGTCTTTCCTATGTACACTGCTATCTGACACCAGACGCCGATGCCCATTATTAGCACCACCGAGGGAACCCGCTTCGCCAGCTCTTGGTGCAGTCATTACTTTTGTACACAGGATGTATTTCAAACCACGTGATAGGGAGGGGAAACGTCGTCAGGGTCGTGTCAAGATTAAGCGATATTCCCAGCCATGCCCTGTTGGAGTTTGGTTAGCAGACGTAGAAAAAGCAAAGTAGAGCAGGTCATGGGTGCTCCGAACTTACCAGGAAGATCGCTTGCACCGCTAGCTGCAAACTCCAGAGGCCAACCTTTTTGAACCGTCTCAACCGGGCCTGCTCGTCCGTGACATCCCTCGCAAAGGCATCGTACACCTCGGCCGACAAGTCGTCCATCAAGCCGGAGTCAAATACCGTCCAACTGCCGTCGAAATCTGAGAGCCGCTTGACAACCCTACAGTTGATTGGAATGAACGTGCGCCGCGAGTTGATATAGGCGACAATGGGCCGGATCAGTGCATTGTTGATGTACGAGAGGTCACGCGTGAACAGTGGCACCACAGCCCGAACGTCATTCAGGTGGATGCGCAAATCCATGACAAGAAATCGCTTGTCCTCGTCTCTCACTGCTTGAGCACCGGGCAAAGGTACGACGACCCCTCCAACGGCAACGGGTTCGCCCCCGGTGACATAATCATCTAGATTCTGTTGCTCGATATGTTTCTTGGAAGTAAGCGTGGCTTCCATGCGCTCGTAGAAATCGGTCATGACTTTTATGACCGAGTCGTCGCTGTCGTTGGGTATCATAATGTCGGCCACAATGTCGACATTGCCTTCGTGGATCCAGGACAAAGGTCCAGCTGCGCCGCGATTGATGTGGTCGATGTTGATCCCATCTATGCGAATGCGAGACTGCTTCTTCCAAGGCTCATTAGAAGGATGTTCCGGGTCGTTGAGTTGAACACCAGTATAGGAATGCGTCTGGCGAGGATGGATGGTGAAGAGAGACTTGTCGAACTCTCCGGTAATGCTGTTGGCAGAGAGGAAGTCGTAGAATAACCATTGTTTCCGCAACCGAGGCAAGTCTGCGTTGTAGATGCTGACCGGGAACGGCCTGAAACCCTCAGGTTGGAGTACAGTCAAAAGGAGATCCTCAATCTTGAAAGACTCAATTTCGAAGTCACCAGGGTTGTGTTCATGTCGGTATGACTTCGGATCGACCTGCTCGCCCGTCGCAAAGACATGCGTCCTATCGACAACGCCTCTCACATGTTTGACCTCGACGTTCTGTAAGGGACCTTTCGAGTTCCACCATTTGTTGAAAGACAGGGTCACATTGACCTCCCCAATGGTGATGTCAAATTGGGTGTAATTCTGCTCCTCTCTGGGAACGGGGTCTTCGGTCGAGGATGCCTGGGCAGCTGCTTCTGGCGAACCCTTGGACACGTTGGGCTTGGTTCGACCTGGGCGGCGAGAGACAAAGACGTTCTTGAACGTAATGACGCCGTCGCCCCATTTGGGTACTATGGCGGACTCAAAGACGACGTGTAAGCCCGAGGATTTGGTCAAGTAGTTCCCAATCCAGCCGGCTAGGGTCTCCTGCGCGAAGACGGTATTGATGGCCAGGATGGCCAGCGAGACGAAGGTGGTCGTACCGATGACAAACCAGATGACGTGACCCAGAGCGATCCATGAGATGAAGCCGACAATCTCATCCATGTTAAACGGCCGGCTGCTCTTGATGGTGAACCATTTGAAGTGCACCTTCAGTCGGGACCAGAAACCCGTCGCTGCTGCCAGAAGTTCTTGCTTTGTTGGGCGGTGAAATTGTGGCATGTGTAGTCTATCATAGAAGCTGCCTGGATGTGCATGGTGTTGCCCTGAACCAGCTTTAGAGGCCGCGTCTCCCACTGCCGGTTTCGATGCATGCCCTGCGCCGTCTTGTCTGGAGTGTCCATCTCTTCTCTTGTCCGATTTCTCTCCGAGAGCTCGAGTGGTACGAAGATCTCGATGCTGTATAGCACCAGGACGAGCCCGCAGACAGCTCCCAAGCTCTCCCTGGTGCGCTCGAAGCCCTAACGCCCCAGGATTGCATGTGTATGTATTTTGCACAGGAAGACAATTCGGGTGTGCGGGAATCAATCTCGATTGTGGTCGGGAGAGCCGTAGGTGCCAGCTCTGGTGCTGAGAAGCCCGCGCTCGTGAGTAAAGCGACACAGGTTGCCCTAGGCGGCCCAAGGGATTGTCGGGAGCATTGGCGGTTGATATCCGTCTGGGAACATGATATTTGAAGCTTCGGTCGACACGGCGTTGGACAACTCGTGTCGCCCGTGGCGCGATGGCAGCGATTCTCGAGACATCGCATATGCCCCGAAACAAGGCTTCAGTCATGATTGATGCGGCATGTTGCTTGGAGGATCAATCAACCTGCAGACGCCTCTGTGACAGTGATGTCGCAGACGAGGCAAAAGCATGTGCAAGATGATGCAACGGCAAAGTCGCGGTTGGCGGTGCGGAGAGTCACATCCACATCCGCATCCAGGCCACATCCTTTTTTCCACACTGCGGAGAAATTTCTTGACGACGACACGAACCTTGCCGCCAGCCACACCCATCCGGTGTACGACAGGAATACTACAGAGGCGGAGAGACAGGATGCCTGCACCAACAGCCCTGCAGCGCGCTCCCGCTGCCCTTGGAGATTCAGAACCGAACGAGATCTCACTACCAACTACCACACACGATGAAGAACAAGACCTCGACATAATGACAGAGCCAAAGCTACAACCCTCTCCTCCACAGAGACCAGCCGAACCAGACTCATCCATGGAAGTAGATGAAGAAGGCCGGTCACGCTTCCTGCCCGCCACCACCTCCTCATCTTCCCCCTCGGACCCAGCAATCCGAATCCAGTCCCGCAAGGTTCCCATCCCACCGCACCGCATGTCGCCGCTCAAGACGTCCTGGCCGAAGATCTACCCGCCTCTAGTCGAGCACCTCAAACTCCAGGTGCGCATGAACATCAAGTCCAAAGCCGTCGAACTGCGCACCTCGAAGTTCACCACCGACGCCGGCGCACTGCAGAAGGGCGAGGATTTTGTCAAGGCATTTACCTTGGGATTTGACGTCGACGACGCCATAGCGCTGCTCCGGCTCGACGATCTGTACATTGAGACGTTTGAAATCAAGGATGTCAAGACCCTGCAGGGCGAGCACTTGGGCCGCGCGATCGGGCGGATAGCAGGCAAGGACGGGAAGACCAAGTTTGCAATCGAGAATACTAGTAAGACGAGGCTTGTATTGGCTGACTCCAAGATCCACATTCTCGGTGGCTTCCAGAATATCAGGATTGCGAGGGAGGCGGTCGTGAGTTTGATCCTTGGCGCGCCGCCGGGCAAGGTTTATGGGAATTTGAGGACAGTAGCGAGTCGAATGAAGGAGAGGTTTTAGGTATTGACGCTCAGCCCTCAAAAGATTTCACGACCGAATATGAACACATGAACAAGGATCAAGGCGCGGGAAGGGTTTACGGAAAAGGCATGCGCTAGGCGTTGGCTGGCCGGGGCATCTGCGGTTGACAGCTGAGAATCGGAAGAAATGAGATAGACCGGTCTATTGATGGCCTAAGACAGACCACCTGCCTGTCCTCCAGGCGCCTCTGAGCCTGATCCTGTTTCGCCGAGCTATGCATACGGTTTTGACGGTGGATTTAGTCTCTCTTGAGGGGCGTGAACGACTCCTCGATTCCATCATTTGTTATCACCATCATCTGCAGCCCATCACCAACCTCAATATGCCGCTCCGTCGCACTCGTGAAGGCATCCTTGACCAATCCGACAACAACATCCTGGGGCAACTGCTCGATCTGCCGCTGCTGCAAATCATGTCCCTTGCCCGACGCCGGGATGTACTGGTTCTTGTAGTTGACTTGGTTGTCTAGGAAAGGCATGATCAGACTCGCCGCTGCGCCCGCTGCTCGACATTGTTCTCGCTCATAGCTTCCCACCGGATCGTATGAGTAGAGTGCTCCCTTGCCGTCTTCGTCCAACCCCCCGAGAATTGCGTGCACGTAGTAGGGGAAGAATCTCTTCTGGTATAGGATTGTAGACAGTCGCTGCGCACATGCCTTCACACTCATGGGCTTGCCGTGTTGGTATTTGTACATTTTGACGATGGCGTCGAGCCGTTCCTTCAGCGCGTTGCCGTCGGCTGCAAAGCCCACCACTGCGAGCACGATGCGGGATGCCTTTTCGTCCGAGGAATCTTCGCCGATGCGGAACAGTTTGGGCACGAACCGGGAGTTGATGTTGTAGCCCGACGTAGAACGCGTGTCGCCTGCCAGAATGGCAAAGTCGGCGCCCGTGATGCCTAACGTCGAGCCGCCATTGTCCGTGTATCTGTGCCGGTTAGTTCCTGAGCTTAAGGCTGGCGAGTGGTGAGCACTCACGGATAGAAGGCATGTTGTCTGGTTCCTGCCGCTTGGAGTGGTCCAGCAGCTGCATTGGAGAACGAGTAGCCCGGCTGATCAGATGCGATAGGACCCGCATTCATTAAAGAAGCCATTGTGATACTGGGTGGACGGTATCTTAGGAATGGACGAGCGATGAGCTTGGAATTGTGAATGTCTCTTACGAAAGTACGAGTACGCAACTGCTCAGCCTAGATGTGATGGCGCGCAGCTGTGGCTAGTGTCACCTGCCCAGCCACATCCCGCTGCGCCACAGGTACCCGCCTCGTTTCCTCGACCTTGAATCACCATTCAAGCCGAGCTCATCTGGGGCATCATCCTGCCATTCTTCCAGCGCTCATAATGAGTGGCCTGGGTCTTGTTGGCTATGGAAGCAGTGACAGCGATGATGAGCCACCTACCAGAGGACCCGGGCCCTTGCGAGCTTCTTCGAATAATGTCGCCGAAGACCGAAAACTTGCAGCTAATGGCACAACCAAAACAAGAGAGGTTGATACAGCGGAAAACGGCCATGAAGCGGCTGCCAAAGACATAGATGACGATGGGCCGATGGTAGGTCCGACGATGCCCGAACAATTTGACGACCATGAGCAAGAACAGCCATTTGAGCCTGAACGACGAATGTCCGAACGGGAGACTATTCATCATCTCACACAGGCGACTCATCCCATAACGTCCATACCACCGTCGCCACCCAGTTCCCCTGATCCAGCACTCAATGCGAAATTCAGGCGATTCTTGGAACTCAAGGCGAAGGAAGTTCACTTCAACGAGGATCTGGCAAATAAGTCAACCTTCAGAAATCCAGGCATCCTGGCTACCATGATTAGTCGAGCAGGTCTAGAAGAGCGGGATCAGTACAGAACCTCTCTGCCGGTAGAGATCTTCAATCCCGGGGGATTTCCCGCCACTGCGTACAAGGAAGAACTTCTCCGCAACCAACAGAGTCTGAGAGAACAAGAACAGGCCACCAAGAAGACACTTTCGGCTGCCGGAAAGAGAACCATCGAGTTCGCTTCCGCCGGGACTTCTGCCACCTCCAGTCGAGAGTCGACGGCGGAACTACCAAACAAGCGGAAACGGCCTTGATGGCATGTTTGACGTGTGCCCATTAGACCTTGATGAAGGGCTAAAACGATCCGAGATGGTGTGGAAGACCCATATCAGAGGGTGGGAGAGATCAGGGCAACTCGTCGTTGGGCTGTCTGCCTAGTTCCGAGGTCTCTTGTTCTCAACGCCGCAACGTGCTTCTGCCTACGAAGATGGCCTCTCCTTCCCGAGACCATTCCGAACTGGTCGCTGTTGATGACAAGCGTGAGTCTCAGGGAGGGTTTCTGAGATGCTGGCTTTGGAGTGCCACCCCAGACAGCTCGTACGAGCACACCCTCATTTCTGGATGATAGTCAGCGGAAGCCACGTAGCAAAGATAAAGAATCAGCAAGACGATGTTTTCAGACAGCTGAATGGCTACGCGTAGATCTGGTCGGTGGAAGAGGGTGTTCGTGATGGGCATGGAACCCGTGGGGACAAAGATGATTGGATCGAGGCAAGGACCGGAGGAGGCCAATCATAGGGAAGGACTCGGCTCGTCTATGTGTTCATCCAGCTGAAACGTCGCGTCGGTACCTGATAGAGGGGTTGCTCGGACAGTCCGGTATACAGAAAAAGGCGCATCACGGCACGAGTAAGCTCCAAGTCGTCGATGTGAGTGTGACGGGGGCCATATTGCTCTCTGTCGACTCTGTCAGGCAGGGGAAAGGAGACACTTTCGTGGTTCTGCATTCTGCATCAATAATCCTCGTAATCTTCGCTTCGCTTGTCGGATTTTCAGGGTCCAGAATCTTATTGACGGTGGAAGGACGAGCTCGATAGCCAAACGCAGCCTGGGGTGGCGGCCCCAGCTGCCTAAGCTGCAGCTCTAGGCGGCTGTTAGGCGTGGCCCTAACCCCATTAGCAGCGAGGAGGACCTCCTGTCTGTGAGCCGAGCACGTCTGTTTCATCCGCTGCGGCAAGTGTTTGACAATTTGACGGGACGCACCTCTGGCAGACGAGACGGTCCGGTCTCCTTGCAGATGAAGGATCAGATGCTGGCTCGTGCAAAAACCCGAGTCAGCGCACTGACAAATTGTCAAGGCTCGAGAAGATCATAATATGTTGCTTCGGACACGTTTCGAGCGCGACGGCTGGTGACGGCGAGACCTTCGTACAGTGAGGTGTACCTACTTCGAACGTACTATCTCGTAGGCTTACGCTAGGTTCGTTAGTAGAAGCTTGTGGAGGCTGATTGCGTCTTTCTGGAGGACTTGCCAAACGAGTGGGAGCCAGTTGGACGCTCGCACTGGGCCTCTACCAGGTACCCTGACATCCACCACAACCCTCACACGCCTCACAGCATCCTCAGAGCACCATCCTTGACACCAATCACCTGCATATCGACGGCTTCCCGGCGCTTAACTGCCACACCAGAACCTGCACCTTACTCGACCTGCTGTAGGGAGCACGAGCGAATTGAGGCTTCTCCGTTGGAGCTGTGACTTTCTGGCGCCGCTGTCAACTCCTCTTCACGCTTCTTCGCGCAGCTGGCCTGTCAGCGGGCTCCAAGTGTTTCTCCCCTGTCGCTGTACCAATAATGGCTGGAAGTTAAACACGCCGATTCCAGATGCAGCCTGATCGAGTTGACCGAAATGTCCGAATTGACCGGCGACACACTTTCCCCTCTGTCTTCCCAGGATCGCCTGGCCAAAACAGCCGCCGCTGTTTCGACTTCACCGCTGGCCGGTCCTCACCCGTACATTCTAGCCTCTCGCAAGCAGCAGAACCCCTCGGTGCTACAGGCTGGCCTAATTCCTCGAGACTACCTGAGCAGGCTCTCCAGCTCAAGGTCAACTTCGGGCCCACCATCCAGGGTTTCAGAAGAAAATAATCTATACGGGCAGATACCAGCAACAACTAATGAGTCGGGGAAAGGGTCGGCCGAATATACAGCAGAGGACGGGACTCTCTTGACGCGTGAGCAGCGCAACAACAGCGGTGGTGCGCGAGCTGAACCAGACGCTGCGCCCAGCCACAGAAAATCAAACATCATATCCCGCTCGCAGACTCAAAAGGACCAAGGGCCCAACTCATTATCAGATTCGCCGAAGTCTTACGGCTCGCTGACGTCCAACACCAGCGGGCAGCAACCCGACAACATGCCGCGGACGTCGTCGATCGATTCCGCCATCTCCAGCATCTCAAATCCCTCGCAACTGGGAAGAAGTGCAGGCGAGGGCAAAGAACCGACGCGAGAGGAGGTCCTCACCCTCATTGCTACGGCTGGTTCGGCAGAGAATCTGATACAGCACCTCCTGAGGGACAAGAATCATGCCGCTGCTCAGAATGCGCAGTTGTGGAAACTCGTGGACAAGCAGCGCGCACTCTTAATAGGCCTGAACAAGGACTTGGAGCGGCTAACAAAGGAAAGAGATCGGTACAGGAAGAAAGTGAAAGAGGCCCAGGCTCAACCTCCAGCTGCACAAGTCGACCGCCTACGGACGGAAGGAGGATACTCACCCCAATCTGATGGGGAGCCTTCGGGTACATTCCAGGGGCCGACGTCGGTGGCAGGGTCAGGTCTGAAGCTGAGGCAAGATGCGCAGACTCCCAGCAAGACTGCCGAGACCGATGTCAATGTGCAGAGCTCGCCAGTCGACCCTGCCATGCTGCCATCACCTCTCCATTTACAACAACAGGCGCCTAAGGTGCAGAGCCTTGCAACACATCTCGCCCAACCCAGCTTTGCGATTACCGAACCAACTCCGCTTTCAGAGAAGCCTTCCAAGTCGTTCCAGGCTTCCAGAAAGGCACCACCAAGACCACTGGATCTCCGTCCGGCGAAGGATGAAGCACACGATCATCAGATTGTTGTACCAGCCGAGGTAGTAGTGAGTGGAGACGAAGACGAGGACAAAGTGCCTATTCAGCGAGGTCGGCGGAAGACTCGAGAAGAAGATGATCGAGACCGAGAGCTGCTTGCACTCAAGGAGCAAGAGGCAAGGAGTCGGTCGAAGAGAGACAAAAAGACAAAGGCAGACGAAGCAGATGTGACCACAGTTGAGCAGCTGCCTCTTCCACCCGCTGCTGCCGAAGTCACCCAGACTTTACCTCCGCGTCAAGATCACCTGTCGCCGTCATCCGTCACATCAGGTTCTGTGGCTTCATCCACTCAACCTCTACGAAGCCCCGGTCTTCCCATGAGCCCTCGGCCGTTGATCGGATCTGCACTACCCATGTCTCCACGTCTACATGGTGGTAACTTCCCTCTTTCTCCCCGTGCGCCGAAGATGCCTCTTCCGATGCCAACAACTCCTGGCACTCAGGCACCTGCTCCACAGCACCAGTCACAAGCAGGTGCTTCCGAGGCACAGAAGAAGGTCGGTCCTTCAACACTATCTAAGATGAACACCACTGCAAGCGCCGAGTCAGATCGCAGCCAGGTTCACGAGTCGCCTTTGAGCCCTGGCGAGGCACCAGCAGTCAGCCGCAGACTTGCCGATCCTAGCTGGCCGGACCTCCTATTACCTCCAAATGCCCTGCCCTCCATCCAGGTCAAGGTAGCCTCTTCTCGCCTACGACCCTCCAGAAACAGCATGCTTGGGCTGAGGACCCAGGAAGAGAATGCATCATTCAGCCTGTCAGTTTTCGAACGTGCAACCTCATCCGAACTCTGGCGGGTTGAAAAGTATCCGAGCTCGCTTGCAAATCTCGAACAACAGCTGAGGCCCCGGTGTGGGGATTTGCCAAAACTGCCCGACCGCAAATTCTTCGTGGGTCACGCCCCAGCAATGGTTGACGCGCGAAGAAGTTCGATCGACGCCTACTTCGACGATCTCCTGGACACTCCCATGGACGAGAAAGCCGCCGCAATCATTTGCCGATTCCTCTCGACGGAGGTCATGGAGCCGCAAGCCACTCTGCCTTCGCAGAATCGTGAAGACGCACAGCCGAAACCCAGTCAAGAATTCCACTCAGGTATTCCCACCAAATCGGGCTACCTGACCAAAAAGGGCAAGAATTTCGGAGGATGGAAGTCGCGATACTTCGTCCTGGACAGCCCAGAATTGCGATATTTTGAAGCTCCTGGCGGTGCGCACCTCGGGACCATTAAGCTGCTCCATGCCCGCATCGGCCGGCAGACGCAATCTGACCCAGCAGTACATGCAGAGGTCGAATCCGAGAACCAGTTTCGTCATGCCTTTCTCATCCTTGAGCCCAAACGCAAAGACCTGAACAGCCATGTTCGCCACGTGCTTTGTGCCGAGAGCGATGCAGAGCGGGACGAGTGGGTAGAAACGTTACTGCACTACATCGATGAGAAGCCGGTCGATCCTAAGTCACAGTATGGAGCTGGCATCCAGGCATCACAAACGAAAGAGGCTAGGAACGGTCCAAAGCTCGGATATGAGGAGGGTGAGTCGCGATCCAACGGCAGCCCGCAGACGCATATGGACACACCGTCTCCGTCCAATGCCTCCAGCCACACTCCAGAGCTTTTTCCAGAGCCAATACCGGCCTCCAAGCCTTTCAATATCTCGGGTCCCATGAACGGCTCGGTGATCTCAGATGCTGGGAGCTGGGGCAACAAGTCCACAGGGAGCAGCAATAGCAAAGAGCGAGAGCAAAAGAAGCGCAATCTCTTCCATTTCAGGAGACCTTCGTATGAACAACTGGCCCCTGTGCAACCAGCCCAGCCCAAGCGTCCCGAGCTCAATGCCCATCGGGGCGGGCACGTCCGGCCAGTGTTTGGGATGCAGTTACAAGAGGCGGTAGAGTACTACTCACCAGTGGACGTTGATGTCTATCTTCCTGCCGTGGTGTACCGCTGTATCGAATTTCTCCGGGCCAAGAATGCTACAAATGAGGAAGGCCTGTTCCGACTGAGCGGATCAAACATCGTCATTCGCCTGTTGAAGGATCGCTTCAACATGGAAGGTGATGTCGATCTGCTGACGGAGGACGAGGATTACGACATCAACGCCGTTGCCTCGCTGCTGAAGACGTATCTCCGAGAACTGCCCTCGACCATCCTCACCCGGGAGTTGCATCTCGAGTTTCTCAAGGGCCTGGAATTAGCGGACAAGCCACAAAAGATATCCACATTCAACACTTTGGTGCACCAATTGCCATCGGCCAATTTCTCCCTCTTGCGGACCCTCTCACAGTATCTGCTCGAGGTGGTCCAAAATGCCGAACGAAACAAAATGACAATTAAGAATGTGGGCATTGTGTTCTCGCCCACGCTCAATATTCCAGCACCGTTATTTGCCATGTTCCTGACAGATTTCGATGCAATCTTCGATAAGCCTGTCGAGCGGGACTCAGTCCGGTCGATCGACGTGGAGCGTGAGGAGGGCACTCTTACTCCCGAAGACATTCGATCTCCCCGTCGACAGATGTTTAGCGACTTACCGACGCCGATGTATAATCAAGACAGCTTTGCTCAGAACGCAAGGGTTGCGCCCAATGCCAAAGCAGTCGGGAGGCCGTCCGATCACCCGCTTGACCCCGCCACGGATCTCGGCTTCGCACCGATACAGTCATCGTACGAGTCCCGACAGTATGTCTCGATCCCGCATGAGATGCCCATGGCACCGCCGAGATACCCACCTCCGCAGCCTCCGCAACAGCAAGGAGGAACTACTCAATACGGAGGGTCGAACAACATGTTGGCCCCCGACAATGCGACCACCACTAAGGCCAGGCGCCGTGAGAGCTCGATGTTGTTCTTGTAAAGGCGTGTTCAGGAATCGTATGGCGGCCAATTGGTCGCATAGACCCGGTTGCTGTGCTGTGTTTATTTTCACTTCACAATACCCCATTTGCTTGCAGGCCTACTCGTTTTGTGTCTCTTGGAAAGATCTACTCTCAGTGCGAGCATCTGAGGCGTGGATCTGGTTCCCGTGTACGATCTTTGCGCAGTGGGAAGGGAAAGCTCGGGATTTTTCGTACTTCATCCGCCACCACTTAATGAAGTGCTATCGTGGAACTTCGGGATCTTTGGAAAAATGGTCAAAGGAACTAGACGACGGGATGAAAGAGGCGAGGAGCTCTGGGTCATAGGTGGCGGGAAGCGGAAAGGCTGAGACAGGCCTTGTGGATGCCAGGGCTGAAGGATGAGCGTCCGAAGATGACTAAAGCCAGAATTATGTCCCATGTTGCTCGTGCGATTGCTGCTTAGGGCTCTTGCCTCCCCACTCCGCGGTGCTTCCTCCGATCGCTGTGTCGTTCCTCTCGTGTTCCAGTCTCGCAGTGAATTTGTGACGGCAGTGAACGGTCACTGGCCTTCTCATCTGCCACCATAGACTTTGAGTGGTTGGCAACGATCCAAGCGCTAATAGATTTCATAAGCCCTTGCAGAGTACTCCGTAGATGCTAGTTCTCGGAATCGCTCGAGGAATGTCCGATTACTGGAAGCAGCAACAACGACAGGAGGGTCTGACAAGTGGCCGCCGTGTAGGAGCAGGCACCCGGTGCTAGTGCAGCGTTAGGGGGGTTACGCGAGGTGGTCAACGTCCAGATTTACGAGTACAGACTCGTACAAACTCTCCGGGTACGATGGTCGCGCTGTGAGGGCGCCGTGTTAGTGCTGGCTAGGGTGCAGTATGTAGGGCTGGCTCCCGGTCCAACGCTCCCTATCGATTTACCCCGTTGGCCGGTCTCCCGCTATTATACGGTCACTTATACCGCATTTGCGCACACGACCTTCGCATCAGGTTCAGTCTCGATTCATTGTTGTTTCGTTACTCCGTACACCAATCATACTATGTAATCATCAAGTCCCACAGCAGAGCGGAGTGCGTCGAGTCCAGTTGCCTACCGCGATGATTAAGTCGACGGACTCCTGTCAGCAACGCCAGATCTTCATCCACCCAAAGTCAAAAGTCACGATCGTCTTCACAAAAGTCAGCACCCTCCCCTGTCAGCAGCCCCACTGGAGAGAGCCAAACTGGGACTCCGGCACAGATGGCAACTTCTCATTGGGAACATCCTGGCATACTCCCTGCGTTAGCGAGACCAGGCAGCCCCTGACAATCAGCCTCCACAGCCAGCCTTACGGCCACCACGCGTCTTAGCCCCGACGTCGAGGCAGTCGACCGTAGCCGTTTGCGTTATTGTGCGACGAGTCAATGCGCCCCTGGTTGATCGCACAGTAAACAATGGCACCGAGACTGTGACCATTGCCACGCCACGACGCCTATCACAACATACGCTGCAGTCAGATTCCACTTGTGACCGGACACCAAGTCGACGCGAGTTGCTCCCCGCCTTATTCGCGGTAGACTGTTTTTGATTTCTGTTTAGTGCAGAGACCCGCCCATCGAATCAGCATGGATCTCGGCCGTGGACGCCTGAATTGGATTACCATGGCTGGCTTCCTCCGCTGACAGCCAAGCCCGGGCGGGTTCGAGCAAGCATTTTGAGAGGGAAAATCACCGTGCGCAAGCATTGACGGTCCAAGGCTTGACTGGCTTCACTGTCCGTAGCGCGCGAGGTACGCCTCCTGCAGCAACATGTGCGCTTGGACAAACTCAAAGTCGACCCACGTTCACCGACCTTTCCCGGCTCTAGGTTCAGCGCTTGCCGGAAAGGAACATGCCCATTTGGAACACGATCATGGGGTTGCAACACGCTATTGGTTCTGGCAAGGGTAAGCGAATCTAGCCTCGCTAAGAAGAGGCTTGTATACTGCGCGCTCCGGAGACGTTCGACTAACAAGCCCCCCGGTTGTTTATTATTGACTGCAGTGGGTGTGACACGAACCACGAATATTTGAAGGCACTGGAGCCCGTCCCTTCTTTCCAGTCCTGTTTTCCCTTCTCGGTACTCGGTTTCAATCGTTCCTGCCTTGGACGGTGCTGCGCCTGATACCTCTGGCTTCTCGTTCAGGTCACTGCGGTTCTCTCTCCAGTATTACCATCATGGCCGACGAACCTCCCACAGCTGCCCCTGCTAAAGATGCGCCCGAGACTAAGCCCGCTCATCTAGTACAAGACACCGAGAGATCGGTGGCTCCATCCCTCTCTAGCGGAGAGCACAACAATGAAAAGGGCGATGCTCCAGCCAATGCAGCCCTCGATCTCGATCGCATTGGTGAAACCGAGGGGTACTTGCTCGATGAGGCGGCCGTCCGCGAGAGATACAACATTGCACCCGAGGTTGCCCTCAAAACGTCCAAGAACGGCAAGCTTTTGATCCCTCAACCTACCAACGACCCAGAGGACCCTCTGAACTGGACTCGATGGAAGAAGGCCGCTATCTTACTGGTCATCGGTGTCAATGCCGCCACCTCGGACTACTCTGCCGCGACAGGTGCCAGCGCTCTCATCCCCCAGGCAGAGCAGTGGCATATCAGCCCCAACACGGTCAACCATGCCACTGCTGGAAACACGTTCTGTCTTGGGGTGGGTGGCATCTTCACCATTTGGCTATCAGCCTGGATTGGTCGTCTTCCCGTCCTCTTCTGGTTTGGCTGTCTCTCGGCCGGTACAGCAGCCTGGTCTGCGGCAGCCCAGTCTTTCGAGTCATATATGGCATCTCGCATTTTGAACGGCATCTTCGCCGTTGCTGGAGCTGGAGGTGGTCTCATGTGGATCAAGGATGTTTGGTTCTTTCACGAGCATGCGCGGAAAATCAACATATGGAGTACAGCCATAATCCTGTCACCCTTCCTCGGACCTCAATTCATGGCGGCGATCCTCAGTACATCTACCTGGAGGACTGGCATGTGGTTGAACTTTGGAATCATTGCAGTGAGTCGACTTCCATGTGTTCTCTTCATATCTCAAGGCTAACGACAATTCAGCTCGGCCTAGTATTGACGATCGCTTTGGGAGACGAGACGTTCTATCCGCGCCATCTGATGCCTGATCGCATCCCGAAGCGGCAAAACCGCCTTCTCCGACTCATTGGCGTCGAACAGTATAAGCAAAAGTATACCACCAACACCTTTCTCGAGGCTGGTAGTCGGTTGTGGTATGCAGTGTTGAAACTGCCTGTCTTCTTGACTTGCCTGTTTTATTTCTTCGACTGTAGGTACCCCTGCTTCGTTGTCCCTCCTGATGCTGATGGTCGATTTTAGTTCCGTGGACAATTGGGACAAATACTACTATCGGGCTGTTCATCCTCCCAGCCTACAGCTTCGACTTCCGCAATCTTGCAGCTCTTTACGTGGCCCCAGTCGTGGGTGCTGTCCTCGGTCTTATAGTCGGACATTTCCTGTTCGGCCTCATCGAGAAGGTCTGGGCAAGGTACCACAATGGTGTGATTGCGCCCGAGAACAGACTGGTCATCATTTGGCTCGTCCTGCCCCTCAAGCTCGTCGGATACAACCTGATCGGCGCGACCTTGCAAAACGCGAGGACGTGGAGTTTCTATGTGTTGGCAGTGGGGTGGGCCCTCCACAACTTTGCGACCATAATCACAACGGCTGCCGTTGGCGCATACTTGCTGGACGCGTATCCCGAAGCTGCTGGCGAGTCCGCAGCCCTGATCAACTTCGCCCGAACCCTTGGCGGATTCATCGTGGGGTATGTTGTGGCCAGTTATCCCCATGGTGTACGACCCCGTTCGCTGACTTCCTTTCCTGGCAGATATATTCAAATCAACTGGGTCAGCTCCGCCGGTGCACAGACCGCGTACGGCATCCAGACGGGGATCATGGGCGCCGCCTTCTTCATCGTCGTGTTCCTGCAATTCTTTGGCGCGAGGCTGAGACACGCCCAAGGCCCCTTGAAGTTCAAGACTTATTAGGTGCAGGACAGTATCTATGTGGTACTTGGGCAGTAACGTGAGGGCGGATACTGAGTACCAGATACCGAATACCTGCTGCCTGCTTTCGCGAGTCAGTGTCCTGTTCATACGGTGCTACGGCTTTCGATATTAGTGAACTCGATACCTCAGCAGCGAGTCCTGTTACTGTATAGTTAGCAGATACATTTATAGTGAGACAGAATAATACAATACTTCTGTACGACTTATGCTAGTTGGTGCTGAGACTCTTCCGATGACTTTGAGATTCGGTCGTACTGGAGAGGAAGAATCGTAGTATGAGTGTGTGTGCGTGCGTGTGTGTGTGTGTTAGTTAGATAAGTGGTCTCGGAGACATGCTGGCTGTAACGGCGAGGATGGAATATCAACACGAAGTACCTCGATAAACAAGGACACTATATATAGGTAGGCGGACTGGGAGGGGTGCTGGCTGTAACGGCGAAGAGACAGTATTAATACAGCGTATTTCAATGAATAAGCACCTACACCACACTTAGACGCGGGCGGACTCGGAGAGCTCAAACAGCTGCCATGGCCACGGCGTATGCTAAGCGGACACGGCCACAGTATTCTGGAACAACTCGAAATGACTCGGCGGACGACTGAGGCAACTCAAAGCCGTGGACATGCTCCGTTGGTACCGTATGACGGATTACAGTATATGGCTCTGGCACTCTTCCTAGCATACCTCCCCGATTACACGCCTTGCTCCCCTGAAACTGCAGCCTCGTGCCTTCTCGTCGAACATAAGTCGTGTTCGCGTGGGCCGGCAAGGCTGCTCCGAACCAACTACCTACTGTAGGTAAGGTGAACTGTAGGAACAGTACTCCGTATATCGGTCCGATCCCTCGCTGTACTGGCACCACTCATACACACTAACTCTGATCACCCAGTACTCTACCGCACGTTTTCTATAATATATAGGGATCGTTGGACTGGGAGCGTGTCCTACCACAGGACGGAGTACGCTACACTGTACTGTACTCTATCCGGCACCAACCTCGCCCCGCATGCTACTGCACTCGCCCCGCATGCTACTGCACTCGCCTACCCCGTCTTATGCGGCGCGACCATCGTACCCCGGTACAGTAGTTTGTCTGCTGGCACCACTCATATACTAACTCTGATCTGCAAGTCTCTGGAGCGCGCTTGTCACACCACAATGCCTACTACAGCAGGTGACCTGCCAGCTACAGCTACGGTAGACCTGTGGGCTGGTTCATGAGGCATGTATCTCATTGCTGCCGTCTTTGGCTCAAGCAGGACGTAGCTCAATCCTACACAGCATGGTATCGCATCAGCTGCAAAGTGGACAACTAGATTCATGCTCGTGCTCTCCTTTCCTTATTGTAGGTGATGCCCGATGAGGAGAGTAGGAACGCCAAACCTCCATGCAGCAAGATCATCCACCTGCTCCTGTGTCCCGTACAAACTTCTCCCCGAGAACCACTGATATAACGCCATGTAACTTCCTTGGAATGTGGCGCCAGCTACGCGACGAGTCCATAGTCTGACCCTTCATGATCGTGCTGCCACGAGCGGGTATCATTCCTCTGTCCAAAACATTCTGAGGCACCATAGAAGCACGACCGTCTCTTGCGATGTTGTGCGTCTCGAAAACTTGGACCAGCTGACAGTTCACGTCGCCATCCATAAATATAGACGCCATAATGTGCCGCAGTTGGTCAACTGCAACTTCTGTACAGATCCACCGCCGTTGGTGACGCCGTCTCACTCCGGAAAAACACAAAACAAAAAGGTATAGAGTAATTACATGCCGGGAGTTCTGCCCACTTGAGAAGCGGACCGAGTCTTCAACCCGAGAAGTTGGAATGTACGCCGGTGTACGCCGGTATACGCCGAATGCTGGCTGCAAAAACGCCATCTGAGGCCGTGTCGTAGGGTTGATTCGGACGAACCCGCCCAAGACGTATATTCATCATGTCGTCGCTCAATGTATAAGTCATGCCCGTGGTGGTGTGGCAGCGGCAGTAGTTGAAGGGGTCCCGCTTCGGTGAGAGATCGGTGGTGATGCTCTGCTCGGCGAGGCGATAGCAGGTGCTGAGGCACGTTTCTGAATCACCTGAAGCTTCTTCCGGATGATCGCGAGCCGTTGCCGGATACTGGCGACCACTGCATACGTGTTAGCCTTCGGAGTCTGTAGACAGAACACATGCAGGAGATACTTACAGTTCTTAACAGTCCGCCTATCCTCGGCTTCCAGGCCATTGATCGGAGCCAGATCCTCTTTCTCGTCCTGATCGCTTATGCCACTGCCTTGGCTCGAAAGATTATCATCGTCACTCTCCAGAACAGCCTCCAACATACGAATCGCCGTGACATATGAGATTTCACATCCGGCCAAGTCTTCATTCGTCAATTCGTTGATCGCCGCTGCTCGACTCATCTCAAGCGCTCGGTCATACATCAGCTTCTCCGCAGTAATGCCCGAGCTGACAACAACGTGATCTGCGGACGTGCCCAGTCCTGCGCTGGAGGCAGAAGTGGATGAGATGTTGTTCGGATGGCTGGGATGGTCCTCGGGGAGACGTCGCTGGTTATCGATGAGCTTGAGTCGGACGAGATCTGCCTTTTCAAGAACTTCATTAAAGCGATTTCGGATCCATTGCACGACGTTGTTCATTCTCTGCCCCGTGGCCGCTGAGTTGGGGCTTGTTCGATATGTGGGATCGCCAGGTGCATCGGCACGATTTTTACGAGCCCACCAGCGTGCTGCAGTATCCATGCCCTTAGCTAGAAGTGCCAACGCTTTGACATAAAGGACAAGCGCCTCCTCTGCCACAATGACTGTCGCTTCAATGGTGAGGTCCTCATTCGAGGCTGCAAACGGCCCATCAGCGACGTTGTCGCCAGAGGCATTGCGCAAGCCCAGACCTGGTTGGGAGGGGCCGGCAGGAATCAGTTGCTTGTACTTGACTTCGGCAAACCCATAGACAACGTCGCTCCTGGTCGCAATCTCTTCAACGGTCTGGATGTATCTGCTGTCTTCATCGCCAGCCGGTGCTCCTTTAGAGTCACCAACCACGACCAGGCTGCTTTGCGTCCCGGGATATGTCGGGAACGGATTGTACGTAATCGGAGGAGATTTGCCACCGCGGATCAAGTTGACGGGAGGAGAGAATCCTACGCCGAAAAGCCGACCGCTAGCCATATTCAAGGCTTTTGAGATAGCCGAAGTCGCTGATCCGGGGCTTGGTCCATAGCGTCTCTCGTAAGAGTTCTGACGCTGGTGCATCGAGTCCGGTCTTCTCCCAGAAGCGATCTGGACCGCACGAGAAGCACTGGTCTGTGCACCAGTGACAGAGCCAGGGGCACCTTGCGTCGTAGCTCTCCGGACCATGGCACCGGATTTGGGAGACATGGCAGTCTGGATGTTTCTGTTCAGTCGAGGACTAGCCTCCAGCTCGTCAGCCAAGGCGTTGACCTCCACAGCCTTCTTTTCCACAAGAACATAGTCGCGCTCGAATGCAATATCTTGAGCGACGCGTTCTCTCTCACTCTCTTCTTGCTGCTTCCGCAGGGCCGCTTCCTGGGCTGTATTGTAGACTTGATCGCGCAATGAGGAAGGCGGCAGCTTGTGCGAGCCGGCGCTGCTCTGACGCGCCATTGGAGTTGAGGATGGGCGACCCACCAATTCTTGTCTCCCTGGCGCGGTGGCGTGAGGATGCAGAGCAGGGCGAGTCTCAACAGGGCTGGATCCCGACTCCAGGGCCGCCTGCAGCTCGTCGACGGCAACTCTCTGCGTCGCTATAGGTTCCCTTGGGCCAGATGATGGACGACTCGTCGAATAACGTCTTGATAAATTGTCTTCAGACGCGGTCTTTGATGACTCGAGATAAGGACTTTCTGGTTCTTTCCTGGAGCCAGGACGAGCCAAACCAATCGGTTCTGTTCGACTGTTACGCCGTCGGCTGCTCTCCAATAGTGCCGGCTCTGGGGGCACATCCTCGGGGTGGAGACCCGGGATAGGGCCTGACACCACCTCGTTGCTGAAGAAGTCAGGAAATGTCATTCTCTCGTCTGGATCCCTCTTAAGGAGCAGTCGAATGAGCTTTTTCATTTCCTCGGAGATGATGTATTCGTCTCCAAACTTGATCTTATCCTCACTCTTCTCAATTTTCCGAAGCAGTTCGACATGGTTCGAAGCTCGAAACGGCGGGCGTGCAGTCATCATCTCAAAAAGCACGGTTCCCACAGACCAGAGATCGGCCTTTGCACCGTATTTCTCGTACCGTAGAATCTCGGGTGCCATGTACAGGGGCGAGCCACACAGGGTCTCAGCAAGGGCTGTCGAAGGCAGCGACCGAGCAAAGCCAAAGTCTGCAATCTTCAGCATAGGCAGCGATTTGATGCCGGTCACCGGCTCTAACGAGTCGTCGCCGACTTTGTAGGGCATAGGGTTCGGCTTGTGCTTCTCGAAGTACTCGGGTGAAGGGTTGAGCAGTAGGTTTTGTGGCTTGACGTCTCGGTGGATGAGGTTCTTAGCACGGAGAAACTGTAAAGCACTAGCGAGTTGCTTCAAGAAATGCCGGACAACCACCTCGTGAAGACCGCCGTATCTCGGATTGGGATATTTGAGCATCATATTGCCCACCAGATCACTGTCCTTGATCTCATTTCGCCTCTTGATGAAGTGTGACAGATCGCCGAGAGCAACGTATTCCATGATCAGGTGGATGTGGGAGCTCGATTCCTTGCAGTCGATGAGGGCGACGATGTGAGGATGATGTAGGCCCTTGAGGATGGAAATCTCCGAAGTCAGGTTGTCCTTGAGTTTCTTGTTCAACTTGGACATGTTGACGGATTTGATTGCCACGATGCTCTGAGTGCCGGACGTGCTCTGTGAAGTTGTCAGTGCGTCTTCGAGAATTGGTGGCACGCCGTGACTCACTGTATGGATGGCCTTGTAGACTGTTGCGAAGCTGCCTCGACCGATCTCTTCATGGCGCTGGAAGCTGCCTATTCGCTCCGAGTCCTTCGACCTCCTCGGAGCCGACGACTGTGAAGTTGTGGACGCCATCTTCTTCCCTTCACCTCCACCGCCTACTTCGGTCGATAATGCCGGTCGGGGATGCTGAGGTGAGGCGACGTGAAGGTTACCTTCTGACTTGAGGTGGAAGACCCAACCAAGTGGTGTGGCCCATGGATTGCTCGAGATGGAGACAAGGCAGAACTGACAGGCTCACGGCTGGTTTGTGGCACCAGGTAGCAGTAGCAGATAGCAGGCGACAAGTCGAATGAGAGTGTGGAGATGGCGCAATCGGACGGTAGGCTGCGTGATTCGGGGTCCGTGCCACTCGACTTCACTGAACTGCAACAAACAGTGTGGGGTTGAAAGGACTGTATTGAAGTGATTTAGCTGAAGTGGTGGTTGGGTTGTGCGATGCGGTTGTGGGAGGTCGTGGTCGTCGGGCGCGAGCCTGGGGAATACAGGGCGTGGTTGGACAGACTGAGTGACGCACTGCAGTGACTCTTGGCCCGGTCAAGTGAACAGCAGCCGCAACACGCACAATAGACGATAATGCGACGAATGGAACCTCAAAAACTCAAGATAACAATAGATGGTCTGAAGAACAAGTACTACAGCGAGAGGAGAGCAGCAGAGAGCAGCGGGCGAAGTTAGTCATGCAGTCAGTCCAGTCATTCACTACATTCAAGCGCGACAGGCAACGGACGTGCAGATGCGTGGTGTGCCTTTCCACGGCTGTTGGGGGTGTGGGAGAGCGGGAGGCTCGAGTGATCGACCGGCCTGGACGTGTGACCTGGTGCGAGGGTGAGGGTGCGAGAGATAAGGGTCACGTGGGCGCTACATAACTGGCAATCAGCAGCTCGCCAGCTTCGCCTCAGTCATCCCTCAGCTGTCCCTCAGTTGTGTAATGACCCATCTGTCGTCTGTATTCTGGTCATCAACCTTGCTGTCAGCTTGTGCATCTTCCCCGGATTTCACTGCCTCTTTCTGCGCCCAACAAGCAAACATAATCCCCGCGGCGCCCATCTGAGACTCTTGTGCATCAAGACATGCACCCAACGCTTATCACTGCCGAATGGATCCCTCTTCCGGAGCTGCTCTACCTTCCGCTCATCCTACTGCTGCCTCGTTTCTGCAAACCTGTTGATCTGACGTAGGTCCTAGGCGAATATGTCCGATACTGCGTCCCTTGGGGGTAGGACCCAGTTGTTGCTGCGGTCCAAGTTCATGCAATGGTACTCGTAATTTCGAAGACAAAATGGGTATTACTTCACTGGAGCACGATTAACGTCTCATTGATAACGAGATGATGGATACTGTCAGGATTAGATATCCAACCCGCTTACTAACAACCACAGTCCCACTGGAACAACCACGTTGTCGTTTGCCGCAGTCAAGGTACTCTCTAATAGACTTGCCCCGGTCCCTGCAACTAGGCATTTCCCCAGAAGTGACCCGAACGTCTTCCCATCATGCCACGACGCCCATCCCCCGAGCCTAAGCCAAGCCCAGCTCGCTAGTAGGCCGCACGTGACCGCAAGGGCAAAGGCGAGGCTTCCTTCCAAGCTTTTCCCACCCACCCAGTACCATTTTGTCTTCCCATAACGCCGGCCGATCAGGCTTGCCGCCGCATCGCCCATGCCCACACAAACAACGCCACTGACCATGCTCAAGTCTCGCACTGAAGTGTCCCAGCCAGTCCATGGCGCATCACCACCGCGGGGCGCAGCAGCAAGCGAAAGCCACAAAGGGATGGCACACCCAATCAACAAGAAGATGTGTGACACAATGACTGGACCTCGGTGATCTCGCCCATCCACGTATGGCGCCAAAAACACAGTCAACGGTTTCGAGATCGGCGGAAGCTGTGACGCCCGGAAAAGGTCGAGCAGCAAGAATATCGCCAGGATCAGGCTAAGAGCCAACGCAATAAAACACGGATCCACATATATTGTGGGAAGCAGCATGGCCACCATGATGCCATGAAAGACCTTGCGTCTGGTGTCAACCTCAACCACAGATGTGAGTCGCACGACAGCCGCGATACCAGTTCCCAGAACAACGAGGCAGTATGCGCATATGGCGAGGCGTGTGGTAGCAGGTCCGAGCACGTTTTGTCGGAGGTGCTCAATGAGTCCGTCCTCGATAGCGGGCTCCCTCTGCCGAGCTGGAAGGCTGATCCAGCGCTCTAAGTTGTTGCTGACTACCCAGAACCGGAACGCGGGGAGATTCCCAAGCAAATAGCCGAGTGCCCACCCGATCGGCTCATGGTTAGACAATGCTCGCGCAGCCACATAGAGCCGAACCGGGCCCAGGATTATGGCAGCAACAGAGAAGTAAGCAACTGCCGCATACGCATACTTCCGAACTCGAACTTGTTCCAGAGTAAATGCCAGGAACGGCGCGGAGGACCCACTGGCGACTGGCTTCGCCTTCTTCGAAGTGACGGGGTCCTGTTTGCGGCTGCCATGGTCGAAAGCTGCGAAAGAATTCCTGCGAAAGGGCGCTGCTATTGTCGCTGTATCCAGTGAAGTAGCCTGGGTCACTGGCGCTTCAAGCGCTGATTTCGCCTCTTCACCCGGGTCCATGGCAGAAAAAGCTCTTCCGTTGAGTTGCAGCTTCAGCCGAGGACGCAATCTCCGGATACTCTTCATAGGCTGAACATCGTCGTCAGATTCGGACTCTTCACCGTCGACCTGACGGAACGTCCCTCTGACAAGAAAGGTACATATAGCTTGATCAATTTGTGATATAAAGCCTCGGTTCCGTCTTATCTTCAGAAGCCTCCAGGTTGGCACCCGTGCCAGTGCAACTTCCCACATTAGCACATTCTTGCATGTGATGAATATGCACAAGCCGCCGAGCCATATCATTCCCTTCAGGATTTCAGCTTGCGGTGTCCCCGCAAAGAGATAGAGGGTAACCAACGCTGACGAAAGTAGCTGTAACTCTGAGGTCTCGAGGCTGGATGTGGTGAGATAGCCAAGCATCGACATCAATACGTGGTGCAGTGGAAATAGCAGAACCAGGTCTTCTTGCGTCAGAGACGGACCGATCTTTAACGAAAGTGGCTTCGAGACCGAGGCAGTAAATATTCGGTGATACGAGGTGTGGAGGGGTAAAACTGAAATTAGCCAGAGCAGATAGTCCCCGATCGCAGGGAATTGTGGTGTCGTTGTGACTAATCGCGGCATGGAGGAAAGGCCACAAACAATGGCGGCGGGGAGAAACGAACTGTTGTGGTGGAACAGTGATATGGCAACCATCGATGGTAGCGATACAGGGTACAGAAGAGGCCCTGGGTCAAACCGTGAGGGGATATGTAATGCCAGTCGTAGTGCCTGGATTAAGGTCTTGCCTGATGCCAGCGCACGACAGGTGAGTCGAAGAGGGTACAGCAGGTATACGAGAAGGGGAATAACAAGAAAAGCCGCGATCTCATTCAGCCAGTCCTTGAGACCTGTCGAGCCTTTCCTGTTATTCCACACAATGGCGCTGATGCCACAGAGTAAGATGGTCTCTGTACATCTTCGGACAATCTCACGTCCTTTCCGGTCCTTGTATGTTTCATAGTCCCTCACCTGGCTTCTCGTTGCCTGCGATCTCTTCTCATTTTTCTCTGGTGGCTCAAAGAATCGAGGTTCTTCCCCGTCCACGAAGGCCGGAGGTGTAGACGGCGGGCTTCCAGCTGGTGTGAGATTCGCTGGTGTGCTTCCTCGGAGGCCCTTATGCAAGCGTAGTGCGGGTGCCGGAAGGCCCTTCAGGAAAGGACCCTTCTCATCATCCGCCTCCGTGCCGCTGTCACTGGACTCCGACCGGCTCGGACGGGGTGATGGAACGAATCCATGGGCGACTGAAGTCGAGCCACCGGCGCTTGACCATGACTGGGACGTCGTAAGACTGTCACCCCTCAAATGGTATGGTCGAGGTGTGCGTGATAATGTCAGATTATGTTGATCGTGAATTTCTTGAGAGCTAGATCGGCCGCTGTCAGTTCTAGTCGGCTTCAAGAAAGTCATCGGAGGCCAGATCCGAAAATGGTGGGGGAAGTCGGGCGCGGTCTATCGGGAGCACTCATTCATGGTGGATAGGCGTCGTCAAGGAATTGTACTGCAAATACTGCAGGCTCAGGTGCCATCCTGGTGTAGCATGACCAGGTGGTTTTGTTGGGAGAGACTGAGCAAATTCACATGCAACGCAGGAAGTGCGAGCTGCAGGTGCCTCTTCAAGTCTGGCCTGGACTTCATATTCCCACAATCCGCGCCGCGTGACGACGTAACGCATTGAGCCCCGGCATCCACTACTCGTACTGTACCTACCTAGTTAGCCACCTAGGCGCTCCAGCACCGCCAGCTACGGTAATGTGCCAAGCACACCGCTGACGAACGCAGGCCGACCTAAGTGAGGCACATCGTGTGCACATACTCAGTACGCGTAAGGGATATAGATTGCATTTACAGATGACAATTCTAACGTTCAGAGCATGGCTGTTAACCGCAAGGATACTGCGAAGCCACCATGACTTGTCAAAAGTCAGAAGCAAGCACCATCGCTTACAGCTCAGCTTCCATCTTATCCAGAATGGTCCTGGTGAACTCATGTGTCGTCGCGTCGCCACCCATATCGCGCGTCCGTACCTTTCTGCAACAGTGAGTCAGCCGGTGAAAAAACGTGGCGGCAGCCGGTCATGACTTACCCATCAGCAATCACGTCATATACAGCCTTGGAAATGCGGTTCGCATGGTCGTCCAGACCCAGGTGTCTGAGAAGCATAGTACCAGAGAGAAGCAGAGCCGTAGGATTGGCTTGATCCTTGCCTTGAATATCCAACCCGACGTGTCTGCAGCCAGGCTCGAAGACCGCAACATCGCGACCCATGTTGCAACCAGGAACCACACCGGGGCCACCGACAAGGGCAGCAGTAATGTTCGTCAGAATACCACCGTAGAGATTGGGCATGACCATCACATCGAATTGTTGCGGTCTTGACACAGCTTGCATAGAGGCATTGTCCACGATCATGTCGTTGACCTCCAAGGTCGGGTAGTCCTCCCCAACCCTCTTGACTGTGTTCCGGAACAGACCATCGGCAAGTTTCATGATGTTCGCCTTGTGGATGCAAGTGACCTTTTTCCTGTTGTTCGCCAGCGCAAATGAGAAGGCGAACTTGGCAATTCGCTCGGACTTGGCTCGGGTGATGATCTTCAACGACTCGACGACACCTTGCACAGATTGGTGCTCTAGACCAGAGTACTCGCCCTCTGTGTTCTCACGAACAATGCAGAGATCCACATTCTTGTGCCGAGTCACCAGACCGGGAATGTTCTTGATCAATACCACAGATGCGTAGATATCGAGTTCCTGGCGTAGGGCGACGTTGAAGGACTGGTGACCGGATCGTTCGATTGGAGTGTGTAGAATTCCTTTCAGCCCGAGTTTGTTCCGTCGAAGAGATGATATTGACTCCTTGAAGAGGTCTTCTGAGTGCTTATCCCCCGAGTCTACACCTGTCACGTCGACCTGCTCCCATTCGATGGGGACGTTGTCCGCTTTGAATATCGTCTTTACTGCTTCGGCGACTTCGGCACCAACGCCATCACCTGCGGTGATAAGCACCGAGTAAGTCCACTGCTTCAACAGGCGCTGAAAGAGTTTGAGTATGTGTCGTACCAGGAATCAATGTTACGGTATATTTTCCACCATATTTTGTGGGCTTGAAGATGTCGGATTCGACGCTAGCGTAGGCTGGACAGAAACAGATACATCAGCTGTTGGAACAATCTTGATTAAAGTCGACGTTCAGCTCACATCTGGCAAGGAAGGGCGAGGCGGTGGTAGGTCTGCTTGCCCGCTGGGCAGCTCGGAACAGCGCCTGCGGCAGAAAAAGCTCGTTAGATTACCGCGCGCCGAGAGGTGCAGTCTTGTCCTCACCTGAGCGCTTCGACTGGACCTTGCTAGCGACATTGTAGCGACACGGCCAGGTGAATGCAGGGGTCGACGACTACCGTATCGCGCAGCAGCAGTGGTGTAAAGCAGAAAACTTATCGCAGGGTGGAGGAGCTTTGTTTCTGATGCAACCCGGAACGAGCTCTGACCAATCGCAGTGCAACATCCGAATGACGTCAATGGTCGCAAGGACGGCTGACCTAATAAGAGGCAGGTTTATTGCAGCTTTCCGCGGTCACACAGTACGAGGTACTCGGACGTGCGCGATGGAGCATTGGATATCTGTGTCCCGACCAGCTTTTCCTAGTAGAAGAGTCCAATTGTTATACAGACATCGTACTCATAGCACATCTAGATATCAGATGGCAGGGAGGAGGTGGGTTTCCAAAGAAGGAGTCACCCAGTGCCTCATTTCTGCTCTCAATTGGTTCTGACTGTGGCTGCTTTGTATGTCGGAGAGACCAAGCATCTATACTAGGCACCCACAGTGGCACAATAATGCTCTTATATCTGATCGGAGTGCCCAATCCTCATCTAGCCTCCCCAACTTCATGCACCACCTCGACCTGCCTTACGACTAGATCACGCGACAAGGAATGTGCCAGACAACTATGGACAATCACCCATTTAGCAGAAGTGACCTCCTCAAACTTGCTGGTATGTCGTCTGTTCTTGCAAGAAAGAAAGAAAACAAATCAAGAATGCATGGAGGTGCGAGCATTTTGATGCCGGTTCTTGCATGACCTAAATACATCAGTCCCTGGTGATCCGGTGGGATTCAGCGAAGGATCCTGGAGATAACAGACGACGAAGCCAGACAGCCTGTTGGGGACGCGAAGGTCAATGAATGGGTGACGGTAAGCTCAGCAATCGAGACCCGAATCCATCATCTTATGGCAGCGGACCGGGGCCTCGCCGAGTTGCTGCTTGAAGTGGAAAGTCGAGCTCGGGAAGGTCATCGGGTCGCATGATCTACAGTAACTCGTGTGCAGGCTGGGCGCTCTGTCCATTTGCAAAAGACAGAAGTACGGAGGCCGACAGTGAGTATCAAACCTCATCTGGCACGACCAGGACTTTTGAACACGGACTCGCCGCAGTTGCCGGATCTGGCGTCCCCACAATCCATGCAGGGCTAGCCTCTTGCACGCGGCAGACCTCTGCCTGGGTGCCAGACCCGTGGCTTTGCGGAGGGCGAATGCACGAGACCTGGTCTAAGTTTCACAGCAATCCGTCCGTTCCTTCAACAAGCTGACCATCGTGTTTGCTTGGGATCAGCCGGGCAGACATAGATGCAGCCAGCCATACGGTCTCTTTCCAGGCTTGCTGTCCAAACACGAACCATAAACTCACGGGCTCAAATCCTGCGTCGATCCTTCGAAAGCCGACCCTCTTTCTACGTCAAGACTGCTTCAGCATACCGCCAGTGCAGACAGCTCTCTTCTTTGCCTTCCTCTACTCCTTCTAGACTTGCAGGAGACCCAGCTACAAGATCCTTGCGGCCATCGACTCCTGCTTTCTACTCAAGACTGTCACCATTCAGAACATTCCATTCTACCACCATGTGCCGATTCATGTCAGACTCGCCAGGGACCGTCAATACCCAAGGCCGAATCATCCTGCCAGCAAATGTCGTTCCAAAGCACTACGATGTGACCCTTGAGGTTGATTTCGACAAGTTCGTCTTCAAGGGAGTGGTTGTCATTGACCTAGATGTTGCAGAGGATTCTGCATCGATCTCGTTGAATACTCTAGAGCTCGACATTCACTCTACAGCCGTTCATGCTGATGGTGCCTTGGTCACGTCCTCGCCGACGCTCTCTTATGATGCAGATACTCAGACAACCACCATTGAGCTTGGGGAAGGCAAGAAGCTCTCCAAGGACCAACAGGTTCAGCTAAAGCATACATACACTGGTCAATTGAACGACAAAATGGCTGGATTTTACCGGTCAAAGAGAAAGGACGGAAAGTACCTTGCTGTTACACAGTTTGAGGCTACCGATGCAAGGAGAGCGGTTCCCTGTTTCGATGAACCTGCGCTGAAAGCAGAGTTTACCGTCACGCTGATTGCCGACACCGAAATGACCTGCCTCTCGAATATGGATGTTGCGTCAACAAGTACAGTGGATTCAGAAGTCACAGGTGGAAAGAGGAAGGCTGTGAAATTCAACCGGTCACCGCGCATGTCGACCTACCTCTTGGCTTTCATTGTTGGAGAGCTCAAGTCAATCTCGACAGACAAGTTCAGATTACCCATCAAGGTGTGGATGACACCGGACCAGAATGAATCCGACGGGCAGTTCGCGCTCGAAGTCGCTGCTAAGACCCTAGCATTCTATGAAAAAGCATTCCAGGCACCATACCCTTTGCCAAAGATGGATATGGTTGCTATCCCTGACTTTGCTGCCGGAGCGATGGAGAACTGGGGTCTGGTAACTTACCGTGTGGTAGACCTCCTCTTCGACCAGAAGTCTGCTGGGGCTGCAACGAAAGAACGGGTCGCCGAAGTTGTTCAGCACGAATTGGCCCATCAGTGGTTCGGAAATCTGGTGACGATGGACTTTTGGGACGGGCTGTGGCTCAATGAGGGATTTGCAACCTGGATGAGCTGGTACAGTTGCAACGAGTTCTATCCTGAATGGAGGGTGTGGGAAACCTTCGTAATTGATACCTTACAAGGAGCCCTGGGATTGGATGGCCTGCGCAGTTCGCATCCCATCGAAGTGCCTGTGCACCGGGCCGAGGATATCAACCAGATTTTCGATGCCATCTCGTACTCGAAGGGCTCATCCGTCCTCAGAATGATTTCCAAGTACCTCGGCGAGGACACCTTTATTGAAGGTGTGAGGAGGTACATCAAGAAGCATGCCTGGGGCAACACGCAGACAAGTGATCTGTGGGATGCTTTAGGGGATGCGAGCGGAAAAGACGTGGCACATGTGATGGACATCTGGACTAAGAACATTGGCTATCCGGTGATCACAGTGACCGAGAACGAGAAGGACTCCAGTATTACCATCGAGCAGAATCGATTCTTGCGAACGGGCGATGTGAAGCCCGAAGAGGACAAGGTCCTCTATCCGGTGATGCTTGGGCTCCGGACCAAGGATGAAGTCGATGAGACTTTGATGCTCACCAAACGAAAACAGACGTTCAAGATCAAGGGAGGGTTGGATTTCTACAAGCTGAATGCCGATCACTCGGCCTTTTACAGGACTAGCTACACACCCGAGAGGTTGACGAAGCTTGGGGAAGCCGCCCAAGAGGGCCTGCTCTCTGTTGAAGATCGAGCTGGGATGATTGCTGATGCCGGTGCCCTCGCGGCCAGTGGTTACGGCAAGACGTCGGGCATTCTCAGTCTTCTGCAGTCGTTCAATACGGAGACACAGTTCGTGGTGTGGAATGAGATCCTCACCCGAATCAACGCGGTGCGTAACACGTGGATCTTCCAGGATGAGAAGGTCAAGGACGCCTTAAAGGCTTTCCAGTTAAACCTGACCTCAGCGAAGGCACACGAGCTTGGTTGGGAATTCTCGGAGAACGAGGATCATATCTTGAGTCAGTTCAAGAGCATGATGTTTGGCTCCGCGGGCCTTGCAGGCGATGGAAAGATTCAAACGGCGGCCAAGGAGATGTTTGGGAAATTCCTGCAGGGCGACTATGCTGCTGTCCATCCTAATCTGAGGTCATCGGTGTTTGCCATGGCACTTAGAGATGGCGGCGAGAAGGAGTGGGATGCCCTGCTCGCCCGATACCATTCCGCGCCAACCTCGGATGAGAAGAACACTTGCCTGCGAAGTCTGGGCCGGGCGAAGGATCCTGAGCTGATCAAGAAGACTTTGGACTTGGCGCTCAGCGGACAAGTCAAGATGCAGGATATCTACATGCCTATTGGTGGCCTGGGCACCACATCCGAAGGTATCGAGAGAAGATGGGAGTGGATGTGCGCCAACTGGGACGAGCTCGTTGAGAAGCTTCCACCCAGCATGACCATGCTCAGCAGCGTGGTCAGCATCTGCGCTGCGGGCTTTACATCGGAGGACCAACTGGCCAAGGTCGAGAAGTTCTTCGACGGCAAGGACAAGAAAGGCTTCGACCGCAGCTTGCAGCAAAGTATGGACTCCATTCGGGCGAAGGCTAACTGGCTGAAGAGAGACGGAGAGGATGTGCAAGGATGGCTGAGGAGCAACGGGTATTTGAAAGAAGTCAGTGGGAAGCTGTGAGCTGCTGATATGGGCTGATGGTACGCCCGGGATCGCATGGCATAGACAAAGTCCCCGGGGCCTGAAAGGGGGCGTCTAGATGCAAGCTGTATTACTAGAATACCACCATAGAAGGAAAGACATCGGCATCTCCACCAGCCGAAAGGGAGCTGTCTACGAGGCACAGGTAGCTGCGCGCAGTAGCATTGTTCCAACGAGTGGCGTGAGACGGTGCCGAGGCTGGGGCACTCCGTCCGTGTTGGGGGATGATGGAGGTGCCGTTGGTGCCGGTGGCTCGACTCGGATGAAACCCGCCGCGCCCAGAGATCTGCATGCGAGACGCAGCGTCGGCCAATCACAGGCATTTGGTACCTGACGACCGTCATTGGAATTTTATTTTCCGGGAAATCGCCTCTACTGTGTACACGGCGCAGTCAGTCCTTCGATCACGCTCCACGACGCATTGTTTGCCAGGCCACAGGCGTGCTTTCGCTCTTTTGAATCGCGAATTCCTTCAAGTCGTTGTACCGTCCTACTGTAACTGTATCTCGCCAACCCAACACCTGCGGACACATCGACAATGGGTCTCCTCACCACCCTGACAGAGCCCCTCGACTACCTCCGTGCGACCCTCCCAACCTACCAGCTCGTTCTCCTCGGTCTCTTGGCTTTCGTCGCTGTATCGGTAGCATGGAATGTCACGAGGCAGCTGGTGTTCCGGGATAAGACCGCGCCGCCAGAAGTATGGAGTTGGTTTCCAGTGCTTGGAAACACGCAAGTGCATCGATGCTCGGCAAGAACCTGAAGTGGCGTGCTAACTTCCCTCTTAGGATCTGGTACGGCATGGATCCCTTTGACTTCTTCTTTGCATGCAAGGAGAAGTACGGCGACGTCTTCACTTTTATCCTGCTCGGTCGAAGAGTTACGGTGTGTTTGGGTACCAAGGGGAATGAGTTTATCTTGAACGGCAAATTGAAGGACGTAAATGCTGAGGAGATCTACACCGGGCTGACCACGCCCGTGTTTGGGGAGGGCGTGGTGTACGACTGCCCCAACGCCAAACTGATGGAGCAGAAGAAGTTTGTCAAATTCGGATTGACGATGGAGGCCTTCCAATCCTACGTCGACTTGATTTCGAGCGAGACACAGTCGTTCGTGGCCAAGGGCAAGCCTTTTCACGGGGATTCTGGGACGATCGACATTGTCCCTGCCATGGCGGAACTGACCATTTATACCGCATCACGATCGCTTCAGGGACCTGAAGTACGCGCCAAATTCGACTCGACCTTTGCCGATTTGTACCACGACTTGGACATGGGATTTTCACCCATCAACTTCATGCTTTCGTGGTTTCCTCTGCCCCATAACCGCAAACGGGATATCGCGCAGAAGAAGATGGCCGATACGTATATGGAAATTATCAAGGCCCGACGGGCTGCTGGTGGCAAGAGGGACAAGGGCGAAGAAGACATGATCTGGAACTTGATGGCCTGCGTTTACAAGGATGGCACGCCGGTCCCTGATAAGGAAGTTGCGCACATGATGATTGCCCTGTTGATGGCGGGACAGCACTCCTCTTCGTCGACGTCCAGCTGGATCCTACTGAGATTGGCCACGAGACCGGACATCCAAGAGGAGCTGTTGGACGAGCAGAAACGGGTGCTGGGCGAGGACCTGCCGCCCCTGACATATGACAACCTCCAAAAGCTCACCTTGAACGCAAAAGTAGTCAAGGAGACGCTGAGGATCCACGCCCCCATTCACAGCATCCTGCGGAAAGTGAAGTCACCTTTGACGATCGTTGCGAATACCCCGGAGGCTACCAACACGTATCAGATCCCCACCACTCATACACTCATGTCTGCGCCGGGCGTGACATCGCGAGAGCCCGAATTCTTCCCTGAGCCCATGAAATGGGAACCCCATCGCTGGGACGAAGGCCATCCCTTGGCATACACCCGCCTCGGCACCGACCAAGAAGAGTTTGAGGATTATGGCTACGGTATGATCAGCAAAGGTGCCTCTTCGCCATATTTACCCTTTGGGGCTGGAAGACATCGGTGCATTGGTGAGCAATTTGCCTATGTCCAGCTGGGGACAGTTCTTGCGACTATGGTCCGGCACGTCAAGTTTAGACAGATTGAGGGCAAGCAATTGGTGCCCACAGATTATTCGAGTCTATTCAGCAGGCCGATGGCGCCAGCGGTCGTGGAGTTTGAGAAGAGAAAAAGCGTGAAGGAGAAGAACTAGGGCACGGCAGCAAGTGGTGGATTGTACATACAGAATATCAGCAAAGCACCCCAGCTGAGGAACTTTTCGTGATTAGGCGTCAAGGCGGTCGAGGGGATAGAATACTGCGGACTATGTACACAGTACGAGTACTCCGGAGAGTGCTAATGATAGTGGCCTGCCGGCCTGATCGGAGTCCGGTCAGTTTGATGTTCCGGGCTACTCCACTCGGTCTGTGAACACACCGGACCCGGCTATATTGCAGAGAGAATGATATCCACCGATTCACCTGGACGGCCACATAATCTATGTGTTACGTATAATGGACAACCTTGTCCCTTCACAGAGGGATGAGATGGACGGCGTAACGAGACAGTACCTTTAGCAGGTGCCCGTCTCTGAACGAGCATGGAATAATGATGCCTGGGAGCATCTCGTACTCGCATCGCAGGTCAAGCGCGCACAACGAGTCGCTACTCGGATGCTGGAAGATCAAGAGTCCGAATGGAGCCTTGACTTGGCATGGCCGTTGCCACATGCCATCGCTTAAATTGTGAATTAGGCGGTCCCATTGGACGATCGAGGGCCTCTAAGCCTTGCTAAGCCTAGGATTCATTCCAGACTCGGGATCGAAATCGTAGGTCAACGGGCAATCGTGGGTTTCCCTTTGTTTGCAGACCTGGAAGTCTTGCAAGCACAGGCCGTGGGAGACGGGGTCTCCGTCTCATGATATTATTGATTCTATGTATCCCTTTTCCTTTTCCATCCCGCATAAATGCGCTTCGTGATAGAGTTTCTCCCTGCCCTTTGCTGGTTCAGGTTTATTTCATTCTTTGCTCGTGGGCCTTGTGGCTGCTTTGAATTCTCAGGTCCGGCAGAATAACCGTCAATACCATACTGTACACCACCAGACATCACCATCATCCGTTCGTTCAATCCACACGTTCAGAACCCTTATTTTGAGCATAGGGTTCTCGACCCTACACAAAGACCAGATCGCGAACGAGAGTAAGCACCTTCAGCTGCAAGACATCGCATCCTTCCGGACTTGATACCCTTGCACTGTGTCAGCGGGCGCGGCCTGTGCACGCTCAGAGCTCCACACGGACACCACGCACAGTGTTAGGCCGCCTGAATCCTTCCGGTCTGCAGATGACCTAAGCCTTGCCGGGCTGTCGGTTGATAGAGCCCACCGATGGGACTGTTCAGCAAAAAGAAGGGCGCCCCTGCCACGGAGAGCCTGGATGTCCCAACTGGTGACGGCGCTGCCAAATCTGAAACCACCACAGCGGTTCCGAGTCAAAATGTGTCAGATACAGAATCACTGGATAAGACCCAGGAGGTAGAAAGAGGTGTGCTGGACGAGAAGGAGGCCAAGGAAGTGAACAAGAGCATCGCGACCAGTGAGAGCGACATCACCGTTCCCTCAGATGGAGCACGAATGGATACACCAGAGACAAAAGAAAATGCTGGAGAACGCGTCCCGATCCAGAGGACAAAGTCGCATACGAGCGTGATCTCTGCCCCCGGCGTCGAAGACGACGATGCCATCGTCTATCCCGGAGGGTTGAAGTTGGCCCTCATCACCCTCGCCCTCTGCCTGTCGGTATTCCTGGTCGCATTGGACAACACTATCATTGCAACGGCGATCCCGAAGATAACAGACCATTTCAAGTCGTTGGGGGACGTGGGCTGGTATGGCTCGGCGTATTTGCTTACGACCTGCGCTCTGCAATTGTTCTTTGGAAAGCTGTACACCTTCTACCCGATCAAGACGGTCTACCTGGTTTCTATTGTCATTTTTGAAGTTGGCTCGGCAGTTTGTGGTGGTGCGCCAACATCCGAAGCGCTGATCGTTGGAAGAGCGATAGCGGGCATTGGCTCAGCAGGTATCTTCTCCGGTGCCTTGATTATCATCGCGTAAGTTCGCTCTCAACCACCCACTCCTGTTGCTCAGCTTCCACCTGCTATTAACATGCTGACTGGAAGGTGATGCAGGTATACCGTGCCCCTGATCAAGCGACCCATTTACACTGGCATCATTGGCGCCATGTATGGGATTGCTTCCATAGCAGGCCCACTCCTCGGTGGCGCCTTTACCGACGGTCCGGGATGGCGTTGGTGCTTCTACATCAACCTCCCACTGGGCGCTGTGACACTGGTGGTTATCGTCTTCTTCTTCCAGTCGCCTCCGCGTAAAGCTGAAGCAAAAGTACCCATTCGTGAACGCGTCCATCAACTCGACCTTGGCGGCACCGCCCTTTTCATTGTGGATATCATTGTGTGCTTGCTGGCCTTGCAATGGGGCGGCTCAACTTACGCGTGGTCGAACTGGCGGATCATTCTGTGCCTCACGCTCTTCGGAATCCTCACTGTTGTTTTCGTCATCTGGCAGTACTTTATGAAGGAATTCGGCACCATTCCGTTTAACATCATCTCGCAGCGCAGCGTCGCGGCTGCCTCGTGGTTTGCGTTCACACTGGGTGGTGCCTTCTTCGTCCTCATTTACTGGGTGCCAATCTGGTTCCAAGCGATCAAAGGTGCTTCAGCCTTCAAGTCCGGGATCATGTGTCTGCCCATGGTGTTGGCGCTCGTGGTTGCAAATATCCTGACAGGCGTCGGGACAACAGCTGTCGGGTACTACACTCCCTTCTACTACGGCAGCGTGCTCCTCTCCGCCATCGGCGCCGGCCTGCTCACCACCTTCGAAACCAACACTGGACACGAGAAATGGATCGGCTACCAAGTCATTTACGGCTTCGGCGTTGGACTCGGCATGCAACAAGCCTTGATCACTGTTCAAGCCGTTCTTCCGTTGAAGGACGTACCAACGGGCACAGCGCTCGTGATGTTCATGCAAACATTCGGCGGCGCCCTATTCGTGTCGGTCGCACAGAACATCTTCAACAACCGTCTGATAACCGAGATCCCCAAGCAAGCACCCGGCATCAACCCGCAGATCATCTTGCACGTTGGAGCGACGTCCTTGAAGGACCAGGTTCCCGCGCGATTGTTGGCCGGTGTGCAGACGGCGTACAATACTGCGCTCACGGAGACGTGGTACATCTCCGTTGCGATGGCTTGTCTGTCCGTTCTCGGCGCGGTTTTCGTCGAGTGGAAGAGTGTCAAGGGGATGAAACCCGGGGCTGTAGCTGCATAGCGTGTGAGCATGCCTTTGTCTCCTTCTGCATATTGCGTGGCGCATATTGCATGGCGGTTTGTTGACATTTTCTCCTCTTCGCCTTGTACATATGGGACGGGTTGGAAACACACGAGACGTGGTGAAGGCCATGGACTGCATAACGATGGATATCATGACCTTTCACAACAACATGCTAGCTTGATGTGAGAAGCACCACGCCACGAACGAGCAAAGAGAGTAATAGACAAAACGTAGACTAATACACCAAGCGGCTCACCATAGAAATAGGCATGCCCTTTGCTTACGTCCAATATTAGTACCCAGTCTTAATGTGAGCGATAGCACTGCTCCTTGTCCTGCTATAAGTCATCAACCTCGGATTCTTCGTTTCCCATTCTACAATCGCTGCTCGGTTAATGGCAGGTGCTGACCATCCTTCGGTCCTCCAAGCATTTCGGTGGTTTCGACTCGCCACGCCTTACGTCGCGCACGACTCACGGAGATGATGGACTCCACAGTCTACATACCAAACGCACAAGCTCTTCCTCGCTGCCCCCTCGGAAGCACGGAAGGGCACAACATCCGGAACAAGATGCATATCTCGCACGGCAATCTCCCTATCCCCATCAAAGAGTGCAACGGCCTTGCCGTCTCCCCGAATCTGCGAAGCTGGAGGGACGCTTGGGTGCTGAGGATGCTCGATTGTGCTGCATCCACAGCGATGCATGCATGACCTTTATGGCTTTCCTTTCCCCTCCTGAAGGCTTTCCTTCGCTACTGGCTAGAACATGGAAGCCACAAGGTGACTCTGGGAGGCCGAGGCCGACCGTGATGGACGACCGGATCCACGTACTACCTTGGGCCCGTCTCCCGGCTTAGGATGGGGTCAGCACTCCAGCTCGATGCCTTCCTCGCGGGGTGGATATGTAGGTAAGCAGGAAAGGGGTTGTCATGAGTACAAAAGAACCATCCGTGCGGCATACCCAACGCATCCCATTTCTCCCTAACTACACCGTACATGGTTGGTGGCCGTATATAACATCTCCATTCTTCAAACCCTGGACTCTCGGTTTCGCCTCTGGACTCTGCTACAGTACCACCGTATCCACGGCGGAGCGACTCGATTTCTTCGCTTTGGAAGCCTTGTTTCACCTCATCGCAATGTTAATCTGCTTCTCGATCTGGTGCTCTGGCGTCGTCTCCTTCGTGGCGGGCATGTACGCGCGGTTCGTCCTGGTTCCGGACATGAAGAAGAAATGAAGTGCAATGCAAGCCAGCAAGCATGGTCGGGTTCACGGCTGAAAGTGCCACCGCGGTGATTAGACTGTCCAGATTGTTGGTTTGCTCACATGTCGAGCGAGTCGGACAGGACCCGCGCTGATCAAGACACACAGCGTCCGCAGATGCGACAGATCTGCCCTATCACCATGGTCCGCTGACAGGAGTATCAATGATGCGGACGTACGCATGTCATCGGTCCTCATGTTCCAGAACACCAACTAGCTGGGAGGGCGTCGTGTGGACGAGTCGCCTTGTCCAAGCAACGCACAACACGGCTAGCATTACAAGCGAGGTTCCTCTCAGCTTCAGCAAGCTTGGCCAGGATGTCATGGTCGGTGGAGACCATCACCGGAGGCACGAAACTCACGCTGGCACAAGCACATCCACATGCTTATGCCGTATCACACTTATGACCTGAAAGCAAGCCTCCTAGGATCTATTCAGCCAAATGCTACAGATGAATGTTCACGAACATCACACCGACATACGCAATGCTCTGTACAGTGGCACGTCGACATCGATCAATCTTCAGGCGTGCAGGCGTGCTATGTACGACCACCCAACTGACAGACCAATCGTCCACATCTGCCTCCGCCATCCTCGGTTGTGAGGTTGTCGCGAAGAGAGAATTAAGGCTAGCAAATCAATACAGTAATGCAGAATCGCTTCACTCGATGACGTCTCTACGTCTAGGAACCTCAGGCTGCCGACGGACCTGAAAGCTGAGGTACACGGTACACGCTCGCTTGGGAGTTGTCAAGGAGGTATAGGTTACACACTGGGCTGAAAGTGTCAAGGAGGTATAGGTTACACACTGGGCTGAAAGTGTCAAGGAGGTACACGGTACCCGCTTGCCTTGCTCGTGCGGGATGCAAGCGTGGGTGCTGGTTCGGCCGTGTGTGGCAGAAGGAGCGGCGTCAAACGAACGACAGGGGAAAGGGAATGGACGACATCACAGAAAACAGGCTTGGATTGTGGGGGTACCACAGTATTTCAGGGACTCCGAAGAATTGGGCGGCCTCATCTCACCTCACCACGCTATGTCTCCGTATCAAGACGGGGGATGACGCAGGATCGGCGGGGAAGATGGTGTCGCCAAATTGTTGTTATCACTAACTCTGTGCAGAACGAGCTGCAGCGATACGAAAGATGACGGGAAAAACCCTGGGGCTACGGACGTGTTATTCTACAGCAACCTCAAACCTCACTCCGCAGTTACGCCGGCTGCTGGACCAGCATATTTCTCTTGTCCGTGGAAGCAAAATACCGTCAATCCCGCCGCGTCTCACATCCTGGCCGCGATTTCCGGCATGCTGGACGCGGCCGGGACTGACAGCACATAGGTTGCCCTGCCGTCGCCTTCGATCCTCCTCTCAGGCGCCGCCTCACTCGCCACATGCCGCTGCATATCGTACAGGTTCATCTCGTCAATCGTGAGCTTGCCAGACGCCACCGCGGCCTTGTATCCGATCCCCTGGCTCGAGAAGCCGATCCTCTCATTGATGTTCTCTCTCGCCCGCGCACTCGCGGCCTGGACCTTTGTCGCCCGAGGCTTGCGGATCTGCTCATACAGGCGCAATCCCGCCGCCACGTCGGCCGTGTAGGTGTACTGGCGGCTGAAGATCAGGCCAAGCGCCGCGGCGTCCTCGATAGCCTGACACGCGCCCTGGCTTTGGTCGGGCAGCATCGGGTGCGCGGCATCGCCGAGCAGACACGTCCGGCCAGCGGTCCAGTGCGTGTACGGCTCGTGAACGAATAATCGCCAGGGGCCGATATCTCGGGCGTGCTTGAACAAGGCTACCAGTCGAGGATCCAGGTCAGGAAACGGGGCGAGCAGTTCGTCGTTGCTAGCCTTGCGGTTCCACCCTTCGGCCGCGTGGTCAGACTTTTCGGTCGGGAAGAAGCAGTAGAACGAGTTGATCTCGCCGGCGCGGCAGGGCGAGTAGACGATCTTCTCGATGCCGACGCCGCCCCAGAACTCGATGGCGCAGTTGGGCGTCAGGTCGAGCAAGCCCAGACGCTTGACTTCTGCCGAGTCGATGACGCAGTGGTAGCACGTCGAGGTGGACTGCTTGCGCGTGGGGATGATGCCCAGCGTGCGGCGGACCGTGCTGCCAATGCCGTCAGCGCCAACGATCATGTCGTGATGGGCTGTGACGCCGTTGTCAAAGGTGATGATTCCGTGTTCGTGGTCGATGGACCGGCATTTGTGGTCGAGGCGAAGTCGTGCGGGAGGTCCTTCGCCTTGGCCGATGGCGGCGTCCATCAGCATTTCGTGCATGTTGACGCGGTGGAACATGTTGTAGACCTGAAATCGGCCAGATTAGCCAGGTAGCGATCCTAGCCTAGGGTACTCTCACCCATCCCCATTGATCCTTGTAGTCCGACAGGTCGTACTCGGCTACCACATCGCCCGTCTTCCAGTCATGGCGGATCAGTTTCTGCAGGACCACAGTCTTGCCCAGCGAGATGTTGACGTTCCATTCCTCGAGCCACCGTGTGCCGTTGGCGGCACAGCTTATCGAGGCGCCGACCTCTCCGGCATAGTGTGCTTGTTCGTATATGGTCACTTGATGGCCTGCTCGGCGAAGAGATGTCGCTGCCGCGAGGCCACCTAGGGCATGTTAGGATGCTGTGCCCGCAATGTCGAGTGTCTGAATGGTGGTCTTACCAATACCGCCCCCAATGACGGCGACCTCGAGGGACCTCCAGCCTTCAAAAACCATGCTGGGAATGGGGTCCGTCGCAGGAGAGTCGTGGCTCAAGCTGATTCGATGGCCTGCCTTCACACGTATGGTCGAACGAAGGTGGTTCGATTCAGGGCACTTACTTTATAGTGATATTGGTCCATCTCCTGTCCGGGAATATTTATCCTTCCTCGGATTTGAGATAGGATCTCAGATAAGGGTAGGAATTGCCTAGAACGCCTGGTTCAATGGCCGCTGGCACCCGCCGCGCAACACCTCCACAATTACAAGCCAAGAGGACGTCTCAGGAGCGTAGCCGACGCTTTCCGCTCCATCCCTCCTAAAGCTGTCGAATTGCCAGGTATGGCATCGTCACACACTCAGAGGTTGACGACGAGGCCCGGAAAGACCAATGATAAGCTGACACCACGAAGTCGAGCATTACCCGACACGTTGAGGCGGCCCGCGCACTCGTACGAATCAAAGCCATCATGCTTTCTACAGGATATACTCCGTACTCCCGTGACTCCCCACGCCAGGCCAATGTGCGGAGTGCAAGTGGGGAGACGGAAAGATGCCGGGGCTTTTGCTGGAGGGCCGTATCGGAGAGGCTGCTTGCGACGGATAGAAATAGGGACGAGGGGTGTCCCTCGTTTCTCTGGTCGAGAGAAGCGTTGTTATTCTTGCAGAGGGTGCCGCGGTTTGTTCAGCGTCGCCTAGTCCGTCACTATGCTCGGTAAAATCGCGCTCGAGGAAGCATTCAACCTGCCACGGTTCGCAGAAAAGCAGCGATGGTGGGCGTCAATGTTCGCCACAGACCCAGACAAGCACGCTCGGGAAATGGGTGACATTGCCGACATCAGACTTCAGTATATGGACAAGCATGGGGTAGGGTATCAGATCTTGTCGTACACTGCGCCGGGCGTGCAAGACATCTTCGACAGAAAGGAAGCAGAGGCTTTGGCAACCGAAATCAACGACTACATTGCCCCGGCCGTCAAGGAACACCCGGATAGGTTTGGGGCTTTTGCGTATGGTTGGCAGTGGTCGCGATGAAACCAAGACTGACATTCTCTAGGACGCTTTCAATGCATGACCCGGAGCAAGCAGCAGCGGAGCTTCGGCGTTGTGTAACACAGTATGGCTTCCTTGGGGCGCTGGTCAACGACACACAGCGTGCAGGTGCCGACGGAGAGGACATGATCTTCTATGACTCGGCGGAGTGGGACGTGTTCTGGGCGACGGTGACTGAGCTCGATGTCCCCTTCTATTTGCACCCGCGCAACCCGACCGGAGCGATGTACGAAAAGCTATGGGCGGCGAGAAAGTGGCTGATCGGGCCCCCGTTGAGCTTCGCCCAGGGCGTCAGTCTGCATCTGCTCGGGATGGTGACGAACGGCGTGTTCGACCGGCATCCCAAGCTCCAAGTCATCATCGGCCACCTGGGAGAGCACATACCGTTCGACCTGTGGCGCATCAACCACTGGTTCGAGGACATCAAGAAGCCGCTGGGGCTGAAGGAGACGTGCAAGAAGACCATCCGTGAGTATTTCGCGCAGAACATCTGGATCACCATGAGCGGGCACTTTTCGACGCCCACGCTTCACTTCTGCATGACCGAAGTTAGTGCTGATCGGATCCTGTTCTCGATCGACTATCCCTTTGAGAGCTTCGCAGACGCGTGCGAGTGGTATGACAATGCAGAGATCAACGAGGTCGACAGGAGAAAAATGGGAAAAGAGAATGCGAGGAGATTGTTCAAGCTAGAGAAGTTCAAGGACTGCGACGCCTAGAGAATAGCCTGGGCGCGCCTGGGCAGAGCGCCGTAAGCGTCTGGGGTGCCAAGGGGGCGTTAGACCCGCCGAAGTTGCACGGCTTATTAAGACGATAGCGTAGCCTAAGGGTCCTGCAGCGTGCGGGAGCTTATCGGCCTTAAGCCTAATCACATCCTCCGCAGATATGACTCTTGTTCTCCGCAGTCATCAACATCATCCGGTCATTGTTGGTGCTGTGATGTGCCTCCGTAGCCCAAACATGAAGAATGCCTCGTCCCAAGGTCCGACTCGAAGACCGTCAACGAGCCGTCAAGGCGTGTCTGCCGTGCAAGGCTTCCAAGAAGCGGTGTGATGCTCAACAGCCATGTTCCAACTGCATCAGGCGGAGGGCCACGTCGTTCTGCCATTATGTCGACTCCAGCTCTATCAGACACACTCGGAAGCTTTCCCAGCCAGAACCTGCAGACTCCAGTACTTGCCAGGATGAATCTGTCTCTATCCCTCCGGAGGATCTGCAGTTCGTCCCCGGAAAACCATCCGAGGGGACTTCTGGAGATGTTGCCATGCCTCTGAAAGAGGCACGCCCATCACGGGGCCGGATGCTCTTGAACTCGAAAGGAGAGAGAGGTAGGAGACAGGCCTTCTACACAAAGCCTCTCGGATCTGAACAGGGTATCTAGTCTATATTGGGGAGTTCGCCTCTCTAACATTCCTCCAATTTCTTCGGCACACCATCAAGCAGCAAATGGGGCCTTCATTGTTCACAGAAAACACTCGTCGCAATCTGATGCTGGAGGCTGTCAACGTCAAGGACGCTGTCACGCAGTTTGTAGAAGACGTCCACCAGAAGGCAGCCTTGATAGAGGTCTACTTTGCCGCTGTACGATCTCTATCCCCATCCGTCTGACTATCAGCTGACGCTGCCAGACGAATGGTATCATTGATCTGTTCTCTAGAGAGGAGGTGGAGGCCATGAAGCACGCTTCTAGCGAGACTGAACACAAGTACGCCAGAGCGGCCCTCGATCTCATGGTGTCTATTGGTGCGCAATGTCGAGCGTCAGATGCGCTCGATCACCGTTATGCCTCGACGCTGTTTTCCCGGGCACAGAAGGCCGTGCTGGGAGACGGACTGGAAGACCCCTCGATCGATATGGTCCGTTGTTTCCTCCTCATGACATTCTATATGTTGGGAGCCTGTCGAAGGAACGCCGCCTTCATGTACCTTGGGATCGCCAGCCAGGCATCGTCCGCTCTGGGCCTCCATGTGACTGAGCAATATCGCCATTTCAGTGTTGGAGACCAGAACGTGCGGTGAGTGACGGCCAGGTCTGACCCTGCAATACTTCAGCTTGCTGACCGTGCTAGACTTCGCGCACTGAGAAGCCTCCGAGTCCTGGACGTAATGTATTGCTCCATCTTGGGGAGACCATACTCAACAGTGGCAATCAGGGCCGACAAGACAGCAATCGCCAGGCTGCGCCTGCCTAGCGCCACAAATCGCGACGCTGCCCTGCAAGCCAGTTTCGAAGTATGTTCCATTATCGCCGAGATCACACCCATGCTAGATTCCGAGGGCTCGATAAGCCCGATCACGGCTGAAGGATTCCTGAAGCGTCTCCGTGACTGGAGCGCTACTCTGCCGGCCGACATGCGGCATTTCAGTCGGTCCGCAGATGAACTATTGACGGCTGAGGAGCGAGAGCGGACCATCGGAAACATTCACGTCTCATGCACCTACTATTTCGCCGTGATGCTTGTGACGCGGCCTTTCTTGATAACATACCTGATGGCTCATATGTCCGGCGGCGCCAGTCCTGTGACGACAGCAACAGAGGTCGCGGAACTGGCGCAGGCATGCATCGACACGGCGACATTGATGGCTAATCTGTGCAATGAAGCACTTCAGTCAGGCATATTCCTCAAGCAGATGTGCATCTTGAAGTAAGTGATTGGTCCGCATACTGTGCCGGCAACCGGAAGGACTGACTTCCTCAAGGGCATGGGTATTTGCAGCCGGCCTAGTATTAGGGTTTTCCATCTTTGCGCAGGGTGACTCCCGCTTTGACATGGACGACTCATTCAGTAACGCACGCGAAGTCCTCCGCAGCCTGTCCGCCGAGAGCCCTCAAGCGGAGCACTACTATGAAATCCTGGCAGCGTTCGCGGACGTAATTCAACAACGCCGCCAACACCTGTCCCGCGGAAGTCGCTCGTCCCGGAACAAATACGTCGACCAGATTTTGACCTTTGATATCACGCCGAGTGCTTCCAGGTCTCAGTCGACTCTATCTCATGGAACTCCCTCGTCGAAGGGCCAAGGACCCGGCATGCCAGAGGCATCTGCTACAGATGAAGGAGCCGGCGACTTTGAGTTCCAGATGCCCGAGCTCAGCCAGTGGCCACTCGAGAACAGAGGCGGATTTGACTTTGGCATGTTCGGATGGGACAACTTTGCGATGCAGATCTCGGAGAACTTCTCATTCGACAACGATCCTGCTTGGGGAGTTACCTGAACCCTGGTGGACATTACGAACAAAACACTTCACTTTCCTGCCTTGATGGCAACGCACACCCTGCTTCCGCGGGCGCGGTGGCAAGCACGCAGAGGCCATAGGTTGACACCCGCTGGAGATCCATACGTCTTCTTCCACACGTTCAGCACACAGCCTGGGCGGTTCACCTCGTCTTACGCTCGTCATAATACTCCGGGTAGCTGGCCTGGTAACCCAGCACCCACCTCCCCACGGACGCCATGACGGTCAAAAAGACCCAACTGACAATCACCCCCAGCCACTCATTCGGCAGTGGCAATGCCACGGGCGTGTCCGCCGCATGCAAAAACACGAACAACTGGAACGGACTCGGCTCCATCTTGGCCTTCCGACAATCATCCAAATAGCCGAAGAAGTTGCGAAAGAAACGCTGTTCCGCCTCGTAGTCCCCCGGATCGAGCTGCACGTCGACGACGAGCGATTGTGTCTTCGACGCGTTCTCGAATTTATGGTACATCCGGGGTGGGCCGCTGGCCGTCGCTTGTTCCCGGGGGCGGAGGAGAGTGCTGCGCAGGGTTCCGTGCCCACGCCCTTCCAGGATAGACCCTCGCCGGAGACGACGCGGAAATGCTCACTCTGGCGGAGATGAAAGTGGAAAGGCGGCTGCACTATGGAGGGCCCGTGGTCGGCTGTCGTCGGTGGGATGGTGTGCCTCATTGCGTATTCCGAGCCCGGAGCGTGGAATTCCACGCTTGAGTGCCCGTCCTCGAACACGACAGAGTTGTTGGATGCGTTGGTTGTGCGCGGTGGTGTCGCGCCGCGGAGGAAGGAGAACATTCTGGGCCTCGACGGGAGCCAAGATGGTAGGATTGAATCGATCGATCAGGCAATGGACCGTAAAAGGTTGTGGAGTAATGGGTGATGGATGATAGAGGATACTCTACGTCTAAATGGAGTGGGCCGTGTATTAACAGCCATTCTACCCTGTTCGCTTGCTATGCCCCTCAGACTCAGAATATCAATATATTTGAGCCGGGAAGAAACAACGTGGTCACCAATGGCGCGGTCAACTGCAGGTTGTCAACAGTGGGATGAGGAAAGAGCAAACGAACTGCCGGGGAAGGAAGGAAGGACTGCCACGTGACGGTTCATCTGCTGAATCTACCAATACCCACTTTCCCTCATCCTCCTCGACAACAGCACACTGGTGCACTGTCCCACGGCCAGGCGACGTTACCCCGGTGATAAATTCGCCCACGCTTGCTCTCATACTGATGGAGAAGCCGCCACGTCTGCTCTTCACGCCTTGACAGTGTGGAATCCGTCAAAGTTCGGCAGGGCTTTTCTGATGTCCTGGCCATAATCATACAGGCCGCCAGCATAGTTAGTCTGCTCGAAAACCTTGTCCGGTCGGGAACCCCCGTTGTAGCTTTTGAAATCAGCAATTTCCGGCAAAGAATCGCCCGCCGCGGGGGTTGGGTGGGTGGGGGTTGGGGGAGGCTGGGGAGCGGGGCGGGGCGGAAATGGGGAAAGGAGACAGGGCGGGTGGAGAGGGTCACAGCCACTTACGTGCTTTTCGTCGTTGGGAAGAGGGTTCTGTCACTGAGCTCATTGATCTTCCTCTTCCACTCTTTGCTGGCAGAATCGGTAGGGTTGATGTATTTGAGCCCTTGCCGCTCAATCTGCTTGATGGCATCAGTGATCCATCTGCCCTGAACCTCAACACTGGTTGGTCCATTGCTCAACAACGTTGGGCCTTGTGGGCCATAAAGGTGAAACATATTTGGATAGCCTGGCACCGTGGTTCCTAGGTATGTCACTGCGCCTGTCTTCCACTCCTCGTCGAGTGTCTTCCCATTGATGTTCCGGAGGCCCATTGCTGTCATGCCGCCGGTAACGATGTCGAAACCGGTGGCGATGCAGATAATGTCGAAGTCATAATGGGTGCCATCCTGGAGTTGAATGCCGGTCTCATCAAAGCCGGCGATGGGGTTGTTCTTGATATTGACGACGTCCACGTTATCGCGGTTGAACTGCTCGAGGTAGCGATATTCGAGGCAAGGGCGCTTCACTCCCCAGGGATGAGGAGGCTCGACTGGGGTGAGGATGTCGCGCTTGCGTTGGTCTTTCAACCGGGCGCTTTGCTTCTTCTGCCAGAAGTCATACACAGCCCGGTTTGCCTTGGGATCGATAAGGTAGTCCTTGTAGTTTCCAAGCCAATAACGGAAGCCTCCGTCGGTCCACAACTTCTCGAAAAACCTCTCACGCTCTTCGGGCGAGTCTTCGAACGTGGATTTCTCCGAGAATGAGTACAAAAACCCGCCGAAGCAACGTTCTCGAAGATCAAAGAGTTCCGGGTACCACTTCTTGCCGGCCCATTGCTCCTCGGCTGTCAAAGCACGGAGGCGCATAGGCACTGTAAGGTTTGGCGTGCGTTGAAAGACCTTGAGCTCACCTGCCATGGGACCCCAAGCTTGAGTGACCTGAACCCCAGACGCTCCGGTACCGATGATCGCACATTTCTTACCCCTGACGTCGATTTCCTCATCCGGCCAGAAAGATGAGTGATGGACAACACCCGTGAACTTGTCGATGCCCGGCCAATCGGGCACGTACCGCTTAGCAGCGAAACCCGCGGCGACAACGAGGTACTTGGCCTTTGCAGTTCGGCCATCGGCCGTCTTCACGTACCAGCGTCCTTCTTCCGTGTTGAACTGGGCTCCGGTAACCACGCTCTCAAAGGCAGTGTGGCTTTTGATGTCGAGGACTTTGTCACAGTGATCAAAGTAGTCACGGAGTTCTCTGTAAGTTGGGTAGTTGGATGGCCAATTGTACCTGGAGCAGGTCAGCCACCGACAAGCGTATTGGAACACAAAGTCACAGCGTACGTCTTCCACGTCTCTGGGATTGACAACTGGTACTCGGGAACTTCCGAGTCAACCATTGCTCCAGCTGTCCAGAGGTTAGATTGTGTCAATTACTGCTGACAGCGGGCCCTTACGATAACAATTCCATCGCCACGTACCACCGAGGTCATTGCCAGCCTCGTAGATGACAGTCTTCAGGCCTGCATTGCGAAGAGACCAAAAGCAGAACACGCCACCGAAGCCGCCACCCACGACGAGGGCGTCGACCTCCAAGTTGTCCGCGTATGGCCCGTCGGTCCTTCTGCGTCTTCCATACTCCCAAAGCTTGGTCTTCAGCTTGGGATTGGTCATTTCACCTGGGTCGCCCATGGTTACGGTGTTGTATGTCAACTTGAGGCGCTTTTGGTTTGGTCTTGACTCGGCCGAGATGATGATGGAGAGTGGTCGAGTACGGAATGACATCTCGTCGTCCGAGTCTCTCTAAATAGACGGAGCACCGTGTTATCGACGATTCCTTGAATCGACCTTCCCTTGGGTCTGTTTGGTGCCCGCAAATAGACCCCGGCCTGATCCCTCCGCCTTTGGAAGCGCACCGTTGCGGCTCCGCATAGCAGCTACACCACGGCTGACCTCAAAGGTCTCGAAGCGCAGCCAGCTCGACTCACCTTGGTGAACACGCTCTGCTATTGTGCAGGCGGAACTTTCGTTGGTGAACAGAGCATACGGAGCTTTGCTGATGCGGCAGAATGTTTGGAATGACCCTGGCGTGCGTCCGATGCTCGTTACCTTGCACCAATCCGCACCTACAATATGCGCACCCATATGGCCGACATTCCCGGGTCGAGGCAGACACAATCCATCAAACACCAGCGGAACCGCATTGCCCATAACCGAGTTGCGCAGGAGGGAGGTGTCTGAGGAGAACGAGAACGATGGAAAGAGGGGAGGGCGGCCGTTGAGTTCATATTCCCCTGGGAACCGCATGAACCCTTCACCATTCTCAAGACCTATTGAACTCATGACAGTACTGTGCACATATTGATCCGAGTTGGCTTCCTGATACCTCATCCGTGTAGTCCCCTCTTCTTCAGAATGGCGCTCTCCAGCGAGTCGGTCAACAACATCAAGTCCGCACTGAATGCCGCGTGCGATGACACGAACAAAGGTCTGCCAGGAGTGGTAGCTGTGGCAATTGGAAAAGATGGCAAAGAACTCTTTGCCCACGCCGCTGGCAAACGCGGGTTTGGCTCGAAGGAGCCCATGACACTTGAAAGCATTTTCTGGATCGCATCTTGCACGAAGATGATCACCGGAATGGCATGTATGCAATTGGTAGAGCAAGGAACTCTATCGCTGGACGACGCAGATCAAGTCGCAAGCCTGTGCCCAGAGATCAAGAACTTGAGCGTGCTGCAGGCGGATGGGCAACTGGTACCGGCAAAGAAGGGCATCACTCTGCGAATGCTGTTGGCTCACACAGGTGCGATCTCAAGCTCCATGAAGCGCCGTCTGGGTTGACAGAACGTAGCTGGTTTCGGTTATACGTTCTTTAACGAAGGTCTGCGCGACCACAGCAAGCCTGTCGGCTATGATGAGTTTTCCGGTCATATCAAGGATCTGATCCAACCACTCGTCCACCAGCCGGGAGAAGGTTGGGAATATGGAGTATGGCTTCCTCCCATCCCATCGATTCCTGCTGACCGAGAAACTAGGTCAACATAGATTGGGCCGGTATATGCGTTGAACGTGCTACCAGCATGTCGCTGAACGATTACTTTCAGCGCCACATATTCCAACCCTTGGGACTTAAGAATATTTCCATGTTCCCTAACGCTCAGATGAAGGCCAAGCTGGCGTATATGAATGCTCGCACCCCGGACGGTCAGCTGCACCCAAGAGACCACCTTCTACACCGCCCCTTGGTCGTAGAGAGTGAGCAGGACATCGCAACATGCGTGAACAGTGGAGGTGCTGGTGCCTTTGCGCTGCCTCGAGAATATTGCCGTTAAGTTGCTCTGCTGAAGACCGCAAGGAATATACCTGACAGATCGCAGAAATCCTGGCTACCTTGCTCAATGATGGCACATCACCAATCACTGGGGCACAAATTCTGAAGAAGGAAACCGTGGATCAGATGTTCCAAAATCAGATTCCAGGGTTTCCCAACTTCGGGAGACAGGGTATTCCGCCAGCAAAAGCTGACTTGACCAATGCCATACCAGATCTATACCCTGGCAAAGAACAGGGCTGGGGTTTGACGTTTGTAAGTAGTCCTGCTCTTGCTATCTTACCGCGATTGCTTGTCAGAGGAAGCCTGGCGATAACGTTCACCAGATGCTTTCGGATGGCCCAACAGGGAGGTCGTCAGGCACAGGCCACTGGTAAGACCCTCTCTCCGCTGCGATTGTACCATTTCCAAGCTCTTACTGCTCGTCTCCCGCGTTCATCGGCACAGACTAACGAGCTTCTTCAGGGCGGGCTTGCCAAATCTCTACTGGTGGTGTGATCGAGCTAAAGGCGTGGCGGGGATGATATGCTCTCAGGTTCTTCCCTTTGCGGATCCTCAGGTGCTGGGTCTCTGGGTGAATCTCGAGTCTGGTGTGTACAGCGGCCTAAGCTAGACTAGTGCAGGTGAGGTGAGGGAGAAGAGGGGAGGCGAAGGGTCGGCCGATTAATGATTCGCGGTGGCAGAAGAAACAAATAGTGTGACCTATAAGACTCAGTAATCATCCGTGTCATCTCGATGGATAGCGTGCCATACTAGGAAAGGCAATGATGACCTCGCGTCTTGTGTTTCCCAGCTGTGCCTGACTTCTGCGTGCGCGGCGGTTGGTCAAAAGCTGGTGAAAGACTTCTCCGAAGCCCGCACCGCCAACTTTCCGAGTGCACAGCGTGCTGCATATCTCGGTACTAGACCCTGACTGAACGCCAAGCAGATGTACAGTCCTCGCACCCGTCGTGCCCTTAAGAGGCGACGCGAAGAGATCTCCTCTAATTACCCCGCAAATGGCGAGGACCGGGGAAGCGTGGCAGGGGTCAACCACAGACTTCCCACGCCTGTCAAACAACGCTGAACATCCATTAAGCCAAAGCATGACGTCTCAGCACGAAGCACCATACCTTCTCGTCGACTCAATACGCCCTCCGCAGATCATGTCTCAGACTCAGACCGTTACGTACCGTCGTCGCCAGAACAAAAGCTGCGATCAGTGTCGATTCGGCAAGCGGCGCTGCGATGTTCAGGTGAGCATCCAACACTTGCGAGGAATTGATCCTCTCGCCTTTGGCCAGAGCAAAGACACGGAGACTTCGACCGTCTTTTCGCATCCTTCTCCTTGCTCAAATTGCAAGAAATGGAAGAAAACGTGCACGATCGACTGGATTCGCTCGCGAAAGTCGAAAGGCACGTCTCGCGCCACGAGAGAGGCCGTTGTGCATGGAGCGTACAATGACTGGGACTCACATCAACCGCCGCCGGAAGGTGTTGACTCGATACTCGGTGATCCTCTAAGCAAATCCGTCTCCAGCGACTCTTGTCAGGATGATTTCAGTCTTGCTTCGATGGCAAACGCCTCCTTCAACAACTTCTACATGGCGCAGCAAGAGGATCCAGCTATGTCTACAGACCCGCAATCTTACCAAAATACCTATGAGCACACCCCTCTTCAGCGCATGGAGCCGAATCTAAGCAGTATCGATGCGATTAACCTTGTGCTCGATCAAGGTTTTCCAATGGGTAGCCAATCTGCGTCAAGTTACAGCTCCGATAACTTTGGCTTCTGGGGCACGCCGATATCGAATACTCAGTCAATTGCGGGTTCTCAAGGATACGAGCCAGCTCCAGAAGAACCACGCTACTCCCCTTCCCTTCAGGACTACATCTCACTCGGCAAGACTCCTTCGCCATTCGCCTCACATTCACTCGCAGAAGATCATAATCGGCTTTACATCAAGAAAGGCCTTTTGAAGATTTATCACGACTCCCTGGAAGGCGCATTGAGCTGTTGGCTTACCGAGAGAAACTGTCCTTACGCTTCGAGTCCATTTGTTGATGAAAAGGATGTGTGGAGTTCTAAATGGTCCAACAGGATAGTGACGCGAGTGCGCGCACTCGACGAAGCCTACTCAAAAACCGGTCTTATAACCAAGGACGAGCAGAAACAAGCTTCAAATGCGCTGAGCCTCGTTGTTATGGCTTTTGCGGTGCAGTGGGCTCAGACTTCCTTCGGTAACCAATATGGAAATCATAAGAACCTCAGTACCCAACTGCCTGAGCATGGTATCTTTGGACGGAATATGCAAAAAGCACTCTGGCACAAAGCCAACATGGCGCTCGCTCAGGCCACGGGCAATCCATCCTTCAAGATCATCTTCGCTGGCATCATCCTGTCGTTGACACAACGACCTATGGACTCTGCGGAGGTTCTCCCCGTCCCGATCACGAAGGGGCAGGGCAACCTGGCTTCATTGCGCAAGGTCCTCAACGATGACAATGGTCCCGCCCTTTTAGATGCTGCAGTCCGCAAACTACATGACCATCGAAGACGGCTGAAAGATGCGGAATGCGCTCTCGCAAGAGACTGTTCCAGGGCACAGCCGTCGCTCCACCTTGGCGAGCAAGATAAACAAACATTCGGACTCATCTTCTGGCTAGCAGTCATGTTTGACACTTTATCTTCAACCATGAACCGTCGGTCTTTCGCTCTAAACGATGGCGACACCAAGATGGATGATGTCGGGTCAACACCTGCTTCGAGGCATTCGACGTCCCTCAACGGCTTCGCCTATGACCTCGATGGTTATTCTGATTTTCAAACAATGAACAGCTCCTACCTCTCACGGGAATCTGAGGTATGGGGGAACTACTTTCTTCGCCAACATTCCCGCATTGGAGACGTTCGCAAGCAAACCACCCGTTGGCCTTGCTCCTACCTTGACGCAGCCTCATGCCTCGCTGATGCAGCACCCGTCAAGGTGCTCGTCTTTCGCCGACTAGGTCATCTCCAGGACCTCTACTATCAGCAGGCGCCTGCTGAGGAGATTGAGAAGGCCATTGCAGCTACATTGGAGGTCTACAACCATTGGAAGATTACATATGGTCTATTTATTGGCGACTGTGTGCGCCACCACGAAAGCCTACCGTCTCGAATTCAGTCTTGGTATATTCTCCTGGCCAGCCACTGGCACTTGGCTATTCTTTTGCTGGCCGATTTGGTTGAGAAAATGGACGAGTTGCACATGACCCTGCATGCCAACCGGACCACTAGGCAGACGACGGATTTCGCGCAAGCCTTGCGTCTACACTCTGTTTACGCTGTGTCCGACCTGGGCCGGTGTTCTCGTTTAAGCAACGAGGAGCACTCCTTTTCGCAATCGCCCGATTTTCACCATGCGGTCAACAAGGCGGCCCTGCTCACGGAGCCTTGGACAGTGGTGCTGGTGCGCTCGTTTGCCCACGCAGGCGAAGTCCTTGTTGACCTGGTCCTTTCAAAGCGCGCCACCGGTTTCTTCATGGATGCAGTCAACCTCGCAGAAGCGAGGAGCCGGCTCGATGATTGTATTGAAGCCTTGTGGCTGATAGGCCGGAAGAGCGATATGGCACTTTCTGCAGCGAAGATCTTGCAAGAGGCTGTCGACCAGGGCTAACATGAAATTTACAAGCAGCAGCTATGTGCGCAAAGAAGTGAAGCATCTCGGGGCTTTCTTGTTGCACCTTCACTTCGAGCCACGACGTTATCGATTTATTCTTGCTCAACGCCTGAGTGACGCTTCATATGGGGCTCGGCCTGGACTCATGCATGCAAGACTAGTCCCGGTTCGTGGGTACGCTCGGATTTGGCAACGCAGGACCAAGGATCTGTTTTCCTGGTTCAGCGGCCGAGTCCTGCAAGGGTCTGACCGACCTGCTGCTGCCTCCTCCCCAGTCTATCAGCTTGGGACGAATCCGCGGGCCGGGTACGTCCGTGAAGCGGACAATCTGCGGTTGGCGAGGCTTACAGTATCCGCACGACCTCCGCCTCGCCATCATGCGGATCCGCATACAGGAAATGCAGGAAATGTAGATCCTGGGGGTTTCTCCACGCGGGGAACTAAGCGAAGCTGTTGTCCGGGGAATTGGAAGGCCAGACTTCCCGTGTTGCCACGACTGAGTGCGGTTTTGTTTCTGCTCTGCGTAGCATAGAACCGTTGATTTCACCGTTTGGTGACTGTTCCTTCATCGCATCCGCATCCTCCAGCAGGCCAAGAGGGAAGAAGCGGCCCGGGGTAAGGGACGCTTGAAAGGCATTGCTTGTTTGCCCGCGACAACCCGACACCAGTCATCTGCCTCTTTACAGCCATTTCATTCTTTGAGCCGGCCGTTGCTGCTGAAGGGGATCTTGTGACCGTGACGATGAATGAAACCTCTTCATGTGGCAGTGGCAGATACCTACCGGAGAACATTCGCTACGCAGTCACCTAGCTACCTAAGACAGCGAGTCCTTTGCGTGGGGGCCCACCCAGTGTTTCCACCTACAAACGCGCCGCGGCCCATCTCCCTGGCAAGACAGGCATGGTCAACGACATCTCATTCATCCTGAGTATGCTCGGACCACGGTAAGGATTGGATCGAGCGGACGATTTCATCAGAGACCGGGGCCACAGCCTTCATGACCACGAGCGATTTTAACACCGGATATGGGATTAGGAACGGTAGTGTCAGAAATGAGTGAAGAAACCAAGGTTGACTGAATCATGGATTTCTGGAGCGCTTCGTGATGTTGCATGATTTGAAGCACCAGCGAGGCTTTACGATATCAATGCAACAGGCTCTGACACCTTTCCTTCTGGTGATGGCTCGAGAAGCTAGTCCTGGATTCGAAGCGGCATCTTGACACTGTGTCCTGCTCAGACCATGGGTTCTTCAGGCAGCCCTCGCCTGTGTGCAATCTCCGATGCCAATTTAGACTCGTAGGCAACAACGTTTCGACGGACACATGCACCGAAGTGACAATAAGGCCATTGGAGAAGACGCCGGTAGCACTCTCGAGGTCCACAATGAGGCAGTCAGGCACAAATCTCTGAACTGTGTAGGCATGGAAAATAGAAGGGCCGGTGCAAGTGACAGGTTACTCAGCATCCTCTTCGGGGAAATCGTTCCCAGATTGGAGACGAGGCCGCTTGATCTTATCGCATTCAGGCAGTGCGGGGCATCACCACGCGAGGGGCAGGAGGGACTAGGCCCTGGCGATCAATGGGAAGCTTCCTCCCCTGCGTCAAGGTGGGCCGTTCACGCCGTTAGACAGTTCACGGGAAAGTGAAGTTACGGTGAGCTGTTCTTTACAACCAGGTGAACTCTGTCCCTTCGACTCGTGCGTTCAAGATACGTGTTCACACTGTTGAAAGACATATTAAAGAGCCAAATCCTTAGGCGTTGACCTTACCTCCTCATCCTCTGAACCAACTTCTCACAGCCGCAGACATGTCTGGCATAATCTACCCTGAGCTCAAAGATCGACCTATCAAAGAGACCATCTGTCTCTTTGATGTCGATGGCACACTCACCCCGGCCCGGCTGGGCGTCTCCCAAGAGGTGTTGCAGACCTTGTCGCAGTTGAGACAGAAGTGCGCAATCGGTTTCGTAAGTACGCGGCAACTGAAGAGAAGAGGCAGCGCGTTGAACTGACCTTTACCTCTGCGTCCAGGTTGGAGGGTCAGACCTCAAGAAGCAGGAAGAACAACTGGGCCAACCTTCTCTGCCAGCCACCGCCCTCTTCGACTTCTGCTTTTCCGAAAATGGCCTCACATATTACCGCGAAGGCAAAGAGATGGCTTCTCATTCGTTCATTCAATGGTTGGGTGAAGAGAAATACCAGAAGCTGGCCAAATTCGTTCTGAGATACCTGTCTGAGCTCGAAGGTCTGCCTCGGATGCGCGGCACATTCATCGAGTTCCGAAACGGCATGGTCAACATCAGCCCCGTGGGTCGTAACGCGAGCAAGGCCGAGCGAGACGAGTTTCAGGCTTGGGACAACAAGACCAAATGCAGAGAGCAGATGATTGCCGCAATCAAGAAGGAATTCCCTGACATTGGACTCACGTATGTGCTATCAGGATGCTTCCGGGGGGGTTGATTAACTGACGTGGACTTAGGTACTCGATCGGCGGTCAAATCTCCTTCGACGTGTTCCCTCACGGCTGGGACAAGACATACTGCTTGCAGCACGTTGAAGCCGAAGCAGATTCCAGCAAGCCAGGTCGCTCGGGCATCCACTACAAGAACATCCACTTCTTTGGCGACAAGGCCTTCCCCGGAGGAAACGACTGGGAGATCTATGATGATCCTCGTACAATCGGTCACGCTGTCAAGGGCCCCGAGGACACCATCGCGCAAGTCAAGAAGCTCTTTGATCTTTGAGTTGCAGATCATAATGATGGTTGAGCGGAATGATTTGAGTTTTCGATTCGACACTTTTCTGCAAGCGTGGTGAGCCATTGCATGCGCATTTACAGGTTAGAAGGATCTTGCGGCTAGACAGTTGCCCATAGCATACAGCGGAAAGAAGGATAGACGAAAAGCCGTGGGATCATGTCTAGTATTTCGAGCCGGAGTTGATCACAACGGAAAGAAAGCGGGTCCAAGATTCTTTGCTTGGGATATCCTTTGCCGTTGATACTCAGTCGTTGATGCGCCCCCAGTCCCGACTCTGCCGGTGTGCGCTTGTTCTCAGCACAAACATTGCAGTGTGATCTATCGCCTTCTCCGGCTCGAAGGCTTTCCCAGACACCCACCGAAGCAGACATTGATGTGTCATTTTCGTGCTGCTCAACCTCGTACCTCAATGTGTATTACTGGTGTTACGGTGTACTCCATCCGCGTCTCGCGTTGACCTGAGCGAGCGGAGAGCCAACTTTCCAGCTGCGCCACAGTTCCAACGCACGCCTGCAAGAGGCTCCACGAACTGATGTACGTAAAGCCATGCATGCGAGTGCAACCGCCAGCTGAGCGCTGAGGCGTTCGGACGAGATATATCCCTCTCCTATACATTCAGCATCTGGTCAGCTTGCATTATGTCAGCGGTACTCGTACTCCGTATCGACCATCAATTTGTTGGGTTGTAGGTGTATCCATCCACGAGCACATCTCACGCATTTTGGCATTGTGGAGAGCCAGAGTAAATCGCTTCCCGTAGCATACGCGATCCACCCAGACAACCTGGAAGCCCGTGAGCCGAATCGACTCACATATCAAGCCTCGCGACCTACTGTGTACTTAGTTTTTACTACGAATTTACTGCTGTTACAACTACCCGCCTCACGCCACAGGCCGTGTGGAACGAGCTGGAAGATCAGGTATCCTCGGATCGTACTGTACTCCATACTCGTACCGAAGATGGGAAGCAGTGGCTGTGCACCCACCTCCAACTCGATACGAGGGACGCACGAATCGGAGTGCCTTGTAGGTGCGAATCCCACGAGGGGTGAAGCACGAAGCAGGCGTGGCAAGCTGATGACCGCATGCGAGTTCCCTTTCGGAGCCCCATGCAGCTTTCTAGTCTCGGCCCATGCAGAGCCGGGCGGATCGGATGAGACGGCCGCTGCGGAGAGGGGACCTCGGATGGGCGTTGAGAGCTGCATGCATACTGTGTACTGTGGTAGACACGGCAGTGAATGGGATTGACTTGGTATAGTAGGTACCTGCACAGGCACCCTCGCCTCGGATGGCGCAGGCATCATCTGTGGCGCTGTGGCACAGTGATTACGCGGTCCAGGACGAGGTGCATCGGTAGGTACGGAGTAGTACATCAGCTCATCAGTACCTAGGTACTTAAATCGGGGCATACTTAACTTTGAGGTCCAATACGGCTTGAGTGTACGAGTGGGTATATATCAGACATCATTGCCCAAGGCACACTCACAGTCCGAGTTTTACACTCATACATTCCTCACACTCACACGTCTCTGGCACTCACACTCGTTTGATACACCTTCGACCGCACTCCCTCTGACTCTTGGCCCCCATCCCCTCTTTTACTGAACCTCGCTGGCCTCTCACAGCCAGCCCACTTTACTTACCGGTCCCTCGCCCTCGCCTTTCCTAACCAGCAGCGGCAGCATCAGCAGCAGTTGCAGCAGCAGCAGCACCACCACCACCACCTCTCAACACCGGCTCCCCAGACCACTAAGTTAGCTACCCCCATACGTATCCCGAAGTTCCACGCCGACGGTCTATCCACACACCCACACAACCACATACCCCCTCCATGCGAACGCTCACGCTCCGACGAAGCATCTCCGGCGGTCTGCGGAAAGGATGCTCCCTAGCATCCCTTCCCGAACAACTCTACTGCGGGGTCGCGCACGCGGTGGTCCTCTTCTGGACGTACGGGCATTTGGCCAGGAGGGCGCCGACTTAGGATTCCACAGCCGGTGGAGGTGGATGGTGAACCGTGAACCGTGAACCGTGAGTTGACAGCTGATGTTCGATGGTGAACCGTGGGCAGTGAGCAGCAAACATGGAACAGCCCATGATGCACAGGCCCATGCTGTATCGTGAACATGGCGATGAAGAAGGGCTTGTTTCGAAACGTTTGAGTCAGGCAAACTGTTACAGTAGACCACGACCCGCCGCACCACACGGCGCCACGCCACACCACACCACACCACACCACACCAGAAGGGCAGAGATCAAAATCGAAAGTGGAATCGGAAATGACAGGCTCGAGGTCAGGTGAATCGTTGGACCACGACATACCACGCCACACCGCGCCATACCACAAGGACAGAGATCCGAATCGAAATCGAAATCGACATCATATTCAAAAGTGCGAGCAAAAGCAAAGCAATGCAAAGCAAAGCAAAACGAAGCAGAATCGTGATCAAACTCGACCATCATTTCAAACTATTGTAGCCGACTAGCTAGCTGTAACAGTGGCCCGCCGGACAATGCTCTTCGAAGATGCTTCTCAAGGGATGCTCTTCGATTATGTCCCGGGCCAGATCCGTCTCAACACAACGACGACAGACCGGGGCGACCGCGTGGCCCACGGACCACGAGCTTTACGCACTGCACTTCCGCCAGTCGTTATGATCCTTGCAACCCGATCAACTGGCGCGTGACGGTGTGACAGGTAAACATGCAGCATGCACGCACGTCAAAAGAGCGCACGGCTCACGCGTCTCCCGACGCTCATGTTGCGAGGCTCAGGGTCCTCATCAGCCGGGATATCCTGGAAGTCTCTGCGGCCGGTATCCAGATCCATCTCGTGGACTTTGACCAAGAAGCCTCTGTCGCGGGTCCAGAGCTTCCAGAACACAAACAGTGTGATGGCAATGGGAGCGGCGATGTAGCCCTCGAAAAAGGACTCGGCGCCACCCGTGGGGGTTCCGCCAATGGGGAACAGGTCGACGTAGAACGTCGCGGCGAGGGAACAGACAACGAGGAACAGACCCAGGTAGCTGCCGTAGACGCCGACCTGCGAGCGAAAGGGCAGGTCGTCGAGCGACCGGCCGGCGGCCTTCCACCCTGCGCGGAACCGGATGTGGCTGAGACAGATGGAACCCCAGACGAAGAAGGATGACAGGCCCGTGAGGGCAAGCAGCCAGTTGAACACGGTCGAGCCCGTCTCGGCTTCATTGATAAAGGCCAGCAGCCCAAAGGCCATCTGAATGATGACGGGCCACACGGGACGGCCCTTCTTGTCGATCCATGACAGGAACTTGGGGCCCATGCCGCCCTGGGCAAGGGCTTGCATGGTGCGCGTGGAGCCGTAGGTGCACGAGTTGGCCACGGACATGACGGAGATGGTGATGACGGCGTTGAAGACCGACGGGAGGCCCTTGACTCCCGCGTACTCGATGGCCAGCACAAAGGGCGAGGCCTTGGTGTTGGCGCCGCTCGAGTTGAGCAGGTCGGGCGAGCTGTTGGGCACGATGAGGCCCATGATCAGGAGCGAGACGACGTAGAAGCCAGTGATGCGCCAGAAGACCTGCTTAGTCGCCTTGGGCAGCGACTTGCGCGGGTTGGCGGCCTCGGCGGCCGCGAGACCGACGAGCTCGGTCCCGCCAAAAGCGAATGCGGCGTTGACAAAGACGGAGCAGAAGCCCTTGAAGCCTGAAGAGATAGAATCAGTATGCGCCGCCTAGTAACAACCTGTGGAAATCTGCTGCCTCACCATTGCGGAAGGCCCTATTTCCGTGTTCGGTGTCAGCCCAGTATCTGAAGCCGATGTATCCACGGTCGTCCCCGGGCACGCCACCACAGTCGACGACGATGCCGAAGATGATAAAGCCCAGAACAGCGATGATCTTGATGATTCCGAGGACGAATTCGACTGTAGGAGATTTCCGTCAGCTTCGAATCTCCGGTCTGCCCCAGTATTCCACCTACCCTCTCCGTAGCCTTTGACGCCGAAGAACTGGACGATGATCAAGGTGGTGAGGAAGACGGCAATCCAAATCCCAATGTTATAGTGATGCCAGTAGTCGATTGTGAGACCTTATTAGAGCTCCATCAGTCCCCTGTATCCACACCTTGGGCCGTCCCGATACTTACCAGCAGCCGTGATCTCGAAGGGCAGTGTGATGAGCCAGCCGATGGCCTGTGTATCTTGCCGTTAGAATAGATCCCACCGGACTCGTAATCCACGTACATATTGCCAACCCATGGCAAAGCCCTGCAATGCTCCTGGTCAGATGATAGTCGCACGCGGGGGGATAGATGTGGTACAAACCCAAGCAGGATCGATAAACCGCACACCATAGACGTAGAAAGCTCCATTGACCGGGTATAGCACTGCCAGTTCCCCAAGCGCCTGAACGGTACACAGCAGCATGACGCCGATGATGATGAAACCGAGGAGGAGCGACGCCGGGCCGCCGGACTGGAGGGAGGATCCTGAGCCGACGAAGAGACCCGCGCCGATCGAGCCACCTGTGGCGCATAGTGTAAGTAGGACAGCTTCGCAGGATGAGACACGCCATACCGATCGCAATCATCTGCATGTGGCGCCCTTGCAGCCCGCGGCTGAGCTTCTGCGGCTCGTGAGTTCCCTCCTCAACATCGGGCGCCAAGTCGGTGGGCGTAGCCTCCTTGGAGTCGTCGGCGATCTTCTCGCCATACGCGGTGTTGACCATGACGGGCGATTTGAGGTGAAGAATCAACACACTCGTACAGAGAGCGTGTGGCTGACAGATGGAGAGAGAGCGCAGTCGAGCAAAATGTTGCGTCCTCCCCCCAGCCTTTATCAATGCACATGGACGCACATGGACGCCATGCCGGAGTGTTTCCAGAAGGTCAAGCCCGATCGACCTGCCCAAGAAGCGGCAAGCATTGCGCCTCGCTTCTTGGAGCAAGCTTGCTTATCTTGGTGTTCTTCCTTGCACGAACCACCGCCGCTCACTGGCTCTCGCATTGCCACGCGATACCATGGTATCACGGAGGTTAGACAGGAGCGGCCAAGGCTGGCGAAGTGCCTGGGGAGGCGTGGCTCGAGTCCAATCTAGGCTGCCGAGCCAGTAGATGGGTGTCTTGCCCGATGATGACTGATGTCTTTCCCGTACTGTGTAGGGAGCACAGGATAACGGGGCAGTCGCAAGGCATGCTACCTCGTAGGACATCGCCTGACCCGACAGGGGTTGTTCTGCGATTCGAGATAAGGGAATGAGCTCTGCGAGATGCCGAGCCAATCGCGGTCCACAATAGCATCGGGTCCTTCCAGCTGGCTGCCAGTGTCATGTCGGTCGCTCGCGAAGCTCAAGCAGTGGCTCTGCTTGCCATGACCTTGCACGGATCGAGGCCGGCGCAGCCATAGCGTCCTTCCCTGCGAGTCCTTCGTGTCACGTCGCAAACCGGTGCGGCAACGTGACAGGAAGGTGAAAATCAGCCAAGCCCTCTGACCTGCGTCCACAGCCGATCCGATAAGCAGGCCGCCATGATCTTCTCGGCCCTCTTCGGCAGCAGTAGATCAGCCTACTGTGTATGTGAGCGAGACGCGATCCCGAAGGTGAAAGGCGAGGTGGCAACGCGAATCACAAGCAGCTTCGGTCAGTCGTGAAGAGGATAAGCAGGAAGTTCCATAGAGAGAGAACACGACTTTGGTAACGCGCAGACGCAGCCGGAGCAGGCCCCCCCAGCCATCAGAGCTCGTGAACTCGTGACTGTCTTGCTCGACAACTGCGGATGGTGGAAGGAAACTGCCGTCCGAAGAAAGCGAAGACCTGGATCTCGCCAGATACCCGAGTAAGGAGCGACGTATCATGGCAGTCCAAGAAGTCATTACTTGCGTACAGAATCCGACGAATGACCCTTGTACTTGGCAGGGCGCATGGTCGCGGTAGGGGTCACAGCAACAACAATGTCGACATCGGACGAACACGACCGCACACCAGCACTTGTTATCGAGTCGTGAATGATCTCTATTGGTATCATGGCGTTTGAGCTCACTTGTCGTCGCCTACTTGTTCACGTAGTCGTCAAGTACCTTCTATATCCACGGGTCTCTACCCGGTCATCAATGGCTTTCGTCGCTCTGCAGCATTCCATTCTCTCAGTCTCTTTCCGTCAAAGACATCGTCTCAGCATTTTGAGGCCCTGTTTCCTTCCAGAAAGCCTCATCGTCCAAGCCCAAAAACAAAAAGTGACGGATCCGCCAGCGCCATCGCTGTGTAGGAGAACAAAATAAAGAGGAGAATATCGGAAGATTCCGCAGCGCCAAGCTAGCGCTCATACTGCGGCAGATCCGGCCCCGTATGATCATGGTTCAAGGTGTCTACGCTGTACTCGTGGTGCTCATCAATCGTGGGCGCAGTTGGGGCCGTAGACGTTGCAGCCGCGCAGCGACGCGCCTCTGCTTCGTCCTCCAATGGCGGCGCGCTAGTCTGCGCAAAAAGCCGGCGCCGCTCTAACTCTTGCTTGTCATCGCTATGTCCAGCATTGCCAATAGGAGGTGGTGGGGGCGGAGGGGACGTCGAGTACGGTCGTACGGTGTCTCCGGACCTGGTGGAAGATGTGACGGAAGCAGCAGGGTTCAAAGTCGACGGCGTCCTGCTTCCGTCGTTTTGATGCCCAATTCCATCCGGTCCCGACTCCGACGATAGATCTGGGGCTGTGGGAGCGAACGGAACACCGCTGTTGGAGCCTTCCCCTTCCTGCGGGGGTTGACTGGGTTCCAGTAGCTGTTCGAGCCTGCGAAGTCGAGTTTTCTCGTCCTCCTCTTGAGGTTGCGGAGGCGGGATCATTTCAGGGGTCGGGGTGGGATATTCTGGGTAGTGATTCAGCTCATACTCGTAGTCGTACCCGTAGCCCTCGTGGTAGGGGTATCCCGCTTCGTCATAGTGCTGTCCTTCGTAAGCGCCATCGTGATAATGCCAGTCGTGCCAACCCTGCTCTGGGCCCAGTGTCGTATTCTCCGGAACTTGGTATTCGGCTTGCTTGGTCTGCCTTCGCTTCCTGCCACTATCTTGCGTGCCGACCACGAGTGACATTTCAAACGTGATCACACTCTTGGTTCGACGCAACGCAGATGTGTCTAGAATGGAATGGGACCAATCCGAGGTCATCTGATTGCCAGCGTCAGAACTCGGCGAAAACGTGGGCTCATTGGAAGTAAGTCTCGGCCACAGTCGTGTCTCTCCCAATTTACCGAACAAGTCCACCACGACCTCCACGTGATATGTGAAAGATATCATGCTTCCCGGCACATTTGAGATGCTTGGAAATGAAGCGTCGGGGATTTTCAGAGATGTTGTGATGTCTGCGGTCATGGTGTTAGGGTTGACGATCAGCATAGTGGAAGATTGGGCCAGATCCTTTCGAAAGGCGCTGTTGGGAGAGGCCGCGGAGAAGTACAGGCCGCCCAGGCCCGTTCGCGATTTTGGATAGACGTCTTCGTACTCCATTTTCTTCCCCTTTCCCGACCTGTTCGGAAGCGGCAGTGGAGGATGCATATCGATTCTCGCCAACCGGTACAGGGTGGCGATGACCATACCGCGTGCATCAGCCTTCGTGTGCGTCACCGAGACTCGAATCGGTACCATGTCACCCGGCAACGCCCCATGTCTGGGTAGTTCGGTCGTCGCAGTGATGGTGTTGGCAGATGATGATGTCGTATTACTTCGATCGTCGCTGTTCTGCGGGCTTGACTTGCGCAGAGGCGATTCGTTGTCGACAATATGAAAGCTGGGGGAGCTTGGCGTTGTCCCGCTCGTATGCATTGTTTCCTCGCTCGCTGCAGGGCTCAACGGAGGACGAGCCACGGAACTTGTGCTCCGACTTGCGGTGCTATTCTGAGTATTATTCCGCGTTAAGCGTCCAGCACCTGCGCTCGACGTTGTCTGGGTGGTTACGGACGAGCCAGGCTTGACGACCTTGACTTTGCCACGCTTTGATAGAGGTTCCAACGTGATGACGCGGGATTTGGGGGTGGACATCGGCTCGATATCAATCAGATCTTGGAATTTTATCCGCGTGCTGCGGCTAGTTACTGGACTGATTGTCGTTGGCCGGGTGAGAGTGGCGGTAATCATGTAAGATATTGTGCCTCGCTCGAACTGCCCCATGATTAGCACCACCCAGCGAAGGTGAGAGGATCAACCCACATCAATCGTGCTCGGGAGACCCTTGGTGGGGAAAGATATCTCAAACGCGAACTTGTAGACATGTTTCTTGAGAAAGCCATTGCCACAGAGGACCTGCTCCTGCTGGAAGAGTGACGCAAGCCCGTTGCCATGATATTGTACCCCTCTCGACCCCTGCCCGTTGAGCAGCCCTTCAGCTGCCGGCACACCTTCGCCCGGCGGTATCTGATGTTTGTAAACCTTGGCGTACCCGTGTAAAGCGACGACCAGATGAGTGATATCGAACCCTTTCAAGACCGTGAGAATGACATGCCCTTTGACCGTCTGACCAGGCGAGTACGTTCTGAAAGGGTCCTCGGGCTCAATGGTGATATCAAACATATTCCGTGCATGTTTCGCGAGCGGGTTGGTCAAAAAGGACAATATTGACCGGGGCCGTGGCACGGGCGGATTCGGGTTCGTGAGTAGGGACTCGAGAGGCATCGCCGTCAGGACCTGAGCCATGCAGTGCTATAAAGGAGGTGTCAAGCAGTGCATCGTCGTCTTCGCATGCAGGTATGGCTGTGTATGTTTTGAGCGAGGAGGATTACGGTGACGAGAAGTTGTCGAAGTGGTAGAACGGCCCAGTCTGCGCATTTACCGGAGAGAGCTGAGGCTGGGAGGCGCGAGCGTCAGCTTCGTCATCAATTAGACCCGGTTGTGCGCCAAACTCGCAGGCTGCGTACTGGTATAACGCTTGTGTAGTAGCTGAGATGTAAATGAGACGTGTATGCAATTATAGACGACATGCAGACCAGTGGTGAAGTCGAACGTTGAACGCGGTCGAGGAGTGCAGGCGGGCTTCGGAGGCTATGAGGCGGCGCCGACACGGGCTTACGGCGGCTGCGACTGATGGCAAGGAGACGATGCGTCGTGTGCCCAAGGACTAAGGCGTCGCGCGGTGAAGTGCAGGCTGCGGTCGACAACGGCTGCAATGCTGGATTGCTAAACAGAAATCTGGCCAAGCTTCGGTGGACAGCCGTAATGAACCCACGGCGATGGTAAGCTGGGGCATCTGAATGATGCTTGTCTACAAATTCAAGCTTCGGTGCTTGGCAGGTCGAGAACTCGGTGGGCCGATGGTGAGAACACTCGCAGGAAGAAGTGCAAAACAAGAAGTGGGAGCAAGCAGCGTCGAGGGCCCTAGCCGAGGGGCACTGCGCACGCGGGCACCAGACTCGGGGAGCAAGGGATTGAGCTTAGGCTTGTTTAGAGGCGCAGCTCGGGCGGCTGGGCGGCTTCCAGTTGGTGGCCACGGGGGCTCCACGGTGTCTGCCCCTCCCGCCCGCATGATGATTGGTGTACCATTAGGTGCCATTTCGCAAATGCCACCGAAGTAATCGCTACGAGCAAGTGACCCAACAGGAAGGTCGCCGGCTGAGAATGCTGCCGCCTACAGCAGTGTCTAAGTTACGGTAATTACATTGACAGAGTTGTTGAAGAGAAACACCGACGACGCTATGTTGTTTCTTGTCCTGCTGACCGAACGTCGAAACGAGAGATCAATGGCTCACAAGGAACAAAAGAGGACGCCTAAGCACGCGTGGTATTGCGTGTCATTTGGGTCGGATGATTGCCCCATTTCAAGGCCTGCCGCCACTTCTCCCACTCGGGCGACTTCGGGGTGGCGCTGGCAGTGACAGACCGTTGGAGCATTTGCGCTTCGTCAAGCTTTTCATCCGGGCAGGTGCAGGCGGGAGGACGCACCATCGGCCACTGAGCGACGAGAACTTTTGCGGAGTACAGCAATCGAACTCCGAGTGTCCAGTGAGATGTCAGTCAGCCGACTACCGACGACACTGTGATTAGGCCAGGCGTCGGCAAGACTAGAGGATTCGCACTCCTATGGCCAGGTTTACTGCTCTGGATGGGCTCGAATGCGAATCATGCGAGATTTTTGTTTCAGCCGGCATCGTACTCGGCACGCTCGATGGTCAAACCTGATCGAGACTTCAACGTCGTCGCTGCTTTTTAGCTGGTGACTCGTCCTCCTTCAAGCTGTCCTCGTCCTCATCCTCATCCTGCTCGCGATGGGCAGCTCCCGCCGGCTTCACCCTACCCTTGACCTGGTGCTTGGTCAATTCTGTCTCTCCCAGTCCGTTTTCCAGACCTTTGGGCTCCACGAAGACCATGTCTCCGTTCTCGCCTAGGGCGTCTTTCACCGCTTCTTCGAGAAGAACCCCGATCGCAATGAGCGCTGTCTCATCCAGAGTCTTGAAGTCGAATTTGCCTCCTTGTGCCGTGGCGGAGGCGTAGAAATCTGATGCGTAGGTATGGACTGCCTTCAGCATCTCGGACTCTGGTAGTTTGCTTGAGCCACGAAGCGTGCTAGACAAATCGTATTCTTGGTGGATCACATCCTCTGGAATGGTGGCCCGGCCGAGAAGGACTTCTTCGGGTGAGATGGGCAACACAGTTTCCGACAGTCTTTGTTCCTGGGTCAGGAACCCGTTTCGACCTGCTCGCCCTGCGACAGCATCGTAGACAGTGATGTGCCGTGGGCCCATGGATGAAACTCTATCTTTGGGCCTGAATTCTTGTGCCGCGCCTTCTCCTGGAGAGGCATCTTTGCTTCTAGTCGCCCTTCCGCTCATGTTGTCTTTCGAGGCGACTCATCTCTGGGGCGGACAATCCATATTCTCCTGGCTTTGCGATCCGAGATGCAACAGGTGTGGTGCGCGGGGAAATATCAAGTTGTCTCGCTGGAAAATAAGAGTATAGCACGCTGATGAAAAGTTGCTAGAATGTGAGATGATTGTGAAGCGTCAGTGAATGAAACTGCAAGGCTTATCTCTTCGGTATGCCAAGCCTTGGTGCTCCTGACGAGGCTGACACATCCGGGGACGGCCATATTCTTCTCGACGTTATAAATGCCCGATTACATATTGATCCTCAGATCGCTCTTTCATGGCTATCTCGGCTTCTGCCCAATTGTCGTGTAATAGGTGGTAAAGAATACTCGGCCCTGCCTGATGTCTCCCAGAGTCCCCTCCACGGCAAGTTCAAAGCTGTCCGACACCTCCTTCGTGGCCGTCAATCTTATGCCCTTGCGAATATCGGTCAGAGCCCAAAGGGCGTTATCGGTCTCCTGTCTGGATAGCCAGGGCACCGGCGGCATGTCCACGTCGCGGAGGTTGATCAAGCCGTGGCGCTGGAGTTCCTGGCCAAGATGCCGCAGCCATTCTGTGCAGCCATACAGGCTGGTTAACTGGTTCGTGATCGCAGGGGGTTCTTGAAACGTTCTCCGTCCTCTCATCGGGTCACTCATGGCTTGGAGCAGTGGTACAGTCGCGTCGGTCCATTGAATGTAGCCGCCGGGCTTTAGAAGTCTAATAATATTATGCATCACCCAGTCTTTATTCTGGCCGTACACCGCCGCCATGATCAACCGGCAATGCACAATGTCAAAGCGCCCAATGTAGCGCTCTGGCATGGGATGGAAGATATCATGGATTTCCAGCGTCACCTTCTCCGGCCATGTGAACCTTGGCGGGAACTGCTGCGGCGATATGTCGATACCGGTAATATGTGCCTGCGGGTACGCGAGGGCTATATCCAGCGCCCAGATCGCGTTCCCGCACGCCACATCTGCGATCTCAAGAGCCTCACGGTGCTTGACCTGTTCCACAATCTCTGGATGTAGTAACCAGCCCAATCTTCTCAGAAGGAGGTAGTGCTGCGCTGTCAGTCTGCCCGAAGCCAAAGTATCGGGGGTCATGCCGGCCGGGTCTCGGTGGGCTGCGTCAAGTATGCGGGAGGGGGCCTGCTCTTGATCGCTCTCCGATGAAGGCGAGAGACATTAGACAAGGCACCATCAGCAAGCATTCGCCCTTCTCTTATGGTGAAACCGAGTTGCAATGAATACTCAACGACGATCGCGGAACCAATTCTGCAACACCGGACAGATGCAGGGACCCAAGCGGACCATATGGGTAATTCGTGACCATGGATCTGATATCAAATTGACCCTCGTGCCCAGCGATGCCTAGCTCAAATACGGCGAGGATCCGTCAAGCACATCGAATGCCAGCGCACTAGTCCAGATGTCCTCGCTAAGGCCGTCCAGAACTGCGGCTACTATCCGAAGTAACCTCTGAGATGTCCTGTATGCTCGCGACGGCGCCCAAAGCAGCCTAGGTTGGCGAGCGGGCAGATTCGACTTTCGTGCCGCACTATGTCATGTATACGGTGACCGGATCGCATGCACCCGCGCCCGCTGGCCTAAGCTGTGAAGGACAGTGTCAATGCATAGAGCAGTCGATATTCCTCAAGCAGGCTGTCCCTGGAGGCCGGCTCCTGGCGGATGGGCAATGATGGTAGGTGTCCACCAAATCCCGATCAGCACCAAACTTGTCGTTTGAGGTGTTCTGTGTAACTGCATGCAGTCTGCAGGACAGCCATGAGATTGAGATTGGATGCCTGAGGTTGTGGGGACCTCGTGCTTTGGCATTGACCTTGTGGAGTAGAGGATCCGGACTGATAGTGTGCCCTTGTCAAGGGCTTGCCCTCATGGTTACTCTTTCGAGCGAGGGCAGGCAGAGTAAGGCCACCCGCCAATGCAAGGAAGGAGAAAGAAGCTGCCGAATTCTCGATTCTAGCGTCTGCCACAACGCAAACCGCTGATGGAATTAGTTGGTTAAACGAGGTTCAGATGTCTGGAGAAAGCTGGATGGAGTAGGTGAAAGGCTGGCGACGAGAATAGGCAGTAGGTGGGTAGCGCACCTACGGTTCTCTGATCCTAGCACGTAGTTGAGCGAAATTCTTCCAATCTTGCTTCAATGATCGCGCTGGCGAGCACTGGAGGCGTACAGGAGCGACGTTGTGCTGCAATCCATCTCCATAAGTTCAATCCGGGTGCTGAGATACCTGTCTAGGACGTGCTTCACAGTGAATTCCCATACCCCGTGAGCGCCGAACCTACAAGGTATAGTTTTTGTAGACATAAACTGGTCAACAAATCTACCATCTCTCGAAACATTATCTTCATGATGGTGCGTTCAGGTTGGGGTTCTGCCCGGTGACTGTTGAAAACGGAGCACTAGTGTCCACTCTTGCTCGCGGATCTGGCACTGTGATAGGGGAATCGCTGATTTACTTTTTGGATAGTGAGAGGTATGCCTGTTCGATGCCGGCAGGAACCCGCCATGTGTGGATTTTTTTGGTGTTGCTTTTGCGATATTGTGAAGGGCCTTGCAAGTGAAGAAGCTCATGCCCATCGCTAAACCGAGGTCCGCCCTCGAGCACCATAGACTCCCGTCGTCGTCACTTGCTGTGCAAGGTGGCTTTCAAGATTCCTGTACTTGACTTGCTCGATGTCTCCCTGCTCGGTCCCGTCCTTGTTCTGAGGTTCCTGTTCAACCCGACCTATAGGACACTCAGTAGGCGGAGAGATCGTTATAGACCCCTTCGCACGTCACCGTAACTCAAGCTGTCCGAAGCTCTCCACGACCTGAAGCTCCTCTCGATCCGCATTCGATAGGGGCGCATTCCCGGGCCTGTCCACGACAACGGCGTGAAAGTTCGCGTCACGGGCCGCACGCACCTCCTTCACATTGTCACTCAGGAACAATATCTCCTCTGGCTCCCGCTGGAGCTCGGACGCAATCTTGGCATAACTGCTGCTCTCGTGTTTGGGACCCGCGTTCGTGGTATCGAACCACGCCGTGACCATGTCTCGGCGATCAACAACGGCCTCGAGGTCTTCGGGCCTGGCGGGGTCCTTGATATGTTGGAACAGCAGCTTTTGCGCAAAGATCGACCCACTGCTGTAGATGGCGATGGCGGTGGCAGGAGAAGAGGCCAACCCGTCCATCCACGCTAGCACATCGGCGTACACGGGTGTCGAGTACGCGCGGGATCGATACCCTTCTTCCCAAAGATAGCCTGGGGGAAGATTGTCGTGTCAGTACGAGTATTTTTGTTATCTGTCAGCGCAACGAAGTGACGCAGCGCGGGGATCATTATGCTCCTCCAGCTTTGCAGTGAACGGTGAACTGTACCTTGCAAGTCCTTCAGGTACGCGACCTTGACGTCCCGTGCGGTAAGATCCTTGACATGCGCCTCGAACAGCGCCCGCGATGAGCGGGCGGTTTCGGGAAATTTGTCGCGGTAGCCCTTGAATCCCTCGTCATCCCACTTCGTGGCGAGCACCTTGGGGAGCGCCTTGAGGGCGTACGGAAACTTGTTCGCCACGAATCAGCCTTCCGCGTTCAACCAACAGAATTGATGCGGTTGACAAGTCACAAAGCACAAAATGACAACCTCGTTACGCGTGAAATGAGAGGGGAAGTTGCCAGCTTACCAGCGTCTCTTTCACCCAGCTGATCGGACATATCGTGCCCTCTGATGCAACCATCCGTTGCCCAGGTTAGTCGAAAGCTCCGCTACTCGTAGCCATTGCAGGATAACGGTCCGGACGGCTTTGCGTACCTATGTCCAGCAGCACGGTTTTCACGTTCTTGAAAGATCGCACTGGCTTGTCTGAAGGCTTTCCCCCCATCCTAGCCACTCTCTTTGCCGTCGTCTCGAAAACTATTGCAGCTGCGTGAGTGCCTCTTGGTCAATCCCGTCGCCACTATCGAAGGTGGTCGGCTTGCATGACGACTTCGGGATCACAAGGAGGGTCATCGGTGGTGCCTTTGATGGAAAGCATGTCTAAGAAAGCATAGCAACGCAAGAGCTGGTGGCCTAGTGGGAGGAAGGCGTGACCGGTACCGGAGGAATGTTGTTCCGCTGCTATGCTACTGTATGGTCGACAAAGGAACAGCAACACCAGATCACTGATTTGACCATACAGTACACCCGCAGGCGACATCTCCAGCCTTCCCGAGGTCTGCAGGGGGAAGCGAGAACGAGTATATTGGCGCAGCACACGTGGCGAGCCAAGCAGGGATCTTCCAGCAGCTGTCTTAAGCGACAAGGCTCAGTGCCACAAGTTCTCTCGAGACCTGTACAGGTACAGAGCAACGCTACCGCAACACTAAAGACGAGGCGCACGAAGGTACCTTATATTCGCTTTTTTGACAGTTCAACTTGTGCTCAACTAGCGTGTGCCGTTGATGTATATACTGCAGCCGGCTGCTGCAACCTGTCCCTCTTTCAGCCTCCCAAGTGCTTACATTCTACACCACACCTCCTACATCCGATGGACGCTGCTGTTTTTCGACCACCTCCGGAAGGTCTTCCCGTAGAAGTAGAAGATAATGGCACACAGACACCACAAGAGTATGAGTGATGCGTTCGTCATGATGGGCGGGATATAGCCATCCTCCTCGATCCAGTTCTAAAATTCAGGTTAGCACACGCAATGTAGAAAAGGACGCAGAATGGAACATACCGTGATGAACTTGCTGAAGCCGTAACCCCAGACATTCTTGTTCACAGTGATAGCCACGAACAAGCTGCCAGCGACAGGCTTATAGCTGTCGACAGCGTATGTCGAGACAATACCAGGAATCGCCGCAACCTGGATACCAGCGCAGGTGTAGCCAATGATGACGATTGCCTGCCACGGCCATTCGTTCTCGTAGCCCACGCTGACGATGATGTTGCCAAAGTACATGATGATCACGTACGGAATCATGGCCAGCAAGCGCATTTCAGGCTCACGGATGCCGCCGTTTCTCGCCGTCTGGCGCGCCGAAACCCAGTCGGAGAAAGGCCCGGCTGTGAACAAGCCGATCATGGCACCGACCAGGATGGCAAAGTTGGTGAAGCCGATTTGCTCGGTGGTGAAGTTGTACGGAGGCGCAGCGAAGGCTTGAGTCTGGGTCAAGTTAAGGGTCAAGAACGAAGAGCAGCTCCAGCTGACGCAAAAGGCTGCCAGTTCGACGATGGGGAACGCAAAGAGCTTCCATGGAATCCAGAGATCGAGGAGGATCGCCCTGACGGGATCTGGGTTTGGTGTATAGAGACCCCATTGGGACTTGCTTGGCTTGCCACGGCCGAGCCAGGGGTCGCGAGCAGCAGTGTCGACGTGGCGCAGTTCGTTGTTTGCGGCCCCTTGTTCAAGAACACCGTCCCCTTGCTTTTCCGAACCCTCGACTTTGCCGCCTTGCTCAGCCATGGAACGTCTGATCACATCGCTAGGGTGCTGTCGGTGCCACTTCGTTTCCGGGAACATGAAAACAACCATCACGAGAGAAAGGGCGACCAGAGCGGTGTACAGCCACCAGAAATTCCTCCATCCGACGTTCTCGGCCATAGCCCCAGATATGATCGGGGCAACCATAAGCGATCCCATGTAGATAACCCAGTAGAGGGTGTTCCATTTGCCGCGATCGTGGAGGAAGAAGATGTCGGCAATGACGGCCGGCTGGATAGTTTCAGCAGGGCCCGCTCCGATGCCATTGAGGCTTGTGTTTGTTAGTGTGGCAACGTGTTTCGGGTCGAGAACAATACTCACACGCAGGCGCCCATGAAGGAGCCGTAGGTCTGTGCTCGGGCGCGCCAAATGGCAGAACCAAGACAGATCAATTGGGAGAAAATGTAGACAGGGCGGCGACCGAATGAAGTGCTGAGAGGTACCCTGAATCATGGTGAGTAAGTATTCGCTTTTATGGGCAGCTTCGGGGCATTACCAGATGAAGTTGCTGAAACCAAGGACGAGGATAGCGACACCAGTAAATTGCACCGCGTCGGCCAGGGAGCAATCGAACGCCTCGATGTAGTCGCCAAACATAGGTGCCAAGGAGAGCGGTCCAAAGCCTTGGGTGAAGCTGACCATACTAGATGCCACGATGGCGGCAAGCTTCCAGCTTTTCGCCCAATTTAACGGATCATGGGGATCCTCTGATGGTTGCGGCACCAGAACGCGATGGTTCTTGCCGACACTCTTGACGAAATGGTGGGATCCAATATCCGCCATCACCTCCGTGCCAGGAAGGATTTCAATGTGGAGCTCTTGCTCAATGGCATGGCGCTCCTGCGCGATTTGAATCAGTGTATGGTCAAAAAAGTCGCGTCGCTAGCCATACCTGCTCATCATAGTCTGCCTCCATGGCGAAGGAAATGGGATCGGGACGCTTGAGGACTGTGGACGAAGTGGAGGGCTACCGAGGAGGACGTGGAAGCCAAATGACGGAGGAAGACAGAATATATAGATGGTCGTCCAAATCAGCGATGGACACGGTCATGAGGCAATGCGGTCCGATCAGACCCTGACTAGAGCGAGTTGCTCAAGGCTGGAGGGCGCGTTCAAGCTTTGCCTAGGTCGACCTGCTCCTTGGCCCGGAGTCCTGCAGAGACCACGAGAGAGTGATCTGGAGTGCGAGATCCGGGGGTTGGGGGCCGCCATCTGCCCCGCGTAGCCATGTCCGTCCAGTGGTTCGTGGTAGCGTCCAGGTAGAAAGTAGGATGTTTCGCACTTGGGGGAAATGGTGCCGTTGAACGTGCGTCACCATCGGCAGCTGAATCGGCATTTGCCCAAGGCACGATTGCTCTGGCACCAAGGTGTCTGGCTGCAGCAAATGACAGGGAGCCTGAAGGAATCAAATATGGAGGCTTTCGGAAAACCCGACGAACCTCAACTTGATCCACAGGCTTCTGGCTTCTTTCCATGAGCAGCTTAACCAAGTACGGCAGGACGATTGATTGCCTGGACTCCTTACCCATTCGACCGCATCCGATGTGTGTCGCCTAATGTCTAGCAGATACGAGTAGATCTTCGAGTGTGCGTCGCAGTATTGGGACAGGATGACACGCTGATCCCCGGCAGTTGGAAAGATAAAATTCTGCCTTTGCTGAGGAGTCCATTGGTGTCTTGCTGTAGAGCTCTGAAATCCAACGCGCTTTCGGTTGCTCCCACTGTGTACGCGTATCTCTGTCGGAGTGTTTCCTCGTGCTTGTGGGTATTGGCATGCTTATCGTTGCTTGACGCCGAGGTACGATCTACAGTGGGTGGGAGGTGAGTGGACGGTGACTGGGGTCTCAGGGCCCTTCAGGTTTAAATCAATGCTTGGCAGCGTGCTTGATTAGGCGTGTGGCGGTCGCTTCCGGGGGGCTCTCAACCTTTGCAGTGCAGCAATGCCCCGAGAAGGGGAGTCCCTACTGTCCCTACTCCGTACCTACCTACTGTAGGTAGGTCGCAATCCTTATCACGTGAGTACAGTAACTTGTCTTTGTGGTTAAAGCGGTGTCTATTCCACTATCTGGTTTTCTATCCTCTACAGAAAGTCATGATTACAGCCTCGATCCGACTGATCTATCCAGCTACTGAACAAAGTACAGTATCACTGAATATCTCGACATCTGCATGGGTGCTGCAGGCATGCTTCGATTCCATCGTCATCATCGTTCATTACTCATCGCCCGTTGAAACCGACCCAGTGTCGTTTCTGTGCACCAACCGACCGCCCCTCACCCCTCTTCCGCAAACTGAACCCTAACCATCTGGTCCCTTGTTTAACTCACGGCCGATTTTAGGGCCACCTCAATCACAGAGTTGACACCACAATCCAGACGAGAGTGCCCAAGAATGCAGCAAAGAAAGGATCACAAGCATTTCCCAAAGCCACAGCCCCACCAGTGTGCGACGGCAGGGCACTCGAACTCACGCTAGAATGTGTACTGATGTTTGTGCTCGTCGTCGTGGCGATGGTCGTGAGTATACTGGTGCTTGTACTGGCGTGAGAAGTGGTCACGCCTGAAATGACCGGAAGCGAAAGCCGCGGAGGGTGATGGTGTTGCTGCACCCGGCACAGTACTCCCTCCGCCGAGGCCAGCATGGCTGGAAGTGGTAGCACCAGTTGCGCCGGTGGTACTGGAAGGCTGTCCTCCGCCATAGACACTAATGGTGGCGCCGATACCACTGCTCAATCCACAACCGCTCTCGTTGTTGCTGCTGCTAAACACCGGACCTCCTCCACGGGCGCCACATGCGCTCGTCACGAACGTGGTCGTCGACACTGTCGCTTTCACGGTGGTGTTAGGGATCATAGGACTACCTGTTTCGTCGCTGTGTGGACCAGGCCCTATGGGGGACACCGAGATTGAAGAGATTGCATAGTAAGTGCTACCTCCGCCTTCCGTCCCTGTGCTTCCCGTGCTCTTCCCGCATGGACTTGTTCTTGGCGTTGACACTGGAGGAGAAGTCGGAAGCCATGGACCACTTACCACGTTTGTGGAATGGGAAGCTGGAGGTAGGGCTGGCTGCGCAGGTGAAATTGGACCAATGCTTGCCGAGTGGGAGGCAGAAGGAATGGTAGTGCTCGTACTTGACGTTACGTAGACTGTGATTGATGCTGTTGTGGTGACAAGGATTGTGTCTGTAGTTGAGTTAGGTGTGTGGCTTTGCGGACAGCGCAGTGTTCCAGCGCAGTATGACACTGGAGGAATGCTTGAGAAAACGCCGGGACTCGACTGACTGGTAGACGAAGAGATCTGGGCGTACGTTGGAGTGGCGATGGGAGAGGTCGATTGAGAGACGGAGAATAGTGACGCACCTATCAATTTTGAAGCTGAAGGTGCGGGTGACATAAGTTGTGAGGGAGAAGTTGGTGGGGTGTAGGCCACCGACAGCGAAGTCGATGGAGGGCACGGGGAAGCATGAGAATTGGAAAGGTGCAGAGAGGACGAGTGATGACATATTTTGGGAGACGCAGAGAAATCCTGAGAGTATTGCCTCGTTCCAGTCAGAGGTGAACTTTGCAGAGTGGCGTCGTATCGAAGGAAAGAACGCACCGGATCTGTCGACGGTGTAGCATCCGGATTGCCAATCTGAGCGAATGCGCCGCTCGCCCTGAGCAGGAGGATAAAAATAATAGTGTTAAATAAAGCCATTGTGGTGCAAGGATAAAGGAGTGTAGATCATGTTTAAGGATAGCGGGAAAAGGTTACGAGCAGATGTCGAAGCGCAAACCGAAGGCACCGAAGTAAAGTGATGGCAGAGGAGGAGGAAAAGAAACGAAGCAAGGAAGGCACGAGGGAAGGAGGTAATCTTATGGAAACCCTCGTCAGTCGCAGCAACTTCCTGAACAACGACTGCAGAAGATTCCAACTTCATCAGCGTGATACCAGATCCTGTTGTGGCGCCCAAGAATATGTCATGCTGTAGGTTGGAAGATGGACACAGCAAAGCTTTGTGACATTTGCCAGTGCAAAGCTTGAAATCTCAAACGTCGATAGATGCTGAGCATGGCAGACGAAGACTCATCGATGGCGACCAGGTTAAAATGATCTGGTCTTGCTCTTCAACGCGCTCTCAGCAGACTGGCAGTGAGGTTGCTGGCGTGGATGACTGTCGATGACTTTTCGTATGGTATCTGCTGATACTAGGTGTGTAGCGGGATCAACAGGTAACCCGAATCACGTCTTCTGCTACCACATGGAAGAGAGATGGTACGAATGGGTGAGAGGAGATGCACAACGGATGGCAGCGTGACACTTGCCGGAGATATTTTGTGTAACCATTGCGGGCACAAGCTCCGAGTTGTGAAACCCGAGGCTGCGAGGCACGATCGTAAAGAAGCGCAGACATTGGACGTTGAGGAAGCATGATCTTGAAAATGTTGTTGTTGTGTTGCTATCAGCGCAACCGTTGTTACAATTGTAAAACGCCAGCAAGGAATTTCTCCTGGTTCCTCCATATCCAACACCAGCGACGGTATGATAATTCTCGTGGTGAAACCACACTTACGGGTCGGCAACAGGACACAGGGAGGTGGTGTCCTGCCGTCTCAAGGCCAACCAAATGTCTCTGCAATAATCGCTGGTACCCAGGTCATCAAAAACCCTGACACGAAGATCAGCATGGACGTGAGTTTGGCGGAAGCCGCTGCTACTACAACGACGGTAGTGACAGCAGATTCGATGGATGTGCCGGTTGTGGCTGTACTTGTTGCCTCAACGCTGGACAATTCGACGACAACGGTGGAAACACTGGTTAGAATGCCAGGAGTAATTCTTGTTGCCACGGGAGCTGAAGTGTAGGCGGGACTGGTTACAGAGGCGGATACCGTGGTGGGAGAGCTGCTGGATAGACTGGACGAAGGTGCAGATGATGGGGCCGTAGTCTGTGGCAAGTTGTATAGTTAGCCTCGCAGGACGACGATTTTCAGAACCCGTCCATCTTACCTGTCCCTGGTCAGTGTTGGCCATAGTCATCCCCTCGCCTTTGTTTGCGCCCAGCCCAAGAATGACGGTCTCGGTACCCTTCACAGCGGTGAAACGGAAGCCACTGTCGGTGTTGGCATTGCAGAGAACATTGCTCTCGAAGTCCTCGCTGTCCGTATTCACAGGGTCAGAGTCGCAGGGACCGTCAGAAGCGAGACAAACTTCGAAGGCAGCAGTCGCGAAGCCATTGTCACAGAAACAGCCGATGGAAAGTTCATTGCAGCCTGCAAGAGAAGCGTTGACAGTTTGCGTGAGGCAGTCTTGCTAAATAAACGTCAGGTCAGGTATCATCCTGTTGGGAACCTGCTTACAGCGCAGCTTGGAAGGTCCTCCCATTTCTCGTAGCTGGCGACTGAACATCTGACGTAGAGAAGCAGCAGGACGACGGTTTTGACCACTGATAGCGTCGATACCATGGTGAGATTTGATGTAGATGTCTTCGAAGAATGATCCAGCCACAAGGAGACGAGAGGTGCTTAAGAGCTCGGCGTTGATTAGTTGGAGCTGTGAAGGTGAGGTGAGCTGAAGCTGAAGTGAAGAAAAGCTTGTGTAACTACAGGACGTAGATGAAGCGCGAGCCTCCATTTGACAGTAAACTTCTCCTCCACACCCAAACGACTTCACATGATCACTGCCTACTATCCCAGATTAATATTGTGCACCTGTTTATCAGTAATAGCTGTGCAGACGCAGAACTCAGTGGAAGGAAGCGAAGGGATCTCGGTTCAACTAAATCATCATTTGTGCATCGTCAAGTCTTCTTCGCTGTCGGTAGGCGCCGTGCCCTGCCTATGCGAAGAGTGTCTTCTGCCACCATGCGCACCTCTCGTTGGAGGTATCATCTTTGACGCGCTGAATCGTAGTACCAATCGAGTTCATGCTGGCGTTCTTCCCTTGCATAGGGAACGGTGGCATACCTCGTCCGTTCGGGTTGCCCGTCATGACGAAGTTGGTAAGGTAGGTCTGAAGCGCTACGCCAACAGGTGCAACCATACCAGCTGTCACGTTCGTCGGCTGTCCATTGTAGAAGGTATAGGGAATATCGAAGCCATGAAATCCTGGTGGAACAGCGAACTGGTACGAGTAAGTCTGATTGCCATAGGCCTTGTTGAGGAAATAGTTGTTGCAGACAAAAGATGCCTCGGTTACGAACAAGATGGTTCGCTCAATCGGAGAAGTATATGGTTGGCTTCCATCGTATCGTGCCGGATACAGCGTCTGCACAACGTAGTTGACGAGCTCAGTGGGGAATTGAGGAGTGTTCTGCCGCATGAAAGCTTCCAGCTCATCATCGGTGCGGACGTCGGGCGGCGTGAAGAGAGGACCTTCGCTGAGCATATGGGATACCATGACTTTGACGTTCTTGGCGAATTGGCCGGCATTCAGAAGGATGCTGGGCAAGGCCGGAACAAAGATGCCATCAACGACAGGTCCATACGAGAAGCTTCCGTATCTCGAAGCTGCAACTTGCTGTGCATTGGCGATCATCAGGGATGTGGATGACAAGTTTCGCGCTTCCTCGATGGTGCTGACGTTCAACAAGGACAGAAATGCTTGCGTGGTGTTCTCCTGGACATAGTACGACGATATCGGTAGATAACCTGGCGACTGGGAGATAACCTGCTGGAAGGGCACGCCTTTCTGGCCACCATAAGCTGTAATCTGGTGGACGATTGACCCACCTCCACGAGTTGTCAGTCATTAGTCCAGATGTGGTTGTCGACAAAGCAAAGGGCATAGTACACTCACCTCCAGCAGACTCTCCCATCACCGTCACCCGTTTCGGATCTCCACCAAACAAGTGGATGTGGTGCTGAACCCACTGGAGCGCGAGTCGTTGGTCGTACAAGCCAGCATTAGAAACCCCTCCTGCAGCTTGCAAAGAAGGACCAGCCAACCACCCAAATGCTCCGAGGCGGTAGTTCATGGCCACAAAGATGATACCGTTGCCACCACCGGCCTGGCTAGAGGCAATCAGACCACTGGGGTTACCGGATCCTCCCTTTGATCCTCCAGTGTACCCGCCACCGTAGATCCTGCTTCGGGTCAGTCACCGCAATACGGACGAAGATCTACTTGGACGTACCAGACCAGAACAGGCGCACCGCTGCTTTGGCGTCTCCTGATTCGGCTTCTCGCACCGTCGAAGACTTTCTTGGGCACGATCACGTCCAGGAACAGACAATCTTCGGTCATCCTCGGATCGATCGGGGCTGTGGACGTATTTTGAGACGCTGCTTGTAGTTGTTGCTCTGCCAGGGTAAGGTTGAACGCAGATGCATTCCCCGCTACAAGATATTGTAGGAATTTCGCTGCGACAGGAGCCCACGCCGGGCCGGCTTGGGGACAGATTCTGCCCACGCTACCGTTCTGGACGGCCTTATTTCTGCCCGTCGGTGCGAGAGGGGCGGCAAAGCGAAGGTTTCCCACGGGAGGCTGACCATACCGTATGTTGGAGAAGTTGTAAGTCTGCCCAGTTTGCTGTCGCGAATTGTTAGCCCCAAAGAGGTATTGCTTTGCCTGTGGCTAGTGGCACTTGCGTTGAAACTGATGGCCTTGTGGATCTCATAGCCTAAGTCCACCTGCGGAAGGGGGCTCTGTGCAAAGACAAACGAAGAGAGCAGCGCGAGCGCCGCTAACAGCGAGAAGCAGAAAGAAGGCATCTTGACCGGACTGTAGGAGTACTGAACCTTTAGCTTCCTGCTGGAAGAAACAGCAAGTGTGCTCTGGCGCCGAAGCACCCTCCATTATATACCTAGCGTGCCTAGGTATTGTGCGTCGGGCTCTGGTCGGAGCAGCACTGTTCGACGGACGTACCAGCGTTTGGGGTTCAGTTAGCTCTGTGGCACAGTGCAGATGGTTTAACGGACAAAGAGAGCCCAAGTGTGCTCGAGCTTCCAGATCCGGCAACGCTCTGCTCTGTGGACCAGCGTGACCAGGAAAATGGTAACCAAGCTCCAAATCCATGACGGTGACCGGACCAAACAGATGGCTTGCTGGAGAGAGTCTACCTCGGCAGCACAAGGTGTCAACGTCTATCATGCCGGATGCAGCTCCCAGGATGGGCAAAAGCTTGAATGTGCGGCCTCTACTCCCGACATCAGTCCAGGTCACACAACAGGAAAGCCAGGAGGGATACGCCCGACCAGCTAGCAGAACACTTACCGCAAAATGCACGTCGTCGATTTCGCCCCAAGCCACAGAGGACGGTTGGGTGGAGTTGAGAGGACGTGTGAGTGATGGACTAGCGTGGCCTCTCGCACAACCGACGGGTCACGGCACGAGGTGTGAAGAGCAAAAGATCTATGCAGAAGATGTGGAGAGGCTACAAAGAACCTTGGAATGAAGCCGAAATGCGGGGTGAAACACTCGCGACGACTCTACGAGGTATGTACTGTGTAAAACTCGTGGCTCTGCATGGAATCTGTGGCAATCTCAGGCAACCCATCGGCTGCAGCATTCGGAGCGTCTTCCATCCGAGTCTGCATTCTCCACCTTACAATTCCAAACTTGGGTGACGATTGGCAAGAGCCCTGGGACGAAGCGAAAAATCCGCGCTCAATCTAGTCCGAGCAGAGGATACAACAAATGCAGCATGGTAAGTAAAAATACGTCTGTGACCTTCAGCTTCAGGAGGATCAGAAGTCTACCAATAAGCTAATGATACAGGCTGCATTTGCCTCCGCGCACCTCTTCAAGCTCTCACATGCCACTGTCATTCAGAGGCAACAAGACAGGTGTCTACCTAGGGATCGAGTTTTGGTAGGGGACGCGTACAGGTCTTGCCCAAGGAAAAACATTGACAATGGTCTTGACGACTAATCACGCGTGTCGCACTCGTCCCCAGACCTCCTCTGCACTCGCCTTGCCTTTGCTCTCGGGCACGAAGAGACCGACAAAAGCAGCCCAGAAGCAGGCAACTCCTGCGAAGATCCACCAGACCTTGTTTCCAAGCACATTGTTCAGAATAGGGAAAAACATTGACACGAGGAAGGTGGACAACCAGTTCCCAGCCAGTGCCCAGCTCGAGACTGCCCCAACAGCCTCAGCGCCCACAAGCTCACTTGTCAGAATAAATGGAACCGGTCCCAGTCCAATGCCGAAGCTGGCAACGAAGAGGGTGATGGCGATCACTGTCAGCCACTGAATGTCCTGTCCCAGCCCTGCAAAGAGCATAGCTGATGCCGAGCCCATGCCGCTGATTGAAATGAGTAGACAGGTTTTGCGGCCAATCTTGTCGGGCAAGGGTGACGCTAACAACGTGATAAGGACGTTCGCAGCTGAAACAACAACGGTGATGAGGCCGGCCTGCTTGGGCATGATCTTTCCCAGGATGGCAACGCTATACATGACAACGCTGTTGATACCACAGAGCTGTTGAGCCATCATGGTTCCCGTGACGGCAATCACCGCCCGTCGGTACTTGGGGATTCTGATAACGTCAATGATAGACATGTTGGCCTGTTTCTGTGGTCGAGGGCCCTGGGGAGGTCCCAGAAGGCTCTCCTCCTCGGCTTCTCCTGACATATCCCAGGATTCCATCTCTTCCCGAATGTCGGCATTCTTGCCTCGAAGCCGTTGCAACACCCCCCTAGCCATGCGAGGCCGATTGTTTGCAGCGAGCCATTTGGGGGTTTCTGGAGTTATGGTCAAGCCGAAAAACATCAATCCGGCGATGTAGCTGCCACTAGCGAGGATCCAACGCCACTTCCCCGATGTTGACAAAAAGTAGCCCAAGAGCTGAGCCACAACGATGCCGAAGTTGATCTGGACTTGAGTGAAGGCACCAAAAAACCCGCGTTGGTTCTGGGGTGACACCTCGGAGATGTACAAGGGACACACAACTGTGGCTGCACCAGCTCCGATACCAGAAAGTGCTCTGCCAAGAGCAAGCAACCACATCTTGCCTGCGAGCGCTTCTGCAATGGGTCCAATAGCCAAGAAAAACGCTGCCCATTTCATGGTAAAAAGTCGTCCGAAGTTTGTAGCAAGGGCACCAGAGAAGATGGCACCGAAGAACCCACCCACGGTGAACATTGACTGAATCATACCCCATTCAAAGGCATTCATTGGAAGACATTGTGGGAGTCCGAGAGCGATATATCCAGGAATCTCGTCCACTTTGCATGTGATGACTTTCTGGGGTGCATTGAGCTCGCCCTGGCGCCTGTAAGTGCATGTCTGACGGAAGTCGTGTAAGCAGTCTTACCAAATGATAGCCAAAGAGGAGTGGGCCGAGCGTGACAATGCCGATGGTATAGAGGAGAAAGGGCGTGATACCGTTGAACTCTGGAGGAGCCATGGGACTCCTTCGGGGAGGAGTTGATGAGAGGTCAGCTAGAACCGCTTGCTTGATGGCTCTGTAGCCACTGCTGGTCCTGGTTAGCATGGCTCGACCCATTTTGAAATAGCTGCGTGATCTGATCGAGAGTGTATACAAGAGGTTCCATCGAAGGAAACATACCTTATTTTATGGAGCAAGACACAATAACAGGGGTAGTGATAACGAGCGTAGTGGTGTAGAGCCCTGCGTCACCTGGCAGTCGGCCTGCAGACAGGCAGAAGAGTTGTCTGAGACCGCCATGGTCCAAGCAAGCAGGGGCGGCGCCTTCCGATGGACAAAGAGGAAGGAGTCCTTGAGCAATATTGGATGGCGACGAAGAAACAAGCCAGTTGCAAACCTTACGCAGGCTCGAGACAGGGACAGTGCAGCCTCATTGGCCCAAATGTGTACGAAGGCTCGGCAGGGCAGGTACGACGAGAGACGACAAGGCGCCACTCGCTCACTTGACGACAGCGCTTGCTGTCGATCATATTCACGAACCATAAGTCGTACTCGTACGCATTTTCTATCGGACATCTTCGAACCTGATGTTGGATGCATTCACACTGTTTTCCGCGATAGAACTAGTTTGCCACTGTCTTCGGTCTGGGCCAGGATCGTCGCCGACTGCGGACCCTGCCTGACAACCAGCACTGGCGTCAAGCTCGCAGCATGGTCCCGAAGTCCTGAATAGTCCTGCGGACTCGCTTATCCTACGCTCTTGAGCTCCTATGGGCATGTCGGTCCACGCGTAATCAGGACATTTCGAAGGGAAACTTTACTGCTGGTATTTCTTCAGGCTATGTCAATTCCCGGAATGTCCCGTTCCGGTACAAGCCTGAACATTGCCCAGCAGTTGCGAAAGACCACTCAGCTGGCTGCGCTCGAAGGTAGGTTTTCTATGCGTGTATATCTAACCGCGAGCTATACCCTGCCCGGGAGGACGAATTGCAAACTCCCAACTCCGGAAGGCGATCCGGCTAACTTGGCGTTCTAGATGGTCTTAGAGGACTTGACAAGAAGCAGCCCGGAAATAGCTATACCTCAAAGGTCAAAATCGGCCAGAAGTACAACATCATAGGTTTCATCAGCAGCGGCACCTACGGTCGAGTGTACAAGGCCGTGGAGAAGAACCCGAAGGGTGATCCCTCGAGTCCCGTAGGGACGTCACCGCCGAAAGAGCTCTATGCGATCAAGAAGTATGTGCCCCATTCCATCTTTGTCGGCTGCCCTGACACGGACAGGTTCAAACCAGAGAAAGAGGGCGACAATGTGCAGTACACCGGGCTGTCCCAATCGGCCATCCGTGAGATGTCACTGTGCACTGAACTGACGCACCCGAATCTGGTACATCTGGCAGAAATTATACTGGAAGATAAATGTGTCTTTATGGTCTTCGAATACTGCGAGCATGATCTATTGCAAATCATCCATCACCACACGCAACCAACTAGGCGAGCGATTCCTGCTACGATGATTAAGTCGATCCTATTCCAACTTCTCAATGGCCTGTTCTACCTCCATCAGAACTGGGTCATCCATCGTGACTTGAAACCAGCAAATATCATGGTAACCAGCTCAGGCCATGTGCGAATCGGAGATCTTGGTCTTGCTCGACTGTTCCACAAACCCCTGTCGTCACTGTACTCTGGTGACAAGGTTGTGGTGACTATCTGGTACCGAAGCCCTGATCTGCTCTTAGGCGCACGACACTACACTCCGTCCATAGATCTGTGGGCTGTGGGCTGCATTTTTGCCGAATTGCTCAGCCTGCGGCCAATTTTCAAAGGTGAAGAAACTAAGATGGACAGCAAGAAGACCGTGCCCTTTCAAAGAAATCAGATGGGCAAGATTGTAGAGATTCTGGGTATGCCTCGCCGTGAGAACTGGAAAGGTTTGGTCGACATGCCGGAATACCCGCAATTGCAGTCGCTGATTGTCTCGCGTGGCGGCATCCCCGGGGGTCTTTACCCGAGTTCCAACAGCATGAATCGTGGACTCGGTAACAATGGCAGTGGTCTCGAAGCTTGGTACAACAACTGTCTGAAACATGCCAGCTACCCTTCAGACAAGTCCCCAGGTCAGCGCGGCTTTCAACTCCTGTCTGAGTTGTTTGAGTACGATCCGGAGCAACGGTTGACGGCTGAACAAGCTCTGCATCACGAATACTTCAGGAATGCTGACGAAGGACTTCATCACGGCAAGATATGGGTGAGCAACAATTGTTTCGAGGGACTTAACGAGGTATATCCACACCGGAGAGTGAGCACAGAGACCAACGATATTGGCACAGGCAGTCTGCCTGGCACAAAAAGAGGAGGGTTACCGGACGATTCGCTTCTTCCAGCTGCGAAGAGGAGGTAGTGGCTCCGATAGACAAGAACGCGAAGACTCGTTCCAGTCCCAGAGAAGGCCGCTTCATCTCAGCTCGACTAAATTTCACCCACGCTGGAATGACAAACAATCGCTGCGGTTTGTTGATTACCTGCTGAGGCAAGAACTTTATTGAACTGCGGCCATGACAGCTGGCCACTCATTTCATGACCGTCCACACCGTTCACCGAAAACAACTCGTGGCGAGAATGTGCAACTCGCGTTAGCAAAACGGAGGAAAACGAGCAAACAAAGAATATGCTGATACAGGGAATATCCAGGCACACGTCCACGGTAAGGGACCAGGACCTCTTTTGGCGACGGCACGGCCGCACCTAAATGGCATGTGAGCGAGAAAGGGCTGGACGTCGCAGTCCTATGGGTACTTAAACGACATGGATTTCCTCAGGAAAGAGCTACTCACCGACCACGCGGTCTTGCATAAGCCACTCAAGTATCTCTGAGGCCATGCATGCAGACTTCGACTTTGGGCACGCGATCAACGAAGCTACAGCGTTGTATCGCCTCCCGGGAACAGTTGAGGCACAAGTCACCGCTTTGCTCGAGGTAGGTCGTCGCGCAAATGCGCTCTCCTCTTCGACATGAACACGGATCAGCATGCTGTCGGAAACAAGCATTGATGGCTGGCTTTACTCAGCTGGAGGAAAACCGCCGCACACAAGTCGATTCCCGATGGTGCAGGGCTGCCAATGGGCCCGATGAACAGGGTTATGGAGAGCATCGGTCTGTCCAGAGAATTAGCTCTCACCCCGTGTAGGCATGCGCTTACGCTCTCTCAAAACAGGACAGCACTTTTTCAGAGTTGTCATGAGGCGGATCGGCCACAATGCACAAAAAAGTCTGATGTCTTGCCGCCCAACTAAGTGTGGACGAACAACAACGACAGGCGACACTACAGCGCAGATGATCGTTCTGTTGGTACTACCGCACGTTCCTGCTGCACCACGTAATAATCAGTCAATCATTTGGTAGGTCAGGCAATTCCCGTGTAATTGCATCTTCGTTATGACCGAGATCCTTGACGTTTTGGTGGCCATTCGACAGTCGATCAACTGCCATTGCGCCGATTGATTCATCTATCGTGCCATATGTTCTTCCGCATGCTCTCAGTGGCGACTAGCAACCGCTACAGTTTATCCGCCCGGCACATCACTGCTTCGATCTTGCTTGCGGTGCCACATAACTTGCGTCGTGGGCTTCTCATCAACCATCACCAGCAGCCATGTTCCAACCAGACCTTCCAAAAATCAGAGTACCTCACGCCTGCGCGGTCTTAGCGGCCTGCTGAGGGTTGACCTTCTTCCCGTCCTTGTTGTACCTAATCCTCGGCGGCGGGGCACGGTTTCGGCGGCCTTCTCGCGAGCGCACACGCACGATCTTGCCGTGAATGGCGCAGCTGACACAGTACTGCAGCTTGAGGTACATCTTGGGGACAGCGTAGTCGGTGAAGACGGAGGCGTCAGAGATATCACCTGTAGCGTAGCAAATGTGTTAGACCTCAGCGCGCGGTTGGATGTTGAATTCGGGAAGAATTTCGAGGCCAGATAGACATACGGATAGCAGCTGATTCGACCATGTTCCGAATGGTGAATCTCTTTATGGCCTTGTCCTTTGGGGTGCAGCGGGAGCAGTTCGAGCATCGGATGGGCTTGACATGCTGGAAGCGAACACACGTTAGTCGATATCAGTACGCAGCATGCCTCGCGCAGTCTTTCAGGGAAAATGCGACATACACCTCTGCCTTTCTTGTTACGTCCGTTGGACGCTCGCTTCTTGACCATACTGGCGTTTTGGGATGCTGTATCGTCGATGAGCTGGCTCAATGGTCAAATTGAGCGGCAACGTCAAAATGCAGACCGGATCTGTGGGAGCAAATTCGCCAAGATTTGCGCAAGATGACATAAGCCTCCGCCAAACTTTCCGCTTCCATTGTTTACTCGAAGCGGGTCTCCTGCAGGTCATCTGCGTCTCAATCTTTGGCATTGGGACACTGTGAACGAAGCCCAATCGATCACCAAACAAACGACCTGATTTGTGACCTCTCTTTCGCAGTCCGGGCTGATTGATCTGCCTGCTAATTAGACTATGTCTGGGGTCAACGGTACCTTCCGAGGAACCCCCAATAGGCGAGGTCAACTCCCATTTGCAGACTCTCCTTCAGCCATCCCTCGTCCCAAGCTAGAGTCGACCGCGAGCACAACAGCACCCAGCGAAATGTCGGGCACTTCCACCATGTCCGCCAGTCGGGCAAAGCAAAGCAAGAGAGATGAGGTACGTTTTGGCAACCTGTAGCTGAAACATTGGTGCCTGACAGTCTATCAAGGCTATCCGGCGTAAGATGGAGGCCGATCTCAGCAAAAAGAAACATGCCCCAGCTCGTGCACGACATACGCGTAAAGCCCCCCCCGGCACAGTCCTCGCCCTCAAGCCTAGCCAGGCTCTACAGATCAAGCCGAGCACCACCGTTGCAGAGGCCGCCCAGCTGATGGCTGCCAAGCGAGAAGACTGCGTCCTGGTTACGGACGATGACGATAGAATCGCGGGTATCTTTACGGCAAAGGATCTGGCTTTCCGCGTGGTTGGAGCTGGTATCAAAGCCAGCCAGGTCACCATAGAACAGATCATGACGAAGAACCCCCTGTGTGCGAGGACAGATACGAGTGCGACGGACGCTTTGGATCTTATGGTCAGGAAAGGCTTCCGACATCTTCCTGTCATGGACGAGAATCAAGATATCTCCGGTATCCTCGATATCACAAAATGCTTCTACGAGGCCATGGAAAAGCTGGAACGCGCATACAGTTCCTCCCGGAAGCTTTACGATGCACTCGAGGGCGTGCAGTCGGAACTCGGCTCGAGCCAGCCTCAACAGATCATTCAGTACGTCGAGGCTTTGAGGCAGAAGATGTCAGGACCTACCTTGGAGTCGGTCTTGAATGGACTACCTCCCACAACAGTCTCGGTTAGGACCTCTGTAAAAGAGGCTGCCCAGCTCATGAAGGAGAACCATACCACGGCAGTCTTGGTGCAAGACCAAGGCTCGATCACGGGTATCTTTACGAGCAAAGATGTGGTCTTGCGGGTCATTGCGCCGGGTCTCGATCCGTTGAACTGCAGCGTGGTCAGAGTGATGACGCCTCATCCCGACTTTGCACCCACGGACATGAGTATTCAAGCAGCTTTGCGGAAGATGCATGGTAAGTCGTCACATGATCATGCCTCTACGGCACAAGCTAACGCGCGCTACAGACGGACACTACCTGAACCTCCCAGTCATGAACGGTGAAGGCGAGATCGTCGGTATGGTGGATGTCCTCAAATTGACATACGCCACCCTGGAGCAAATTAACACCATGGGCTCAGGCGAGTCCGAAGGTCCGGCTTGGAACAAATTCTGGTTATCAATGGACAATGACACCGAATCCATCATGTCGGGTGAGGGCAGCCATCGCCCAACTACACCCGGCCATCGTTCGATGATGGAATCCGAGACTAGTCGTCCCGGTTTTGAACGGGGCGATAGCGTCATGCCGCACGATTCCGCCTCACATCGTGGAGATGATGCACATTCGGAGGTGCTGCCCTCAATTGAATCGCCGGTGGAGACCGAGACGCCCTTTCCGTTCAAGTTTAAGGCTCCCAGCGGTCGTGTTCATCGTATTCAAGTCCTCGCCAGCCACGGGGTTACTGAATTGGTCGCCCAGGTTACTTCGAAGCTTGGCGGCGAAGTTGAGGCTGTGGGAGGCGAAGCCGCTGTCGAAGACGGCCAGCTGGGCAAAGCCGGTTACGCACTGAGCTATATGGACAACGAGGGAGATACCGTGTCCATCACCACAGACCAAGATCTACTGGACGCGATATTGCTCGCGAAGCAAGGCAAGCGGGATAAGGTCGACCTGTTCGTTCACGACCCGGCACAGCCACCGATTGCCGCGACCGTTGATCCACATCCCCAGCTGTCCAAACCACCCACACCACCGGAGTCTGTGCTGAAGACAGCAGCAGCGGCCGCAGAAGCAGATGGGGACGACGAGGATGAAGGAGAAGAAGACGTCCCCGTGGCCAAGACGATCCGATCGAAGCGAGCACCGGCCGTACAGCAGCACAAGCAACAGGAGCAGCTGCAGATCATTGCCGGCGTGCCGAATGACTTACTCCTTCCCGGTGCCATTGTCACTCTTGCTGTGGTCATTGTCGGTGTTTTTGCGATTAGTCGAGCAACAGCAAAGTAGGCGTCACGCAGAGGAGCGATCCGGCGTGAAAAACGTGATGATACCCATGCTTGCGCTTGATAATGTGTACTGTCGTTGCTGTCAGTACCGCGACTGCTGGTGTAAGTGGGGTGACTTTGATTTCAGCTTGGGCAGACTCTTCCCTTCTTAATGTTGTACGGGTATGGAGATTATGACATAGGTTGACCTTTAGCTTCTCCACTTTGAACATTCACGTTTATAACACTGTGCGAAGGCTGTCTGGAGGGCGGAGAGTCCATGCCACTCAGCGACTGTCTCCTCAAAGCATTCACGAGACGGGCGGGGCGAGAATGGAGGCCCTGATGGTTCGTTCCACTTCAAGTGCTGACCAACGTCTCCTCGCTTCATTAGATGTACAATGACATGTAGCCGTGACTGACTGCGTCTCTTGCATACATCTTCTCAACTACAATCACTACATCCTTTGTACCTCCCACAATATGTATGGCGCCTTTACATCAAACTCGTCCGGCCCCCAACCTCCCGTCCGCCCTGACCCGACGGCATCTCCCCGTTCCTCCCCACCACAAACTCCCTATATATGGCGGCCAAGCGCCTCCGCTCGTCCGGCGAAATACTGCTCCGCGTGCTCGCGAGGCTCTTCTCCACGTGCAGCCAGGATATTACCACCTTGTCGTCCTTGGTGTCTGCATCGGCACCTGCACCCGCATTCTCCTCGGCCGCTTCCGGGCCCGACGTGCGGCGCGCAAAGGTGTTCCTTAGCATGGCCTTTTCGCGTTTGCGCATCATCTTCAGGTCCTCGAGTTTGGCCGCCACGGCGGCTTTGGATTCGGCGGCCGAGGCGCCCGTGCCGAGCGACTTCTTTGCCAACGCGTCCTCCTCGGGCGAGTACAGAAACTGGATGAAGTCGTGCTTGGAGTGCGAGGCGTGTTTCTTGCGGCGTTTGCCCGGCCCCGTGCCGTTGGAGAGGGAGGAAGTGTCTTTGTTGTTGTGCGCTGCATGCGAGGACGAGGATCCGGACGTCTTGTCGCCGAGTAGGTCGTGGATCGCTTCCAGATGCGCGTTGTACATCAGTGCCTGGAGATCCGCGCCGCTGAAACCCTCGGTGCGTTGCGCCACGCTCAACAGCCGGTTCTCGACTTCGGGGGGCAGGCGCAGTTTCGTGCTCACTGCCTTTAGGATGTCGAGCCGGTCGTTCATGTCGGGCATGTCACAGAGGAGGGATTTGTCCAGGCGCCCTGGTCGGAGGAGTGCCGGGTCAATCAGATCCGGGCGGGACGTCGCGGCTAGGACGTACACGCCGTCTAGGCCCTCTGCGCCGTCCATCTGCGTGAGCATCTGATTCACGACCCGATCCGTCACGCCCGTGGAATCGTGGCCCCTCTTCGGGGCGATGCTGTCGAACTCGTCAAAGAAGAGGACGCACGGCTTTGCGGCCTGGGCGCGTTCGAAGAGATCGCGCACGCTCTTCTCCGAGGCACCGATGTATTTGTTCAGGATCTCGGGCCCTTTGACGGAGATGAAGTTGAGGTTGCATTCGCCGGCAACGGCCGAGGCGAGCAGCGTCTTGCCGCAGCCGGGGTAGCCGTACAGGAGGAGGCCGGAGCGCAGGCGGAGTGGGGAGCGAGCGAAGATCGGGGCGTATTTCGTCGGATAGAGCAGCGTTTCGAGCAGCGTGTTCCGGGTGCTGTGGAGGCCGCCTATGGATGAGAACGTGGTGGTCGAATGCGTCAGTGTCACGTTGCGGAGGGATGAGGGAGTGAAATTCCTCAGCGCTGCGTCGAAGTCGGCTCTTGTCAGTGTGGGCTGCGTGTCGGAGGAGTCGTCGTTAGATGTAATCATGCGGGTGAGGGTTTCGTTGCGGGCGCGCACGAGGAGGAGTACCAGGTCGGCAGGCATGTAGCCATCCGTCTTGCCGGCGACGTCGAGAAAGTCGAGGCTTGGGGAAACGCGGAAGCCTTCGCTTGTTGGGGATCCAGCGGAAGACGTTGGTCGAGACGATGGATTCGACGGGTCCATCCAGGAATTCTCGGACATGCTTCGCGTATCGCTTGCGTTTCTGGTGTGCTTGTGCGGCGGTTGAGAAGAGCCATCGCTGGTCAGTGATGCAAGGATATCGCGTCGGATCTCTTTCGTGGGAGCCTTTATCGAGATGATGTCGCCGACAATGTGTCCTCCGATGATGATGCTATTGAGCGAGTCCTTGGACTGCGCGGTCGCAAGCAAAGCGACGCCGGAATGGATGCTGCAGTACTGACGTACAATGGCACACAGCACTTCGGTGATCTGTCGGCTCCTCGCGTTGTCATTGCCAACTTCCAACTCGGTCTCGCTGGGGCAAATCTTGTCCAGGTCGTCGAGCACAACCACTGACTGTCCACCGAGCCTGGCACACCAAGATGCTGACATAAACAGCCGTGTCAAGGTCTCCTTCACCGTCGACACGCGAGTCTCATCCGTCACGAGCTTCTGGCAGTCAAAAAAAGTCACATTGAAGACATAGTCCTCTCGGAGCCTCTGGGAGATGCAATGCGCGAGCGACGTCTTTCCCGAGCCGACGCCACCAGTCAGCAAAACCGACGAGCATAATGTCAGATTCGACATGCACTGCTGCAGGACCCCGTCAGCACCAATTAATATAGGTAGCCTTGTTGGAAGGCCGTGGGCGAAGGTGGGGAACAAGGTCGTCAGCTCAACAGGCCGGGCGACTTCGGCTTTGATCTCGAACTCATGGTCCTGCTCCTGTGCGACCACCCACAGGGGTTTATTGTCCGGATCTTCGTCCATTTCTGCTGGGCGCTTAAACCGCAGGATGCCCCCATCAAATGACGCCGCAGACGACGCATCACCCAACGAGGGAAGGACCATTCCATCTGTGAGAGGACCAGCCAGTAGATCGTCATCTCCAGCAAAGGTCATTCGTAACTTGTCCGCCAGAGCTCGCTTGGCTGCTTGTGAATCTCCACCGAACTGAAGACCGTCTTTCTTTTTCGAGTTTAGAGGCAGGAACGGGTAGAACTGGAATTTCTTGATCGAATAGCGCGGTAATGGCGGGGTTGCAGCCTGGATTCGGACGATGACCCCCACCAGTCCTTCAGCACCAAGTATCTTGCAAAGAGAAGAGGACAACACGGCATGGTTGCCATCTACAGGAGACTGCCAAGGCAGTAGTCGAGCGACGATCTTAGAAGCAGGTCTCCCGACTTCACTGCCTTCTTCTTCTTTCAGTCGGTTGAGCTGAGTCGTGTCTAGCTGGGCGCGCATGCCGTTGGGTTTGACGACGGTGACGTTTACCCATGTGGCTGCTTTCAGGCTCTCTGACTCTATCACATCGCCACCAATCCAGACACAGAGCTGGTTAGTCCGTGTCGCGTTGGAAGCATCATCGAAGAAGCCGTCTGCCACTGCGCGATCAATGGCGCGCACGAAGAGAGCAGGCCTCGTCGGCACGGCTTTGCGAGCTGAGCTGACGCCGCTCTTGCCACTACGTCTGCTTGCCGTACTTCTGGCATCTCTTCTATCGCTTCTGCTAGACTTGGGTCGGGTCTTGGGCGCCACTATGACTTCAGCGTCTGGCGCAATCTTGGCGAAAGGGATGGTGTTTGGTATTGGCGGGACCAAAGAGGTGACGACGATGTTTGCCGTTGATGTTGGTGATAGATGTAACGTTAAGGGATGGGCGGTTTCCGCCTGGGTGGTAGCTTTACTACTATATGCAGGATTAGGGAGCGCGCGAATTTGAGATAACAGGTTGAGCTCGAGAAATGTGGCATGAAGTTCGATGATCTCCCAGTCCGCGGGGGTCAAGGGTTCGATGTTGATACTGTGAGCGACAGGCGGATCGAGGTGAATAAGGACTCCGATCTTCTGGCCTTCAGCAAGACCAAGGACTTTGGCGAACGTCGTGTCAATCTCAATAGTCTGGACATCCTGCTCCCTGCTTCCTGGTCGAGCACGATCGTTATTCAAAAGAGACGCTGGCCTCGTCCGACTTGGCATTCCAGTCCATCCGACATATGCGCATCGTTGGAACCCGGCAGTGTTGCCGCTGGAGACAGCCCCAAATGAAAGAGTTTGAGATCGATATTGCAGTTCGACCACCACATTTTGAGCTGGCTGCCAGGGAATAAGCACGAGAGGCGACCGGATGACAGGCAACTTACAATGTTCGTGTTGCTGATCAACGCAATCAATCCTGGAGGAAGGTTGACCAAGCAGTTTTGAAGGGAGGTCAAGGCGACCTCAGCTCGGACAGGAGGAGCCATGTTTGTGTACTCGGGGTATGAGAAGGCGCCTACCACAGCATCGGAGACGAGACCCAGGTCAGAGAGGGCCGGAACTACGGCGTAGACACTAATTCAAAAAAACACTGTCCGAGACCAAAAATCAAAGAATGATAGGATGCGTCCGAGAATGGATGTTGTCGTCGGAGCATCACTTCGAGTTCGGCCATTGTCGGAACCTCGGCTCGAAGCGGACAGTCCGGTGGGAAGAAAGCTGCAGTATGATGTTAATGCTTCGAAGTAGTACGGAGTACGGAGTAGCGCGTGAGCCTCTACCACCTCTACCCAGCTGGGTCCATATGTCCCGCCGTAGTAATTTACGCGTTGCTTTCGCGCGACGACGCGTCGCTGAGCATGCAGAGGCCCAACCCCCTGTACCTCGTACAGTCCTTCAGTCGCTGGAACCGTTCCAACAACAACATCTCCTCCACCTTCCTCACCAGCAGACGGCACAATGGCGCTCCTCCAGTACAGAGCGATCGCCGACTACGACAAACAATTAGACGCATTCCAGTCCTTCCTGGAGAAATTTGAAACCTCCAGGACCTCCTCCGACGCAGCTGCTGAAGCGATCGATGGACTCCACCTTGATGGCGACCACACTAGTGATGAGTACGACTTCATGGATGACATCGCAGACGAAGATCGCGCAGTGTCGCGACGCCGAGGGAAGCGGAAGTATATGGATATGTTGCAAGAGGTGGCGGATCGGGAGCGCCAGAATGTTTTGATAGAGCTGGATGATCTGAACGAGGTGCGCATACTGGTTCTTAGCGCGAAATAGAGCGCTTGATAACAGGGCTACAGTTTGAAGAGTCGTTAGGAGACGAGGTACATCTGAGACTGGTCGAGTCCGTCACCAACAATACCAAGCACTACGTCGACCTATTTTCCGAGGCGGTAGACAAGATCATGCCGAAACCGAGCAGAGAGATCTCGTACGTCGTGTGCGTCGGTCTGGCAGATCTAGGCACTGACGCAACTCCAGATTCAAAGACGACGTGCTCGATATCATTATGGCTCAGCGACTGAAGCGCAATGAAACGGTGGCATCTGCTGCTGAAACAGACGCTGAAGCTGCGGCGCCTGTCTCGACGTTCCCAGCGGAACTCACCAGGAGATACACCTTGAACTTCAAGCCTCTCACGCCTTCCGGTACCGATACTGGCAAGAAAACGCTGGCGGTGCGACAAGTGCGAGGAGAGCACCTCGGACATCTCATCACTGTGCGAGGCATCACGACAAGAGTATCAGACGTCAAGCCCAGTATCCGAATTCAAGCTTACACTTGCGATCGTTGTGGCAGCGAAATCTTCCAGCCGGTCTCGGCCAAGCAATTCACGCCGCTACAGATGTGTCCGGCAGAAGAATGCAAACAGAACGACTCCAAGGGTCAATTATTTGCCTCGACCCGCGCGTCCAAGTTCCTACCCTTTCAAGAGGTCAAGATCCAGGAGATGGCAGATCAGGTCCCGGTTGGGCACATTCCAAGAACATTGACAGTGCACTGCAATGGTAGCCTTGCACGGCAGATGAACCCGGGCGATGTTGTCGATATTGACGGCATTTTTCTACCCACGCCCTATACGGGGTTTCGAGCCATCCGAGCCGGACTTTTGACAGATACCTATCTCGAAGCACAAAATATTACACAGCACAAGAAAGCATACCAAGACCTGAAGACTGACCCTCGCATTATTCGAAAGATCGAGTCTTTCAAAGCATCGGGGCACATGTACGAATACCTGGCTCGATCAATCGCACCCGAGATCTACGGTCACCTCGATGTCAAAAAGGCCGTACTTCTGCTACTCATTGGTGGCGTGACAAAGGAGATGGGCGACGGGATGCGCATCCGTGGAGATATCAATGTCTGCCTCATGGGAGACCCCGGCGTGGCCAAATCTCAACTTCTCAAGTACATCACCAAAGTTGCGCCCCGTGGTGTCTACACGACGGGTCGAGGATCCAGCGGAGTCGGTCTAACAGCAGCAGTGATGCGCGACCCCGTCACAGATGAAATGGTGCTCGAAGGCGGTGCCCTGGTCCTCGCCGACAATGGAATCTGCTGCATCGACGAATTCGATAAGATGGACGACGGCGACAGGACCGCCATCCACGAAGTCATGGAACAACAGACCATCTCGATCAGCAAGGCCGGTATCACCACCACTCTGAACGCGCGCACGTCCATCCTCGCAGCGGCGAATCCGCTCTACGGGCGCTACAACCCGCGCATTTCTCCCGTTGACAACATCAACCTCCCCGCCGCGCTGCTCTCCCGGTTCGACATCCTCTTCCTCATCCTCGACACCCCCTCGCGCGAAGCAGACGAAGAACTGGCCCAGCACGTGTGCCACGTTCACATGCACAACCGCCACCCGGAGCGCGAAGGCGAAGGTGTCGTCTTCTCCCCACACGAAGTCAGGCAATACATCGCGCAAGCGCGCACGTTCCGGCCAAACGTCCCGAAGGCTGTAAGCGAGTACATGGTGGGCGCGTACGTGCGGATGCGACAGCAGCAGAAGCGCGAGGAAGGGGGCAAGAAGCAGTTCACGCACATCTCGCCGAGGACGCTGCTGGGCGTGTTACGTCTCTCGCAGGCTCTGGCTCGATTGCGATTCAGCACCGAGGTCGTCAACGAAGATGTCGACGAAGCGTTGCGGCTGATCGAAGTGTCCAAGGCGAGTCTGTACGCTGATCAGCGCAGCCACGGCGATCAGACGGTCTCGTCGAGGATATACGATCTTATACGCGGCATGAGAGAGTCGGGCGCGGCGAGTGTGGGTAGTGGCGCCAGAGGAGAGCTCAGTCTGCCTAGAGTGACCGAGCTAGTCACGGCACGAGGCTTCACGAGTGAGCAGTTTCACAGGACCATCGAGGAGTATGAGTTGTTAGATGTAAGTGATACTTTGCTTCTTCCTGCTAGAGGCCTTTACTGATCCGGCAAACAGGTCTGGCAAGTCGCCAACAATGGGACTCGGCTGGTCTGGATCGAGGCCGGCGACGATGACGCAGACAACGATGAGCTCATGGGCGAAGACGAAGGTGAAGACGAGGACGAGTAATGGACTCGCTATGATTTAAGAAGGTTCATCCGCAGGCCTTGGTTGGTCTGATCATTCTTACGCGACGATGCGGTAGATGGCACGGTGCTTTTCAGGCGTGCGACAGATTGACCAAGCTTATCAAGCGGGTCAATGGGCTGTGGTTTCGCGAATGGTGGACGACTTGAATGGGTTCTTTTGGCGCCCATGCCCTTGTAAGCCTCGCGGCAGCAGGGGTTGATCACAGTATCAGACCGCGAACACGGCGATGGCTCTAACTCGATGAACGCCTATCTGACCAACTCTAGTCTAGTTGAAAACATGTTGAGGGTTCTCTTATTCAGCGACGAACAATCGACGCAGTCGAGCAACAGCTCAGTTGTCTACCGTGTCTGAGTATGCTGCTATGATTAGGGCAGGGCTTTATATATAATATAGTGAGCCGTCTACTGGAGAGGTCGTATATATCTCCATCGACTACGGAGTAAGTCATCCAGCTGCCCGTGTCTTCCTAAAATATCCTTCACCTGCACATGGACTCCTTGGCCAGCCACTGTATACCACGAAAACGGACACACACCTTCATACAGGGCAAGAACCGTATCTTTCCCCTACAATGTCTAGAAGTCCCCGACCCTCCTCGTGGGGCTCGAGTACATCTACACCACCATTCCCTGGACCGGGGTTCCCAGCACGGCCACGCCGTAAGAGCTGGTCTGAAAAGCGAGGCCAACCACATCAGATACCACCGGCGGCACGCGAACGCTCATCACGTCAGCACAAGCCCTCGTCCATCACAAGTGCCGGCTGCTCGTCCCACGAGTACAAGGACATCGGAATCTCGTCGTGCACCGTCCACGACCAACTCGACGATTCATCACCAGGCTCTCGTGAATCTTTGTAGCCCATATCACGGGCACCGCGATGGGTAGTCGTGTTTTCGGGGCACACGGAGGATATGAAAGCAGCGACGCTGCTCGTCAGGCGCCGCAACATGGCAACAGCTTCCTAGAAATGCATTCAGAGCGTCTCGGACCACCGGGCGACGACAGCGTCCGAGAGTTTGGGGACGATCAGGATGAAGACAACAAAGACCATGAAGGCCATCACGATATACACTAGGGGGTGCATTACCGAGGAAGAAGTGGCTGGTACAGTACGGAGTACGGGATCCCTATTTCGGAAACTTGGAGAGGATACTGTATAACCTCGTACAGTATCAGGCCCTGCACAGTACTGTCCCGGCCTAGTGTCATTCCCGTCTCGCCTTGGACGCCGTATGCCGTGAATGTCGGATTGTACCACAGACGACAAACTTCTTCCCCGCCTCGAGTCTAGGCACCTAGGCACTCACTGGCTTGTCCTTACCGAAGCTACTATGGCAAGCAACCTTCCATACTGGTTCTGTGTTTACCCGAGGCTCTGACAAGGTTAGAACTCCAATCGAGGGGCTGCGCGCCATGGCACGAAGACGATAATTACCCCGCCTGCTCTCTACAGGATTCGGGGATGACGGAGTACAGGTGTGTTGACACGAGCTCTGTTGACAATCCGAAGTCGTGTCGCGGTCCCGTACATATATCTAGGGCCCCCAGGCTCCTCCCGAGGGTATTCGGCCTCCGTACAAGCAATTATTATTCACCTTCATTGTGGCCACATCGACCATGGCAGACTATTCCAACCTTCCCGACTTCGACTCCCTGCCCAAGGTGGAGGGCATGCCCCAGGGCTGCGCGTGGGGTGTCTTCGACAAGGACGGCAAAAAGGACCACCTCGGCTGCCTGAACCTGCTCACGCCCAAGGTGGTGCAGGAGGCGTTCAAGGAAGCGCGCGACGGCGTGTCGGTGTCTCTGAACTGGCCGATCGGCGCCATCAAGAAGCCCGGCTTCGCGCGCAAGGGCCTCGAGCACAAGGTGCTGTCGTTCAAGGAAGGGCCCTTTGACCTGTACGGCTTTGACGACGAGCTCGAGTTCAACACGCAGTGCTCCTCGCAGTGGGACAGCCTGGTGCACTTTGCCCACCAGCCCACGGGCCTCAGCTACAACGGCGTGAAACCCACGCGCGACCAGCTCGTGCAGGAGTTTGGCAACGTCGACCTCGACAAGGCCCTCCCCACGCTGAACCACTGGCACGACCGGGGCGGGCTGGTCGGCCGCGGCGTCCTGCTCGACTACCGCGCCTACGCCCAGGCCAAGGGCATCACGTACGACTGCTTCTCCAGCCACGCCATCTCGGTGCAGGACCTCGAGGCCGTGGCCAAGCACCAGGGCACCGAGTTCCGCCACGGCGACATCCTCATTGTGCGGTCTGGGTTCACGGAGGATTTGGGCGCCGCCAACGCCGAGGAGCAGGAACGCCTGCTCGGCACGCACAAGGCCGTCGGCGTCAAGGGCGTTCGGGAGTCGGCCAGGTGGGTGTGGAACCACCATTTCGCCGCTGTCGCGGGCGACGCCATCGCCTTTGAGCAGCTACCTCCAGTAGTCGAGGATGAAGGGAACCGCGAAGGCGGCATCGGAGAGCTTGGTAAGTGAAAGAAGTGTGCTCCCTTACGGCACAAGCACGTTGAGACCCCGTCACAGCAAAGGAAGCCAGACCGAAGGATGCAGGTACGAGAGCATATGTAACACAAAGAGCATGACGGCGACCGGCTGCGCCACTATCCTCGTTGCTGTTTCGACCCCCCATCTTCCAAGCTAACATGACACGTTCACAGTCCTCCACCAGTACTTCCTCTCCCTCTTCGGCCTCCCCATCGGCGAACTCTGGGACCTCAAGGCCCTAGGCGACCACTGCAAGAAGATCGGCCGCTATTCGTTCCTGCTGACGAGCGTGCCGCTCAACGTTCCTGGCGGGATTGGAAGCCCGCCCAACGCTCTGGCCATCTTTTAGGCGGCCGGAGGTGAATGGTCAAAGGCGAACGGAATGCGCGGTGAAACGACGCCTGCTTGAGAGTGGAGGGTGAAAATCGTCGGCGGCAAGACGTGGATGTCGGGATGTATGTACATAACCTGTCTTGAAGACGCTGTGTTGTGTGTCTGGGGGATGCGCTACAAACACATGGCGTAGGGAGCTTGCGGAGGGAGGTTGGCAGTATGTCGCATTGTTCTGGCCAGAAGTGTTTGCGCTGTGACGGGAATGCAGTGGTTCATATCATGATGCCGCGCTCTTCTCGAGATGGCGAACCCAACCCTGTTAGCTACTTTGCACATATGAGTCACAATGCTTCCGCGCAAGACCGGGAGAACTACATCCCTGTCCAGGGCGACCTGCTAGTCTATCCACTCTCGCCCCGCCGTCTGTCTCTATGCTGATTACCGCAAGGGTATAAGCTGTTGGACTTCCTTCCACCAATGCACAATCCATATGGGGAATGGCGTGTCTCTCTCATCCGACACAATCACAGCATCTTCCGTTGTCCCTCCTCCCATCGAATCCAAAATTCTAGGACAGTGGGGCACCTGCCGCGCCTCATGAAACGCACCTCTCCGACTCCCACTCCCCTCAAGACTCTTTTCACCCCAGACCAGTCAATCAAATCCAACCTATGCAGTAACCCGCCTGCCAAACCGAGCCAACTCTCCGACAACACCCCCTCCACTCAACCCCCTCATTTCGCCCACAAACCCGTCTGTGATCCTCTTGTGCAATATTCCGCTGCGTGCAAAGTACTCCAGGTACCCCCTGCTTTCCTCTCTGTCGAGGCCCTTGAGTTCCATAAGATGTACATTGTTGTGAGCGGTGGCGGCGCCGGAAAGGGCGAGGACGTGCTCATCAGCCTTGCTATAAGGTTTTGGGAGAGGGAAGTCTGGGTCGGTGGGCGCCATGTGCTGGTTTTGGACGGCGCGCATTTGAGACAGGAGGAGTTCGAATGTTGGGTGCGCGGGGGTATTGCTTCCGGACGTGCTGAAGAGGACCATTCCACCACTGACAAACGGGCTGGCAGTACCGAGATCTGAGAACAAAAGGTTGGTGAAGCGCTTCACCAGTGCGAATTGATGGGCATGAATGATTTTGTGCTCGCTGTTGCGGTACAGCGTCGAACCCATCCAGTGGTCAACCCCGTCTGCTGCGACGAGCACGGGCGGTCGACGGTTTGCCCCTGGAACGCTCAGTTCTTTATACAGAGCTTGCCAGGCTAGCGAGGCGACGTGGAAGTCCGCCGCGCCTTGCTGGGCAAGGTCGTAAAGCGTGGCGTTGTTCTTCAGCGAGAGGGGTTTCGCGTGACTGTGGTTGAGTTTGAAGGATTTCAAGACAGACTCATTAGATGCCACGGCGCGTTGGAGGAGGAGCTGGGTGAGATGAGGTTGGGTGTACATTTGCTCCGTCTCTGTTTCTGTGTGTCGCAGAGGTGCATAGGAAGACGTGTTGTTGACGTGTTCTTGGGCTGTGGACAAATGTCAGAACGTAGTTAAGGTCGAAAAGAGCGATGGACTTACCCTCTGGTATGTTCAGGACAATCCATTGCTTCATATAAGCCATGCTCATCGCCTGTAGCATCAGAATGCTCTTCCCACTCGCTCTCTCGCCAATAACCAGACGCTTAACGAATTTGTTGGCACCATCCGAGCCCTCGATATCTTGCATATCCTTGGCAATTTTGATCGTCTCCTGTCTGATCAACGTCGCCGGTCTCCTGAACAAACCCCAATTCTGCGTCGTCTTGAATGCCCTCGAATCTCTCAGTTGATCCAACAGCCCGCCATCCAGGGCCACCATCTGCCCGATATACTTTTCTTCGGCCACATTATCCTTACTCCACGTCTCTATGTTAGACACGGGTATGGCATTGGTATTGCTCAGAACGATCCGCCGCCTTTGAGCTCGCCGTTCTCCAACGGGAGGAAGCTTTGGCCTTTCGCGGGATTTCTTCTTTAGACGCGCGGATTGAGATTGACGCGCGCGAGGTCCGCTTGAGCCTTGTTGCGTGGCTTTCTTTTTCAGAAGCGGAGATTTGAACTGTGCGGCGGTCGTGTGAAAGGAGGTTGTCTGCATCCATGCCGCCGCGGCAATGGGCAGTTGTTTCCGTGGTGCGGTCGATATTCGGAGCCGCGAGAGACATTCGGAGCATACCGAAAGAGACATGATGCTAGCGGGCGGCTCTCGCCGGGATAGAGTCGGCGCGGCCGTAAGCCAAAGCTCGCTGGCAAGCTCAAAGAGCAGCTTCAACTTGAACTGCACCTGGGAGACGAGAAAGTAAATCCGCGATGGGATATCCTCTTCTGGGCGGAGATGGATGCCGCCCTATTGTCCCTCTCCGCTCGAAGGTGGGAGAGGAGTGTTCACGAAGGGTCTGCCTAAAGCAGCACACATGCTCGGGAAAACCTCGTGTCAGCCTCGCAATACTTTTTGCGGAGAAGTCGAATCTTCGAACAACTTTTCCCAATCCTTCCAACTCGTACACCGCATATACTCAAAACTTTCTAGAGCGACAGACGTAATGGTGGACACAGTAATGGCGGAGACATCAGTCTCAGTACAGATCCCTGTTTCGACGCTCTCGGACAACGCATTTTCAAAGCCGGACAGACTGTACGTATTCTTCTCCTACCCTTCTTTTCCACCCACGTCCCACTTGATGACAGAAGTACTTACGCCTTTTCCAAGCCCAACGACGGTCGAGAAACCCACGCCCTATACTTACGACCTCGGCTACCTCACCGCCGTTGACCCTAACCCTCTCCCACCCACAAACACCCTCCTCAGTCAATCCACCGCTCAGCGTAGTGAGACTCTAAAATCCATAGCCCGCGATGGTGCCCAATGCCTACTCAACACCCTCCTAACTACCTGCCCCATCAACTCCACTCCTGACGGGCTGATAATGACTCTGCCCGCACCGCAGAACTATCTCCCGAGGTGGAAACCACTGCCAAAACCTAAAGCTCCCACGAAATGGGAACTTTTCGCCCGCAAGAAGGGCATTGGGAAGTATGGCGGAAGTCTCAAGGGAGGCGCCGCACAGGAAGAGAGACGAAAGAATCTCGTCTATGACGAGAAGAGCGGTGAGTGGGTCAAGAAATGGGGCTATAAAGGTGCGAACAAAAAGGACGAAAGTCAGTGGCTTGTCGAGCTCGATGATGAGAAAATAAGGACGGAGAAAGAGGGCGCTGATGCGGGTAAGAGTGTGAGAATGGAGGGACGGAGGGAGCGTAAAGAGAGGATCAAGAGGCAAGAGCGACGGCAGCGGGGCAATGAGAGGAGGATGAGAAAGGGTGGCGGCTGAGACGAGTGAATCGAGTGCTTGTATGAGCAAGACATGAATCACTCCACGAGTTGCCAGTGTGGGAGGGGGACCGCGTCTGGCTGTCTGCTGAAGCGCTGCATTTCACAGCTGCAGATTCCGCTCGAAAACCACCCTCTGCTGCGTGCTTGGTGACAGATGAGAATGAGGGCGGTGGACTGGCCCTGCCAGAGACGCCAGGAACAGATAAAAGCCTGAGTTCGCTCAGCACACCGTCACAGCCTCCCACCTCATTCCACCAGTACCAAGATCAGCCACAGCCACGATCGATGTGAAAGGCGGAGGAGAAGCCTCAGGGCTGGCATATAAGGGATCAAAGCAAGAAATCAGGGCATGCCTGCCCACAGGTGTGATTCGAGACCACCGCTGCTCGTCAATTGGGGTATTCCAAACTCATTACGGTCCAGATACCAATCTCTTTTATCTTTCCAATCTCGTCCAGTTCAGTTAAGGCTTTGCAAAATGTCAACCTCTCAATCCAACCTAATCTTACAACAAGAGGGTTCCCACCAGAGCTGCCCTCTTCCCTTGCTCCTCTGTCGCTTCATATCCGCAGGCTTGACTCCTCATGAAAGATCATAGCCGACTGTCGGCCAATGGAAGGCCGCGTGCAATTCAAGAATAGACAAAAAATGCTGAAACTCAGGAAATGCATCTAGATAATACATGATATGTTCCGGAGTCCCAAATCACTCCTTCGTCATGCCCGACAGGCTTATCCAAGCATGCCATGCAACAGATAAATCAAATGCACTGGGGTGTTTCCCTTTCAAAGCCAGACGCAGAATAGTGTTGTAGCAAAGGGTCTCACATCCTGATAGGGGAAAACCCGGTCAGTTCGGGCAACTTCTGGTCAAGCGACAGCTTTGGAGGTTCTGGTGTGACAATCCGCTGTGGCACAGCAGGCACTGATTGGCTTGGTCCATGCCCACTGTTAGAGCGGTCCCTGGTATTTCCGCCCTGCGACAGACTCCTTTGTTTGGTCTTGGGCGCCATCGACTTGCGGTGTGCAGCGGCATCCGCACTTCGAGGAGGGATCGGCTCGGGTGGGGGTGATGCTTGAACTGCTTGAGCTGCTTGGGCTGCTTGAGCTGCTTGAGCTGTTTGTTGCTGGCTGCTGCCACTGGAAGAAAGGGCCCTTTCGTCGAGACCGAGGTCTTCGCTCTCATTGATCGAACCTTCTCGTTGATACCGGTACTCTTCTTCCAAGTATTCTTTCTCAGTCCAGCAACCTTGCCAGCAGTTTTTCCAATCCATGACCAGGAACTGGAAACAGAACGCATCGATCTTCAAACAGGGTTGAAAGCAGATACACAGATTGCGATAGTCCATCTTGTTCTTGTCAGCATAGCTGTTCAGGAGGCTGAGATGACACGTGATGGCGAAGAGGAGGTAATAGTTGAAGGGCGGTAACCGCGACAACTCGTCTCGGAGCAACTGAGGCGCTGACGTCGCACCAGCGCATTGTGTGGCCACTTTGTTCTGCACAGCTTTCGGAAGAATCTCGTCGGGCAGCTCTCGCAGCCAGGATTTGAACATCGAGCCGATCGTGTTGATATCATACAAGTCGGGCTCATCAAATAAATTGATATCGTACTCGGTGTCAAAGCGCCGCTGCCAGTGTTTCACGTCTCTGCCGCTACCGGGGATTCGGTACAAGCCTTCCTCCTCTGCACCGTTCATGTTCAAATAGCTAGATGCCAACGTCAGCGCGAAATTCCCAGGTGTCGAGGCAACATGAACTTACTCAATGCAGCGCCAGGGCAATGCTGGCATCCAAAACTCTGTCTTGTCCTTGGATACCTCGAGACGCCTTGCAATTCTCGTTTTGCGAGTTTGCTTGACTAGTGGCAGATTGATTGTCGTACACACGTAATTGTCATCCGTGACCGTCGGCGTTTCGCGTTCGTTGCTACTTCCGCTTCGTGTAATCTTGCCGAAGAAGCCTTTTCCAGCCTTCCCAATGCGATCACCCACGCCCTTGCCCGTTTGCCCTATGTTGGAGAGGATTTGCAGCGTCGAGCCTTCTCGAAACGAGTGTGACATCGGTAGGTTGCCCGTCTGCCTTTCTTTTCTCGCTGTCAAAAAATCATCGCGCGTTTGTCGATCTGCTGACCGGTTACGAATCGCTGCCCCAGCTTCCGCCCCAAAAGCTCTATCGCGATGGTCAAACTTGATGGGCGCCGTCTTTGGCGATGTATCGTCGAGCCGATCTATGCCTGGACTAGTCGTATCGAGCTGAAGGTGACTTGGCACTGGATTCTTCTGTTTCGGCGGCAAGTCCTCCATCCGTACGGTCTTGGTCCTTGCGAGGATACCTCCAAACCTCGGTTTTGGCTTCTTGCTTGCTGCAACAGGTTCTGCTGGGGGTTGAGCCAACGCGGGTTCCGACATGGTTGGCGGATTGTTGGCGTTTGCGTTTGTCGTTCCATTGCTTGATCCACCTTTCGGTAACTCTGGTGTTGAACCTTGCTTCTTTACTGAATGAAGAGACCGGTCTTTCGAACTGGCACGACTCCTTGCATTTGGTCGTTCTCCTCCTTCTGGGATGCTTGTTTCTGAGGCATGCAGTTTATGCGATGATTTCGACGCCATAAGGTTGGAGAAGAAGCCCTTGGATTGGTCTCGGGCGTGCTTGGGAGACTGAGGAACAGGCGAGGGAGGGAGCTCAGGCATGGCTGTTATCTTGGGCGAACCTGGGCCTGTCTGAGCTCCATCCTGAGAAGCGGACACCTGGTGCGACATGAAAGACGGCGGAGGGCTTTGCAGAAAGGGCGATGTCGGTGCTGATCTCGGGGTGTGTGGAGTATGGGGGGAGCCCGTCGAGCGAGGGCTCAGTGTCGCTGGTGTTATACCATTAAGGTCATCCTTGTTGTTAGGAGCCAAGTTGAGATGTGGCAATGCCGAGGCCTTTGGCATGTCTGCAAACAAGCTGCTTGAAATGTCATCAGCAGGGCCGACTGCGAGTAGCCGGCCGTTCCTTCACGTTGGTCAAGGCTTTAGCGTGCGCCAGATCACCGGGACCTAGATATCCTCCGACGGACGTATTGCCTGTCTGTACCACCTCTTTTGTAGTGACAGAAATAGTTCCCAGTCCGCTCGAAGTATCTCCGAAAGTGACAGGCGATGAAGGCTCACAGCCGGACGGTATTATGTTTGGGTGTGATGAAAACCTTCCAGTTGTCGTTCCAAGCGCAGTTGGCGCGGAAGATATGCCCCAAATGATATGGGCGACGGCCACAAATGTTGGCGATAGGTCTCGCGTAGGTTCTGTACATAAAACCGTCGTGTCGAACAAATATCTTGTACCAGAAAGCTCGGTGTGATTCGGCTCTGCAGGGGGGTTGTTCGTGGGGAACCGTGGGCGGGCAAGGCCGTCAACGCGCAGATGAACGAATTGGCAAGATCGATGTATGCGTTTCCTGATCAAAACATTTCCATTGCCGAACGTGCGTAGGTGACAAAGAGATACTCGGGTTTGCTGAGTGGCTTGCGGGGACAGCGGCTAACAAAGGAGGAGTTTGGCAGGATCGAAGCAGCGACTGAACTGAAGGGTAGGGACGAGCCACGCTCTGGGTTAAAGCGACGGGGCCAACTCCCAAATACTAGGACGCACGACCAAACTGGTCCCGAGGGAGGGTTGATTTGCTGTAAGGGTATAAGTGCGCTGTTGGTGTGCGGTTTGGAAAGGTCTGCTGCGTGAGTGGTGTGGATAACGGGCTGCAGCTAAAAGTTACTGCAAGGACAGTCGAGGCAGGCCGTCGTGGTGGAGCGGAACAAAGCGGTGAGAAGGAATGAGGGGACCTCCTGCCAGGAACAAGACCGGAGCCAAGGGCGTCGTGGGTGTCTGAAGGGTGGCCTGCGCGCTACTGAGAATGCCTGCTTTCTTCTTCGACGTCGCTGGGCGTCGCAGCAGGCGAGACCCTTGGGGGATACCTGAGCCTGGACGGAGGTAGCCAGACAGATGGAGACGGTGCGCGTTAAGTTGTGCTGCACCAGACTTGGAGCATCAAAGCCTCATTTCAGAGTAGCGGCATGAGATGGTTTTCCTAGTTCTCTCTGCCGCTGCACGCAGTTCTCGGTACTACAGTCAAGGCAGTGCGCCTTCAATGCAAGAAGGTGGGGAGCGAAGTCGTAAGTTGTGCATGAAAATGTGGATAAGCACAACTGAGAGCAGGTGATGCGGACCCCTGTACGTACAGGAGCAGGCATTGGGGCCAGGAATTAGTTAATCCTTGAGACGGCCTGGAGTTCAAACACGGAGATCATCTGATGAAGCACGACTCGCTTCGAGGCGCCTGTGGCGCCGATACACTGTTGACCGGGTTCCTACCATATTGGTTTCGTTGTAACCTTTCTCGCAGCACAACCAAAGACACGCAGGGCGCTGGGTGATCATACGGGCACTGAACACCGTGGGCGACGTGTGCGTGCTACTGCCGCAGAGAGTGATAGCCAGGGGCAGAGAGACATGCAGGCGGCTGCACCCGGAGGACCAGAGAAACAGCAGATGGAATAGGCAAAGATTGAAAGCTAAACATGCAGGACAAAGAGAGAATCGAGGACAGGGCTTGGGATGCGCCAGATTGACGATCCAGTCTAACCTCGAATAGACGAACACGACGGGCACTGTTGCTGCGTGTAGTCGAGCTCGATCGGACCTTTCAATAATATGTGTATCTCAGGCTACTGATCAAACTCAATGCTGCAGCATGGCTCCTTGTTAGGTGCATGCCAGACGTTAGACTAATTGATGTCAGGCTGAGGATGTTGTGAGTTGCTGGTCACTGGTTAGGCCTGCGGAGCTTTAGACGCCAAGCAAGACGCAGGCACAGTTTCAGAGCTGCCTGAGAACGGCGACATACTGTCCCCAAAATACTGGCTTGACCTCGCTCATCCCCAGCTACCTAACCTATTCTCTCCCTCGACTTCCACCCTACCCGCGTAGAGTCTGCGCAAGTACCTCTGGCTCACTCAATGTCCCTTGTGGCGGGACCTGGCATTGGAGGATCGCTCTCCGCGTCCGAGAGGCCCGTGGAAGACCTCAGTCTGGTTGTGGACAAGCATGTGAAATATATCCAGGCTTTGGATACTGTGCGTCCTTGTGAGTAATTTGTCGCCGCAGGGTATTGATGATTTGCCAGCGCAAAGATGAGCTCGATTACTGGTTGACCGAACACCTGAGATTAAACGGCGTCTACTGGGGCCTGACTGCACTTCATCTCCTCCGTCATCCAGATGTCTTGCCCCGTGACCACACCCTGGAATTTGTGTTCGCTTGTCAAAACTCAGATGGCGGCTTCGGTGCTGCTCCCGGCCATGACTCTCACATGCTGTATACCGTCAGTGCCGTCCAGATATTAGCGACAGTCGACGGTTTAGAAGATTTCGAGAGGCGGGAAACAGGTGGACAGGAGCGTATTGCCAAATGCAAGTTCTTCTGCGATCAGATTTGCAAGAATCCCACTAACACGCACGCTGCAGTCATTGCCGGTCTGCAAAACACTGAAACTGGCACCTTCGCCGGAGATGAGTGGGGAGAGACTGACACTCGATTCCTTTACGGAGCTTTCAATGCCCTCTCGATTCTGAACATGATGCATCTGGTCGATGTCAACAAGGCAGTCTCTTATATTCAAGCCTGCGCAAATTTCGACGGTGGCTTCGGGAGATCACCTGGGGAAGAATCTCATTCCGGTCAGATATTCACTTGTGTTGGAGCTTTGACAATTGCCCGGAGACTCGACATCGTGGATCACGAGCGACTGGCCGCTTGGCTGAGCGAAAGACAGCTCCCGAATGGCGGTCTGAATGGCCGACCCGAAAAACTTGAAGATGTCTGCTACAGTTGGTGGGTGCTGAGTAGTCTCGCAATGTTAGGGAAACTCCACTGGATTGACGCCTCAAAATTGATCACGTTCATCCTGAGCTGCCAAGATGCCGACCACGGGGGAATCGCGGACAGACCTGGTGATATGGTGGATGTCTTCCACACTGTGTTTGGGATCGCAGGCTTGAGTCTCTTAGGTTATCCAAGCCTTGCAGAAGTCGATCCTGTCTAGTAAGTGAGAGATATAGCCTTTTGCAGGCCGAACTAATGCATTTCTCTAGCTGCATGCCAAAGACAGTCACTCGAGCCTTGCCGTACTGGCAGTCTTAATCATGCCAGCGTGACGGCCTACCTCTCGCAATCTAATAACCCACTTGACTTTTGCCATGAGAGCTGGGATACAATGCGGGAGAAGAGAAACGTCCACCACAGTCTATTTCCGCTTCAATCACACTCCTGTCCTCGCTTCAGAGGGAGTATAGGCTTGAGGATACATTCAAGTGAGGAGATGCGCCAGGACCGCAAAAGCCTACTCATCCAAAAGTCAGGTCAATACTACCTTTGGTAGAAGGGGTAGCATGCGCTGCCTCTCCCGAGAATTGAAGCACCTGAGTTAGAGACAGCGTTGATGAAGAGTCCCGCCTTCCAAACTGGTGTGCCAATGACGAGGTGGGTAGTTGGTCGGACTTTCCTGTGTCATGTTTGACTGCGTCCTTTTTCCATTTATAATTTATCAAAGCGACTATTGCTCAACCGATTTTCCTCGTTGGCCACTTCTCTCCCTTTGGTCGTGCTTCCGTTCTCTCCCTCACTTACTCGTCTTCATCCTGCTTGGACTGCAGGAGGAAGACGCTTTTGATCTGCGCCTGTGTCCAGTTGTGGAGCTTTCCCAGGTTTCCAGTCTTCGTTCTGATCTACATTTGCTGTTTCCTTGTCTTTGCAGTCCAGTCACTCCCGCCGCTTAACGGTGCCGTCATGGCCCAGGCCTTGCTCAACTGTAGCATCTGTCCCAAACAGCCCTCCTTCAGTGATACTTCCCATCTGCTCACCCATGTGAGTTCCAAGGGTCACCTCGCCGAATGGCACAAACTCCAAGTACGGAGCTTTCAGGACATTGCCGCTGCTGTGGCTCTGGCAAATTACAATCAATGGTGCCAGCAACATGACATTGACCGATTACTGTCCGAAAGAATGCAAATGAAAGAGGACAAGCAGGCCAGAAAGAGAAGGACCACCACTACACGAAATGCGTCTGCCCCGAAACTGGTTCCCGTCGGCCATGAACAGCTCGATCCACCTATCCCTGTGAGAAGAGCAGCAAAACCGAAGAAGCAGAACCAGAAGAAAGGGACTTGTGGCAGACAGCAACGAGAGGACGACCATGGAAGTGATTTGGATTTCAGCCCTGTCAAACGTCCTAGGTGAATACCTCTTCAGAGCTATGTCTCCTGCTGCTGACAAAGTGCTCTTAGGCGCAAAACACAGCGACTCCAAATCTCCTCTCCACGCAAGCAGTCCCAAGTCTCTGACGGAGCATATCCTTCCCTTGACGACTACCCAGCTAAGGACAATCACTCGGTTCCTCTGCAGGTTCTGGCCACACCCGAGCATATGAAGCTCAAGGGCATTGTCTGGCCTGGCATGGATCTCTTCGACGCGGCCACGCAGGAGATGCAGCAGAAGAGAAACCAGAAGAAAGACGCATCTGTTCTGAGACGCATGGAGAGACTCGCCGGATTGGTTGAGCCTACCGAGGTCGTCTACTCTCCCAACGGTGACAACATGTTGAAGGCCAGGCATATTGATGACCTGGAGGATGCGAGTAGCCTGATTGAAGGCGAGACTCCCGTCCCCAGGGTAGAACCAACCCGGCTACGCAAGAGGAAGCCACTTGCCGAGACATACGCCAACGTCCCACGGCTCATGAAACGCAAAGTCAAAGCCAGTGTTTTGAATGACTACGACGATCTTCCCTTTGCTCATGGACTACCACCTCTTCCGCACCTGCCGAGCTCTTCTGCTGGAGAGCTATATGGTGCAAGCTGTCGCTTCTTTCCAATGGAAGATGGGGATATCAAATCGTCCATCGAATCCCTTGCTCATCGCAAACGACCACCTCCCCAGTTTGAGATCTTCACTGATGGGAGTCCAAGGCGCCACTTGACCGGTGTCTTGAACGGGACCAGGAACCCGCTTCAGCCTGGGCCTCGGGTGTATGGCAATGGTCCTTTCCAACAACAGCCAAAGGTCTCCGCAGCGTGGTTGCAGCCACAATACCAGTCAGCCCTACAATATACGGATCCTTATACATCCTACCGCCCAGTGGGTCGTCAGTATCGGACTCTCTACGATCCGAGCATTGCCAACGAGAACGATCCTCCAATGCTCGAAGCTCAATTCTCCTTTCGAGGCCCATCTGCGAACCCTTTGGCATGGAAATCTCCAGTGCGGCCAGCGATCGTATCTGGGTTGTCTCCAGCAGATTCACCTTTTGGCAGCTTTTTCGGCATCTTCCCTGGTGATTCCCCTGGTGACGACCCGTTCGTGAGCACCAAAAATCCTCTGGCCGGAGCAATAGCCCACTTCGAAGACGAGAAGCATCCTCTGACAACCAAAGGACACTCCAACTCGCCCTCCGATACAGGCTTATCCAATGAGACCGAAGTCTGAGGCCGGCCAGATGGAGACGATAACATGTCAACAGATTCAGCACAGATTACTACGGTCCGTGAGGCCAATACCACTGAGAGCAGAAATATACCGGGCATAGGTACGACCGACAGTCGCACGCTCTTTCCTTGGAAGCTATACCCGATCTCATGTATTAGTTGCGCTCGGGCATACACCATGTCGTTGGAGCTCGGAGGATGGTGGCATGGGAGATGTGCGGCCCGTGGTAATATTGGAGGGCACTTCACTTTGAACGAAGCATTGATTCCATGTGCACAGGGAAAGATAGACATGTGTAGAATCAGGCGATCCTGGAACCACTTACTAGACGTACCATGTCGAGTACTATTAGATTTGTACGTTGTCGACGTGCCGTATTTCCCAGTGGGGCATTGCATTCCATACGTGCTACTTACTGGCTTCTCTCCTGTAACCGCCTCCTTATCTCAGTACTACTGATCTTGCTGTCAAAAGTCTCCCTTTGCCGCACCATTTCTTCTTCGTCTTCTACGCCCACAGCGGCATCCAAAATACCCACCTCAAACACCTCGAGCTCCTTCCACCCTTTCTCTTTTCTCTTATCGTTGACAGCTTTTCCACCGGCTCGTGTCTCGGCTGAGATGACAAGGGCGGAGATATCGGGATCTGTTATAGTGGGACCAAAGGGGTCGGATATTTGGGTGTAGTTGACGGTTACACTCTCTTCCACACCAGGGCTCGATTGGAGAGATTTGTATGTCACGCGTACGACCTTGCCATTCGGCCCCGGATGGTCGATATACTCGGTCGTTCTCAAGCCATTGGCCCCTGAATTGGGACTCGTCTTCCTTGGGTAAAACGCTAGAATTGAGTCGACAAATTCCGCCGTGCGTTCTTGTCTCAGTGACCAGGATTCGACATACGAGCAGTATTTCTTGTTGACGAGTAATTCGTCGCCTGTTACGCCGATAGTTATCAGGCGGGAGGCTGTGCTGGGTTCCGCAGAAAGGATCGTGCCCGTCAAGAGGAGTTTATGTCCGATGTGTAAGTGGTCGAACGTGCCTCCCACCGCAACGGATGCGTGAGCCGTCACAGAAGCAACTCCCTCGGTCGTCGAAAAAGGCTGTGAATCAGTGGCAGAGGCAGAGACGATTGCCGGTCCACTTGGCAGTCTCACAGAAGGCGGGGGCTCGTCCTTCAGTTTGCTTCCCCACGTGGTGAGAAACTGCTTGAGATGACCTTCCCCAGCCTCGCCTTCGACCGAGTAGATTGTCTTGTAACTCCGATCTGAGAGGACGAACGTGTCGATGTCTACAATCGGCCCGGAGAGGGGTTGCTTGCCAACGAGTTTCTGGGGGATACGGTCCACGCGGGGTTCAAGGATGAAGACGCGGATGTCGACACCCCCGGGCAGATCGAGGTCGACATTCTGCTGAGAAGCGACGGAGGTGATTAGACTGTAGGTTTGCTTCAGCAGGTTCTGGATAAGACCGAAGATGGCGGAGCGGCATGTATTTGTCGAAAGCGGATAACTAGCGGACAAGACTAGGCCGATATCCAGGCGGGCGACAGAGGTCTTGTCCTGGGGACGTAGCCTGGGAAGGAGGGATTCAAATGTGCTTTTGTAGGAGGACTTGTTTGAGGAGGGGGTTGACAAGAGGTCTAGGGCTGGTAGTAAAAGGAGCGACGTCGCTTCCGCCATTTTTCGGAAACCGTTGACACAGTGGCCGCGACTCACAAAGAAGTTTGAGAATGCGTTGAGTCAGTCCTGCTGTGCGTGTTGGAGCGATCAATCATGGTCATCAATGTGTGGTCGTGTTGCTGTAGTGCAATCCAATCCATGTTCACTTGTCTCCAACAATGATACCGAGGTGTGAACAGGCCCTTGTGGCCCCCCACCCAATGAGCGCTGGGCAGCTTCTGGGGCACGCCCAGCCCCTCCAGCTCCGCGCCTAGTGGCTGACACTTAGGGAGCCCGAAGCCCTGAGGCAGGCATGGCAGGGCCGAGCCTGACAGACAACACTGGCACCACCACCAACTATCAGCCTCGAACTTTGTATGCAGATAAATTTGGCCGCATGTGCGGATGAAGGTTTGAGTGGCCAGGCTGGATTCTACTAACATGCCATTCCACTTCCCTCGCCATCACCATACCGTCTCCGATCCTCAATACAACCACGACAACTCTCACGGCATTGCGAACGCCATCCACTCCGCTGGCCAGACTCTAAGCTCCGTTGGCGCCCCGATCCCTCAATACCTCGACAACAACCAAAACACGCACACCACGGCGTCCGACGCCAGATTCTACTTCCCTCAAACCCAACCGAACGCGAACGGTAATGGCACCGTGATTCCATATCGTCCTGGTCCTGCTCCGTCTTCCTACCAGAGTGCACAAGAGGGCCAGGCCGGCCAGTCCCACCCCGGGCTGAGGCGGTCCCTGACGGTTGAACGCCAACAGGCCGACGAACTGCATCTGAACCAGCAAGGTAGTGCAATGAGCGACGTCCACCACTATGGCGCACCGCCTGCATACTCTGGGGATGGATTGTCAATAAAGATTGAGCCGTCGACACCGCAGCATCCCCCCAACACCGCCAGCCAGCCCATTCCCGGCACCTTACAACCTGGCAGTCTTGCGAGCAGACCAGCGACGTTGGGAGCCAGTGGCACAGCCCCGTCTTTGCCTACATTACCCCAGATAGCGACACAGTTACAGCAGCCTCCTCTGTCTGCGAGACCCATGCCCTTGAACCACACCCATTCGTACTCGAGATCCAGTCCTGGCGCCATGGATCAGCCCAAATACAAGCCCTTTTCGAATACCCCGGAACAGTCGAAATTCCCGTCGGCACCGAACTCATACATGCCACAAACTCCTCTCGGTCCTTCTTCGTATTCTCCCCTAGGCCTCGCGGACATTAGACAAAGGACAGACCATACATTTTCGGATGCGCCTTTCAGTCCCGGCGTGACACAGGAGAGTGAGGACTCACCGTATCCCCAAAATAGCAATTACAACGCGCCTTGGCCTATATATGCTGTGGACTGGTGCAAATGGCCGCCGCGGTCAGGGAGTGGGTCATCCGGAAAGGTGGCTATTGGAAGTTATATGGAGGACAACCACAATTATGTGAGTCGTGGTGGAGAGTCCAAATACAAAAGATGTGGCTGACAAGATTCAGATCCAAATACTCGAGACACAAAGGTCACAAACAGACCCGGATAACCCACACGGTGAACGAGGGTTGGAATTTATCAAAACAGCAGAAGCAACCCATGCATATCCTGTGACAAGGATTCTGTGGGAGCCTCCGTCGTCGAACAAGCAGACTACTGACCTGCTTGCAACATCTGGCGACCACCTACGGCTCTGGTCACTACCGAACGACCAGCACTCATATCAGGCGAATTCAATAACGCGGTCAGCGAACACAAAGACGCCCCCGTTGCAGAAGTTATCTCCGCTCGCTTTGCTGTCAAATTCAAAGTCCCCCGAGCACACCGCGCCGATCACGTCCTTGGATTGGAACGTGGTACAACCTTCTCTGATCATTACTTCGTCGATAGACACCACATGTACAATTTGGGACATTCCCACTCTGACTGCCAAGACTCAGCTCATCGCTCATGACAAGGAGGTGTATGATGTGCGATTCTGCGCAAACAGCGTCGATGTCTTTGTCTCGTGTGGTGCGGACGGTAGTGTGAGAATGTTCGACCTGCGAAGTCTCGAGCACAGCACGATAATCTACGAGCCTTCAGAAAAGCAACAACAACAGGAGAAGAGCTGTAAGACCTCATCCCGCCAGATGTGCCTATTCAATATACTAACGCTGTGCAGCTCAACTTGAGGCCCTCTCCTCCTCTCCAACCCGCGCCTCCGGGTCCGGTGGTCCCTCAGCCCTCCCATTTCCCCCTCCTCTCCTCCGCATTGCTGCTTCACCCCACGACACACACTTGCTTGCCACATTCAGCCAAGACTCGCCTGTAATCCGGGTGCTCGACGTCCGCCAACCTGGGCAGGCACTCCTCGAACTCAAGGGCCACGGCGCGTCGGTGAATTGCATTGATTGGAGCAACACTCAGAGAGGGGTGCTCGCGTCCGGCGCGGATGACTGTTGTGTGTTGCTGTGGGATTTGATGGGGAGCAGTGCCAGTACGGGTGCCGCGGCTGGTGGAGTTGCACAGGGTGCCACTGCTGGACAGGTGCAGGGTCAGGGTCAGGGCCAGGGCCAGGAACGAGGGCCGAGTGCCGTGTGGGAGTGTAAGTATGAGGTTAGCAATTTGAGCTGGGCGCCCACAATGGGGACATTGGGAGTCTGTGGTGGACGAGGGTTCTGGGGCGTGCAGTTATGAAGGAATGAGACGTGACATTTGATCCTTCCGCGCTCGACAGCCGGAGTCTTAGCATGAGCATGGGTGTGAGTGTGAGCATGACTATGAGCATGAAGACAGGCGCTGGGGTTTGTCTCTGACTTTATACGCACTGCCACAGAGAAGTTATGCCATTGTCCCGGCGATTACGACACCAGCTAGCTTGCTTTGGCTCGAATGATTGCTTTGGCTCGAATGACTCCTCAGAGGGACTGTGAGACCTGTGTGTCATAGACTATGTTTCCGATATGTCCTTTTCACGGCACGTTGCAGTATATACCTAGGTATTGCAGCTTGTCAGCACAACCAAAGCCGGACTCCACGGACTCATAGCCACCAATCTCATCGACGCCTGGCCTAAGATGCGATTAGAGCTTAAGCTAGGACCGGCGTGAGAGCGCGAGCTGGAGATCTTTTTCCCAAATGAATCAACGGCGCATCGACCTGGGGGCGATTGTGAACGCAAAACCGTAAGATGAAATTGAAGACGAAAGTCGGCCGTGCGGGGAAACGCCCGCGTTTCTTCCCCCACATCTGCGAGATGCATGCCGTCTGTTTTGTAGAAGAGGCAGTTGTGGAACAGGAACGGTGGGAGTGAGAGCGAGGGGTGGATGACGCGACAACACGGAGAATGTGAGGGTAAACATGATTGAGGAAAACAGGTCTGGTCTTTGCGGCGGTGTTGGATATGTAGTAAGCATCAAGCAAGCAGGGGTTGGGCAGAGCAGAGCAGAGAATAGCTGTTGCGGCTCAAATGGGTATGTATGTATATGCATATACATGCGTACCTGGTGTTGCTCCTGCAGTCCCGATATCTATACTGTACCTAGGTATACTTTACCCAGTACATCCCGCGAGAAATAGCGCCAGAGAAGGTATATGTATATTTTATCTTGTTCGGATATCGTCGTCATCAGCGTCTTAACCCATCCCAAATGGTTTCCGCCTTCGTTTTCGTGCCAGCCGACAGATAACACTCGCGGTGGAGATGGTGATGTCGGGGCAAGCGTTGACATCGACCCAGTGACGGAGGTTTACGAAAGATCGTCTCTTCTTGCCGCTTCACTCCTCGTCTTTGACATTACTGGAGACGGGTTGGTGGGTAGGCTGCATCGAAGGTGAATTGTGTTATGACCATGAGTGGGTAGGGCATTTGGTCCGGTCCCGTGGCGGGTAAGTGTAGTCTGAGCTGTGCTCTGAACGTTGGTCGCTATTTCGTCTGTGATTTTGGTCTTGCCCAGGTGTTAAGGACCTGGGTAGCTGGGCAGGTTCGGTGCTCCGAGTAAGTCTGGCCATCACCGCCAGGCTTGGACGAGTTCGGAGCAAGTTGATGTGTTTGTGCTTGGGTCGAAGAAAGTGTTCCCTGGTTGCGATACGCAATAGCTCGAGCACTCCTATTCATCACCATCCTCCTCGCTTTCGCTCTCATCCAGAACCTCAAATTGCTCTTCTTCCTGCGGCCCCTGCTCCTCCTCTTGAGCCTCCTGCTGCTCCCCTTGCTCCCGCTCCTCCTGCTCCTCCTCCTCCTCTTCTTCTTCTTGCTCCTGCTCGTCCTCGTCCTCCTCTCCCTGCTCCTCCTCCATTCCCTCGTCAACGTAGTGTACGTCTGCCTCCACAGCCCACCGTGCCTCCCACTCCTGCGCGAGTCGCAAAGTCTCCCCAGGCGATAAGTCCAGTGGGATACCTGCGCGCCGCAAATGCCAGATGTGAATGAATGGACGGCTGTCCGTGATGGCCGGGAAACGACTCGGAACAGTCAAATCTTCGGGTCTTGGTCGCAGAGTTCTCGCCCTGTCAGGCCTCCAGGTAATCGTCTTGACGTAGTACTCGTTTACCCCCAGCTTGGTCTCGTCCCTCAACCAGCGCTCGCCTTCCCAGGTGGAACTCCCGCTCCAGGAGCTCACCTTGCAGTCTTCCATGGCGGCGGACATGATGCTCCCATCGCGCTTCTTGAAGTGCCACTTCTTCGCCATCCGCCTGGCCATCCAATCGACTTGATCCTTCTTCCGCTGCAGGCTCTCGAGCTCGACGCACAGCTCCTGCAGACTATCCGGGAAGCGGCACTCTTCGACCCACGCCGAGTTGATGCACAGGCGCCAATCCCTCTCCCAGGACCACCAATCATGGTGGCGGATCGTCACCGTGATCTTGCGGGGGAAGAAATGGTTCATCCCCATAATCGCGCTCAGCTTGTCGCCGTCTTCCAGGTAGCACAGCTGTGCAAACAACCTCACGTGGGCGATTTCCACCGGCCCATGGGCCGCGCAGAGCCGGTCGAGGCATGGCTGGAACTCTTCGACCGTGACCCGCTGTCGATCGTCCGGTCGACGACCCACCCAAGCCAGGTAAAAAGTGTGCGTCGCGCTGACCCAGGGTCGGAACCAGTCTGGCCATCAGGAGTATGTCAGCAAGAGCGGCGGACTAAAGGGAATGGATACCCCCGGTGGAAACCCACGCGCCATCGTTCTCTCCCATCTAATAGACGGTCAGAAATGACTAACTTACTCTCCGTGTACACGCGCTGGCACGTGCGAAGCAGAGCCGTGTCAGCCACATGAGGAGCCCTGTAGCCCGGCCGCACATACGAGCTGTCGATGTCCCATTTGTTCGCGAGCTTGGTAGACTCGTAGCAGTTCAGCGCGAAGGTGCAAATCCTGTCACGCACTTCGCCTGGGAGGGTATCGAACAGACAAGACCCTCGTTGGTCGTGGCGGGGGAGCTGGAAGACGGTGATGTTGTCCATCCTGCAGGGCTGGAGCCGGCAATTCGTACTGGGTGACGAGATCTCTGGGGTCAACAGAATGAGCAGACAGAAAACGCCCTTTCAAGCCGCGTTGGAGTCGTGGACCCAGCTGTAGAATTCGCCTTGGAAAAGGCATTAAGGAGGTAGTCGATCAAGAAGGACTCCTTACTTAAGAGGTAAGATCGAGGAGAGGCAGAACATGCCCACTCAGGCACCTGCGCCGTCCTGCATGGAATTGACCAGGCTATGCATATATTGTGACCAAGGAGCAGAGGAGCAGGGAGGCGGGGCAGGCAAGGGCAGGCAGCGGCAGGCAGGGGGTCTTTGTCCGGTGGAATCTCGACGAGGCTGTGCAGTGCAGTGTTCGATGCCACTCCACCAGCTGGAGAGTCTTCCTTTGCCGCTGACGGCGTCTTTCTGGCAAGGGCTTGCAATGTACCGGCCAGGCCACAAGCACCTTTTGTCACACACACGGGGCGACACGGAGATGGCAATGCAATCCACCCAATGCGGGCTCAAATCGTCATATCATTCTACTGTAGCATGTAACTCGTTCTATTGATCTCTAAAGAAAATTCCAGCTCGATTGCTCGAGCAAGCCACCCACCCCTGGAAATGCAAAATGTGAGGGCGCTGCTTGCTGGTGACTACTGACCATAGCGCTGTGACGGAATACCTGTCGCCTGGAAAATGCCATGTTCCCTCATCAGAACTGAGACTTGCATCTTAACTGGCCTTCACTTTCCCGTTCGCCACAATGCCGTTCCCCTCTAGAGTGCTCGTCCTGCTCAGCGAGTGAGAGATACTGGCTCGCCGCTTCCTCTCGCTCTTGGAGTTGACGAAAAGCGCCCTCTCCGCGGCCTTCAACGCCTCGTCGATCAGAATGACGGGCGCCGAGATCCAGAGCACCGCGTACCACTCGTCCCAGCCCAGCGCTTCAATGGAGAACATGCTTCTCAGGATCGGGATGTACAAGATGGCGAAGTGGAGGACCATAGACAGGCAGATGGCGTAGATGAGTTTCATGTTCTTCCACAGCGGCAGTTGCAGGAGCGACTCGGACGACGAAAGCGCATTCATCGCGTTGAACATTTCTATCACGACCAGGATCGAAAGCGAAACAGTCGATGCCGTCCGGGTCGGGACGGCAGAGGCCGAGAAGATCGAGCAATCAACGCCGTCGAATAGGGGGTTGACAGGCGAGCATTTGTGGAAGTTGCGTAGTTGCGAGAAGCTGAGCTGTGGTCCTCGAGAGTAGAGCATGACGTACCATGCATATCCAAATACCGTCGCCGCTCCTACGTACGTGCCGACCACCATGTATCGGAAGAATAGCCACCCCGAGACAAGCGGCTCATCGCGCTTTCTTGGAGTACGGCGCATGACGTCGTGGTCGGGCGGGTTGAATGACAGCGCTGTTGCCGGAAGTCCATCTGTGACGAGATTCACCCAGAGGAGCTGGACGGGGATCAATGCTTCGGGCAGGCCCAGAGCGGCCGTGAGAAAGATGGAGACGACTTCACCAATGTTGGACGAGATGAGGTACCGGATGAATTGTTGGGTGTTGCTGTAGATCGTTCGTCCTTCTTCGATGGCTAGCTCGATGGTTGCGAAGTTGTCGTCTGCCAGCACCATATCGGCAGCCAACTTTGCGACATCTGTGCCTGAGCCCATGGCGACGCCAATGTCGGACTTCTTCAGCGCCGGAGCGTCATTGACACCATCGCCCGTCATGGCCACAACTTCACCGGCCTCTTGAAGCAAGTCGACGAGTTTCGATTTGTGGCTGGGTTCGACGCGGGAGAAGAGCGAAGCAGTTTTGGCCGCTTCCAGCTTCTCGCTCTCGGATAGGGAGTCGAATTGGCGGCCGGTGTAGCTCTTTCCTGTGAGGTCTTCGTCCGGGGCGAAGACGCCAATCTGTTTGCAGATGGTCTCGGCGGTGTTCTGGTTGTCACCCGTGATCACAATCACTCGGATTCCTGCTTCTCTGCATTTTCTGATAGAGTCGGCGACTTCAGGGCGAGGCGGATCCAGCATGCCGACGAGTCCAATCAGGGTCATCTTCTGTTCCAGTTGGAGATATTCCTTACTGCTCTTGGCGTTTTCGAGCAACGTGTTACCGCCGACGTTCTCCACGCTTGCGAGAGCGAGAACCCGCAGACCGTGGCGGCCATAATCGACGACTTCTTCACCGATCAGGCCGAGATGTTGCTTGGTGATGGGTACTTTCTTTCCGCTTGAACCGAGAACCACATGCGAACAGCGCTCAATGATGGATTCCGGAGCTCCTTTGACGAGCAACTTCTGGCTTTGACCAGCTCCAGCCAAGACTGACATGCTCTTCCGGTCTCGCGAAAACTCATACATGGCCTGCAGGGGCAGCCGGTCTTCGTAGTACTTGCTGACAAAGTGGACTTTCTCACCGCCCGACAGACCATTTCGAGTTTGGTTCACCGCAACATCGTCGGTGCCGATCTTTTCCACCAGCACACGGAGAGCCCCTTCGGTCGGTTCGCCAACGATTGTGTAGTTGTTCGACTTGGCGTCATATGACAGATGAGACTCATTGCACAGTGCCAGCACTTCCGACATCTGTCTGAGCGTTGCGGATTTTGCAGCTGCATCCCTAAGGGCTTTGCCGTTCTGGATCAGATCTCCCGAAGGAGCAAACGTGGTCCCCTTCACCTCAATCTCGTCCAGATCGGTACCGGCCTCGTTGAGATACACGATTTTCTCCACGCTCATCTGATTGGTTGTGAGCGTGCCGGTCTTGTCGGAGCAGATCACACTGCAGCTACCCAAGGTCTCCACGGAGGGTAGACTCCGGACGATAGCATTCTTCGCTGCCATTTTACGGGTCCCAAGCGCAAGGCAAGTGGTAATGACGACGGCGAGACCTTCTGGGATCGCCGCAACACCTAGCGAGACGGCGATTTTCAGGTAATAGATTGCGCCCTTTGCCCAGCTTCCACCGTGCGACGGGTCGTTGAAATGTTGAATGTTGATCAGCCAGACCAGGATGCAGATGACCGTAATGACCTTTGCAAGTGTGTCGCCGAAATCGTTCAGCTTCTCTTTAAGGGGTGTTGGTTCCGAGATTTGCGAGGTAATGCTCTCATGGATGTCGCCAATGGCTGTGGAACCGCCTGTAAGAACCACGATAGCAGTAGCATGTCCAGCCACGACTGTCGTTCCCGAGAAAATCATGTTGATCTGATCTTGCTTGACGGCTTGAGCATCCTTGATCGCCTTGCATTCTTTGCTCACGCTCTCGCTCTCGCCTGTGAGGATGGCCTGGTCCACGGAGAAGCTATTGCTCTGGATAGACAGCAGCCGGCAGTCTGCCGGCACACGGTCTCCAATAGCGATTGTGACAATGTCTCCCGGTACCAGCTCGTCTGCCTTGATTTTCTGGACCCGTCCATCTCGAACGACCTTGGCCTCGTTTGCGGAGTATTCCTGCAAGGCTGCGATGGCCTTCTCGGCGCTGCTCTCTTGGGTGACACCGACGATCGCATTGAGGATGAGGATTGTCAGAATCTTTCTCTCGGTCAGTTTTCGCCCAAAGCCATGTGCATGCTGTTGCCACGTACCACTACCGGATCCACGAACGCAGTCCAATCATCCGACTCTTCGAACAGGGCCAGGACGAAAGATATGGCAGCCGAACCCAGCAATATCAGAACCAGTTGATCCTTGAACTGTTCAAGCACCAGCTGCCACAGGGGCGTAGGCGGATCTTCAGGAAGTGCTTCGTAGAACAGTCAGTGTCCTTGCTTCGAACCATTTTGCGCCTTCACTTACAGTTGCTCCCATATTTTGTTCTTGACTGCGCAACTTGAGCAGACGACAGACCGGCTGTCTCGCTCACATGGAAGTAACTTAGCACCTCTGGGGGCGAGCGTACATACGCTTGTTCCATGTTGGAATTGTCAAGAGGCGGGACGACTATGGGAGAGAAAGGAAATCTGGGATGCTGCGAGGCGAACCGGATAGGTCCATGCACCACGACGAGTCTTTTAGATTATTCCAACGAACGAAGTTCCAGAAGTCGTATTGAATATCTATTCTAATATTACAGCCCGGCAAAAGAGTGACTGGATTGCGCAGTGAAAGAATGTCGCTCATGCCCCACGTGCTTCGTGGAGAATTGGACACGGTGGACTTAATCAGATCTGTGTTTATCGAAAATTCCAGATGGCGCCGAAGCGCAGCCGAGCAGACGGCGTCAATTGGTCTTTATCCGACTGCGAGCACGCCGTGAGGGCCTAAACAGTACAGACTACGTACTGCACACCGTAGAGCAATCTGATCAGATTCCATTTGATTCCAGTATGGAGCAAGTGATGACTTAGACATAGTACTGTGTAGAATTCACCGCCAGTAGAGAGTGCAAATCAAAGCCCAATAAGCTCTCTATGCCTGGGGTGCCAATGCAATCAATCGTGCTTCTTAAACACGACCAGTGCTGCGTATCGGGAAGCCACGAACAATTGGTCAGAGCCTAGAAAACAAACATGCAAACCTGAAGCAGAGCCAAAGGGTGGTGCAGAGTTTCAGGTTGCGCTGGTGTCAAACGACTCTCAAGCTGGCAGCAGCGACCGAATTAGGTTAGCCTAAAGGGACTTTCAGGTTGCTCTAGCCTTTCACTGCCTTACTCACAGCGCTGCGCTCTCACAAACCCCCAATCTCCCAACACCGGACGTTCAGATTCCCCTTCGATTTCCTTCCTCAATCTCTCATTCTTTCCGTGTGCCCGCTCCCTCAAGATCCATCAACAACAGCCTTTCCTTATTCCAATCATCACCCTCATCCCTCACAATGGCTACAGACGTAAGTGTTATCCCCGCTTCGAGGTTCCGTCTCAGCTCGTGCCTGTCCGACCTCATCGTCGAACTTCTCTTCGATAAGACATTGTGCTGACCCGAATGCGACATCTAGCGCGAAAGGTATAGCTGCCTATTCAGCCTCTCGGAATCCGCATCCATTGACAATCTACCAGTAAAACCTTCCTCGCCAGGCTCTGCGAGCAGGCTGAGCGCTACGATGAGATGGTCAACTACATGAAAGAGGTTGCCAACGTACGTCTGCACTTTGATGATGGTCTCGCAATACATTCATCTGACGCGTAGTAGCTGGGCGGTGAGCTGTCTGTTGATGAGCGAAACCTCCTCTCGGTTGCCTACAAGAACGTCGTCGGAACTAGGCGTGCCTCCTGGAGGATCATCTCTTCCATTGAGCAGAAAGAGGAATCCAAGGGCTCCGACAAGCATGTCGCTACCATCCGCGAGTACCGCCAAAAGATCGAGACCGAACTCGAGAAGGTCTGCCAAGATGTCCTTGATGTCCTGGACCAAGCCCTCATCCCAAAGGCCGAATCTGGAGAGTCCAAGGTGTTCTATCACAAGATGTGCGTATCTTCCCTCACCATGGAGACTTTGAAAAAATCTGACACCCTCAATAGGAAAGGAGACTACCACCGATATCTCGCCGAGTTCGCATCTGGTGAGAAGCGCAAGGTCGCAGCTACTGCCGCTCACGAGGCCTACAAGGTATGACAGTGGCACTCCACACAGTACGAGCACTAGAACTGACTTCCCCACCTTAGAATGCCACCGATGTTGCACAGACCGAACTCACTCCGACCCATCCTATCCGCCTTGGTCTTGCCCTCAACTTCAGCGTCTTCTACTACGAGATCCTCAACTCGCCTGATCGTGCCTGCCATCTTGCTAAGCAAGCCTTCGACGACGCCATCGCCGAGCTCGACTCGCTGTCTGAGGAATCGTACCGGGACAGCACGCTTATCATGCAGTTGCTCAGAGACAACTTGACCTTGTGGACGTCGTCTGATGGTGGTGAGGGTGATGCTGGCCCAGCTGGCGAAGCCTCCAAGGAGGAGAAGCCTGCTGAGACCGGTGCCCCTGCTGAGACCGCGGAGAAGACTGAGGCTGCTCCTGCTTCTTAAGAGGTGGCAATCAGGCAGCTGTGCACCTCTTACGCCTTTTGTCATTCTTGCTTACAACCGCCTCATGTTCTGATGGCAGGATATTGCTGAACTGGCAGTGCATCAGCATGGCTTGAAACGAGCACGGGTTCTCGGTATTGCACTGGTGGTGCGAAGTGATTTGTGCAACAGGGACAGATACAGCAGAGAGCGCTACGATGAAGGCCCTCGATGCGGACCACTACCTATTGCCCAGCTATGTCGAATGCTATCCCAAGGCATACATTGTTTTCTCTTGTTTTTGTCTCCTACGATACCACATAGCTTAGCTCAGGTGGGACTGATGAGTGGAGTTAGCAAGCGTGCGCGGGAACGGTCCACAATCACAGTTTGACAACTGAGATGATTCTCAAGTCACTCGGTCAGTCATTTCCACATTCTTTTACCCTTGACTTCTTCCTGTTTTCCCTGAATATCCAAGACTCGGCGAACATGTGACTTGAGTGGCGTCTGCCTTGGCAGGCGAAGCCGAATTTAGCACTCAAATTAGATTTCATTGGCGTTGATTTGATGGCAAAGTCATGACTTCATCTCCGGCTGCCTTCCGATTTCACCTCAACATGACACCCATCGTGATGAGGAAGTGAAATCCGTGCTCGGGTGTTGCCTGAATAGTGGTTGATAAATCCTCTCCCCTGAGTTAAGTGCATTTTTGACCAATTCTTTTGACCAATCCGGGCTACGTCATGCATCACCCGTTGGTCTTGCCTTCTCTTCACCTCGTGGTATTTGACTATTTTCCTGCGAGATGACAAGCTCTTGAGAGTCACTCTTTCATTCTTGCGGTTGTTCTTTACTGCGCTATCGACCACTACTGCTGCAAGCCACAGAAATCAGTGCAATTGGACACAAGTCAGAACACATATTGTTACTACCTGAAGGGACATTCACCCGGCTCCACCAGATATCTTACGGATCTTTTCCTCCCTCATCGAATCAACACGACGATGTCTAGCACGCGCTACATAACCGTCGGCGCGGTAACTTTGGGTGCCCTCCTCTACATTTGGCCCAAAGCATCACCGGGAGTGCCCGGGGCTCCTACCGCTGGTATGGGTCTGAAAACTACAGGCATGGAGAATGTCGAGAAAGCTTATGGAAGAGGTGGTGCCACTTCGACTCACACCAAGGCATATGGTGGCACGGTACAAGGACAAACGAACGACGGACCGACCAGGGAGGGTGCTTCGTCTGGCAACCCCAACGCTTACGAGCAAGAAGGTCTTGGGGACGATCAGCGAGCCTATCAACCCACCAAGCCAGAGCGAGCGTGGAACAAAACCATGTATGGCAGTGAGAAGGGAAAATGAAGGAGGATCCCGCCAACTCGGGTTATGGAATACACCTGGTTACACAGGAGTTGAGGGCCCGGTGTCAAAAAGCCTTTGAAATGATTCTCCGTCTGGGGAGCGAGCATACAGCTCTCATTATTAGTGGGAGCTGGACGCGCTCAACCTCAATGCATTGTACATAGCTCTTCTGCTCGGCGTTATCTTAAAAGGACCGGGTACAAGCTTTGGAAGGGTTCAGGATTCTTTCGATCGGCCTTCAGCCACAAAGTCTTCGTGAAAGACGATTGAATTCTAGGAAAAGTGGCTCTGTCGTATGGTTCATATTCACTCAAAGACCGTCGATAACACGATCGATAACTAGCCAAGCGTGTCTTCGGGGTCACCAAGTGCATGTCACAAACTTAACTAGTCAAAGACTTGGAAAAAGATTGGTCAACGGCATGGCTTGTCTGAGGCTTGTTGCGGCCTCGATTGTTCTGGTTGCAGAACGTGGGGGAAGAACTTCATCTGCGGCTGCATTCCCCAGAGTCAATCGTTTGCGCCACATCTCTGTCTCCAGGCAACCTTCTGCTTGACCCTCAAGCTTGCAGCAAAGCCAGCGCGACGTCTCTCAGGCTCTGTTATGCTGCAGGGAGCCATGAATTCTGCAACACGATAGCAAAAAGGGACGCCCCACCACCGATTTTACCAGTTAAAGTCATCAACGTGACTTAGACATGGCTCTGGGAATCCTCGAGGCCAAGGTTGAGCACGTCCCCGGGACAGTCTACGTGTATGAGAGCGAACAGCGACATACCGAGCTTCTCGAGAATGCTCAGCATTTGAAGAAAGACAAGACCGGTCGGTTCATCCTCGTACCTCAACCTTCGAATGACCCAAATGATCCCTTGGTTTGTCTCCTTCTACAGTACAGGCGAGGCGCCGTCACTGACGCAGCTGACAGAACTGGCCTCTCTGGCAACGCGACGTGATCCTCTCCATCCTATGCTTCGTTTCGTGTCTCGCGACTACAGCGTCTCCCTTACTGGCAGCCGATTCAGTAACCCTTGCCATTGTATTCAGGCGAACATTCCAAGATGCGGCTCTACTTACAGCCTATCACCTCTGCGGCGTGTGCGTAGCAGGATGGCTTTTCGTGGCATCGGCAAGAGTATGGGGTAAAAGGCATCTGTTTCTCTTCGGCGCACTGCTCATGATTGCAAGCTCGGCTTGGGGTGGCTCTGAACATGTCCGGCACAACTATGCCAGTTTGCTCTGGAGTCGTGTCTTCCAGGGTGTTGCCCTTGCGCCGTTCGAAACACTGGTCAATGCCTGCGTAGGTGACTTATACTACGTCCACGAGCGTGGTATCCGGATGGCTATCACGAACACGTGTCTGTTCGGCGGAGCTTTTCTGACTCCTGTCTTTGTGGGAATGATTTCTGCTCATATGGGCTGGCAATGGAGTGTAAGTCTATCTTCAGCATCTTTCCTGACACGGGTGGTGGCCCAGTCCCCTGCTGTCAACTCATAGTGCCGCCATAAAGTAAATGGTTACTGACCAAGCACTGCCAGTTCTTCTTCCTCGCCATCTTCATGGCACTCGGTTTCTTCCTACTGTTCTTCTTCGTGCCTGAGACGGCTTATCGACGCGCACATTCACTCGACCTCGATCTGCTTGCTGAAGGAGATTCTTCATCGGACGCCATTGGTCCAGCTCAAACATCGATAGCCAAGGATGAAGAGAAGCCTTTGCACTCCCAAAGGGTGGCTGAAAGCGTTCCGCGAAAGGATTCATACTTCAAAAGGCTTCTGCCTTTCAATGGCCGCAAGACCGACGAGTCTTTCTTCAAGCTCCTCTTGCGGCCATTTCCGCTCTTCTTACACCCAGCGGTGATTTGGGCTTGCTTGATCCAAGGCGTGATAATCGGGTGGACTGTCATGGTGGGGGTGATATTGTCACTCATCTTCCTAGGTCCGCCTCTGTTCTTCAACGAAGAGAAAGCCGGCAAGATGTACACCAGCGCCTTCATCGGCAGCATTCTTGGCCTCTTCGGCGCCGGCATTTACAGCGAAGTGGTCACGAGGTTCCTGACCAGAATCAACAAAGGGAAATATGAGCCAGAATTCCGCATCCTGTTGGTTTTGCCGACCTTGGTTTTCTCATGCATTGGCCTGTATGGCTTCGGCATCACGGCGAACGACGTGGCTCGATATGGCTGGATCGTGCCCGAGGTCTTTCTCGCTTTTATCATCGTCAGCATGGTTATGGGCTCGATAGCATCAGCGCAATACTTGCTCGACGCTCACCGCGACATCGCCGTGGAAGCATTCACGAACCTCATCATTTTTAAGAACATCTTCTCTTTCATACTGGCCTACCACGCTTACAATTGGGTCTTCGCAATCCGAATCAACAACCTCTTCATTATATTTGGCAGTATCGAGATCGCGATTTGTCTGCTCAGCGTACCAATGTACGTCTTTGGGAAGAGAAACCGAGAGTTCTTCAATCGGCACGACTTGTTGAAAATGGCGAGGCTGAGATAGTGCTCGTCGCACTCACGTGTTTGATGACCTGCATGTCTATATAGAATTCCCGCTGCATAATGATCAATCTACGGTCAATCAGTGTCGATCTCTAATCACCCATGCACGCCATGTCAACCAGGGGCCCCTTGTCCTCCACAATTTCTCGCTTAACGGCAGCAAGCTTTTGGCTTTAGATTCGGTGGGCCATCTCCGGGGCGGCTCGTGACCAGGGCTTCCCTGCTCTTTGCCTGTTCCCAATGGGACAGGAGACAACAAAAGATCGGAACAGCAGGCGCGTCCTGTCATTTTCACTTTGCCACTCTTCAATCTCGTGCTGTCAATGGCATTGGTGATGCAATCACTGCAGCGCGCGTATCACTTTGAAATGCGTTGCTTTTCCCTGAAACCGCTTGACTGGGCGTGGCGTCCAAAGCGCCCGCGCTCGGAAATTACGACTTCGGCTCTGTGATGGCGGCGACGATCTCAGGAGAAGCGACCCGGACCGTGGACGTTCACGCATTCTGCCCCAAGCGAGAAAGGGTCTCGTGGTCTCGTCACGATCCCCACGGCAATTCTCTCTAGTGTACGCTTTTCACTTCGAAATAATTCGTAAAGTGTTCGCGCTGCGACCTTGAGGACGACTGAGCGACGCACACGCGCACGATCGATCCCAGCGACATGCCGAGCAGCAGCATCGGCAGCCGACAACGCCTCATTCGCGACACAAGAGCACAAACATGACTGAACTTACGCCGAGCACGCTCTGTAGCGCGTGCCAGCTGATTTTCCAAGAGAGTATTGTCTCCAGGACGGACTCGACGGGAGAAGTCCGCCACCATGGTCTGGAAGAACTCGCGTCGCGCGCGAGCCAATGCCACCTGTGCCTGACGGTATTCATGTCCATCGACCCGGACGCCTACCAGACATTCCGGAGTAAAGGGTCGGCCGTCAACTCGGTGGGGTTCGCGTGCATCTCACCCATCGCGAGAGACCAAGCGCGATTGAAGTTTCGCTACGTGAAACCCGCAAAGGCGCCGACGTCGCCGGAGGAGAATAAGGAGAACAGAGGTCCGACACCGAGTAGTAATGATTCAAAGGCGAGTCTGCTGTTGAATTGGGAGGAGAGCACAGGGTTGGTGGTCGAGTTGATTCTGATGAATCCGAAATGTGAGTCTTGGGCGATCTCTGGTTGGCACAACGATGTAGATCCCCTCTGTGACGGCGACTGACTGAATTCATGACAGACGCTGTTGAACCTGGCGTGCGCACAATCGACGCCAGATCCGTCAGCACAGCATCGCAAGAGACCCTCGAACTCGCCAAGCAATGGATTCAAGACTGCACCTTCAACCACATGAAATGCTCTGTCTCGGCACACCCAGACGCGTCGGCTTGGAAGCCGACGCATCTCCTGGACGTCTCCGTGAAGGGCGCCCGGGGTGTTCCGGGCCTGAAACTCGTGGACAGCATGTTCGTCGACCCGTTGAGCGAGTACGTTACCCTGAGCCATTGTTGGGGGAAAACGAAGACGATTCGACTGCACAAGGGCACGCTTTCCGCGCTAAGGCAGGGCGTCAGCTTGAGTAGCCTGCCCAAGACGTTTGCAGAGGCGGCGTCCGTGGCCGACAAGCTGGGATTCCGCTACCTCTGGATCGACGCGCTCTGTATCCGGCAAGATAGCGAGGCGGACGTGCTGGCAGCGATGGGTCAGATGCACAGGGTGTATTCCGAGGCGACGCTAAATATTGCGGCCACGTCCTCGAGGGACGATGCGGCGGGCCTCGTCAACACGCGCAACGTGGCTGCTCTGCAACCGTGCATCGTCTCGGTCCATGGCAGCCTCGGCGTCGACGAGGGCATGTACAAGATCCTGCGCTCCACACTCTGGCACGATCTGGTGGACGCGTCTCCTCTGTCGAAACGGGCCTGGGCGTTCCAGGAGCGGTGTCTCGCCAAGCGCACCCTGCACTTCACGCGCAACGAAGTCTTCTGGGAGTGCCAGCAAATGTGCTGCTCCGAGGTGTTCCCCAAGGGTCTGCCGGCGACCACGCGCCTGCCCTCGTCGCAGGAGCACGAAGAGTTCTTCAGCAAGCGGATCCACCACCAACGGCACGGCAACTGGCACCAGCTGGTCAAGATGTACTCGCCCAAGCGGCTCACGTACGCGTCGGACAAACTGCTGGCCCTCACGGGGCTGGCAAAGCAGTACATGGCGCGGAACCGGCTCCACGCGGCCGACTACCTCGTCGGCATTTGGAAGCCGCAATTACCACACGCATTACTCTGGCGGGTGGAGCAGGGGCGGCGACCGACAAAGTACCGCGCCCCGACGTGGACGTGGGCGTCCATCGACGGCGCGGTGCGGTACCCGGAACCGGCGACCTCGCAGCGCGAGACGTGCATCGAGATCATCGACCTGGACGTAAAGTATCATCCGACGGGCGACAATTTCGGCATCGTCGAGAGCGGAGCCAAGATGAAAGTTCGCGGGTTCATGGCCCGGGGCCTCCTGCGACGGACGCACGACTACTGGGGCCGCACGCCGTGCGTGGTGCAATGCACTAAAGCCCAGGTGGAGCTCGAGAATGCGAGTTTCGACGATCGCCTGCCCAAGCTGAGCGACGCCAGCTCGGGCATGTTGTGCGAGATGCTCGAGATTTATCTCCTCCCTGTGATCGACGTGGTCGATCGCGTCGAGGGCTTGCTGTTGTGCGCGACGATGAAGAAAGGCGAGTTCCGGCGGATCGGGTGTTTCGATGTCTCGACGTACGATCAGGTCAATTGGGATCGGTTCCGCAGTGTCATGAAGGGCGACGCCGAGATGCACAATTATCTGGAGCGGCTGGACCATGCCAATGGGTACTGGTTTGCCAGTGATTATACATATACGATTAATGTCGTCTGAGCGAAGGGCGATGGTGAAGGGAGCAACTATGGATACTATGGCTTTCAGCCATAGGATGAACGGTACCACTCGACGAGAAGTGTTGCGGAGGAGCCTTGGAAGCTGGAAAGGAAGCCCTGTATAATGTTGATGGTATGTAGTGATGGTGCACGACGTCAAGGAATGTCCCGCGAGTGAGATCGATCTCCTATATATGTACAGTATAGCATGAATAATACGTCCCTGCAGTTCTGATACTATCAAACTGGATCGACCTTAGTCACCTAACACGGTTCGTGCTCTATCTGATTACGGAGTACGGAGTATGCCGTCGCAATCAGGCTACGATGAGGCGCTGCTCAATAACGGTCGATCGCTCAGCTTCATTTATGTCGAGACCTTGCTAAATCCATAAAAGTATGGGGTGAACAATGGCTGAGCTCGCATGGTTGTCCGGGGCTCCTAGGAAAGGAAGGCGTTATATCGTCCCTTGCGGCACCTGACAGTACCCGGGGAATATACTGTCGACCAATCCAGAGCCCGTGTGGCGTCCATGTCAGCCAGCCCTTTTGCAGTTGCGAGTGATTGGGTTTCCGGTTTCCGTCTCCCGTGTGCTTACAAGCCGAATACGATGTGTCGCGTCTACACAGTACACAGTGCATTGGACAAAGTGACAATGTGGACTGTACTCACAATGCTGAGCCCCTCCAGGTGCTTGATGGAGATGGCTCAAAATACAAAAGGCAGGCAGGTCAGAGACAAATACAGAGACGGTAGACGATGGACGGGTGGTTGCATCAGGAGCTTCGGCACTCCACAATCCTGCATCTTGTGGCTTCGAGACTGGCATGGACCAGCGATGTGAGTACCAAGTGTCAGGGCCAGATCGAGCCAGCTCGTCGGGGTCAAGGACGCGCAGAGCATATGTTCCCCGCGAAGTATATCTATCCGCGCAGAACTCTGTTCCGTTTCTGTTGCACTTAGATCACCGAACTGTCACTTCTTATTTACTCTGCTTGATATCCACAGTACGAGTATTTACTCTGTCCTCGGTCGGAAAAGCGGAGAATCTCGCAGGATATTACGTGTACGCAGCCCACACCATGCATCGTCAGCTCATCCTCGCCGCCTCCACCCTGCTGGTGGGTTTCGCGGCGGCGCAAACCGCAGGGACGTTGCCTTCGTGTATGTGATTATACCCCTCTTCTTTGCTTTGATCATTGTGTACTCCGTACTGTGTGATCATCGCTGACGCCGTCGATATGCTGTAGGTGCCAACGACTGCGTCACCAGCTTGCTCCCAGCCAGCTGCAACCTTGCTCCAGACTGTTAGTTCCTAGCCAGAACGATGACATGTACGAACCGCATCGTTGACGAGGCCATAACGTGCACAGGCATCTGCCACGCCGAGTCCTTCCTCGATAACATCGGGTGCTGCGTCTTCCAGGCGTGTGACGCTGCAGGCCAGCAGGCCGCGCTGGCGTATGCGCACAGCATCTGCGATCCCGTGTCTGCGTCGTCACTGTTGGTATGTGCCCCTTGCTTGCTTCTCCTCTTGATATATATGTACAGTATTTGCAGCACCAGCCGCGCCATGCCATTCACACAGATCGCATCTTGTGTGCGCGCGGATCGGGTCCAACGACACATCGCACACCTCGACATCGCTGACACACATTATCTACCCACAGCCCGCCTCCGCCACCTGCACCTCCACCTCGACCGCAAGCAGTGGTAGTGGTACCGCCACAGCAGCCAGCTCAAGCACGACGAGTACCCCAGGGAGCGCCGCCAGTGCCTCTTCCGCCATCTCCTCGAGCGCCGCCAGCGCCTCTTCCGCCGCCTCCTCGAGGCTTTCCAGCGCCAGTTCCTCTGCGGCCTCGGCTGCGTCCTCGGCCGCGTCTTCCGCTTCTAGCGCTGCCAGTGCTGCGACGGCGAGCGCGAGCCCTACCGGTGCTGCGAACCAGTTGGCAGTCGGATTTGGTGCCATGGGAGCGGGTATGCTGGGCTTGGCGGCGCTGTTGTGAGCTGATGGTAATAAAGAGCTCGAGATATATATACTGAAACGAGCAGAGGTTGGAATAGTTGAGATGTCGCGTCGCTCGAAGCTGTCGTGCTCGATCTATTCCATACACTCGTTGCGTGATCTCTTTATATACAGATGATCAATTGCCAGTTTGATATCACAACGCAGTTGTGGTGCTTATTGTACAATTTTCCCGCATTCCCAACCTTTGTACTGTACAAAAAGCCGCTGCCCTAACTCTTCCCACTGGACAGACTGCTATTCATCATGTGTAGCGCTCCATAGTAGTGGTAGTCAGGACCACACTCCCCCTCCTGATCGGCTAATCCTCTCCATCGTCCTCGAATTCCCTCCTCCGTGCCAGCGCCTTCGCAACCTCGCGGCCCTCGTCCTTCAACACCGTCCACAGATACCCCCAGAACAACATGTCCATCAGCGCGGCCGTAAACGTCACGCGGTTCGCGAGCAGTGGAAACCCCGACAGACTGCTCGAGGGGACGGACCGGTTTGTCCCCGCCTGCGAGTGGAACAAGTATATCCACGCCACCAGCCCGGACGACGCCAGCACATGCAGCCCCGCGAGCGACAACCAGCGCGACTGCGCCGTGAGCAGCGTGTGCACTTCTTCGCCGTAGCGTCGAGGGGATGACGTCGTTGCAGGGCCCGAGGAGGGGGAGGAGACCTTCCCGCTGGAGGCAGACGAAGAGAGGGAGAGCGACGGCAGCGTCAAGTCCCCCGCGAACAGGAAGATCATGACTGCGTACCCGACCAGAACCACGGCGAGGAGCGCGCAGAGCTCACGTTCGGCGTGCATGTTGGCCGTCCCGTGGCCCGTAATCAGGCTGCTTAGGCGATGACTTGTGCTGATCCTGCTGCTGCCCGGGCCGGCGTCGTGCAGTCCTGGTTGTGGTTCGGGTGCGTACGAGGCGGGGCGCAGAGACATGCTCTCGCCGAGGAGCCATATCGGGGTGGAGGAGAGGAGCTGTGAGGGGGAAGTGACGAGGTAGTAGGCGAATGTGAGGCACGTGAGGGAGTGGGTGCGCAGGAGGAGGGTGGAGGATAGGAGCGGCATTGTTGGTGTCGGTCGTGCAACAGGGAGACGGAAAAGTGTGTCGAACAAGGGACTCCTGTAGGTATGTGGTACTGTACGGAGTAGCAAGGTTAAATGATGGCCGTAGGATGACGAGTGGCAACGAGGCTGCGGCCTGCCACTTGCTGGGGGGTCCAGGCTTCCTGGGGACAGGGGTTTTCCAGTGCGCTCTTCCTGCCTCAATGCTATTTCATTTGCATCTCCTCCGTCCCACACCCAAGAATCACGGACTACCGACGGAGAATAGATGGGGTATCCAGCACACTACTGCGTTACCCTCTGCCTTTTGATGTGGTGTATGGGAGCTGGGATTGGGCGACTCTGCACTTCTTCCCTGCCGTATGCGGTAACATCTCTTTCCGGTTACTCGTATCCATTGCACCCCGCTTGAGTTACAATGTCGTCGTGCCTCGATCTTACGCAAGGAGTCCCAACGTCCAGCTCGTCGTTGGTGCTCTCTGCTTCCATGGCTGTGCTACAAAAGAGGCCATGACTAATCAATCTACAGGGCTGTCCACCAGGCACCTATGCACATCGTCCAACACAGAGCAGACCCCACATGGGACACTGACACGACTGGAAGTCTACCGAGGCTAAGCAGCCGAGAGTCTTGGCTGGAGGAGGGATATATACCTATGGTGCCGAGTAGAGCGCCGCGTCCTTCGAACGTCTGTAGACGCACCTTGAACGCCTGATCTGCGCCAGTACGAGTACTGTTGCTGGATCTGCTACTACAGGGCTATCAGAGCAATATGCAGCCTTACACTAACAACGGACCCGTCGATACCGACGTGGACTTCGATACGAGCCATGTCAAGGGCAAGACTGCCGTCGTCACGGGAGGTACGTTCACATACTCCGAGTAATGCCCCGATGCTGATATTCCGAATCAGGAGCCAATGGCATTGGTGAAGCATATGTCCGTGCCTTGACGAAAGCCGGGTAAGATGAGACGTCCAGTATGCCCTTGGAAAAGGTATTGATACGCGACATCAGAGCCTTCGTCGTGATTGCAGACCTTGACACCGAAAAAGGCACAAGGCTCGAGAAGGAGTTTGGCGGGTGAGCAGCCGAAGGTCCCCCACCATGCCATCGGTCCAGCACTGATGGTTTCGATGTAGCTCCGCCAAGTTCGTCAAGACCAACGTCACTGTCTGGGCTGATCAACTAGCCGCATTCAAGACGGCAATCTCGTCGGGTCCTTCTGGAAGAGTGGACATTGTCGTGGCCAACGCTGGCATCAGCGGCGCAGATTCGGTCTTTTTCAACAACGGTAGGTAGAAAGGGAGATGAGACGCCATTTTTCTGATGATACCTGGCACAGTCGACGCCGAAGAGCCCGAAGAACCAAAGTTGAACATCATCAACGTCAATCTGATCGGCGTGCTGTACACAATCAAGCTAGCCCTCCATTATTTCCGTCGACAGAATGCGCTGAACAAAGACAAACCCCTGGACCAGGTGCTCGTGTTGCAGGGCAGTCTGGCGGGATATCTTGACCTGGCCGGAGCAGTTCAGTACATCGCCTCCAAGTTCGGTCTGCGCGGCATCCTGCGATCTCTTCGCCGGACAGAGCATGTGCACAATATTCGCGTGAACTATATTGGACCATGGTAAGGAGAGTAGTCTGCTTGTGCTTCGCCACGACTAACACCCTCATCCAGGTTCGTCGAGACCAAAATCTTGAGCAAGCCGGTTGTTCAACACTTGACGGGCCAAGGGATCTCATTCGCTACCGTGGAGGATGCCGCTCAATGCCTGATGAGGATCGTATCTGACCCCAGCGTTAACGGTACAGAAAGCGTGCCTCACAACATGCGGCCACCCTGGTTGACACAAAAGCAGGTCGAGCATTCGCCATTGTGACGCGAGACGTCGCGCCCCGTGGGTATGTGGATATCAACTTCGACGACTACGAACCGGACACGTTACTGGGCAAGCTGCAAGGTACAGTGGCTGGTGGCAGCGACCATCGCACAGCAGTAAGTCTCCCCAGTCGGTCCAGGCCCGTTTGACAAAAGACTGATGCAATCTGTTACAGCTGAAGCCCGAGGACCAGAAAACCAAGACCCAGTGGTCAGAGTCGGCAGCCAACTGATAGCCACTGTCGCGTGAGGCGATCGACCGATGATATATATCGTACACTACCGGCCATGATTCAGCCTCCAATCGCATGGCCAAGGTGTTCGTCCCGACTATGGTGCAAAAATTTATCCTTTTGAGGCTTCCTGCCAATCAATCAATATTCCACATATATGCTTGTCTCCAAGTCTCGATCTTTCGTCATATTGATGCCACCATAAGTTGCTCCGGTTCGTCCAAAGTATGGAGAGGGTTCGTGAACATAACAGCCAACGTATTATGATGATCTCAGTGGCTACGGTTCGTCCAAAGCATGAGCAGGGTCCGTGAACAGAACAGCGAACATACTACGGTGGTCTGGGTGGATGCAGCTTGCGCCAAGCATGGCCCACTAAATTCCTTTGTAACGGAAGGGCGCACATTACTTGTGATTGGCACACTTAAAAATAGCCATGCACCAATAGACGCGGGGAATGATCGCCTCCCCAGCTCGTGCCCATCGCCATCATCTCCACCGATTCTGGCCCTTCGTCAACGTCGCTCACCTTTGCCGGCGCTTACACCTTGTTGATGAGGCTGATTCGTCCTGCACCTTCACTACCCGACTGCGGGCAGCCTGCCTCCCCTGCATCCGATCTGTCTCATCTTTTCCGAGCATCCAATCGTCGATGGCTTCGAGACGCCGCTTGCGAGATGGCCCAATAACGGCCAGCAGGCTGGCCTCCCTCTCCCCCGTTGACGGTGGTGCCTTGCATCCACACCCCCCAAATGAAGCTTCGCGATTGTCGAGATGCACAGAATACGGGTAGCAGGGCGACAAAAAGTCTAGAGCCTCTGCTATTGTTGTACCACGACGACCTCCTTTTGGGGACGAGCAGGACTACGCGTTCAAAAATAAACATTGCTGTGAGTACTTGTGCCGGCTTATTTCTAGCCCATATTCCCTCTTGTACACATTGTTCAAACATTCAATTTTGTCAAAGCTATATTCGAGTGCAATAATATACAGAGTATCAGCCTGGTTTCATGTCCTTTAATAGAGGCCTGGTCTGATCTTGAGCTCCATCTCCAGCCGCAAGGCCACACGACCCAACACCTACGCCCAGTGATCTGAGGTCAGCGCTTTACTCTTGATACTGGCGGCTCCACTTACACGGGCTCAACATTAATACCCCAGCCTCTCTACCCCTTCCAGGCTCACACAGCGTCGATCATGGCCACCGTGTTCGACGGGTTGATTCCATCCCGGCGTCGACCTACGAGGTCTCAATCAGAGTCTGGGAAGCAGCTTCATTCTAGATGGGGTGACGCCTCGATCAGCGCTCCCAACGGCGGTGGCTGGAGTCAACATTATCTGGAGGACGACACGGACAGCGTCGTCTACCACGCCCATGGCAGCCCTGATTCCCAGAAAACGCTGGTCAGCGACTCCCCGGACCTGAGCATCAAAGACGATGTCGAGAAGGTCAGCATCGAAGAGCTTCGCCAGTCAACTCCTCCAGTCAACCAAAAGGAACGAGGGACAATAACCATCACCATCCCTCTGCCCTGGGTGCGCAGGTCACATCGAAGATCATCATCTGGAGCCAAACAACAAGCCCAGGCCGCTCAGGTTGTCGAGAACGTCGTCACCGCAGAGTCACGCTCCCCTCTTCCCAGCCTTGCCACCAACATCGATGAAGTAATTGTTGCGCATTCACGGCCGACCCATGAGCCGTATCAGGCGGTGTCCCCAGTCGTTCAGACTCGATCGCCGGTATACGACGACGTCAGCACCTTCTTCACGAGAGCCGTCTTCCCCGACAAACACCCCGGGCCAAGAAGTCTGCCACAGATCCAGACTTCGGTTCCGGTCAACAAAAGCCAACCGGCTTCAGCGCTGTCCATCCTAAGCCCTGTGGCAGAGAAGTACAATGGTATTTCCGAAAGCAATAACGCCACGCCCATGGACAACACCCCCATTGCCAATCACATCGCTTCTGCCATAAACTCGAATCACGAGGACTTCATCGACGTCTCGACTTTGACCGAGCGTTTGGAACAACAGGCTCACAATCAGTCACCATCATGCCCAGTATCCCGGGTCACCAGTCCAATCGAGACTCCCACTGAGAGGCCAGAGTCCCGCAGCAGCGCGAACTTCCCGTCACGGCCTGCTTCCAGAGGACCGGGCATCGGCGAGGTGGCGTATATGCGAGCTTCATCGAGAGGAGCTGCAGAACACCATGATGGACGTCGGTCTGCGTCACGAGAACCTACAGCTCGGCGAGCTCCATCAGCGGATCCCGTCCGTCGCAGGGCACAGTCACGAGATACCGGAAGACGACGGGCAGATTCTCCGAGGGCAATGAGTGGCCGCTCGTACTCGAAAGAAGTCGTTGGTCGCGGAGACACAACAACTCGTGAGCCGACGCCAGCTCCTGCAGCATCCTCCGAGCCACGGACTGGCCGTGATCTTTCCTCGGAGCCTCTCCGTCCTCGCGCCGAGTCTCCAGGTCCTGCAAATCGACGAGCCCACTCCCGCGGGACTTCTGCTAGCCGTGACCTGTCGCCCGTCAGATTCAGCCGCCGAGCAATTTCTCGCGAGCCGGCCACCACTCGTCACCGCTTCTCCGGCGACTTCACCAGACGGGCGATGTCGGTCGAGCCCGTTCACCGTCGTGCCAGTCCCCGCGAGGAGACCACTCCTCTGCGTGGGTCGCCTCCTTTGGACCTGAAACGCAAGGGAGGCGACTTACCAGACCCCTCGCTCCCTGCCGATGACCTCACGTTGGATGAAACCACAGACATAGAGACCGAGACCGACGAGATGTACTTCGAATCGCGAAAGGGCTGGAACGGTCCTGCCGTGACGGGAGCCACGAGCCAGGGCTTCTACAACGGCGTCATCAGCGACTACAAACTCATTGCTCGGGATGTGGAGGCCGAGCAGACCCAAGCAAGCGGGCCCAAGCAGCCAGCTATCGAACTGGTCAAATTGATCAAGAGGGACAAGGTCGACATGGAGGTCGGGAGGGAAGTCAAGAAGTATGGAGGCCCGGACATGGTTCCTAACCAAGAGGAGTTGTGGGGATAAAGTTGGAATGGAACTCGAGGTCGCAGGCGAAGTCGGAGTTCAAGCTCGAATTGGAGTTGCATGAAGAGAAAAGGGTGGCGGCATGTATTGCTGCACAAAAATGAGTGTCTCGTTCCCCAACCATGGATGCGTCGCTGGCCACACTCCTTTGCACACATCAAGCTACGAGGCCGAGAAGAGGGACGTGCGCCCATCACAACACAAATCAGAACCACAACGAGTCAGACTCACACCAGCCATAACCAAAGCGAAAGCCAGAACCAGAACCATAACCGAATGTATCTACAACCACAACACATCCCCTCCAGAGGATCGACACCGCAAAACTGTTCCGCTCCCTCAAACTCCGCCCATCCTTGTTGTTGCATGACGAGCACGAATTTCCTTGTCCACATTCATAAGTAAATTAGGTACCTTGGTTAGGTAGTCATAGTAGGACTCCTGCCTTGCAGACAGACATATCTCTCTACCGTTCCAACCCCTTTGGAGCTACGGCTCTCTCTCTCTCTCTCTCTCTCTCTCTCTCTCTCTCTCTCTCTCTCTCTCTCTCTCTCTCTGCCATATATATGCCACTATCGAAATTGTTCCACGCCACTCCAGAGTCAGAGCCCAAGGTACCACGTTGACTTGATGGTGCCGATTTCAGATCAGGATTGCGATCCTGCAGGGTGCAGGGTGCAAGAAGGGTACACTTTCTGCGCTCCGCTTCATCTTGGCCGTCCGACAACACTTACCGTACGAGTAGTTCGCGTGGGCTTGGTCTTTTGAGATGTGTGAAGGAAGGCCCGATCGCAGATTTTTGTCCTCCGGAGTCCAAGAGGAGGTAAAATCACGGCGAGCTCACCCCTCTTTAGGACGAGGGTGACGCCGCCCTGTGTTCACCCTCCGTGGGGGCCGCGACGCCTCGCGCCTGGGCGTCAGGTAGACGATCGACTCAGGCTCGCTCCAGTGGAGAAGGACGTGGCCTTTATCATTAGCCCTTCGAATGTACCGTCGTGAACCCGTCAAATGGGGGAAGGTGTTTAAAAGCGGCGCTGCTGGTTCTACGCTGAGAAAGGCTACTATCTCGACCTCGACTACTTAGTTACTATACTGAGTCGACTCGCCCTGCTTTCGACCGGTCTTTACAGGCACGGGTAGCCTTGGCGACTCGTGCCCGGGCCTGTGCCAGGTCGTGTATGACAATTTGTCGGGGGGCTTTCTTCACCTAGTGGTCCTTCCTTCTCCTTTCTCCGTCTTTCTGATCTACTCGTGTCTTGATACTCGGATACTCCTTACCTAGATTGTCCTCGCTCGGTCGCTTATTGAGGGTTGTGGATTGTGGGTGTAAAGCGGATTGAGAGTTGATGTTATCTAAGTAAACGCTCAGCGCTATCGCCGCAAAGGACTTTAAATACCAGCTTGAATATACCGGCCATCTTACTAGATTTCGTCTCTCTGTAGCACTTTAAGGAGCAAGGAGGAGGCGAGAGGATACAAGAACATAAGTGTCCGACTTCAGATGGAATATCTCAGGGAATGCTAATGGAAAGAGGGCTATGTGGAGGTCCTCGCAGGTTTACGCTTTAGCGGCAGCCAAGCACAAGTTGTGCTAATGAAGACTTAGAGAAAGGAGAGAAAGTTGTATTTTTACATAAATCAATATCCTAGGCAGCCTAGGTAAATACACCGTGTACAAGATAGGAGTGTCAGTGCTAGATGTCGATCCCGTGAAGGATTCACCTTACTCTTTAATTAGGTTCCGAAGTATTAGTTCCTCGCCAAACTGTGCAGACTACCATTCCCAGGTGGCGTTATCCTGAACGACTTGCAGAAACTACATCTCTCTGTGGACCGGAACATCCCTCAGAGTGTATGCACAAGCAGAGAGCGCTGTCGCGTTCGGTTATAGCAGGAAGCTAGCAGGGAGAACAGTCTTACCTGGACTTGCCCAGGATGGCAGTCATTGGCGTGTGAGTCTGTAGTCGTGATAAGCAAATAAAATCTACCGATCACTGCAAAGGCCTCAAGCCGATGCTTGGACGATCAGGACTGCCGTCTAGGATTGTGAGCGTACAGAAGCGCTTCGAACCTCTAATTACCATGATATCCAATATCCTCCATGCCCCTTGCCATGCCGAGGCCATCTGCTCCTCATCCGTCCACCTGCAAAGACCAGCATTTCTACTTTTTGGAAGGGTCTTCGTTCAGATAATAGGTAATGTCCCCTCCGAACTCGATAAGCACAAACCCATTTCCGAGCCAACCCCACCGGTTGCCCGAGATGTACTCGATGTCGAAATCTTCGAACCGAGGTGTCGAGATTACCTCCAAGTAGTGGAGTCGGCTTCCAGGCCAGACGACCGGGTTCGCCTCGACGCGGCCTTGCTTGAACCAACTTCGGCAGGGTTCCGTCCAGGCAGTTCGGTGATGGAATGTCATGGCATGCTCACCAAAGTCGGCGACCACCGAAGGCTTGGGAGACATGCGACGGACATGCTCCACCCGGATCTTCTTGAGCGTCGCGATGAGGTTCATTGTCAGCGCCGTGGCTACCGGGAGGAGGGAACCCTGGGCCAGAGGGCCGTAGGGGCCGAAGTAGGTAAAGTAGTTGGGAATGTCGGGCACGCCCGTGCTGATGTAGCTGAGAGCGTGATTCTGCCACATCTCCGAGATGCTGGCGCCGTTCAAGCCGATGACGGGGAAGCGAGGTCGGAAGGATGTGTCAAATCCAGTGGCGCAGATGATCACGTCCACGGTCTGCTCGGGAGAATTGGACTGAGGCTTGAATCCGTTGGGCGTGATGCAGTGGACGTCTTGGAAATATACCTTGGTCTTGGGTGCCACTAGGGCTTCAAGGTACCCACTGCCGGGAGTCGGACGACGGCAGCCCACATTGAAGTCTTTGGGGATGATGTGCTGGATCAGCTCTTCGTTGTATGCCAGCCTTCTGGACATCTCAGCGAGAGAGAACTGGATGTCATGTTAGTGGCCGCGGACAGGTCCCAGACAGAAGAGTAGAACTGCGAACCTTGCGAGTTTCTTCGGCCTCGGCCGTGTGGCGAAGGATGTTCTTGAACCGAATATTCAGCTCGGACTCGACCTTTTTCCTGTAGCTACGATATCCTTCTGGGTCCCGTTTGAATTCCTGCTTTTGTTCTTCCGAATCTGGATTGCATTAGCCTTGACCACGGCACGGAGCCAGAACGAGGCCTACATTCGAAGTTTTCACCGTTTTCGCCGGCGTAAGCCTGTCCATATCCTGCCGTCACCCAGATCGGACTTCGGATCCAGTGATAGAGCTCGGCAACGTCCTTGTAGATGGAGGCGACCGTTTGGACGCCGGAGCTTCCGCTTCCGATCACGGCGACGCGCTTGCCTTTGAGGTCTGCAGTTTCGTCGAAATGCGCCGTGTGATACAAGCTCCCCTTGAAGTCGTGAAGGCCTTGGATGTCCGGCCACTTCCACGCGCTGCGCAAAGACCATTAGCTCCGATTTTGGTCTTGATGGCGGGAAACCCGTCTACTCACTTCAAGAATCCGCTTCCATTGGCGAAATAGTCGAAGTGCTCCTCGAACTCTCGAGCCACGGCACCCTGGTCGTCGTATTGTTGGGCTTTTATCACCCACTTCGATGTCTGCTCGTCCCATACTGCACTGGTGACCTCGGTGCGCAGTTGGATGTACTTGCGAAGGCCTTCCTCCTCCACAATCCCAGCCATATACTCCCAGATCTCTTTGCTGCCGGAGTAGTACTTGGTCCAGTCATGCTTGGGCTTCCAAGGGAACTGGTAGCATACACTCGGGACGTCGCAGGCGCAGCCTGGGTATCTGGAAATCCTGAGCAAGGATGGCCGAGCGCTTGGATAATGACACTGTACCTGTTTTCGAGCCACGTGCCGCCTACATCGTGATTCTTCTCGTAGCATACAACTTCCACGTTCAATCCCGCCAGTGCGCCTTCCGTGATCGCATGGTGAAGAAAGTCGATGCCCGAGGCGCCCGCGCCGAGAAACAGGAGTCTGAAGGGCTTCTCCGTTATTGGTGGCTCGCCCACAATGTGCTCGCTGATGGTGTAACCCGACGGAGCGACTGAATTCCACTCTGGAGAAAAGGCTGGTCGCTTGTCTCCATGTGCAGGTAAGGAGTGATCAGTATGGTTGTTCATGTCTGGTACGTCCACACTTGACTGCGAAGTTCGAACTGGCAAGCTGTTATCGCCCATCTTTGCACTTGTCGCCGAGTGATCAATGGGAATGCTTAAAACCCCGTCAAATATAGATTGACCTGAATCAACAGCCTGATCAGAGAAGCCCCAATGGTGTTGCCGTGGAAGTTACGAGCTGGACCCGATCTCTGATCAATGTAAACGTGATTTTCGTGAATCGTTATGAGAGTCTGGGTGGGATAAAGCATCGGACAGGCCTCCAGAGATCACCTGAGCTCGTCCGCTGTGTTTTACGCAGTGGCCGTGTTCTGGAACCACAGTCCGCCTCAAAGGCACACGGCTGTCCTCGGGGACTCATGTTCAACAGGGTCATCACGAGAGACGTGGGTTTAGAGCTTTGTCGGTGGCACGCGACGACATCGACAGCGGGATTGTTTTCGGTCTGAAGAGGCCGACTACTGCCTACCACCGCTTTGGGACTAGCTTTCGGTATATTCTAGCGTCCTTCTGCTCTGTCGGCCCGGATGACCGCGACACTAGGCCGTGACGAGGTTGGAAGGTCACGGGCCCGGAGAGGGCGTCGAGGCGGAACACCTCGGAGATACGATACCGAGTTCCACTCCGGCCCCCATAGAACAGTACGAGGGCCGCTGTACGGCGCAGCGTGCGGGTTCGCGGAGATCTGCCAACGCTCGAACTTGGACTTTTTGGGCACGCTGACTTGACTGGTTCGTCGCATGGTCGAGGCCCGTGTCGCCACCGCCAATCCAGATGCCAATTCGATATGGCTGGAGCTCCAGGCAAATCCGATCAAGCACATGAGCAGATGAACGGGTATGGCCAGTCTATTATGTCATTACGGCATTGAGATTCATGCTTCTTCCAGTTGACACTCGGTACGGGTACCGAAGTAGCTCCTTTTGGCGTATCAGTCCTGGTCCTGGCGGAGATCCATGTCAAGGCCAAGGCAGCAACACCAGACAACGGGGGGGCCTGACACACATATTGTGCGCAACCTCTGAGTCGTGTTGCATACAGCGTTCGTAAAGGCAACATGTATTCAACGTTCGTAGCTTGCGGACCCTCCTCTTCAAGGCAACGAACCAGTCTCAAATATTCCTGACAGAGAGAGAATTGTTGACAGAGTCGGCTGTAAGCCCAAGGACGGATGTGCTACAGATTGACCGGCGGAGACGTTATCTACTATTGGCTTGACTATTCCAAGGCCCAGCGCAATTAGGAGTTCGCCAACGCTTCTACGACTGCGGAAGCTTCGCTGGCTCGGATGCTTGGGTCAAAAAAGGCATGATGCTTATGATGCCCTCATGCTTGCGACTCGTCACGCTCGCGGAACCCCGTGGACCTGGGTCGTTGAGCAGGCCAACCTCACGCCAGTTGTCCGTGTCGCACACCTCTAACACCGTGCCAGCGACGTATTTCTTGTCCGTGACCAAGGCCAGCATCGCCCGAGCCACATCATCTGGAGGGAGGAGGAAGTCTGTGGACATGTCGAGGAACTTCATAGCGTTCTGATGTTCCGTCCACAAAGGCGTGCCGACGTTTCTGGTCAGAATCTTAGAAGATTCGTGATCGGGGGTCCTGAAACAAGCGCAATACTTACCCCGGTGCAACGGCGACCACTCGAATGCCAGCGATGTGTTGGAGATCCGCAAGGCTCCTCACGAAGCTATTGATGCCGTGCTTCGATAGAGTGTACAAGGGCGTAACCACGCTTGCTCTTTGGCCCGCGACGCTCGAGATATGGAGGATCACCGCGTCCTTTTTTCCCGCTTCCACCAAATGTCTGATAGCAATGCGAGTGCTCTTGATGGGATGGATCAAGTTGATATCAAGGACCTTGTAGTGAGAGTCGTGGTCGCAGTCTTCCCAGAACGAATTCGAATTGGGCTCGTAGACTCCCGCACCAGGAACAACAATGTCGGGGACGCCGAATACCTCACGACACTGCTTGAAAGCTGCTTCCAGCTGCTCCCAGTCGGTTACATCCACAGGAGAGTGTCGGAAGCGCGTGCTGTGATGCTCGCCCAGCGACTCGATCCATGCTTTCGCGTCGGGGTGAAGTCTCAGGTCGGCGACGAAGGTGTTGCACCCGGCTTGAGAGAGGCGCTTGATGAATGCAAGCCCGATTCCAGAGCCACCTCCCGTCACGAAGGCAATCTTTCCGGCAAGCTCGTCCATGGCCGATTGTTCCCAAAAGACTGGGCTGACCCGCGTGATGGAGCCGTGCTATAGATGACGCCTGATCAGGTATTGTAGGAGCCTCCAAAGTCCCCTGAGCGTATCATCGGAAAGGCGCTGTCCTGGTCAATGACACGTCTCCCGGCTCCTTCGGGCACCGCAATGTTGAGCCGCCTCTCAAACAACCAAAGGCGAACAGTCCGTCCAATTAAACCTAGATTGCTGTAGAGTCGAAAACTTGTGGAGATATGGTCGTAGTGGCATCACCCCGGGTTCGGCTGACTCGGGGTGCCAGATCTCCTCGCCGAACCGGCGCAGCAACTCCGAAAAACAGTATAACGGCGACGACGCCAGCCACCAGGCTTCTCATTCGACGGGCGACGCAGGCGATTGACCCAAAAAGGCCATTGCGTACCTCGCCGAACCAGGATTGCGGGTAGATATTATGTCACAGAAGTGCGTGTCGTTAGCGAGGTGATCGTTGTTTCCTTCTGCCTAAGACGGTTGACTCAAACCGATCTTGTTTTGCATGTTCTCGAGCGTTCGTCCTAGAGTCTTTGTCCAAGACCCTCATCAGTCTTTTTACCATGGCCGAATATAAGAACCTTCCCGACTTCGACAGTCTCCCCACTGTCGAAGGCGTTCCGCACTGCTCCTGGGGACTGTTTGACAAAGATGGCAAGAAGGACGTGTTGGGCTGCATCAACTTGTTGACCCCTGAAGTGGTCAAGGAGGCATACAAGGAGGCTCGGGACGGGGTTTCCATCTCTCTCAACTGGCCACTGGGGGCTCTCGCCCAGCCCGGGTTTGCTCGCAAGGGTATTGAGCACAAGCCCTTCAACGCTTTTAAAGACCACGGGATCCACTGCTTCGATGACGAGATCGCCTTCAACACCCAAAGCTCTTCTCAGTGGGACGGCCTGGTCCATTTTGCCCACCAAGGCTCAGGACTTAACTACAATGGCGCCAAAGCCACGGAGGAGAACCTGCTCCAACACTTCGGCGAGAGCGACACTGAAAAGACGCTGCCCTCTTTGAATCACTGGCTCGACCGTGGTGGGCTAGTTGGTCGCGGGATCCTGCTCGACTACAAGGAATACGCGGCGGCCAAAGGGATCAAGTACAGCCCTTTTGAAAACCACACCATCACCATTGAGGATCTGGAAGCGGTGGCGAAGCACCAGGGCACCGAGTTCAAATTTGGAGACATCTTGCTCGTCCGAACTGGCTTCACGGATGACTTGGGATCAGCGTCGGCCGAGGAACAAGCACAGCTGCTCTCTACCCATCAAGCTGTGGGCGTCGCAGGATGTAAAGCCACGGCCTGTTGGGTTTGGAATCATCATTTTGCCGGTGTGGCAAGCGACAACATCGGCTTCGAAGTGTGCCCCCCCGCCATCGAGGAAGAGAACAACAGGGTGGGATCGCTCGCGGAACTTGGTAAGATGCTCCTCTCCAACCTTGACTGTGCTCGCAGGCTAAGACAGGTAGTCCTCCATCAATACTTTTTGTCCGGCTTTGGTCTCAACATTGGTGAGCTCTGGGACCGCAAGGCCCTTGGCGAGCACTGCAAGAAAGTCGGTCGCTATGAGTTCCTCCTGAGCAGCTGCCCACTCAATGTCTGGGGCTCTGTGGCGAGCCCTCCTAACGCCCTTGCCATGTTCTGAGCAGCTAGTGCTTCTCTGGCCGCGCTGATCTTGCTCGGGACTTGATGGACCAAGCGCCCATGAAGGAACCGGTATGGTAAAAGTACACTGTGAATTAAGTATTCCTGCCAAATCTTGCCCCCGTTCGCTGCAAGTGGAGCCTAGGTAAAAAGGAAGAGTGAGTAGACGAATACCATGAATAGAGAATCTTTGGACTTTCGCCAGGGCTTGTGCACAGTCTTCAAACCTACAATTTTCCGCCAGTCCCGTCTGTTTTAGACTATCACAATGCACCCACCACGCACTGAATTGGGTCTTCCGATGCAACTTGGCTGCTGACGATCGACTCGTCACCGTCCAAGCCCTGTACAATGACCAGAGTTGTATCGTAGCTACATTGTTCAGGTCTCCAACAGGCGGGAGTCGTCGGCAGATATGCTTGTGAGTTGAAATATATACACCATGCTCAACTAAATTGAACGGCCTCCCCCTCTCAAGGAAGTTTCTAGCTGCCCGCAAGAGGAGCCAGCGCAATAAGCCACACCAGTAGTCGACTTTGGAACACAGAACCACCAGCTGCTCGAGAGTTGCAGCCGATCATGCCGGGCGAAAAGAGGCAATATCGATACCGCAATCACCACCGATCTAGATCAAGCAATACAGAATTCCTTCCTTGCAACCACCACACAAAGTAGGTCTTCAGGAAGATGGGGCGCCGCTGATATCGTCTAGTGATGCACATTGCGCTCGGCATAGATATCGTTCTCCAAAAAGATTTCAATCTTGTCGTTCATCTTCGCGTCAACATCCGAGCAGTACATGCAGGCCGCGATGCCAACCACACCGAATGCCAAGCTGGTGTACGCAATCATCCTAGACACAGATCGTTAGTCAAAGTTCGATCCACGGGTTGTGGCTGGCCGTGGAACTTACTTGATGCCGGCCACGACAGCCTCCTGCTGGGCCTGTTCCACCGCCGTGACAACTGCGGGAGAAAATGCGACGAGGAGCTTATCCTTCTGGGTGGCAAGCTCCAGGACCAGGGGGATGCGGGCTGCAGGCACTCCGACACGCTCCGCCGCCCTGGTCAGCAGCAAGGGAGTCTTCTTGGCGATCTCGTTTTGGTTCACGGACTGGTACACAGCTTGAGCAACTAGATGGCCGTTAGTGATGAAGATCCACACGGCGAGGATGATGTTTGGACTCACGAGTGCCCCCAGCGAATCGAATGCTTCCAGACAGACCGCCTGAGATGCCCAATTGCTCTTGCACGACGCCCATCTGGGTGAAAGCAATGCACAGGTAGATCGCCCAGCCGTATCCCACCATGCAGAGGAACATGAAAGCCAACATCAAGCCGAGATTGTCCGGAGTGGCCAGGGCGTGCAGCGCACCGAAAAGAACCATGACTCCGGTGGATAGCGTCAGTTGCCAGTGATAGTGTTTTAGTGTACCTCCCAAGAAGGATAGTCCCATGGCGCCCAGCGTGATGGCGACACCCTGGGTCACGGCGAGGCCGGCGGCCTTTTTCCATGGCTGGCCTGCGGTGGTGTAGCAGGAGTCGATGAGGGTGGGCCAGATGAGACTGCTGGAGTAGTAGAACATGTTGATGACCGCCACGGCGACACACGGGGCGGCAAAGTCTCTGCCCCTGCGTTTGCTGAAGATCGCCGGAGGGGTCAGAGGGCGTTTGGCCCACCCGAATGTCTCCCAAAGGCCAAAGACGACCAGTAAGGCGAATCCTACGGGCAATGAGATCACAACATGCAAAGAGTCGGACTCATAAATGCCGGTCCAGACGAGGCCGATGAGAATGGGCACTGCGGCGCAAATGAAGAGGATGATGCCGATGAAGTCAATCTGCCTCAACGCCTCGCTGAATGGCAGGCCGAGAGGGTGCGCTGGGGGGAAGTAGAAGAAGTACAGGCCGAGGAATGAGGCGGCCTGGAGGATGGCACCGGTGTAGAAATGTGCACGCCAGTCACCTCCACTCACGCTGAAGCACGCGGTCAGCTTCGACTGGCAAAGAATGCTGGAAGATTGGGGCTCAGCACCTACCCATATCGTGCCGTGACAGGGAACACAATGATGATGATGTACACCATGAGATCGGCCAGAACGATACCTAGAAGGAAATCAGCTTTCTGGAAACCAGCCAGGCGGCGGTGGACCGAAGAGTGCGTACCAATATGGCGCCACTTGTTTGGGAGCAGCTCGGGAAGCGCAAACGCTGCCATCTGACACAATGCGGCACCGAAGCCATTCACGGCCATGCCAGCAATCATCATTTCCGCATTCGTCGATCGGGCAATGATCAAGTGTGCAGCAACACAGATGACCTGTCCTGCAATCAAGAACCATCTTCGGCCCAGCACGTCCGTATTCGCGCCCCTACGGGATTGGTTAGATTCCATGCAGCAGAGACTCTGACGCCAGAGAGCGTTACGTACCACATCATGAAGCTGACAGAGATGCCGGTTGTCCACGACGCGACATACCAGTTCGAAGAGACCGGATCACCAAACTCGGCGGCGAGTTGGCCGCCGATGGCGGCAATGATGGGGACGGACATGAAGGAGAGACCATAGCCGCAGGAGAGAATCTGTTCGGGTCAGTTGATTGCTCTTCTGCGGGTGAACCAGCGAGCGTACCGCCACCACGACCCATGTTTTCTTCGTCACAACAGGCTCTTCCGCCGCCTCTACTGGGCGAGCCACCGGAGCCTCCGCATCTGGTGGAGTCTCATGGTGAAGAGTGACGCCTGTCTTTTCTGCTACCATAATGACGGCGGTTGGAGGTGGTTTTGGAAAGGGTGTTATGGTGTCCTAGGCCTCTGGACAGAGCCAGGGGAGCTGCTTATAAGGTATATGCCCCCCAGGCCCCCTTGTCAAAGAAAACTTCTCCAGGTATTCCACATGACGAAGCTTGGCCTGGCCCCACGGGGATTTACTCCGGAGCCTCGAATTCCGAAGTTGGCAATAATTTGCTGGGCCAAGCTCGAGCCGTACTATGCGTAGAGTTTCGATTGCGCATGCAGGGCCATACCTCTCCCGTCCCTCGGCGCTGGTACCGAGGACGTGGGCGTATATCGGCCTCTGCCCTCCTGGTCATACACCATTCTGCAGATCGCCAGAGTGGAAGACCAGACGATCACGGGTGCGCGGTGTCGCAGGGATGAACAACTCGCCCTATATTCAGGGTAGTGTGCTCTATATGCTCGGACATGATCTTCTTCACCGCATGCCCGCAGCCAGGGCCAAGCGAGCCAATCGGAGGATAATTCCGAATTGTCTGGGAACCGTCAGGAGTTGGTGAAAACGCCAAAGGTCAGCGCGACGAGCTAGCTACACAGACGCGGCATACACTTCGTTCCGGCCCAGACTTTGAGACGATAGTGTCCCGTGTCCATATTTGGAGCAGTAACTCGCCTTTGGTCTGACTTCTGCCAACGTTGAGCACAGCAAGATGGCGACTCAAGGCGTCCCTGAGCAGATGACTGCGGTCCAAGTGGTCGAGGTACGGCAAGCTCCGACGTGTTCGACGTCGACAAAACTCCCAGGAGCACCAGACTGACTCCAGAGGCCACAGTTCAATAAACCATATGAAAGTCGCAGGGTCCCCACCCCCACGGATCTGGGTGAGTATGAGATGCTCCTCAAGACTGCCACGGCGTCGTTCTGTCACACCGATACCATGGTGATCAAAGCTGCTTTCCCGACAAAGCTACCGTGTACCGCGTCTCATGAAGGTACCGGCGTCGCGGTCGCCCTGGGGTCTAAAGTGCGCAACTTCAAAGTCGGTGACCGGATAATGACAGGCTTGCCGAAAGGGCCATGTGGCACATGCAGCAACTGCCAGGGCCCCGACGACTGGCGTCAGTACTGTGAGAACATCGAAGGGCACATTGGCATTTTTGTCGACGGCGCCTTTGCCGATTACCACGTTGCAGACTGCCGGAACAGCTGCCATATCCCCGACAATGTCAGTTTTTCCGACGCAGCACCACTGGCCTGTGCAGGCATCACGATATATCGAGCGATCGCCGTGAGTCAGGCCAAGAGTGGTGATTGGCTCGCATTTGTAGGAGCAGGCGGAGGGTTGGGTCATCTAGGAATACAATTCGCACTGGCCAAAGGCATTCAGGTAATCGCGATAGAGGCTCGTGATGAGGGCATGGAGCTCTGCAAAAAGTCCGGTGCCAAGCACATCCTTGACGTGAGAGAGGGTCGAGACAAGCTGGTAGAGGACGTAAAGGCTTTGACCGGCGGCTCGGGAGCATTTGCTGCCATCAATGTGAGCGCACATGAGTCGGCAGCCACCTTGGCGTGCGCGGTGACGAGGATGCACGGCACCATGGTCCAGGTGGCCGCGCCGACCAACATCAGCGTCGAATTCGAACAACTGCTTTTCCGAGATGTCCGGATCCAAGGGTCGCTGATTGCGGGACAGGAAGTCAGTCAGCAGATGCTCAATGACGTCTCAACGTTTGGCATTCATATAGAAAAGAACCTGGTCTATGGACTGGAACAAGTGCCCGACCTGGTTAAGCTGGCGCATTCTGGGAAGATGAAGGGCAAGGCTATATGCGTCGTGGATAAGGAGCTCGAGGAAGGCACGGCGAAAAAGTAGGGAAACGTCGGACTTGGCCACATGCTGATTCTAGTCGAGCGTGCTCAGAAAATACAAGATCACGGTACAGACACACTTGAGGATCCCACAAAGCACTGAATCGGGAGCCTTTCCCCAGTGCAGGTCGACTACCAGGGACTGTGTGTGGGTTCTTATCATCACTTCTGGTCCTCGTAGCTTGACGACCTCAAGACCTACACATTTCCACCGGAGATGGAGGTGCTGAGCTGAGTCGCCACGAATTGGCGGTCAGCATTGACAACTTACGTGTCGAGTAAACGAGAGGCCTGGTTCCTTTATCTGCAGGACCGGCCGGTACTCGATTCTATGCCCTCTCTTGTACCACGGATGACTTTTCACAGTTCGGGAATAACAACGAGGACACCTCAGACAGCCCAAGCGCTGAACAGTAAAGAGAAACCTGGGGTAGAAAGCTCATCACTGTCTGGCCACGACGAGCGTGAAGACAGTGAGTATCGGGCCTGGGCTGGATCAACATGCCTGATGTCGTTTCAAGGTTCACACCTATGGCACTACGGCGACCTTTGTGCTAATATCTTTCTGGCAGCACGTCGAATATGGTCTTCATTGCTAGCTGCACTCAGCGGCATTGATGCTCGCACCTACGCATCCGTCTGAGTAAGTTGAACATAACATGCTACAAAGCTCAACGGGCAACCATGTTGCGGGAGACAGCGCGTTGGAGGGGTGACACCCGAGACGGCGGTATTGGGAAGAGAGTAGCCCAGGGTCTGCATCAGCTCCTCCGCAAACTTCGGCACAGTGCGTGCTCTTTTCGTGCTTGAATGATGGCCGAATGGATGCATACCTATGAGCTTTTTAGACGGAAGTAGTATAGTACTTACGATCGAGTAAACGAACTTGACATTTCAACGGTTCGTATTCAACCACTCCATAGGCGAGCCCCCGAAGAGGGTGACCCACCGTCTTCTCTCCCAGGACATGTCTCAAAACTAGGATGAAGCTGGTCAGAAGACCCAGCCAGAAGCTGTCGAAGGTGAGAAAAACTCCTTCTCCGTTAGCGCACGAGGGAAGCTCAGACAGCCTAGCGGAACAATTGGTCAGCAACTCCCTCCCGAGTTTCGGCGGACGGAGAACGGGTGCGACGTGAGCAGAGAGTCGAGGCCGAGGTGTTCAAGAGCATCCACACTCTGGTCAGGGCTGGAGCGCAAGGCCGTCCGCAGGACTCCCGATTGCGGCTGGGCTGAACGAAGAGAAGCGAGGACACAATCCGATGCCGGAGACCTGTGTTATGAAGAGTCGGAGGCGAGTATCCCAGTGAAAATACCATCTACTCCATACATTGCGCTGAGACTCGCTGCACTGTCAGCTCCGAGACGAAGCCGACGACAATCTGTGATCGAAGGACCAAACCGCTCCGTGCTGGTGACGGTCAGCCGGCGGAGAATGGGTCCCAGATGCGCCCGAGCTGGTGGCCCCCCTTTCGCCGGAGAGTTGACTTTCCAACATGACCTTCAGAGCAGAGTATTGTGCAAAGTCCATTATTGCCCGGAAGGACGAAGAGGAATCTTCTGATCCTGCGCCACGAGACGTCCGGGCCTGGCTGGATTCCCTTGACCCAATCGACAGTCATGTGCACTTGAGAGAGCCAGGCTCGGAGATGCGTGCGATTGGCTGCTGCACCATCGCATGCCGTCGGAGGGAATTTTCGAAGAGGCGGCCAAAGACTGGCAAATCCAAGCCTGCCCAAGCAAACCCAGTACACCCAAGCGAAGCTTGCGCGTGCTACCCTCAACATTCCAGGGGCGTAGCACCACCAAGGGAACGTGTCGCTCAGGGTGACCGTCCATATTAGAGTGCCCGGAGTGGCTGAAGGCCACGGCGAGACAACAATGCCTCTTTAGTTGTTTCTTTCGAGCCCGGAAACGCAGTGCCTGGGGGGAAACCAACATGGAGGAATGATCATACTGCAGTATGCAGAATCCATGGTCGACAAAGTAGGCATGATGATAATGGCAATGGGCCCCGTGGCCAGGGCTGGCGCAGAAAAAGCTATACAATAGGCAGCCTTGGCCTCTGACTAGGCAGAATTCAGTATGCTGGAGACCCCGGCCAAACTACCGGTATCCTGTCTATAGTCGCCGGCCTGTTGGCGCCAAATCGCTGGAGTCTTTAGGTGTGTATAGTGAAAAGTTGATCGGCCATAGTGCAACCGCTTCCGAGCCCACGCGACCGGTTTCCGGGGCCCCGAATTTTACATGGCCCTTCTCGGGACACGATCTCGGTCTGGAGTCAATGAGATGATAAAAGCGTCAAGTGTCGACGCTTCGTGCTCTCCGAGGCCTCTGCATCCCACGCTCTCTGTACCTTGTCTGGCTGGCCGCTCTCACCATGCTCAACAAAGTCATCGTCAACGCCTACAACCTGTGGGTCGTGGTCTTTGTGGCCATCGGCACCATTTCCTCTGCCTACGGTCTCGCCGTCATCGGCTCGACCGTCGGCCAGCCAAACTTCTACGCATATTTCAACCTCGCGCGAGAGGGCGAACCGGGGTATGGCCATACATCCAACATGATCGGAGCCTTGAACGGCGTCAACTCGGCGGGCGCCGTCCTGGGCTGCATTTTCCAAGCATGGTCTTCCGACTACCTTGGGCGCAAACGGACCATGCAAATCGGATGTGCCGTCTTGATAGTCGGTGGCGCCCTGTGTGCAGGCGCTTACGACCTCGCCATGTTCCTCGTCGGCAGAGTGGTCGCGGGATTCGGAGCTGGCGTCCTGGCCTGTGTGGTCCCCATCTATCAAGCTGAAGTCTCAACCGCCGAGACCCGCGGCGCTATGGTGTGTGTCACCGGCATCATGTACGGCACTGGATACACCCTGGCGGCCTGGCTGGGCTATGCTTGCTACTTTGTCAGCGGTACCAACCAATTCGCCTGGCGCTTTCCCCTGGCATTCCAAGTCGTGTTCCCACTCATCCTGCTTCTGGGAAGTAAGCTTGTGCCCTACAGCCCCCGGTGGCTCTTGTCGCAGGGCCGGACACAGGAGGCGTTGGAAGTGGTGAGACGGCTCCATCGCACCGCGGCAGATCCAGAAGACATCAAAGCGCGCCAGGAGTTCTGGCTGATGGAGCGCCAATACGAGATGGATCGCAGCATGGGCTTGAATGGGCTTCAGCTTTTTAAGACCCCATCCAACAGGAAGCGGTGCCTTGTCGCGGCCCTTCTCACCTGGGGAACTCAATTCCTCGGTGTCTATGTTATGACGAACTACGTACGTCTTTCCCTCTCCTGTGCCACCCCGCGACGGCTGCTGACTCACTTCAAAAGGGTGTTTTAATCTATGCCAGCCTGGGCTTCTCCGGCTCGACCCCCCTCCTGCTCAATGGCTGCTGGTGCACCTTGACCATTTTTGGCAACCTCTACGCCGCAATGACGGTTGACCGATTCGGGCGTCGTTTGTATTTGCTCATCGGCTCCAGTGGCTGCGTCGGCTGTCTGATCTTCCTGTGCGCCATCACGGCGCAGTTCCTGAACACAGACAACTCCGCCGGTCTCCGGGCGGGCGTCTTCTTCATCTGGTTCTATATCTTCTGGTACGGCGGTCGCTGGTGAAAATCTTGTTAACGAAGCTAACTCAAGTCACTTAGGTTCGCCACATTCATCGACGCAACACAGTATGTGTATATCAGCGAGATCTTCCCGAACCATCTCCGTCCCAAGGGCGTCGCGTTCGGTCTCTCCATGTTTTACTTGAGCAGCGAAGTGCCGCTTGTCGGCGCTCCCGTGGCTCTCAACAACATTGGCTGGAAGTTCTACCTCGTCTTGATCATCCCGAGCGCCTTCTACATCGCATCCGTATACTTCTTGTTCCCCGAGACCAAGGGCCGAACCCTCGAGGAGATTGGTCACGTGTTTGGCGATGACCTCACCGTGGCGCACCAGTGGTACAGTGCTACCGCCGAGGAGAAAGAGGAGATGGCAAGACAAGCTTTGCGTGAGACCGAGGGTGGCGTGTTCCAGCCGAAACTTGTCGAGGACAAGGCTGCCTCTGCGCAGGTGGAGAAGTGAAGGAGGGTCGGAGCGAGGACTTGTGCGCGCGAGCCCGGGAGTAACGCCGAGAGCCTGGGTGGATTGGATGTCTGCGTGTATGCGCGGCGTCTGGCGCAAAGGAGCGTCATGGGGGTGGCATCATATCGTTCCAGCGGAGGCCAATTCCTAAAGAACAACCTGTGTATGACGACTCGGACAGGTTAAATAGTTTCAAGAATGGCCAGGATTATACACGTAGTGACTTGATTGACAGTGCGAGTTGGTTCCTGAACCCAATTGTCGATACCACCCTGACCAGCCAACCAAAGCATATATCTGCGCCGCCACACGTTCACCGATTTCCAGGTAGCGAAAGATTTCCACCGTACACTAGGAGATTGCGTAGGATCTCGCAGAAGTCTAGTAGTTTGGCAAGAAGGTCAACAAGCACGGTAGCCATGGGGGCCTGGAAAAAGACTTTTGAGGACAACAAGGCGACACAAAACGCCCACTGATGCATCATTTCTCTATATCGTTTCAACTGGAATTCGTCTGGTCTTGGGCTTGGCCTGTTCCGTGAAGAACGAACAATGCTGCTTTCCTGGATCCACCTCCGCTTCCAGCCCGTCTACCGCGCCAGGTAACCGCCGTCCACAGCCAGCCCGTGGCCGGTCATCCAGCCAGCGCCCTCACCAGCCAGGAACACGGCGGCTTTGGCAATATCGTCGGGCCGGCCTGTCCGTCCCATCGGGTGTGAGTTCTTCAACATCTTCTCCATCTCCTCCTTGCCCACTTTGGCGTACATGTTCTCCAGCACGTGTGTGTCGGTGAAGCCGGGTTGAATGGCATTCACGTGGATGCCGTCCGGAGCGTACTCGAGAGCGACCGCGCGCGTCAGGTTGAGCACGGCGCCCTTGGACGCGCAGTAGCTGGTGTTGCCCTCCAGACCGACGGACGACAAGATCGAGGCGATGTTGATGATCCAGCCGCGCTGGACGTCGGAGTCGAGGGTCCCGAAGACGGGATGAGGTTCTTGCTTCAGGAACTGGGCCGCGGCGTGTTTGATGCCGAGCCAGACGCCGCGCACGTTGACCGCGAGCGACCGATCCAGGACGGTCAGGTCGGTCTCGTGGATGCGTTTCGTCTCGCCATTGTAGTCCTTGATGAAAGTCTCGGCGGAGATGCCGGCGTTGTTCACCATGATGTCCAGGCGGCCAAACGTCCGGACCGCTTCGGCGACCGTGTTGCGGACGGCTTCTTCATCGGTAACGTTGCACTTGACGAAGATGGCTCTGGGCACACCATCCCGTGAGCTCGGCCACTTGGCGTTGATCAGGTCTGTGGTGGGGGTGGTCATGTCGGTGCCCTTCGCCTTCGACGCGACGATGGGCGCCGGGGGAGGATCTGACCTCAGGTCGGCATTGATGATATACGCGCCCGCCGCGGCGTAAGCCTGTGCAATGGCGCGCCCAAGACCCGACGAAGCGCCGGTGATGATAGCCACGCGATCTTGCAGCGAAGCAATATTGCCGAATAGAGGGGGCGGGAGTTCAGCTACCATGGTGGCGGCGGGACGAAGAACCTTTTGGTGATGGAGGACGGGCAATGGCTGAGCGTTGAAGTGTGATGGGTGTCAAGTGGCCTCGCGGTCAGCAAGCAACAAGTCCTACACGCGCCAAACCTGGGGAGGGATTAGGGCAAAAGCACCTTTTTAAGTCTCAGGACGCGCTACGACATGCCAGACTGCCTGAGCCGTGGCCATTCTCCAATACTGCAAGCAATGGACCTCGGCCACCTCGTACGTGGCCAAGGATCCACTGAATAGAGATATGGACCAGGATGAACAGTCGGAGATGCCGCCGCCGAGCTATACAGAAGACCCTGGAGCGTGGACGGTGAGCCCGGTCGATTGGTTGGCCCACGCTCTGTTCCGGCCTCGACCCCCGACTCGGGTTTCGAGCGCCGTCTTCTCTCCTCCACCACTATTGTGGTCCGCCTCACGGAAAGCCCCATATGGTCGGCGTGCTCCGCGTAGCCTCGATCAGGAGCTTGTGCACGCCTGGCAGAGCTCAGAGCCTGAGCGATGTTCCCGAGCCCGGTCGCGCAACCCACACTCCACTCGAATGCCTCCGTATGCCACGGCCGCGGAGATCGTCCGGTGAACGATACCAGGTCACGTGTAAGGAGCTCTATATTCTTAATATCTTTGGAGAGACTTGGTGTGATTTACACCCCGGTGCCAAGTCCAGGCAGCTATGCGGCGAGAATGAGATGCAATAAGGTAGAATGAGCCACTGCATTAGTGGCCCCAAGTACAGTATCCAGTGTTCCATCCGCACACCCCCAAAGATCCTGCCCGAACCTTTACATCCGAATCAGCCAAAGGCTCCCGAGAACGCCCTTTGTCCAGTCTCCATTTCGGTATCAAACGTGTGAAAGATGTCCATTTGTGCAGACAATGGCATGAGTTCGTCAAAAGAAAAAGGACTGTAGCTGGTCATGGCCGCTTGGGCAAACATGCTACTTCCAGTCAGCGAGGGGTCTTGCATCGTTGCTCCACCGTCAATCTGCGGGTCCGGGCAGTCGTGTTGATCGGTCGAGACCGGTGTTGGCAAGTCGTGGCTGGACTGGTATTCCTTTTCTAGGTGGCACACTCGGATAATGAGTTGGGTGATTTTTCTCACCCTCCGCGCGACCAGGTAGGACTTTTCCATCTCGCTCAGAGTCCGCACACAGATCTTGAGTGAATACAACTCGAGCGCCCGTTTGTCCGAGCCTCGCTCCGCAATGGACGCAATGAGTGTTGTTACAGCAGTGGCGATGCAGTGGAGCGCGATCCCGAGAAGGGACGAGCCATCCCCGTGTTTCAAGCGATAGTCTTGCAGGTATCGCGCCACCTCGGTGGCATAATGCACGCACTGTCTCCTAGAGTCGGAGCTTCGGCTGTCGAGATCGGTGAAACGACTGCCAAACTTGGCATTTGGCTGATGGAGTAGGATCTTGCCGGCGGCATACTGTAGGTGCATGGTCACGACGGACGGGGACGTGTCTTTGCGATAGCGATTCGACTCGTCCAGATTGTCGTGCCAGGACTGGAGTTGGCCGTCCAGCTGCTCGAGCCGCTCCAGGGTGCAGCCCTCCGAGTTGAGGGCCTCGCAGATGTCGCCCGTGGTTTTGACCAGCGTGGCCCAGGCACGAGCCATGCGAGCTTCCCAGGGATCTTCCAATTCGACCCATGGGGCGCAATCCAAAGACGACCCGTCCGCCTTTAGACAGGCTGGGCGTCCCAGGTACAGGGCCCAGAATCTATCAAACATCATGCAGCCCCAGTAGGTCAACTGTCGGGTCACCAGCTCCTCGGGCGAAGGCGCCGGTGCCCCTGTCGGGGTTACGAGGTTCTTGTGAATGCCCAAGTCGATGGCCAACATGCACGCATGGCCAGTCAGGAGCCAGCCTTTCGTGTCTTGGCCCAGTGCACAGTAGATGAATGACAGCAGTAAAAGTGCTTGTATCGTGGTAATGCGGGGCCGCTTTAATTCCTCCTCCATATGCTTTGTAATCATCGCGATGAGATGTGGCTGGTTGTCGTCCAGGTCATCATCGCCCTCGGGTAGGACCATTGCTTTGATCGCAGGGCGCGGCGACACTCGCGCACCGCACGCAAATATACAGTATAGTAGGGTCTTACTTACATACTTGGGGTGTCTAGCGGCCCGGGCATTAAGGAAGGTTTGCTTGTGGAATATCTGGAGACTGGTGTGTTGGTAGTGCCAGTAGAGGTCCAGAAGATGGGATTGAGTCTCGTCGTCGATGTCGTCAATGGTCAGGGCGTCGTCCGTCACGGGCGACTCCTCCCACGCGCCCAGGACGGACAGGGAAACGCTTTCGGTGAGGTGCAAGCTCGACGTGGGGCGGAAAAACTTGTACTGGCCTTCGGCGTCGCTGTTCAGCTGCCACTGCCGCTGGCATAGTCTCGAGATAATGTTGTTGTTCTGTGGGCCGGTGAAAAGAGGCGTCGGGGTGTTATTGCTGATGGCCGCTGGAGGCAAATCCTGTGAAGCTGGAAGCGGCGCGCCGTTCTGCGCGCGTGACTGTTCGAGCGCCGCTTCCAGCTGAGTAATGCGGGCTTGAAGCTGTTCGATCTGGGTTTTCGCGGTGGTGTTGCTTCGCCACCGATTAGTACACGATGCGCCAGAGCAATAGCAGCGCGGAGCCATACTTCCTACGTTGGTCCTCGCGGGGGAAGACACAAAGGATGTTCAATCTCCTGCATTTGAGGCAGCTGTCTGCGGTGTATTCGCACTGTCTCGTTGTCAGACACGCGTTCAGCTGTTGTCGCTCGCCGCGGGGTTCTCGGCCGCCTACCTTGATTTTCTTTGACCTGCAGTATGTGCAGGCGAGCGAGCTTCCATGGCCAGAGCGTGTCTTGCTCTTTGTGACTTTCGATGGCTGTATCTGATTCATGCTTCCGTGCAACAAAACGAGCACTCGGGGCGTCACCCGGCGAATTTTTGATGAGGGACGAAGAGGTCGATGAGGTCGGGTCACTCGGGGCAGTCAGTTTTGCTTGAGCCAGTCATGGTCCCTGCTCTGTGGGGAGACCGCCACGCGTTCTTGGCCCTGTCAGGGAGGGGCCAGGGGGAGGCGAACAAGGCGGGGTGCATGTCACGTGCCGGAGGCTTCGCGACTCAAGATCGTGGATATTCCTGGAGATCCTGTGCTTATACGCGCTAGGCTGGCTACGGCAAGCCAAAGAGCCCATAGTGTCTTGGTCGCCCTCGGTGATACAATACCGAGTTTCCCCAAGTCCCGGCACCATGCAAGGGCCTCCTCGGCCCCACATTTCCCCAGACGTGGACGGCTGTAGGGTACATACAGCACGCATCTGGTGGCCTCGAGCTCCATAGAAAAAATATCCCAGCCTCGTCTAAATGAAGACTCTGGAGCGGAGTGGTCAAGTGTCTAGACGCCACCCCCTCTGCGAGCCTTTGCTTGCAAAAGCCAGTCTCCCGCACGTGCTCCAGAGACGCCCATCACGTGCACACAGTACTAGCGACCAGAGCAGACTTTTGGAGCGAACAAGGCAGCGGCTGGCCCTTCCATATCCCGTCCATCAATCCTGAGGACAAAGACTAACGTTGCCAACCAGTTCACGCGGACCATGCTCCCACCTCTACCACAGAACAAACACGTGGGCTCCTGAGTGATCATAATGGTGCATTCGAGGCAATGAGGGCGTGGCCGACGGCACGACTTGGGAGGGTGAAGGACGCCTTCCGTGGTCAAATATGTGGTATAGCTCCGAATTTGTAGCAGTGCCGGATGCACGGGTACCTGTGGCTTTTCCGCGACGCCCGGCAGGAGAAGCTCCTGAACTTCGACGCTGCAGATGAAGGAGGGGCTGGCGTGGTGCCGGTGGTCTAAATCCGAACTATTTGGGGCCGCTCGGCCGCTGGTCCGACTTGAGTCTGCACCGACTTCTGCATTCGAGACGTGTCCGAAGTGGACGAGGGCAGCGAGCGGCAAAGCTCAGCGGAGGCCGAGGGCATGGGTGCGAATCCTGGATTCGCCCCGACCAGGCTGCCAGTCGTGGTCTGTACAGACTTGGCCCCAGGTAAGTACAGATGCTCTCGCGTGCAGACCGTGGGACCAAGTAAATACGGATCCGCATCCTCTTGCGTCGAGTGTTCGAAGGCGAAGCTCACCTTGGTCGAATGTCCTCTCGTCGGCTGTACCCTCAAACCATCTGATATACGCTCAGTTCGATCTTCGCCTGCGGCCCTCCATCACTGCGAAAGGGCCAATATGTCACCGACACTCCCCTTTAAGCTCAAGAATCCGGACCTGCTGCGGCAAGACGCGTACATCCATGGCAAAGCAGTCACTGCAAAATCAGGCAAGCGCTTCGATGTCATCGACCCGGGCTCCGACCGTGAGTGGGCTTCGTGCCCTGATATGGCACCCGAAGATGTCGCCGCCGCAATTGAGTCTGCGCACCAAGCCTTTCAATCATTTAGCACTATGAGCTCCCGCACGCGCTCGAAACTACTGATCAAATGGCACGAGCTAATTGTGGAAGCCAAAGAAGATATCGCCACGATTCTCACATATGAAACAGGCAAGCCGATCGCTGAGGCCTACGGAGAATTGGACTACTCGCTCGGGTTTCTCTGGTGGTTTGCTGGCGAAGCTGAACGCATCCAGGGCTCTGTCTTTACACCGTCCGCTGTCGACCGACGGACCTTTGTCATTAAGCAACCGATCGGAGTTTCAGTCGCTCTTGTACCCTGGAACTTCCCCATTGCCATGATCCTCCGTAAGGTCGGTGCTGCTTTCGCAGCCGGATGTCCTATGGTAGTGAAACCGAGCCCGGAGACGCCGTTGACCTGCCTGACACTAGCTCACCTAGCTACCCAAGCCGGTTTCCCACCAGGCGTACTGAACGTTCTCACCACGAGTCTCGACAATACGCCCAGCGTAAGCGAGGCAATGATGATACACCCGCGGGTAAAGAAGGTTACATTTACCGGGTCGACACGTGTAGGCAAGATCGTGGCCACGACCTGCGCTAAACACCTAAAGAAGTGTACCCTCGAGTTAGGTGGCAACTGCCCCTTTATCGTCTTTGACGATGCCAATCTCAAGCAAGCCCTAGCTCAATTTATGGCCTTGAAATGGCGCCATGCCGGGCAGGCATGTATTTCGGCAAATCGCCTCTACGTCCAGGCTGGAGTATACGAGAGGTTCACCCAAATGTTGGTGGACGAGACGGCAAAAATCAGTGTCGGGCATGGTGCAAAGAAAGGCTCGACCATGGGTCCAGTCACAACCCCGCGAGGCCTCGCCAAGGCAGAAGCCCAGGCTGCCGATGCCATTAAGCACGGCGCTCAGCTCGTGCTCGGAACGGGTAAAGCTTTGAAGAATAGTATAGAAGTCGAAGGGTCAGACCAAGGGCAAGGTGTCGGAGGCTACTTTATGGAACCCACTATTCTCAAAGATATGAACGGAGAAATGTTGATGGCGTCAGAAGAGACCTTCGCTCCTGTCTGCGGAATTTTCAAATTCGAAACCGAGCAGGAAGTGGTCCGCTTGGCCAACGATACCTCTTTAGGCCTCGCGAGCTATGTATTCACCAAGAATGTCGATAGGGTGTGGAGGATGTTCGAAAAGCTGGAAGCTGGCATGATCGGACTGGTCAGTATTACCGCCCCTCTCCGTGAGACCTAGAACTAACTCGCGACAGAACACAGGCAACTCCTCAGCGGCAGAGTCGCCGTTTGGCGGAATCAAGGAAAGTGGGATGGGCAAAGAGTCAGGGAAAGACGTGGCCGTCAACGAGTACTTGATCACAAAGACCGGCACTTTGACCCTCGACGGTTAATGCTAGGTCCGTCTCGTGCTGTGTTTGACACCGGCTGGTCGCTTGGGGGCCTAATATCTACTGTAATCAGAAGGCATTGCGAAGCGCCTGGCAAGCAGAGCCCGGGGCGTCTACAGTATGGGAACGTTGATGTCTCTGATCTTTTTGGATCAGATTTCAGTTTTATTGGCGACAGCAGATACTAAGTAGCCATCACCGCCCGACTGAACGCATTCCTCGCCCGACACTTCTAGCAACTTCGTAGGCGGCCTTGTCCCAGATCTCCTCCAACGAGATCTGCTCTTCTCAGTCTGTAGAAAGGGCATAAGCTAGCATGAGCAAAGTGAGCATGGACAGACTGTGATATCTACCTCGTCCGAGATACCGGGTCAACGTAGGCCTCGACTGCTGCAGTCATGCAGTCCACTAGAACACGGTGAGGCCTCCTCCACACAAAGAATAACGATCGCAATGCTCCTCGGCTGGGGCGTCATCTGGAGGCCGGAGACACCGCATCGCGCTCTCCGAACTTGGGGCGGGCCCAGGACTGGGACAAGAAACCCAAGGAACCTCCCGGACTGGCTGTGCTCCGGGGTCCCCGTCGGCCAAGGTGACTGGAGGTCGGGATTCAGCTGCCGAAGCGACCCACGGACGTGGCCACGCGCCTTGCCACTTATGGCCGTGCTCGCCCACTTCGGCGGGCCTGGCAACACGAACAAATGAATTCATTCTCCGGAGTAACGATACAAAAACTCAAGAGAAGGAGGAGAGGAATGGCAGATTTGTAGTTACAACACCCTCATTGACGTCCAGCCCAACCCTGTGACGACCACGACGACCCTAATCCAGCCTACTACCAATAACTGCCCCGGACTAACAGCATCTATTGCAATGCTGTCGAAGACGGCCGCTCAAACCATGAAGGCCGCCCGCTACGACCCGAGCACCGGCAAGGTCGAGGTCCAACGCATACCTCTGCCTCAGCTCGAGAATGACCTGATGCTGGTCAAGACAATCAGCTCAGGACTCTGTCACTCCGACATGGTAGGTAGGTCTGACTCGGCACGGCCTCAGCCAGGCAAACCGAATTCCTATCGTTGCGTCCGTAAAGTGTGCCCAGGCTAATGCCGTCTTCTTCATCCTCGAGCAGCTCGTCCTTCACGGCAAGGCGCCGTTTACGGAGGACAAGGCAGTCACCATCGGGCATGAGGCCGTTGGCGAGGTGATCGAGATAGGACGCGACGTCAAGGACATTTTCAAGGTCGGCGACAAGGTCGGCTTTCTGAATGGCCTGCGGGCGTGCTGGAAGTGTGAGGGTTGCGCCAAGTACTACGCCTTCTGCGAGGCAGGAAAGTTCAAAATGCAAGGTTTCGCCTGCGACGGCTTTCTGCAAGAGTACATCCTTGTGGATCCGAATGCGGCCTTTGTCCTGCCCAGCGGTGTTGATCCCCGAAAGTTCGCTCCGATTTGCTGTGCAGGGATCACCTCGTACAACAGTGTCAAGGTGGCCAAGTTAGAAAAGTGCCAGTGGATAGGAATGGTCGGATGCGGTGGTGTTGGCCAACTTGGTAAGTCAGCCCGCTTCTGCTCCTATAGCGACGACATGGCTTGTCCGTCTGTCTAACGACCCCTCCCCTTGAATAGGCATACGCTATGCCGTCGCCAAAGGGCTGAACGTGGTGGCCATCGACATCGACGACTCCATCCTGGAAACGGCCAAACAGGCCGGCGTCAAACACATAATCAATTCCCGTACCAACCAAAATGCCGTGGAAGAGATCAAGAAACTGGTGCCACACGGCCGGGGAGTCGACGCGGTCGTGGTCTACGCTGGCGTCAACGCTGGATATCGCTTTGGACAGCAGATCGTCAAGACTGGCGGACGGTTTGTCAGTGTCGGTGTGCCAGAAGGGGAGATCAGCTTCCCGGCTCACGAAGTACCCTTGGAGAGATATACCATTCACGGAGCGAGTAATCATGGCACTCGACCAATGTTTACTGAATGCGCCCAGTTCACCAAGGACCATGGAATCGAAAGCCCTAGCCAGCTCTTCAAGATTGAACAGATTGGGGAGATGATCACCCTCATGGAGGAGGGCAGGATGCAGGGTAAGAGACTGATTGTGGACTTTTCCTCTTAAAGGCTACAGACGCCGAGAAAGGTGTGAGTAGGGAAAAAAAGGCAATAGCTATAGGTCAACTTGGCACCTAGGTGACCATGTATACTATCGCAAGACAGATGAACACTATCCCTGTTCTTTCCTAGGGGAGAATACGATATTTCTGCCGACTTTGAGCTCAGTGCACCGGGCTGCAGCCTCAACGGCTGTAAGCAACCTTTCCTGCCCCCTGTTGTTCCATGCCCAACCTCCTTCACACCTTTTCGACGTATTCAGTCACATCGGCACTCTTCCTTGGACGGTGTTCTGTACCATTTTCGAACCTCGCCATAGGCCTCGATGATCTCGACGAGGTGGTTTCATTCCAAGAAGGCGTCCAGGCCAACCTCGCGTTTTCAGCGGCTTGGGCGTTGGTATTGCCTCCGAAGACTTTGTCCATCTCTTCAAGGGTGCGGTTTTTTGAATGGTACGTGGCCTTGTTAGCGAGCTCCCAAAGCTGCTGGGCAAAGAATGAGCCAACGCATTGTACGAGGTTCTTGGTTTTGCCAGCTGCCAATGTTCGAGATAGATAGAGCTACGGGGACCGCTCTGGCTGGAAGAACTGAATGTGGGGTACAAGGTCTTTTCACCTCACCAGCAAGAAATTCTCAGCGCTCCTCCAACTTCTGGATCCGCAGTAGGATACTCAACCTGGTCAGCGTTTACCCCTGGCAACCACTATTTGGAGTCTCTGAAAGGTCTCGACTTCCTAAATAACGTGGGTATCGAGCAAATCGTTCGGTAGAGTCAGTAGTTGAATACGAAAAGCTTTCAAAACTCAACAATTCATGGCCTATGAACTTGCTGACAATGTAGAGAAATCTTACATGTTATCACTTTCGCATTCGAAACGCTTGAACTGCAGACAGAGTGTGGCCGTACGGTGCATATATCGAAATCTTGTCCTGACAATATCGTGCTATCATGATGAACCAGATACATCAATCAGCCATCGAGCCAGCATATAGGGATGCATAGCAGAACTACATCCATGAGCCTCTGTAGCTCGCTACCCATTAGTTCCACAGCAAGCTTGGGCAAGGGACTCTCGTGCATGGTTCAAGAGTGGCTACGGCAACTATGTATTTATGTAACAGGACGGATGCCAACGAGTGGAATGAGGAGGTCAGACAACAGTCTTAATGACTGCAAGGGCTGCAAGCGCCTCAAGTTGTCTATCTGAATTGCTATCGAGAGAGAGAGAGAAGAGAGAGAGAGAGCGTTATAGACGTCTTAGCAGGTGAGAGGCACCTTCCTACTAGCTATATTAGGCTTAGTGGCGTTATATAATAATATACCCCCTTCCCTTAAATAAACACTATCCATAGTGTTTTCACCGTCCTCGGTATTATCTAATATAACCTTCGTTACCTTTATACGCCTTTTATCTTCGTCTACATCCTTCGTCGTTTGTTTATCAGTGTCGTCGGAAAGCTCCCTAGTCCTTCGTAGTCTTTAAATCCCGTTCTTCTTATTCGCTTACTAACTAATGTTTCGCGTGCCTTCTATTTAGGCGTTATTATTACTAGTAGTGCTAGCAGCGGCGTTATCCTAGGCTACTATTTAGGCGTTATTACTACTAGTAGTACTAGCGGCGGCGTTATTCTAGGCTGCTGTTTAGGCGTTATTATTACTAGTAGTGTTAGCGGCGGCGTTATCCTAGGCTGTTATAACGGCGGCGTTCTATTCGGCTTACTCTACTATCTCTAGTAAACCGGTTTCGCCTTAATTATCGTTTCGTTCCTATAATCGTCTGCTGCGTTTCTCGCTTAAATGTTAAGAATTGCCTCCGCGCAGCGTGTATGAGGACACGTGAGCACACAGGTAACCCTCGGGGTTCTTGAGTATCGGGGGTAGAGCAGAGGTCAATGTCGAACAGATCGTCAGACGGGACACAGCACTTGTACTGTATCTCCTTGAGCGCAATGTTAACTGAAGTTGACTACACCTCCTATAGAAGTGTATCTAGCTGTGACTATATACACAGGTAGTTTTCCTATCTAGGAAAGTCTAGGCGTTGTATAGTTGCCTCCGTTACGGCCCCATGCCCTGCAATAATGCAATATATACAACGGCTTATTTCCTTTTTAGGGTATCACGTGACCCGAGTTAGCCTTGCCAACGAGGCTAACTTCCTCGCTTAACCTTCCCTTCTATGCCAGGCCCGGCAGGCCGTATAAAGGTCGGTTCGTAACACTTTCCCCTCCTTAGCCTGTTCGTTGTCCGTAATGTACTTAAGGTAGGCTACAGCCCTCCTCTATCATTGTCTATTATCTCCTCTTCTCTTATAGCTAACTATATAGGCCTTTAGGGTGTATAAGTCGAACCCTAAACCTCCTAAGTCTTCTAAACCTGTCGTTCCCTAGCAGCAGCGTTAAAATAAGATCGCTGATTATATTAAATTTATTAAAAAGACCGAAGCTATAGTGTCTTATACCGAGTGTATAAACTATAGTAAAGTATATTTCTACTCGAGAGAGTAGAGTGTAAAGTGCGCGGCGTGTCTTCGGCATCGGAGAGAGTGTGACGAAACATTTTCCGTGGAGGAGCTCCGGAAGATAGGAGAGCAAAAGAAATAACTATCGGCTAAGTCGAGGGCTAAGAGGCGCGAGATCGCGCGTCTTCGAAAAACATTAGTGGATGCCCACCGATCCCTGGCGGCGTTAGAGTATAAGATGGCCGAGGTGGAGGAGGAAGACTCCTCCTTACAGGACTTTATTACGAAGCTAGATAAGGTGTCTAGTAATATATTAAAACGAGAGATGATGGCGCTAGGTACCTTCAATAAGGCACCAGCCCGAGCTAAGGTGGCTCTAGCCGAGCCTAACTTTATCTAGTAGGATACGCCCCTAACCGAGTTAGTCGACTGGAATAAGATCCTAAATTTCGAAGGTAGTAGCTAGCCAGCGGCTGGCTAGCTCCTTATACCCCTATTCTAGTGGTATTATTTAATGAGGTCCGCGGGTAGGTTTTCCTTAGGTTCCCACGTGTTTTCACTATCCTTATACCCTAACCATTTAATTAGGTATTGTTGTCGGCGTTTAGTTCCTCGGTGGTCCACGATTCGTTCCACGTTGTACAGTGGCTCTTGTGTTTCCTCGTGGATTAGGACTGGTCCTAGCGTGGCGTTCTAAGGTGCTTTTTTAAGTAGTGATTTATAGAATACTAGGTAGATGTTTATACCTACTGGCAATTCCATCTTAAATATTACTGGTCCTAGTTTCTTTTTGATTTTATATGGTCCGATCTTAGTGTAATCCAGCTTATCACTTAGTCTTTATATTTTGATGTTTTTTCGTAGGATATAGACTTTCTCCCCTTCCTGAAAATCTGGTCCCTTAGATCTTTTCTTGTTCGCGTATTTTATTGCTTTTTGTGATATTTTATATAGTTCTAATTTTATTATTTTATGTAGTAATTATAACTTCTTAACCGAGATTTTCGCTTTTTCCGCTATTAGTCGTAGTCCTCTTACATCTTTTTTAATATTTAGGTGTTTTCCGTAGTTTGCGTAGAATGGTGATATTCCTATTATAGTTTTTAAGTTATTATATACGAACTATACGATTAGTAGCAGTTCCACCTAATTATTTTATTAATAGTTGACGTAGCACCGTAGGTACTGTTTAAGTGTTTAGTTAATCCGTTCTATTTGTCCGTCTGTCTATAGATGATATGCCGTGGATAGTTTTTAGTGTATTCCCGTTAGATCCATTAGTGATTACTAAAACTGCGACGTGAATAGCTTATCCCTATCGGATATAATTTCCTTTAGTGTTCCGTGTTGCGCAACGATTGTCTTCGTGAAAGCGTATACTAGTTCCTCTACTGTACTTGATTCCTTCTAGAGTATGAAGTGAGCGTATTTCGTGAGTGTATCCGTGATTACAATAATACTATCGTAGTCTGTCTCTATAAGTGGCTCTTTAGACTATAGTAGTTTAACGATGAAGTCTAGTGCGATTCGGGCCTATAACTCATCCTTAAGTTCTACTGTTTATAGTAGCCCGTATAGCCTGTATCGTATATATTTCGCCTTTATATATATATCGTATTCCCTAATGTACTCTTTAATATCTTTCCTTAGTCCCCTTTAGGTGAAGTCTCTCGTGACTAGTTTAATAGTCTTATTCACCCCTAGATGTCCTACTGACTTATCTTTATGTCGTCCTTTAATGATTTCTTTCTTTTATTCTTTAGTGAGCTCGATATCTATAATTACCAGCGTATCCGTAAGTAATGTTCGGTATATAAGTTGGTTATCTTCCTACTTGAGAATAGCGGCCGGTTTTAGGTGTGAGTTTTCCTTATAGTCTAGTCTTCTGCTTAGGGCGTCTGCCCTTCCGTTCTCTGTTCCGCGCACATAGTTTATCTTGAACCAGTATACCGAGAGCGTTTCGGCCTATCGTACCTATCGTCTGGTCAACTGCTTCGTAGTCGTCCAGTATAGTAAGTTTTTGTGGTCCGAGTAGATCTGTACAGGGTACTTAGGTCCTTCGAGGTAAACTCTCCATTCGCGTAGTGCTTCGACTATCGCTAGTAGTTCTTTGTCGTGTATATCGTAATTTGTTTCTAGTCTAGTTATCTTTCTGGAGTAGTATGCGATTAGTCTCGCTTATCCGTCGTTATCCTTTTACGTGAGGTAGGCTTCGATGGTATAGTCCGATGCATCTATTTATAAGTATAACTTCTTTATCTAGATCGAAGATTACTAAGATGGGTGCCGATATAAGTCGGTCCTTAATATCCTTAAAAGCTCTCCTGTAATCTTAGTTAAAGTTATATATAGTGTCCTTCTTTATTAGTACTAATAAAGGTGCTACTATCTTTAAGAAGTCTTTAATAAACTTTCGGTAATAGTTTATAAATCTAAGTGCTACTTATACTTCTTTAATATTAGTCGATTCGGGCTAGTCTTGTACTGCCTCGACCTTCTTTAGGTCTGGTTATAGTCCCCTAGTTAACACTATATAGCCTAGGAA